AGAGGAGATCTACTAAGTTATAATAGCTTATAGACTCTCTATATAGCTATCTTTTAATAGTATAAGTAAGATAGCCTGATCTAGATCTAATAACTACTAGACTATAGTAAGGTTTACTATAAATAATAATAATCTAAGAGCTCTAAATTAGATCTCTAAAGCCTATTTCTACTAATTAAAATTATAGAGCCTCTATAATTTAAAGGCTTTAGAGAACTTATAAACCCTTTTATTAAAATTCTTAATAATAGAGTTTTTAAAAACTCTAGTTAAGAAATTAGAGCTCTAAGAGTTCTATAAAATAGACTATTAAATAATACTAATAGTACTAGAAGCTAGTTAGCTAGTACTAGTAGTACTAGGGGTCTACTATAACTATAGTAGATTTATAGTAGCTATAAGCTATTAAAGGGTTTACTATATAATAGTAATAGCTTTAGTAGTATTTAGATTCTAAAAGCTCTAAGTAATAATAGTATTATCTATTATAAGGCCTGAAGGAATAGTACTAGTAGTACTAAAGTTTATTAGTTAATTCTATAAGCTCTAAGTAGTAATAATACTCTTTACTATAGGAATAGTACTAGTAATATTAAAAGAATTTAATTAGCTAGCTATAGTAATAGTACTAGCTATTAGAATAGCTACTAAAGAAAAATAGGTTTTAGTATTTTTAGAGGCTAATCCCTCTATATAGCTATCTTTATTAGCTATTTTAAATCTTCTTTAGTAAAGAAAGCTATTAAGATCTAGACTAAAGTATAGGGTAAGTTAGAAGACTTTCCTAATATAGGGTAAGAGCTTTTAAATCTAAAGATAAAGCTCTTTTTTACTAAAGTAGATAAGAACTAGACTTATAATCTTTTAAAAGATTAAAGCCTTTAGTATAGGGTAGACTAGCTATAGGATAAGCTAGATCTAGAGTAAGTATAGTCTATAGGGTAGACTAAGGAATACTAAAGGGATTATTTTAAAAGATATAGTAGAAGAAGTAGCTTACTAAGTAAGAAAGAGAGACTTTATTAGCTATAGAGTAGCTAAGAGAATAGACTATAGGATAGATAAAAGAGTAAATTAATAGTTTAAAGAACCTCTATCTAGTAAGGAGGAAGCTCTATACTTATAGATATTTTAGAGCTCTAAAAGCTCTAAAGATAATATATTATCTTCTATAATATAGATTTATAATTATTATAAGGTTTTTATATAGTAAATATAAGATCTACTAATATAAGTACTATAATAAATATAAAGTCTACTAATATAACTACTATAATAGTTATAAGGTTTACTAACTAAGTACTAAAGTTCTTATATAGTAGATATAAGATCTATTAATATAAGTACTATAGTAGATATAAGGATTACTAATATAGCTACTATAGTAGATATAAGAACTACTAATATAGCTATTATAGTATAATATAAGATTACTAATATAGTTATTATAGTAGTTATTATAGTAGTTATAACTGCTAATATAATTATCCTAATAGGTAGCTATAGCAGATTAGGCTAGTAGCTTTAGTAAGCTTCCAGCTTTAGAAAGCTCTAAGTTAGTTATTTTATTCCTTCTTACCCTATACTAATCTGAGATTATTTAATTAACTAATATAGGGTAACCTGATCTATCCTATAGTCTATAGGGTAAATCTTAATATTATTAAACTAAGTTTTAGAGGGAATTAGTTTAATTAATTTAAGAGAATTAAATATCTTCTAGTTAGTATAATTAAATACTTTAGAATAAGAATATCCTGATTTAATAAATAATAATATTTACTATAAGTAGACTAGTCTGCTTATCTACTTCTATTAGATAGAATAGAAGGGATAAATTATATAGGCTGGATAAGTTATATAAGCTGGATAGACTAAATAGAAAAAATAAAAAAAAATAAAAAAAAAATAGTTATAATATAGTTATTAGTATAGTATCTTATAACTAGTATAGAATTACTACTAATTATTATATAATAAATCTATTATATATAAAAAGCTTAAATTAATCTAGCTAACTTATTAGATCTAATAGATCCTTTTAAATCTATCTGTATTATATAATCTGACTAGACCTGTAGGATTAATCAGATCTATCAGTTAGATCGGATAAGTCAGACTAATTGGTCCATATCAGTAAAGGAAAGAAGCTAGGGGAAAAGAGTAGCTTAAATACTTATTAAGAAGTAGATTATCCTAATAGTAAATCAGTTATTAGGAGAAGGTTTATAGAATTTTCCTTCTATATAATTACAGTCTTAGATTAATAAAGATTTTTTTTAAAAGATTTTTTTTTTAAATTAATTATATTAAGATATCAGGTCTAATATCTTCTATTATTATTATTTAACTTTATATTCGAACTCTCTTCCGCACTAATCCTCAAATTAAAGGTTCTCATAGAGCAAAGTCATACTGGTGGGAATAAAATTGGTGGATGAACTTTCGAATAAACGGCCGATTAACCTTGGCCTGTAAGCATATCAAACAGTCTTAGCACTTGGCATCTAGTTGATGATTGACATTCTCTTTATAGAGTGACTCTGGAACATTTGGTATTTAAAAAGCCTATGGGTTCTCCCGGCGGCTGGTTTTGGTCACTGTTTATTCATTGTATTGAGATGTCGGGCCTGGCATCTTCCATTGACTCGAACTCTCTTCCGTTCTGGCCACTGTTACCATAGGTGGGCTATCCAGTCGCACCAGACAGGCTCCAGCGCTGGTGCAGTCCTTGGAGAGGACGGTAGAATTTCACACGATAGCTTAGAGATGAACCATCATTTCTTGCTGTGTCGCGGTGATTTTTCCAGGACTATACGCTGCTTGAATTCCGATCAGTGAGTTCGCATCCCTTGGAGAAACTGGGGGTTTGGATTGGGCGACATATGTCTTACATCCACTCAAGTTGTAGTTCTGCAAAAAAAAAAAAAAAAAGCCCCAAGTTATCCGGATAAATATACTAATCCCATGTGCGAGATCGCATTATGAAGAGCTTGCTTTTCAATTTTGTATAGGCAGAGCATTCGAACATAACCTTAGTGTACTGTGCTCCGAGCTCATACGTGAGGCTTCCGTGACATGTATTGCAAGGGAACTTGTGCAATGGCTTTAATAAAGGTATACTCAGCTTGTGGTAAATGTTACATCTACACTGACCAGCCTCATGCGACCGTGCACAATGCGCTGAGTGGTACTGGCAACGACTGTGTCAGCGCTTGTTTGTAGTATTGCTCCGAGCGGAAATGTCTAGGTACGATAGCTAAATTTGACGCGCTCATCCGCCCTGGCTGGAGAGGGTGCATCGTACAAGTCTCGACATCGCCAACTACCTGCCAAAGGGATATTTGGCGGGGTGTTGCGCATTGCAGCAGCTTCTCACGCCCGGACCACCATAACAAGAGGTAAGTAGCTAGGCCAGCTCTCCACGTGACTGCTGGCCTCTTAGTCAAGCTTGCAGCAATCGCCCCGTCATACCGAGGAACAGCCGGGTTAGGTCCGCACGATGGCGGTTGGGTCTATACATAGCTATCAAAGATTACAGTGAGAGAGATATAGATAGGTAAGGTAGGTAGGTAGGCTGCTGTCAAGCCGAGAGATTCCTGATTAATGAGAAGAAGTTGTAGTAAGCTGAGGCTAGTCGAAATGGAAACTCACGTGACCGCATCCAAATTCTCGCCTGGCCGCGAAGCAACCGCGAGAAACGCGTCCCTGGGTCTCATCTGCTAAGCCTCAAGCCCTATCAACAGGGGAAAATTATCGCCATCTATAGGCCTTCTTGCATTATTAGTTCTGGATGGACCAGATCAATAAGCTGCGTAATCTTTTCTAAATGTGTACAGCTCAATTAAAAGCCAGATCCAGGCTCCAGTCCCCTCTTCCTTAGGGTACCCTAGAGCCACAAAAAAAAACACAAGACTGAAATCATGGGTAAAAAAAAACATCACGCTGAAAAGCATGGCCTGCACACTACCATCGCGCGTAGAGAGGGTTTATGGTTATTACTTGGGACAGCCTGTTGAGCGCTAGCACAGGGACTGACAGTGAATGTTTTGGATATTCCGGGTCGCTTGGTAAGGCAGTTAAAGGGCTCCAGGTGATATAGTTGTCAGGCTCGTGGGCGGTTGGAAGCCTAACAGCCCAGGCTGTGAAGAACCCCGCACACTGTTAGGTGACTACATATTGTGGCTATAGCTCCTCCGCAGCTAGATTACGGGTACAGCTACGGCTGCGGCTAGATAAATAGTAGAAAATCAATTGTGATAGCAGTAGACAGGAAGGTCAAGTTCATAGCAATCGGGTGTCGCAGCGGCATACCGCCGGGTCAGCTTCGCAGCGATCGCTCGTGTTAACGAGGGACAGCTAGGTCAGCCTGCGCCAATCGCTCACTATTACAAGAGACACGCTGATCAGCTTCGTAGCTATCACTTGCCATGAAGAAAGACAGAAGAGTCAGCTAGGCGGGCTACGGAGGTAATCCATGCAGGCAGCTGTCTTTCCAACTGGAAAGAAACGCACAAGAGAGAGAGAGAGGGCAGTTGCGATAGCTGCGGCCAACAGGCTGTTGATCTTGAAACAAGGTTAGACTTCTGAAAGCACTACAGACAGCGATAAAAGCGAACAGGGCTTTGCGGTTAATAGTATGTTTAAATTAAAAGCTATTATGTCCCTCGCGGCCTGTTTGACTAGATAGGTAACAGGCTGTTGAGTTATCGAAAAAAGGTTAGGTTGCGCTTAACGCTCCTAAGGAGAACCTAAACGTCGACGCCCTGGTCTCGAAGTTCAACGCCGCTAGTATATTCCAGGCTCTACCTAGTATCTGCAACTAAAATCACAGGGAAGATATAAGCAGACTCCAGCAACTATCGGAAGATTGATAACAGTTATAGCAACCGCTCATCACTGTAGCAGACAGGGAGGTCGCGCTCGTAGCAATAGCCCGTCTTGTTGGAGGCCGAGGCTGTTCATGGCTACAGCAAACGCTCGCCGAGTCGGAGGACAGGCTATTCACTGCTATAGTAGTACTCGATCGCTCGCCGCGTCGGAGGACAGACTGTTCGTTGTGTCGGAAGGCGGCTGTTCAGGTCTGCAGCAATCGCTCGCCGTATCAGAGATAGGCTATCTATGGATACAGCAATCACTGGATCGCTCGCGACGTCGGAGGATAGGTTGTTCAGTGCTATAGCAATCGCTCGACCGCTCGCCATGTCGGAGGACAGGCTGTTCGTCGTGTCGGAGGACGGGCTGTTCGTCGTGTGTCGGAGGACGGGCTGTTCGTCGTGTCGGAGGACGGGCTGTCTAGGGCTGTAGTAGTCGCTTCGCGATCGATCGCTCGCTGCGTCAGAGGACAGGTTGTTCAAGGCTGCAGCAGTCGCTCATCTTGTCGGAAGACAGGCTGTTCACGGCCATAGTAATTACTTGACGCGTCGGAGGATAGGCTGCTCAGGGCTGCAACAGTCACTTGGTCAGCTGTCATGTTGGAGGACGGGCTGTTCGTCGTGTCGGAGGACGGGCTGAAGACAGGCTGTTCAGGGCTGCAATAATCGCTCGCCGCATTAGAGGATGGGCTGCCTAGGGCTACAGCAATCGCTCGATCGCTCGCGACATCGGAGGGCAGGCTGTTCAGGGCTATAGGAATCGCTCACCGCTGCAGCGGACAGAGAGGTCGGGCTCGTAGCAATCGCTGGCCGTGTCGGAGGACGAGGCTGTTCACGGCTACAGCAATCGCTCGCTGCGTTGGAAAGACGGGGTGTTCAGGGCGGTAGCAGTCGCTCGTTGCGTCGGAAGACCGCAGCAATCGCTTGTCGGAATGAGGATATTGGTCGTGGTGATAATCTAACGAATTATCGTTGTTCTATCAAGTACGTGGGAATGGGTAGATTTTAGTTGCTGAGGCATGAGCTCAAAGCCGACTAGCGGCGTCGATCCTCAAGAACGGGTGGAGGAGAGGGGCGATTTCTCGATCGCGCTAATTAATCTAAATTGAACAACGCAAGAACCTCTATCATTCACAGCGATGGGTTACTATTTCTAGATGTACAGCTTCTCATTGTATTGAGGATTCATGTGTTAAAGTCAGGTGTGTTGCATGCTAGCAAAGAAACGGCTGATTGTCCCTCTCAATCAGCTCAGCTACCGGATGCTCCTGGTACGAACTCAACGTATTTGCATTCAGGTGTGCTCGAGTTGCTAAAGGCTGTGCAGTCCACAGGGGCAGACCAGTATTTGACCTCTGTTCTTGGTAAAACGAGGATTTCATCCAAGGCACTTTCTTGCCGCGATTTCCAAGCTCACTGCGCCGGGAATCCCAAGAACGATGTTTGCGGCAATTTGTGCTCATGGTTTGCCTTAGAGATTGTTTCATGGGATACAGGTAGTTAAGGCCTGTTGGGGCTTATCCGCACCGCTGTACGCACCATCCCACAGGCTACATTAGGGTCATCCAGTTGCACAGCGAGGTGCGACGCAACAGTCCCTATGACAAACCCTATTACGAGCCCATGAAAGAGGCTACGAATTGCTAGGTAGATTAGTCATCTCGAAAAGAAAGCGTCTGTTCAATCTTTCAAGATTAGACAGCCCGACTACCTGCCTCTTGATAGCGTGATGAAGCCGGACCCTTGATTCCCCTGCACAATGGAGAGCCTAAGAGCCCAGCCGGCTGAATCAACAAACCACCTATGGACGCTAATAATGTAAGTTACGACCTTGGCTGTATGCCAACTACCGATCACAAGCGGTAACAAGCCCCCCTAGAGCCTGAGTAGCACTGTGATAGACGATGAGGGTGACGGTCCTTGCTGCGCAGAAATCCATGTATGCACATGCATGGTTTGGGAATAGCTACAATTGGATTCTTGTTGGGGGTCATCACGCCAGGTCTTGTCATCGCGGGCCTCGTAGGGGGGTAGCCAGGGGTGGTCAGGGGCATTCATGTGTACGCGCGTTATTGAACCTGACTACGAATGGGGGAATGCATCACCGCCATGCCCCAACCTGCTGCCGAGACTAGCATGACCTGAATAGTTGTGGGCACATTGCTCATTGAGCTCAACGTTGCCCACAAGGCTGACTCCAGGTGGCAACCCATGGAGAGTCCATAGAAGCTCCGCCTTGCTCTATCAGTCCATGCCAATCCGACCAGCCCTTCTACTGCCCCAGCAGAGTTTCCAACCACAACTGAAGTATATTGTAGATCCGATATCTGCGACGGGCAATTCGCACGACGGGGTTGGACGTGGACAGGATCTCAACTGGTGTGGGCGACAGGGTTGGACGTGGAAAGGATATCGACTGGTCTGGGAACATGTCGAGTACGTCTAGTCGATGGTCTTTGTCAGTAATGTCTCCTATCATAGGTCTGAACATTTCTGACTTGGTCAGAATTGCCTGACGGCAGCGGGGGGTTGACTCACTGCATTACCAAGAGATCCAGATGAGAATGACGCCTTGCCGGGGCGCGTCGGCTGGTGACAATCAACTCGAGGTTCGTTTGCGGGGCGACCTCTGATGTCCAGTGCCAGAGCACTGACTCCAAGAGGGAGTAGGTGCAGCACCGAAAAAGGCAGGTCGACGGAGCCCAACTACTGGGAAGGCATTGTCTGTGGACACTACCAGCCGCAGCCATCAGCCCGAGCGACGTATCCAAAACACATCCACAAAGCCCCTGAGACCGTGTTGCGCCAAAGAGCTGTGCCCTGGATGGAATCGTCGGTGCTCATGGCTGTGTTACTGTCGTTGTACGCGCTCGTAGGCGCCGAGTGGACATTGTCGGCACTGGTAAGGGGCTGGTGGTCGTGGATACATGGTATGAAAATGGGATGGTACGGTCTCGCAAACGCCTCGTACGTCCCTCGTGTTCGTTAAGTCGACTGCCTGAGTAAACGCTCGGTCCTCGTCGTCGGACCTGAGGATGTCGACACCTAAGAGACGAAGGTAGAGGCTAGAAGTAGGAGAGCGCGGCTAGGTAGGAAGGAGTTTGGCAGTCGAGCCAACACATCGAGGGTGGCCTCCCTCCAAGGTGATTGCTGATTTTTTTCGTGCGGGGTTGCTCGTTATCTTGGACTGTCCTGTGTGCGCGTACCTTAAGCATATTTGGGTCGGGTGTTGAGGAAACGTGCCTGAGGCAGCGCATCAAAGATCAGCGGGCTGTTGCACGAGAGCCTGATCAAGTGAAGATGCATTTGCTTCCACAAGAGGCACTTACTCTCCTCGCGGATCTGAAGGGCCAGTCAAGGATAACTTTGGCCAGTTCAGCCGTGTAAGCCCGGGCAAGCGCCCAGCAACCCCAAGCCCAACAGGCAGCAGGCAGCAGGCTCGACTGATCCCCCATTGGGCAGGGTGGTTTCCCCACTCAACGAGCACTGCAGCCAAGCTGTAACCTGAGCTACCAACCGCCATGATTCTAGGGCCAAATCCGAGAGCTTGACCGGGAGGCTGGTGATCAGCCGGCGGTGACTCTGCACAGTCCTACTCGGCATAGGTTTTGCCGCATTTTTTTATGGGTGTAAGATGACGGTAGAGGGTTGAGTTGCGAGCATGGAAGCGCCGAAGAGCTGCATTCGCGTCTGTGTGTAGCGTCAAAAAATAGAGGCGGAGTCAGTTGCCTTGATTGTATCACGTCCAACGCATGTGGTTGGTCCTCACAAGGGGCCTATGGGTGATTTGGTTGGTCTCGCGATGTGTTCGTCCCCGTCAAAGGAAATTGGCTGGCCCAGAGCAGGGCAACCACAGTCTCTGGCACCCAAGGACTACCTTTTCCGGCTCTTGTCGCGAGAGACAACTCGCGACAACTTGAAGATCAGCAAGAGGAGGCGAGCGAAGGCAGGGGGAACGTGCGTGTTCAAGGTAGATGCGTTCTGAGAGCCTCCTCTGGAAGACACTTCACCATAACATTCTGCCTGAACCATCTTAATATAAATTCCCCCTGCATCTCCCCTGCATCTCCCTTCCTGAACTCATCTCTACAGCCATCTGGTACGATTCCTCATAACCAGCAATACATTCCAGACAATCACCTTCCATAATGGAGAGAAACAGTGCCCCAATGACTTCCCAGCCTTCGACATCGGGCACTCGCGTGTCCTCGACCGCCCAAAATGGCACAGGTACACTTTTCCCCAACCCAAAATTACTTGGCTATGAGTGCTGACCACTTGCGGGCATAGGTGCCCCCCTGGCCACGAATGTGGGCTACCCGATCGTGCAGACCGCTCAGCCGCGAGGTGCCCCCGTTCTCCATTCCGCATGTGATGGATCGCCTGCCCCATCTACCTGCGGGCCGTCCCGCTAATCCCTACAATACTGGCAGGGCCCTTCAATTTGGGAGGGGCTCATCGGCCTTCAGGCCTATATTACCGAACTTCAACGGCCAACAGGGAGTGGGCAGGCCCTTCCCCTTCGGTAACAGCCAACAGGGAGTGGGCAGGCCCTTCCCCTTCGGTAACAGCCAACAGGGAGTGACTCAACCCCTCACCCTCAACCGCGACCAACGGCAAGTGGCGCGGCCACTCCTGTTCAGCACGCCCCAGGCCAACGGCTGGGGTTCCACTGCCCAGGGCGGGGTGGCAGCAAACCAGGCACAGTATCATCCCTCGTCCTCGTGCCCATATCATCGTTGCACTTGTTTCATCTGTCCCTGCCCCTGCCACCCCAGGACTCCTCGCCTCTGAGATCCTCTTATACCAGGGCGTACCTAGGTGGGCTGGGTTGAGTCTGGTATGGATGGTTATCGGCTAAGCAGGCGATATTGGCTGCGGTTGAGCTTGACTTGTTGCTTCGACGGAAGTATGATGCACTGGCGGTCTTCAAAGGCATCGACGGTAGATGGGTCATATGTATACCACATTACTCAGCAGGTAGAAAGAGTATACGTATTGAGATGGGGAGAATAATTTAGCACTCGCATTCAATCTTTTTGCTCCATGACACTCGATGACATCTGGCCACGCAGGCCATCCAAAGTTCGTGCTGCTAGCACCAGTCCACAGTGCTGTTGTCATGGCGGGAGGGGACTGGAATTCCTGGCAGCTGAATGTTTCAAAGAGCAAGAGAAATGGCTATGAAGGCTCTCATCTGTTGTACTAGTATATGCACGTGCATACGGTATTTTTACGTGGATTTGTAGTGTTGACACAACTGATGCTAGAAGAGTGGGGTGTTCTATGATTATTGGGTATGTACCTAAGCTGCGGTGATGCGCCCACCTGCCACCGCTGAGCCCTAGCGGGGGCAAGCCACTAAGGTACTGAGGAGGTGCTTGCCATCTTACCTTACCTAGGGACGTCGGGCATCCTTTCCTTTGACGCAGAAGTACGACAGCCCCAGTGGTTCGGTATGCACGTTCCACACCATCTACTCCTAGATCCGGGCGGGTGAGCACGGTGGAGGTGTGCGTGCTGATTGTGTCAGCCTTATCGCATCGTGACAGCCAGGCAACTTCAGAAGCTGAAATGAGCCCCTTGTGGCAGTGTGGCCCGAATGTCCACGTGCTGTTACTAGACCCAAGACAAAAGTACAACCATACCAGTACCTCGCATCTTTGGCAGCATTGCTGAATTTCTTACTTACCTTATGTAGGTACGGTACACTCATCAGGCACTGTTGAGGAGAACCCAGAAATCGACGCCGCAAGTACAGCCTACCTAGCATTTGTGATTAAAACCTACCCCTGCGCGCAGTGGCATAAAGATACAAGGCGGCGACTACTCGTCGCAGCAACGGATAGGCTGGTCAGGTCTGCAGCGATCGCTTGTCGTGATTAGAGACAGAGACTGGGCGTGCCGGTCAGGACCGTAGCGATGAGCATGCAGCGGACAGAGAGCACAGTGGATACCTAGGTAGCTACCTACTGAAGAGGTGACCGCTGTAACCCAGAACAACCAATCTTCCGGCGCCTCGAGCGGCTCTTGGGGCACTAAACCAGCCCTAAACCCTGCCCGTCTACTACAGCGATTCAATTAGCAGGTCATTAGGCCGCGATAGCACTAAATGAACCGCACGTCCTCTAAAATGTCGACGATCCGCCCTTAATAAATGGCCTACATGCAACCGAGTGCCATAAGAGATGAGACACCAAATTCTTTCGCCTTCTATTTAGCTTTTTAATATCGCAAGAGAGGTATAATAAATCCTTAAAAATAAACCCATTATTTCTTTCACTTTTGAGATTATATTGTGGCTTTTTCTGGCCTTTTTAAGGTGATTTTGGCTCAAGTTGTAGCAGGTCAAACACAGAGCCTCTACTGTTGTGGACGCTTGAAGTCCCTACCTTGCTACCTACCTACGAGCCCGACCCCTGTGTCTTCCGACGCGATGAGCGATTGCTATAGCCCTCAACATCTTCCGATATTGTAAAAGAAGCTGCAGCCTGCATGTATCATTTGTTGCTGAGCGAGGGGGTAGATCCTAGTTGCAAATGTAGAGCCTAACGCACTGGTGGCGTCAACTTTCGTTTCCCCTTATTGAGTACCTGACACGCCGCGGCTGCTCACGTTACGCCACTAGCTGCCAAAAATAAAAAAAAAATAAGACTGTCATGCGAACAGCCAGGAGCTAGCTCGAGCAATCTGACATAACCCTCCCTTGCTTCGAAACCCAGCTAGAGATGATACTTGGATGGTTGGTCGGTCAACAGGTGCGAACGTGAGGTCAAGTCTCTTATAGGTCTTCACTGTAGATATATTCGCCAATCTACGCGGCTGAGAGTCAGAAGGGAGGCACTATGCAATATTGGTTGAGTAGTAACGTCTAATTTGCATCGTGATTTCGGAGCAGTGATGGTTGCGGCTTGAACTAGGCGCGCAGTCACGCAATAATCACATGAGCAACAGGGTGGAACATGGAGCTCACTAAGTGGATCGATCATTGGTATTCTGAACATTGAGACCGGCATTATAAATTCGGGATCACCAGGAGGCACTAATCTACGATGGGAGTAGTATATTGTGGCTTGCTGTTGTTGGTCGAGTTAACTTTGATCAAGGTTGGGCGCTCTGTGGTTATAACGGGCGTCTTTCATTAGTATGATTTCCTCATCGAATGTAGTCACAAGCTGCCTATGTAGGCTAGAGTTGTATGGGGTCTAGGACAAGATACAAATGATTATCTGCAAAAGAGGAACGTTTGGGATTTCTGAGCCTAGGTGACGGTGTCATTGTGCGTCTCTCTGTCCAGGTGTCCCAGAAGACAAGCATACGAGAGAAAGGGGCTTTACCTCTGCTGGATGAGTGTTTAGAGGGAGTAAAGGGGCGGGGGAGGGCGATGGTACACATGAACAATAGTAGCTTTAAAAGTAGAACCTCACCGGGCAACCCATTCGTTTTGGCGCCTACGTGGATCGAGCTATTCATAGGCACAAAATCCAGAGCTTGAAGCAAATGAGTGTAGATTAAAGTTTGGAACAATAGGTCAAAGAGTACGACGTGGCGCATGTGACAGCCCCTGAGGGCGTTGGTCTGCTCATTGATGTCTACCTAGGTAGTTTTAGCTGGAACTTGAGTGAGCCCTAAACTCATTGGGCGACTAATTCGCCGCGGCTGTCCACCATCACTGAAATACACCTAACAAGTGATGCCTCAACCTTGCAAGGTGCGTGAAGTATTATCACATCTCCATGTATCCAGGTCAACCGCTCACACTGGCCAGAGTAGTAGATCTTGACTTCCGAGACCTCTTGTGGAGGGTTTACACATAGGAGAACTTGGATCGGATCAGGCATAAACTGGACATGGTCTAAATGGTCATGGCAGACCATTGGTGCTCTTTCTCTCGCGATTCCCGGTACTATGCCTGAGCATTGCTTTTTTGCGTTAGAATTTTCCTTTCGCCTAGGGGATCAAAGAGCTTACCAGGTGCTGGAGAGACGTCTGCACAAAAGCAGCCAATTCTCCAGGTATTTGAAAGTCCGAAGTCTGGCTTTGATCTGCGCTTAGATGGCTTCCAATGTCTGATGCTGAAGCCCTAAGCGCAGCAGGCAGGATATGCACAGAAAAGGGCTTAGTGCTCAAGCCCCTCTGGCTGGGAGTAGGAGCTGCAACATAGTCTGCACTCGGACGTGACATGCTGGTCACAGCTTGGCTTGACGCGCCGACGTGGGCTTGGGCTACTTCTGCCCCCGTAGCAATCTCGCCGGGCGTCCTGATGCTTGTTAAGCTCAGTGCTTCTGCAAATGACTTGTACACATCGTAGTCTACTGGGGCATCGACCCCTAAGTGATAGAGGTGTAGGTCGAGATCAAGGAGGGGGACAGTATTCGGCGGCGCCGGCTGGTTTGGAACTGGCAGTATTTCATCCCAGTTGGGGGAGGTCCGGCCCAAGGCAGTTCCTGTGGCTTGTCCTATTAAAATTTCGGTCAATACTTGGACATATTATATACTTGTCATATAGTTGGTATTTACTCACCCGAGAAAAGTGCGTGAAAGCCAAGCGGGCCGTTGAGTTTGCCTCTGTCGAAAAGTTCTGCGCAATTTCGTTGCCAGCCCGAATACTTCCTTGGAGCCGGGACGTGTCCTATTTCACGACAGACCCAATCTAAGATGCTGTGGACATCGACTTCAGGTTGATATCTACAATATCTTATCGCCATCACAAGGGCAATATTGTAGGTCCATCGACTTTTCAAAAGAACCCGTGTTTGGTCAAATGAGGGTTCGGTTGACCTCCAGTTCACAAGCCTTGAGCCCCAGAGGAGCAGCTCTTTTGATACTTCAGCCACCATGTCATATTGACCTGGCGTAAATGGTACCCCAGACATCTTCGTGTGTCGCTTGTCTTGGATCTTAATTTCCGAAGCTTGGGACGAAGCAGGTGACTGATTGTTCCACCTCTCAATGTAGTGCGGAAAGATGTGTTGAAGATGTACGGGAATAATAAGAAGATATGGGATGATTACTTAAGAGGGGGAATACCTGTCTTCAGAAGAAATCTGGGAGGAAGAATTTAAAACTCGAGGGTGTTCTTTGCGTTGAGGGAATCGCTTGTTTCGCTACTCACGATTTACGGGAAACTATCTCATATTTATATTCTACCAGAGTGAGCTGCCATGCAGCTCAGTGAGTATTCATTGGTTCATCGATTGACAAAAATGATATTCCGTGGTCACATCCTCCTTTTCGATACTTACTTCTGAATGTAGTGACCTATGTTCACCTAGCAGACTCGACCCATGTATTCCGGTGAAGATTCGTAATAGTCCCGGGGTGTATTCGTAAATGGAACAGAGGTTCGGTCGATGATAGGTCGGCATTCAGTTGTCCTCTTGTTTCTCAGGGCTGAGCCTTTCGCAAGCTGCTACGAGAGGGAATGTTAGAAGAGGAAGGAGACAATGGAGAATAAATCTCGGTTAGATGTTCTCTCAGAGACCTCCGGCAGGCACGCCTAGGGAGCATTTAGAATGCTCCTAATAGTTAGCTTCACAGCTGCTGTAGAGGGGAGGAGAGAGTAGGGGCTGGGGAAGGAGCAAATAGGGGCCCTGGAAGGGCAAATAGAGGCCCTGATAACTTCCGTCCCTTAGCCTACTGCCGACGCGTGAGCCAACTCAGGCGTGTTCTTTAGATATCCTGAGTAAGACGCGTTAGAGGACAGCCACCCTTTGCCTCCTGAGGGACGGGACCCCGGGCGTTCGAAATACAAACACAGAGACGTCGGCAACATCCGTGGAAGAGTACCTTGCGTCCTCTTTCTTCGAGCCTTGACTGCTTTCTGGAGGCAATCGTCCAGTCCAGGTCTAATGGCATACCATATTCTGTACGCGTGCTTGTGTGATCTGATGCGTTACGCCAGAGGAACGAGGACACCCTCTTCCTACTCTAATTGCGGCTACGGAAGCAACCCAGCGAAGCAAAACGCCGCTGAACAGCCCAGGTTACGGAACGCGCTGGGATCTGCCGTGGACCGGCAAGAAGGCAACACTGAATCAGCCTTAAGGTGAACCTAGGGCAAGCATTGTCCCTTGCATTCCGGTTAGGGACATTTCTCCAAACCACCCACTGCTTGATTCATTTTGACGCTGACATGAGGCCCAGAGAGGCATCTACTGCGCAGGCAAGCGATAGCTAGAAGCCAGGGCCAGCTTTCATATATCAGGTATTTGGTTCCTAGAAGCTTAAACTCTCTGTCTGTCGTTATGGCGAGCGATTACTATGAACCTGACTTGGCTGTTGTCCGTAGCGACAGTCCATTCCCAAGGACCCGACCCCCACCCCCAGTCCGCTGCCACAATGTGGGATCGCTGTGAGCCGGGCCCAACAGTCACTCGTCTTGGCGGAACACAAAGCGGTCGGCTCCCTTGACTGTCACATCAGATGATCGTTCTGAGGCCGATCCAGTGGTCATCCGTAGGACAGCTGGCTGGTAGAGGCCTGACATACGCATCTGCCTATTGAGACGAGAGATTGCTACCAACCCGAGCTGCTGCGTCCGTCATAACAAGATAGCTGTAAGTCCAGCCCGGCAGCTATCCGCGAAGACTGTTCATTCGCAGAGACCTGGCCTACCTGTCTACGGTTGTAAAAAGGACCCCGACCTCTCTGTCTTCCGCCAAGCGATTACTGAGGACCCGAGGCATCCCTTGCGTTATTCAATCCGAACAGGCCTGGACCATCACTTCCCTATTGTGACAAAATCGTACAGGCCCTCTTTTAATCCTGGACACCAGGGGTGGGTGGTCCAGGAGAAGAGATGGGTGGCTAAAGGTGTCCCTTGGACAAAATGAGCCTTGGGATGAACCTTATTGAGATCGATCACAAACAGAACCGAAAAACGTGTCACCACATGCACGCTACTCAATGGCCGAGGTGGTTCGAGACTCGTTCCTTGGCGGCGACGACGGGGCAATGCTCATGTTATCGTCGACGAGCTTTGATCACCATCGTCGTCGAGCTTTGCCCACCGTCGACGCACCTAAACTCATGCACGTTATACAGTGAAACTTGTACTTGTCATCCTAATACTCAAATCATAACAATAGAACAACAACATAATAGCTGCAAAAAAGGTCCTCGATTAGCCGAAGGCTTATATTTTTTTAGAAATATGGGTTTATGAGCATCACATCAAGCTCTATTGGAATTAAATTAATCGAGTATTCGTTGTAGTATCAATCTATTTTCACGCGTTCAGTGAAGGCAGATACCATAGCGGTACTTCAGATCTAGAGCGTGTCACGAACTAAATGATGTGCTGCCACGATGCCTCAGTGTTGACCTGAGTAGTTAATTTACAGGCAGGTAGGTTGGCACGGTGACTCTAACAAAGAAACCTCGGGCCAGGCAGGATGGGAAGGGCCTCACCGTACGTGCGCCCGCCGGGCGACGATTCTGTTTATTTGTATTCACCAAGGCCTTGTCCATTAATGTAGACGGCGAATGAGTGTTCCCCTGAGACATGGCTGAGCAGCCCAGATGGCGAAATATCTTAAAAGAGAGGAATAAAAGGGTCTTGCAAATTACCAAGTATACCATCCGGTGCTTTCCGGCCGCTCGAGCGAGGTCCAAGGAGACGCAGCGGGGGACGTGCCAATATCGAGTCTCGAATTGTTGTCGCGACCGCGGCTCGGAAGCAAACCTCCACCAAGGTTAGGCATGGGACTGCTCTGGATGACAGCGGCAAACGTGTGATGCACTGTAATTGACGATTTGCAGCCAGAAATGGTGCTATCTCTTTGTTTCTCCCACCTCGCAACCGTTGTCAGCGAAGCTATTGATGGATCCTACCCTAGGGTGTAGCAGCTTTGCACGAGTTTGATTGTTGGTATTGTCTGGCTTGTGCTCAATGACGTTTGCGTTTTCTGGTGGCCAAGATCCCAGTGCCAAATCATCTGTAGCGGTGGTCGACGAGCATGAGCCCGTTTCGATGGAGGAGCGCAGGTATCGTCTGTTATCCTAATAGATTGAGTGGTTCAAACTTGTTAGCTCCGTCTTCTAAAGGACTGTTTCAGGGAGGAAACAGGTTAAACATGGTACATCATATCTCGCTTTCTCCTCACACACGGCACATGTTCCCGCATTAGGTTGATTAATGTTGATTGAACTGTACCATGCCAGTCACGTCAATGGTTTACACACATGGCCCGCGCGTGTGAAACCAAAGAGCAGCTCGCTTAGGCCCAATGCCAAGGTATTGTCCTCGCGCCGGGGAGAACATGTAATGAAACTTTATTGTAAGCGTGCCGCGCCGCTTATGCTATTGGTACTTTGGGCAAGGGATGCCGCCACAGCCCTCTCCAGGAGGAGAAGACCGTGCTGTTCTCTCCATGTTGCCGTTGTGTGTGAGATGGGTCAGGCCCAAAGAAGCTGCTGCGGAGCCAGTTCTCATCTTGCTTGTGTCTTTGATTTCGGCTGCTCTAGCTAGGTTCAGCTCTGAGCCGATTCCTACCTCTTCAGATGTAACGATTAACCAAGCGTGCGATAAGGTCCCGTGAATAACGTTCGTGGAGAACCGAGCCTTCTTGTTTCTTCGCTTAGTAGCATTGATCGTCGAGCCGTGCGTTTGACCATGGCCTTGGTCGAAAGTCTGCTATGAGAGTTGTAGAGAAGGACGATAAAGAGGGCGTGCCAGAGCGCTGAAACCTACAGCTTCCCATTTTTAGCCTTGCTTCTCACAATCAGCATTGCCAACTATGGAATTCAAATACCTCCGGGTATCTTTATCAAAACGCCAGGACTCCTTAGTTGCTAGTCCTTCTCAAACAATAATTTGCGCCCCCTCCATTGAGAGCGTGAGAAGCCTCCCTTGACGAGTAGAGTCTTTGTATAGAAAAAGAAAATATAAGCCAAGTTGGCTGCAGCTATTTCGAAATCCAACATATATAAACATACATATTCATGAAACTGTGACTTTGGCTAGTAATTCTGTGGCCAATTTGGCCTGTGTAAAGACCCAGATGGCCGTTAAATGAGTCAAATGCGGGAGTTCCTACCGAATACTAAGTATACGGTATGTATTTGTTGTTGGTTTTGGTTGCAGTTCTCCGTGTTGGCTGGTGCCGACATCGCGATCACCGACCTCTATTGTGATCCATTATCAAAAATAGGGAGTGGCTGCAGCCGCCACCACCTCTACAAGTCAGCAGCCAGAAAGGTGTGTGCATAAATCCCATGTCATAGTAGATTTGGAAAGATCCTTGCTGTGGCTTAGGTAGATCACCTGTCTGTTCTGGGACTCGTTGTTAGTTATTCTTTGCAACGGCGAAGACCAAAACTGATCTGCTTTGTTAGAAAATCGGCATGCAGGTTGCTATAAATTGTAGAGAGCTGCTTGCATCAGCGCCGTACATCCATTCCAGAAGGGTTTGATACATCGAACATGGCAAGAATGTCCACCCCCTCCAGACCGCCTGCCCATTTTCAGCGGCTCGCCATCATTCCTGGACCTGCATCCTGGGATTTGGCAGATTTGAGAAACTTGGCCTCATGTTCCTTCATTGACATCCTGGGCGAAATATCTATAGAATATCCTTCGATCGATGACAGTTTTAAGCCCAGGGTGCTGTGGGTGCATCCACCTGGCCAGAGGCAATGAGAACTCTTGGTAGCAATGGATCAGCCGGTGGACGAAGTAAGTATTCCAACAACCCAACCAGGTTATAGCCAAATCAACCTATATTGGACGAAAAGATCACTGTCGACCAATGAGTTATATCATCGCTATCGTCGTCAGACCGGCTCAAAACTGCGCCCAATTCCTCTGCAGCACTCTTAAATTCACGGTCCAGAAGCAGCTTGTGTGGCAAAAATATACGTCGAGCGCGGCAGCAATTGTGTCTTACATTGCAGGTAAGCGACTCGTCGCAAATGCAACCACACACCGATTGAGTTGCCAGGTCCGTGGCCATGTCTTGGAAGCATGTGTGAGTCAACTTGGCTGGTCTCAGTACGACTCCGGACAATATAAATGTTCTCTAGGTCTCGGAATGCAACTCTAAGAGGACCTCTGTGGTGTTGCTAACCCCTATTTCCGTGGCTGCGCAAGTCAACCATCCCGACAGCCTGCCAAAAGATGCATAGAATCTGCCTGCCTGGCTTCAGAGGAAGAGAAGACCGGTCGGTTACTTCCATTCTACTTCGGGGCAGCCTGCCGAATTGGCTGTCAGGAATAGACGGCCATTGCGCCGCAATGCTTCCCCAATCAGTGCAGCTGATGTGCATATGCGAGCTCACACATACCGCATATGCTTACTCCTGGTACCTGCCCCTGAGCAAGCATCTCCATCCCTCGATGCACCTCTGGGCTACTGGGCCGCATCCCATCTACCAAAGTGAACTGCCATTATGCGAGAACCGAGTGGTAAGCCGCCACCGCATTCCACATCCAGCAGGTACTAATGGGCAAGTTGGTGTAGTGATTTTGGCGGAGGACGTTCTCGAATCATTATCAGACGATTACGATGTCAGGCATGCTACCCAACCATTCGGCTATTCTGGCCGCGAGATGTGCCTCGATCTATATAAGGCTGTCGTGGGTCGGCGCTGCACTGAAGCTATCCCCTCATCCCCATCCGCCATCACCATTACTCTCTCCCGAATATTCGATTCCAAGATGAAGTTCGCTGCTATCTTCCTCTCAGTCATTTCCGTCGCGGCCGCTGCGGCTGTCGCCCCAGCCATCGAGGCGCGCCAGAGCATCGAGACCACCACCGACGAGATCCTGTTCAGCATCACGCTTCCAGCCTTCACAGCCCGCCGAAATGCACTCGATCCCAATACCGTCGACTGGACCTCTGACGGATGCACCTCGTCTCCCGACAACCCGCTCGGATTCCCTTTTACTCCCGCCTGCAACCGACATGATTTTGGCTACAACAACTACCGTGCACAGACTCGCCTCACCGTGAGCACCAAGAAGAAGATCGACGACAACTTCAAGAAAGAGTAAGTTTTTACTTTCCCCCCCTCTTCAAAAATACAATCAAGCTATCGAGCAAGCAACTGACGTGGAACCATCATCAGCCTCTACTACCAATGCAGCAGCGTCTCCCTGCGCTGGCTATGCGAGGCCCTTGCTGACGTCTACTATGCTTTCGTCCGAGTCTTCGCTGGAGGCGGTGACGTTGCCCCTGGGAAGCGAGATGACGAGCTCGTCCAGATCTATGAGGAGAAGTTGGCCGTCTACAGCCAGCTCCTTGAAGAGGCCAAGGCAAATGGCATAATTGAAGGATACTAGCCATATAGTTGGGAAGATTGGTTTGGGAATTAGCTACCTTGTAGTCATCCTATCGAAACTCAGAATCAAAACTCTGAACTGCTATATATCTGACAAAGCCCGCTGATGTCAATCTCGCTCAATCTTCATCCTTCCACTATCCGACTTACTCCTGAACTCCGAAAGTAAATCTCACCCTAACCATTTTCAATGTAACTACTCATCCATTAACTCCAGGTGATTCCGGGTATGTGAGTTTGATTCAGTCTTCAAAACGAGCCATATTCGATTCAGTGCGCGCGCGTATACTTCTTTACCACCGACAAAGTAGAGCGAAGATTAGCAAGTGTCCGAACCCTAGATAAAATCGGAGTCAGACAAGCAAGCCAAGACTCCCGCGATCGGAGTCGGGAGTTGGTTCTCAAGAGTGAACTCCTGGTTGAGGAAGACCCGTCGAAAGTACTCGACAAAGCCGTCCCTGGCGCTGGCCGAGGGGTATCGGTAACGCGAGACCAGGCACTGGCAGCGCCCGACCTCGACGAACTTGCGGCCTCTGGCGTGGAAGATGCGGCTGCGGACGAGGTCCTCGGGCTTGAGCTTCCGGGTGGCCTTGACGTTGTAGTCGATGAACCAGATTCGCTGGCCTGGGGTCATGGACCACTTGTCCCTGCTGATCAACGACAAGATTTCCTCGAGCTGGTTCCGTTGGCTGTACCCGACGTCGATGTAGTGTCCCTGGGACTGGAAAAAGCTGGTAATAGATTCGAGGAATCTAGGTTGGCCCCATTCTGCTTTGTACTCGAACGCAATGTTTCGTGGGACCATGTTCCGGCCGGTGATGGCCATAGTTGTGTTGGCGTCTACGCCGTGGACCTGAAAGCAATGCAGATCATTGACAAAGTTCACGAGCAGACTTGAAAAGGAAGATTCTCCCATTACTTGGAAGTGGTCGAGCTGGGCGGGATGAAAACTCGGGTTGGTTCGGATGTAGTGCTTCTCCAGCACTTCTCGGGATTCGAACGAGGTGTTCCACAGTGCGGCATTGACGATGTAACAAGAGGGATTCTCGGTGGCCACCCATGAGTTGCACATAGTTTCCATTGGGTCCCAGGAGGGGGGGTGGACTGGGCACATGTCTCTGTTGTTTTCGACATTCTCCTCGGTAGTCGAAGCAGGCTGGGGAGCTGCAGCTACTTTTCGTTCCCGCAGACTTCCGCCGATTCGAAAGAAGTGCGCCTCGGATAGGCCATCGACATTCTCAATACATTCAGCCCAGATCTTGAGTCTTAGTTCTGTGGGGAGGGAGCTGAAGGTCAAAGGAGTTTTTGGCTCCATGGTTGGCTTCGTTCTTGAGCTCTGCTCTCGACTAAGTCTGGAGAACCTTTTAACTTGGTGATCAAGAAACAAAAGTTGACGGAGTGAGAAATTAGATGGTGATATCTTCCAAGCAGAGAGAGAACTCAGAGGGCAGCTGTGTGGAAAGCGACGTTCTGCGTTGTTGAGAATGCAGGTTTGGGTTGAACTGCTTCTGCGTGAGAGCGAAAAGGTTGGTTGCTGGGGTGTTACTAGAGTAAGTGAATGGTAGGTGAACTGATCTGTTTACCACTTTCCCCGGGAACCACGCGCGTCAACTACACGAATAACACAACCGCGTGAACACGTCCTTGTACAGCAGTTGCTTTTACTTATGAGCTGCTAATCGTGTAACTAGAAACCAACGTTACATCTCTAACTAACCAGCTCATACTTAGTTCTTACAGTGATATTCAAATTAGTGCTTTCGTATTTGAATACATCAGGGTGAGTTAAGTCTTTTTCATGAGAATGTATGTGTAGTTATCCCTAAGGGTGAGATCTCTAACAAAACAACTATTTAATAATTCGTATTTAAATGAAAATAAGTCCAGGAAAGGTGGATGCATAAAAGACTTGCATCATCTCAACTAAACGATTTACTAATTTACGCATGGCGATGAATGCTTGACGATGTACCATTCGAAATGCACACATATCAATAACTACACAAGTTCTCGCTGAAGAATAGTGAATTTTAAACTCCATTAACAAACTTTTTTTCATGGCTAGATAGGCTTCTGAAGATAAAACTCAGCTCCTGTACTTGAACGTATGCTCAGACTCAAGTTTCGTTTAGAGCATAGCTGCACCTATCTATTTATCCACTGCAAAAGAGTCCTCATGCATCATCACTTTATACCCCACAAACTAGATATGCCTCAAATAACTTTCATGGCAGATAAAGGATGGGAAGGGCCACAGGGCTGGCCTTTACCTGCAGTGGTCACCCTTAGATAGCCATTCTCACTCGCTTCTTCCTCCACGGCCGTATACTAATTTCAAAGTTCCGCATATATTCATGCCAAGAATGGTTTATGAACCCAGCTTTACCACCATCCGCATCCCATCTGCTGGTTTCGCTGGTACTCCTCTTGTCTGACATTTCTATTGCTTGCAAAAACAAAGCGGCGAAACTCCATGCCGCTCCCAAACCCAATAATATGAGGAAGCCCTCACATTGTATAGTTCCGAATCGACTGCACCCGGCCGTGCTTGCTACCTTGCTTCCATCATGCGCCATTACACTACCGGTACTCTTATCATTTCTCCTAGTAACAACGGGCTCTTATAGGCCAAGAGGGAACTGAAACAGTTGCGAAGATTTGAGCCAACGACCAGTATGTTTGCGACTACCTTCATCTGCTGTATTACAGGTAGGAATAGCAAACTGATACTCTCCTTTATCAGTGTTCACTCTAGTAGCCGTATTTCGGGCGAGAACTGAACTGTGAACCCAAAGATACTTTCCCTAGGTCGCCATCATACCCGGGGCTCAACGCCTCCGATATCGAGATCTTGGACTACGCATTCATATCATGGCCAACGGTCCTGCTCCATGCCCCTCTCTGGGAGAATTTTATGTTCTTTACCATTACGTCCGCTCCTCTCATCCTAGAAGCCCATATTGTCACTATGCCTTCTCTGCTTTCTTTGAGAAGGGCGTGCGGGCTCCGACAGATGTTGACATTCAAGCCCTCGATTCTTGCAGATAACTTGTCCTATAGGTCAGCATCGTACCCGTGGCCCTTATCATCAGCGTTTAGGATGTAGTGTCAGCCGCCTTTCAAGACTTTGCCGGCTGTCAACGCAAGCGTCTTTTTTACTTAGAGATGAGGGATTTGGCGGCAAGGGGTCTTAACAGCATTACCATCTTCGACGCCTTGCTTATTCATCAAACCATCCGAAGTATATACCAAAGATCGACCGTTTAGGCTCTGCATATGAGCTCCACAAAGAATTAGTACATCTGCATTTCGGGCTGGGCTGTTTTACCAGGTAAGGGGCTCAGGAGAGAGCACTGCAATCAGAACATTGGACGACCCAGAGTCTACATGTAGTATTAGGGGGAAACGGTGAAAGAAATACTCATTCAGTCTATTATGATAAATATCCTTGTAAATACGCCATATAACAATCATTCGTCGACAACACACAGGGTACATAAGTATTCTCATCAACTGTATCAAAACACTAGTCCGCCATCTAGGGATCGAAAATCACAGCTTGGCCTTGGCGATGGATCCCCTCTCGTCTCTGTACGTCGCCAGATTGTTCCTCTTGCTATCGCCGCCGTGTTGGACCTCGACAGGGGCGTCAAAGATGGCTGCGTCGGATTTCACCTTTCTCTTCTCCACCTCGACGTACTCTCTCTCCCCGTGGCCCAGGTATAACTGCCTAGGTCTCCAGATCTTGACACCCGAAGGCGTCAGCATCTGCTGTCTCCAGTGGGCCAACCATCCAACACAGCGAGGAACAGCGAAGAGAACAGGGTAGAAACTATAAGAAGTGGAACGGTTAGTCAAATAAACACCTTAAAAATATTGGACGCCTGAACTAGAGACAAAACTTACTCAAGCGGGAATCCCATAGCCTGGTAGATCAGCCCCGAGTAGAAATCCACATTGGGGTACAGGTTGCGGCTGCGCATAAACTCGCTCTCCCGCGCGTACTGGGCCAAGGTCAGAGCGGTGTCGAGCAGGTTGTTGCGGCCCGTGACCTTGAACACCTCCTCCGCGAGCTCCCGGATGGCCGTGGATCGCGGGTCAACGTTCTTGTAGACCCGGTGGCCGAACCCGACGAGGACGCGCTCCCTCTTCTCCACCTTTTGCATGAACGCGGGCACGTTCTCGGGGGACCCAATCTCCATGAGCATGCGGATGGCGCTCTCGCTTGCGCCGCCGTGGGACGGGCCGTAGAGGGCGCTGCAGCCGGCGGCCATGACGCTGTAGGGGTCCACCAGAGAGCTGCCGACCTGAAGAACCGTCGCGGTGGAGCAGTTGACCTCGTGGTCGGCGTGGATAATGAACAGGGCATCCAACGCCTTCTCCAGGACGGGGTGCGGCTTGTATTCGTGGCCAGAGAGATGATCCAGGAGGTAGAGGAAATTGCCCGTGTAGGACAGCCCCTGCGCCGGGCGGTTAAAAGGACGACCTTGTCGCATGCGGTATGATGCGGCGGCAAGAGTGGGCGCCTTTCCAATGATGCGGAGAATCTGCTTGTCCAGGCTCTGCAGAGCCTCGAGATCCCCGGATGCGGCCTTGGTGAAGAGCTTCTGGCCCTGGAGCGACGGGTTTGCCTCTGGGGCAAAGGCGCCGAGGGTAGCGAAAGCAGACGTCAACATGGACATGGGATGGGAGTCGTAGCGGAACGACTTGAACATGCCCTCGATGTCGCTGTGGATGTAGGTGTGGTGCATGATCTCGCTCTCCCACGTGGAGGATTGGGCGCTAGTGGGCAGCTCTCCGTAGATGAGGAGGTATGCAGTCTCGAGGAAGTTACTCTTGTGAACCAGATCCTGGATAGGATAGCCACGGTACCGCAGGATGCCATCCTGGCCATTAATGTAGGTGATTTTACTCTGGATGACGGCGGTGTTCATGTACGCCGGGTCAAACACCCTCAGGCCCTGGGAGGTCTCATTCTCAGGCCGCTCATCCTGCGGTTGGGCCTTGATGTTCTTGATATCGGTGGCCAGCACCGAGTTGTCCTTGATGGGGATCTCATACGTCTTGCCCGTGCGGTTGTCCACCACGGTCAGAGACTGACGCGGGTTGGTCTTGATGGCCGTCATCCCTGCAGATAACACGCGCCACAGGTAGTTGATGCGGTCGCAAAGCTTGCAAGCCACCGAAATTAATAACAGCAGGGAGGAGCTCGGAGGACCGGGAGGAAGCTGGTGAAAATGGCTCAGGGGGCAAAGGAGGGCTTATTACGTGGTTGGGGAGAGGTGTTGGAGGTGTCAATCACAAGGGATAATAAGCTGGCATATGATAGGTCCACACAGCCACCGATTGAGCCGAACGAAAGCTTATGCAGGTTTGCCGAGCCGAGGTGCAAGGTGGGACCTTCCCCGGAGACTCGGAGCCGGGCGAGCCTTATTCCGGCGGTTATCGATTGCTGCATCCTCGGTTGCGTCATAGCTGAGCAGCTTACCCTGGACCAAGGCCCCTGTTTCTTCCGACACGACTTGCCCGAGGTCATTGTGAAAACTCAGCAGATCAATTTATGTCGATTACTACGGTCGATTTGTTATCCTATGAGCTAAGAAACACGACGAAATATGGCTAGATGCCAACAGCCAGCCAACAACGCTGAAAGAGAACAATTTGGTGCAGCCGACGACCCATTTACAGGCGGGAGTTGAGGACAAACTCTCCCGGCGCATGATACGTGGGGACCTTCATATCCAGGTCGCTGCCAGAATAGCCGAGATCCTCAGCGACCAGCAGAGCAGCCTTCTCACCGATCAAAAGGGCGGTGGAATATCTAATTCGCATGTCAGTCATCTCACATCAACAGAGCAGTCAGTACACGGGGCGACTCACGTGTTGCAGCCGACATTGTCGGGGCAGATACTCAAATCGGCGACCTTGAGTCCTTTGACGCCATGGACATTCAGTCTCTCATCGAGCACACCGTGCTTGACGATGCTGTTGCCCTCCTTAGGAGCCATCGAGCAAGTCTAGGCAAGAAAAGTTAGCGGATGGAGGCACACACGTCAAATGATCAGAGCCCTTCACTTACACCCAGGGAATGCCATGTGGTCTCGACGTGGCGCTTGACCCACTCCTCGACGGCCTTGATATCCTCCGTGCTGTACTTGAGCTCCTCGCGGACACTGGCCTTGTTGCTGGAGACGATGTTGACGTCGCTCTTCTTCTCAGCCTCGCAGAGGGGCTGCGTCCAGCTGCCGTGCTGGATACCCGCGGTCAGGTTGCCGGGCAGGGCGTACTTGTTGGTGGTCGGCAGGTCGAGGTCGAGGGCCTTGGCGGGGGAGTCGTAGTTGAAGAACGGGTGCATGTTGGCCACCTCGCCGGCGTACGCGTCCATGCGGCGGGCTGTCTCGCGGGACTTGATGTAGCCCCAGACCATGGGGACCATGTCGCGCTCGTCGTTCATGAAGCCGGCATCGAAGTCGGGGACGGCATATGGGTCGGCCGAGGTGATATGGGTCGATCCACGAGAGAAGGGGTACTCGAGGAAGTGGAACATGGTGAAGAACTTGCCGGGGGGCCTGGGGTTGTCAGTAACTCTTATCTAGGAGGCTGGGTCAAAGGGAGTGGTCCTACATCAACATGTGGTCACCGAACCAGCCGGCGATGACCGAGTAGTGCATCACGGGCTTGTCGGGCTTTTGCTCAAAGTACGACTTCCAGCCCTCAGTGAAATGAGGGGTCGGCCAGCTCTCAAAGTCCTTGAGTTCCTTGGCTGTAGGGCGGATCTTCACACCGGCATCAATTCCATTGGTGGCAAGGGGACCAGTTCCCTTGATGTTCCACTCGTCAAAGACTCCTGAAGGAGAGGAAGCTAGTCAGTCAAGCCGCCCTATATCCTGTCATTCTCAGGCACTCACTCTTCTGGACCTCGGGGTCACCTCGAACAAAGTCGTCGAAACTCTCCGTCTCTGGCTTCGCGCGGTAGACGGAGAAGGTGAGGTAGTGATCCTGGAAGTTCAGACCAACACCAGGAAGGTCGACGATGGGCTGGACACCAGCCTTGCGGAGCTTGGCCGGGTCACCTGCGTCCCAGGTCAGCTGAGCCCGAGATGGATACACATCAATTCAAAGAGATGAATTACATACCGACACCAGATCGCTGGAGGATCAATGGGGAAGACAGAGTTCCGCCGGAGACGACAATCTGCTTGCGGGCCCTAAAGGTCCTTCCCTTAAGCTCTCTTGGGTCAAGAGGCTTCATGGGGCTGGTCACCGCACACATCAGCAATCAATTGCACACTCAGACAGCTTTGCCGGGCGGGCACTTACACAGTCTTTACTCCAACAGCACGCCCATTCTCAATAATGACCTTGTCGACCTTGGTGTTGCAGGCCAGGTAGAGGTTCGAGTGCTTGGCCCGTGTGGCGTGGATATAGGCGTGAGCGCTGTCACTTCGACGGCCGGTCTAGCCACCACCAATTAGTCTTTGGCTTGTCAGCAAATGGACGACGACGACGCATTACTCACATCCCGGTTGATCCACTTGAGCCAATGCTCAGCGCCATGGCCAGTGGTAAGGTCCTGGAGATCATCGACGGTGGGAATGCCCTGGGACTCAGCAGCTCGGAGGAAATCCTCCTTCACGGGGTACGTGCTTTAGGTCGTTAGTCACTGGCTCAACACTACAGAGCTGTCACTCTGTCCTTACTAATTCCCAAAGGAGACCTTGATTGGGCCCTCGAAACCGTGGAGGTCGCTATCCAGACACGTCAGCTCAATCCCAACCCTAACGGGTAGGCTTGCTAGAAGTGGCACACTCACTTATGACCAGCACGCTGGTACGTCTCATGCTTCTTCATCAAGGGGAGAAGCTCCTTGGTGGTCCAACCCTTGGCCTGGAAGTCATCGTAGTCGGAGGCCGAGGCACGAGTGTACATCTACGGTCGAACCGAGTCAGCCTTCGACCTGCATAGATTGGGGGGGTGGAGCAGTGCAGTGCATCACGTACCATAAAGTTGATGGAGGACCCGCCGCCGAGGATGTTGGCGCAGGGGACGATGGCCTTCCTGCCATTGAGCCATTTGGAAGGCCTGGACTCGTAGAAGGTGGCCGTCTTGGAGTCCAGCTTCATGTTCCGGGGGTAGATACCCGGGCGGAACACCCATGGATTGTTGAGATTGTTCTCTCCACCTTCAATGAGAAGGACGGAGAGGTTGTGGTCCAGATTGGCCAATCTGTTTGCACCAGCTGGTCAGTCAACCGAACCAATTGATGAATGAAGGGGCATCAACTAGGGGAGGAATGGAGGGCCTCACCTTCCAGCCACCACACATCCCGTGCTGCCACCACCGCAAACAATGATATCAAACTCCTCAGGAAGGGCTCCGCTCATGATTGCGACGTTGCTTGATAGTAGAGAGAAGGAATTGGTTGATATGAGATCCTGATGAAGCCGGATCGGTGACAAGAACTCTTCCTCCCTCACGCCAAACGACTCGTTTATATTCACCGACGACAGACCAGGGCCACCTTCGTCCCCTCCCCTCCTCGCGCCTCAGCTAGCAGAATATGTTTCGACCCCTCTCTCCCTTGCATCCATCTTACCCATTTCCCGGTATCTGGACGAGGGGGTACAGCCTATGCTGGTTTGATCCTTGCCTTGGCGGGTGCGCCGGCATGACGTGTTGTGTTGGTCGCCCGTCGTTTCTCTGCGGGCAGCCCATGCGAGACCGACTCCTGGCTGTGTTTGTGATCGGCCGCATAAACACCATCCTGGGCAGTCCCCTCCCCCAAATGCGGTTCCGCAGTATAGAAATAGAGCTGTGATCTCGGGGCCACGAACGAGATTGGATCCCCGCGCGCCGTGTTTCCCCATCGTCGGCGCTACGATGCATCATCCTGACCTAACCCTGGCCTGACACGAAGCTCTCTCCCACTCTTCCTCCTCCTCCTCTCTCAAGGAGTGCGTCTCGCCTCGCCTTCACCTCACCTCCAGGAGACGCAAAGCGCGAACCAATTGGCCCTCAATCAGCAGCGATACAACGCATGCCACACCCACTTCCAAGCGCAAAAGGCCAGCTCGCCCAGACAAAGGCCCCCAACAGCACCACCCACCCGCAGGGTCAAGCTTCGAGATTGATCAATGCCATTGCTGGGCCATTATGAAATGCAACCCCAGATTATGCACCCCGCTTCTTTAGAAACTGCGGGGGAGAACAAGCCCCAGGATGTCGTTCCACGTCTGTGGAGTAGCCCCCCAGTGTGAGGAGAAAAGAAAGACGCAGCCCATCGATACGCGGAGCCGATGGGCGGGACGGGATTGGAGGAAAATACCCTGCTGTGACCTGCTGTCCCACCCAACGGGACTTTGGCGGGAGGGGGCTAGAGAGAGAGAGAGTGGGTGGACGGACGCTCTGTACTGCGATTCGGAATCCGCGTAAGCTTGGGGGTTGGGCAGTGACATTGGGAGGCAGACGCCCGCAGATACATTCACGCACACCCGTCTGCAGTGGCGAACTGCATCTGTCATGTTACGACGAGATGCTACCTTCCGGACGGCCGAGAGACGTCGGGTAAGGGTATCCGCTCTGACCGCCGCTGCATATACAAGAAAGAGCCTTTCATGACACAAACGCTGCGGAGGTGTACAATTAGCTTGCTGGCCAGCGTACAGACACTTCCTGGCGTTGGCTTGCTAAGCAAACCGGCCCCCTCGGTCTCTTGAGATGGTCGCGGCAACATACAGCTTGCGCAATGCAGTCGCGGTTGGGAAGACCGTTGAGTAGAGCACTTGAAGGAGATGTGAGGGAGGGGGCGTATCTGTGAGCTGGTACGAGGATGAGGCTGTGGGACCAAAGAAGAATGAAACGGTGGTTCATCACGTTTTGAGAAAGCCAAGAAAGAAGCGAAGGATGGTTGCGTTGCCTATGATGTTGGGTCAAACGAGCCTACCATGTCAATGCAACACTCTAGGTTGTACCCTGCACTACGGACTGGCAATCTCCCAGTCCCCTACGGTTGATCAAGTCTACTTTGGTTGATATTGGACGTGCCGATGTCACCACGATGATTGCTTCTCAGATCACCTCCACCACTTTACTGTGGCGAGAGGAGGTTTCCCTAGTGCGAGCGATGGGCCATCAAAGGTCGGGGCAAAGGGCTTTCCAAAAAGCTTGATGGTACTGCTCCTCATCGCCGTGCAAGGTCCTACCCTGCCATCAGACGGGGAGCCTTAACTCCAGTAAGGAAATTTACAGTAGCTTCTTGAGCTGATGTTCCTAGATAAAGAAGAGAGGAAAAGAACGGTAAGGTAAAGAAACGTGGTTCGGAGTATCAGGGAAGGTGGAGCTCACCGGCTTGTGATTAGTCTCGTAGTCGATGTGGACAAACGCCCGCTCAATCGAGGGGAGTTTTTCGAGCTTGATCTGGAGCTCCTCGGCAACGTCGTGAGCGACCTCGACACGCTCGTTCCGGTCGAGGACGATGTCCACCTCCGTGACAATGCGAGGGCCGCTGTAGTACGCGCGGACGGTGTCGATCCGCTCAATCAGCGGCGAGTGTGTCATGGCTTTCCGAACCCAAGATTAGCGAACCACGTAAATCCCTGACAGTTTCGTAGACTGTAGAACTCATAGATGTAGGTGATGAGTTGGAGGACCTCGCGATCAGCCGTTACGCCAATGAGCAGCTGGAACTCGTCGTAGGCGGTGTGCAGCCAGAGCCCAGAGATGAGCAGCGACAGGACAATGGCGCCGGTGGGATCGATCCACCACTTGAGCTTGCTGCCTCCGACAGAGGTGAGGATACCGAAGCCGTTGATGAACAGGTCATTGCGGTGGTCCCTCCACAGGATGTCCACCTGGGAGTAGGTATCCTTGACGGCCCAGCAGAGGAAGAACAGGGCAAGCTTGGTCGCAAAAGCACCAGCGACGGCAAGGGCGGAGGGGAGGTGGAATTTGTTCGTCTCCTCTTCCTTGTCGGCTGCCAGGTCGCGGGCTGACATGACTATCAGGACCAGGGAGACGGAGAACATGACGAAGGAGAAGACGATGTTCCCGGCCGTGGAGATCCGCGCACGCACAGAGGGGTACTTGCGCGCATCGACCTTGTTGACGGCGCGGTGGGCCATGCACAGCATGATGCCGGAGAAGAGGTCGAAGATGGAATCAGCCAGGGTGATGAGGAGAGAGGGACCCGGGGCTGACAGCACCGTACATCTGCAAGCCAGAGAGGAACTATTGGCGATCAGAGAACCCTTTACGCAGAGGGCGTGCAGGAAGATGTTCTTGCCGTGGTCGTCAAGCATGTCCAGCTCGTCCTCGTCGACCGACTTGAGCATGGCATGGATGCTCTGATTCTGACTCTCGTAGTATTTCTCTAGGCTGTTACCCTTTCGGAGCTCAACACGCTTGCGCGAAGTGTTGGCCTTGATTTCGGAGTCGAGCTTAGGCTGGCTGAGAGATTCAACGGGTCGGAGACATTGTGTTGGAACTCGATGTCTTTCCCAGCGAGAGGAGGGATGGTCGCTCGGTGGTGTGTCTCGGTGCTGGCGGGGTTGCTAGAGCTGCCGCTTCTCTCGCCAACGCCTTGGGAGTCGAGATTGTCAAGGACGACGGCATCGACGTGCTCATGGTGCTTTCCTAACATGGCGTCGAGGGGTTGTTCTGCCGCGTCTAGTCGGCTCTAGCATGTAGATGGATGTAGGGAGGGAAAAAGAAAGGAGCCGGCTGCAACCCCTCCCTGAGACGATCAGCCGCGGGATTCAGAGGATCCCTGCCAAGATATGTAGGATGTGGTGACTCCATCTGTTAGTTGCATGGTGGGGAGTTTCTTATTTTGATCCCTGCGCCATCGTTCTTCTACGGCTTCGCGAAAAGGCCATCCGTGAAGGTTGCCGAGAAGACTAGGCGAGTGACTGTGATGGTTACCACTGCTGTAGCCACCGTCATGTTGTGCGGATGAGAAGGGTTTTCATGAATTAGTCAGTGTATTAAATGCCAAGAGAGGGTATTGCGTGCTCCCCGAGCTCAGATAAATCTATGGAAAACCAAAAGAGGGAACCTAAAAGCCAAGATATGATGTAAAGGAAAGATATATGTGTGTGCGCTCGCTTTTCCATTGCGATAATGACGGGTATTATCACGTCACATGTGCCAACTCCAAGACTCCATACAAACGTCCCAGGACAAACCAAATCACGAAGCTGAAGTGAAGGGAGAAAGAAAAGTACGGGCAGATGAGACATAAGCGAGAGATACACTAACGCAGCTGGCGATAAGGATGCGGACATTAATCTCGAGAGGGCCTTCTCTCGACCATCTCTACCTCATCGGCTCGAGAGTGGCGCCGTCGATGACCTTGTGGCAGCCCATGGCGCTCCTTGAGCTCCTCGATGAGCGACCCAAACTCGTAGAAGCTCTCCGGGTTATCGTGATTGCAGCAGGGGGAATGCTTGATGGGCAGAAGCCATTCGAAGATGTTGTTTCCCATGACTGCCTTGAAGTTGCGCCAGTAGCCCAGATCGAATGGGTTCTCCCCGGGCTCTGTCTTAACGATCGCGAATGTCCGTACGGCCTGCCGGTCTCGACTCGATGGCGTGAATCCATTCGCCGGAGAGTGTGGCTCTGTGCCGGGAGGACCAGGTAGCGGGAAGGTGACTGTTTGGTAGCTGGCTGTCGACGGAGTCCCACGAGGGACGCGGATGGCAATGTAATGCACCGCCCGCCTCTTAAATACATCGATATTCGTAATATTCTCCACAATGTAGCGCGTGGATGTCATGGACATGCCAAAGGCGAAAAGACCGAACAGCCCGGAGAGCGCAAGAATGACGACTACACGCCAATCCAGCGGGTCCGAGGCCTGTATTTGCTTGTGCAGACAGTATCCAGCGGTCGCAACGCAGACCGCTAGATACATGGAGACCCAGTAGGTGAATTGGGCGAAGAAATTGAAAGCTTGGTTGACGCGTATTAGCTCAGATCCCTCCATTAAACCCGACAATGCTTCGGAGGGGAGTTTTGCAGGTAGTCTTACAAGTCTCGGAGACCATTCCCCCCACCCAGGGGCAGAGATGATCCATCTTGCGAACACAACGGCCCAGCTCGCTCGAATGGTGTGAACGATCAGGCTTCCAGCTCCAACAGAGGGAGCACCACCTGGGGCGGCCGTCCGGTTCACAGATGTACATGGTCTTGGTATAGAAGGACTCGAGGCCGGGGCTATCGGGGCTCAGATCGGGGGTAGACCATGACTGCGATTCGAGGTCTTCCCTCTCCTTGTGAGGGAGGGCCTTGCGTTCATTGTGCACTCGCTGGCGTCGCTCGGACCATGGGACAAGGCCCGGGTCGGTCTGTGTCGTGTATACTGTTCTCGCGTAGGCGGCAAGGGCGAGGAGGAAGAAGACAAAGTACAGGACAATCAAAGCAATGGCGAGACCGCGCTCGTGGTGCTGGCGATACAGATAGTCGACTGGGGCGGGCAAGAAGGCTGGTCAGCAGCGGCACGATGCGACGAAGGGATGAGGGAAAGGGGAGGGAAGTGAGGGGCGAGCGAGCCAGCTGAACGCAGGACGGTGGTGGTGGTGGAAGGTGGCACAAAGGCGCGGGCATCCGAACGTACCACAGAGGTGAGCGATGACGGCGTATTTAGCAAACGCAAAGGCAGCGACGATGAAGCATGGGATGATGCGAACCGCCCAGCGGGTTGCGACACGGCTGGGACCCGGCTGTGTCATCGCGACATGGTGGTTGGCGGACGTTTGGGACGGCACGAGTCGGACTTGGTCGGTGGGTGGCTGGGCGGCAAGTCGAATCGAATGGGACCGGGTCGCGGTGCGTCGCTGGCGGTAGCAATGCTTCCTGCGACGATGTGTTGTGCTGGCGAGGAGCTTATGCAAGCTGACGGATTGTGTTGTTTTCGTGCTCTGCTCTGTTTGCGTAGAGGGGGATTGCAATGTGCCGATGGGGACTATGCACTGTACAGTTTGTGGTGTTTGAAGTGCGGATGCACAGTGTGTCTACAGTGATGTCATCCATCAGCCTGTCCATCCGTCTTCTCCAGCATGTTACAGGTGATGGCTCGATGCCTTAGTGAGTTTTGTTAGCAGGGACATGCTGCTGTACCCAAACACGGTATGAGCGAAAGTATTGCGAATCGTTTGTGCCCAAACTGCATCACGACCTGAGGTGCACATTTATTGCAGTCGAACTCGACGTATTTTGTGTGTTGCACATTCGCAATTGCCCGGGCGCCCAAGTGCACACGCGCGCACCTCCAGATGACCGAGAGAACTGCATTTTGCTGCAACACCTGCTGGCAGAGCGCTTGGCACCCGTCCAGCGACGAATGAGGGCCAGACCAAGCAGAGTGCCTCTTCTGCATCAGGCGAAAGGCTCTGCGCGTGTATTGCCAAGCCGCAAATCGAGGTGCACTTTCTTTCTGCCTTTTGAGCCTCAACAACGGCCAAATCTAGGATATAAGACGCTGCTCCTCTCCCGGCCATTTGCAACCATTCTCTCGTCTCGCCTTGCCTTGTCTTCACTTCATTTCGTCTCCTTGCCGTGCCGGGTTCGTCTTTGTCTTGTCCTGCCCCAGCGACAACTGCAGTGGTCCCAACCATTAGTCCCGGTACAGGGTCAGGATCATGATTAGGAGCAGGAGCAGAAGAAGGAGCAGGAGCTTGCTCGCCGACTCGGACACAGGCGCCAGCTCCGTCGCTAATGACATAACCCGCAGCTTGTTGGTCCGTTGTGGGCTGTGGTGATATCTTCATCCTGGTGGAACCGGCCTTTATGCGGCCGACCGACCATCACGGCGAGCGCGGTGGTCATGGGATTGCCATTGGGCGCACTCCACGCCCACTCGACTACCAGTATCGTCCAGACTGCCCGTGAGACTCATTGGCCGGTCCGTCGGTCTGGTATTCCGTGGCCCTTTTCCACGTCTGATCTGCCCAGTCTCAGTGGCTGTGGCAATGGGCCAACCGGTATGGCGATGCTTCTCTGTCGCTTTCCTTCTCCTTTTCCCTTTCTCCCCTGCATCTGTCTCCCAGCCAGCGAAGAAAAGGAACACCGGACATGCCACTCGCTCAAAGGATGAGTGACTCCGCCGCTCGGTCCTCTTTGTTTGTCCGTTTGCTTGTTTGCCAGCAAGGTATCGGCCCAGGCTTCCATTCCATTTTGTCGCACAGGATATACAAATTTTCTTGGTGCGAGCGCGACTTCCCCACTGGACTTCAGCACAATTGAGCCAGACTTGGTCGCTTTCATGCTTATCTTACCTGACATGGGTGCCCTCAGTCCTTCTCTTGATATTCCATTGCACAGCAGGAAGCGGCACACGTGAGCAGAGCCTCAGATCGGAGCCAAGTACAAGGCGAGCGAGGCTGTCGTGTGCTACATGGCAGAATGATAACAGAGCAGTCTGCACAGCCATTATTGCTTCGGGCCTCGTCCTCCTTCTCTCTCTCTCTTCTCCGGTAGCACCAGCTTCAAAGGACCTACGTGCCCAGCGTCGCTGTGAGCAGCTTGCCCCAAACTTTTGTGCCGTCGGCTCCTTTCGCAAACGTCATATCCCCTCCGATGCCGCATGGACCTTGACTCTACCCCCTCCCCCTGCCTGTGCTTGTTCCTTTGTCCAGTGCTCAGTTGGTGTCCCCATGGCTGCCCATTGATTGCCCTCTCTGTGGGCAGGGCCAATCCCAAGCTGCCCAGGCCTGAAGGTAAGGTAGTCTCCGGTTCGACCCATCTTTAGGGGAACCAACGGTTATGAGGCAAGCATGTCGCCGATGCAACTTGGCGATCATACCCGGGCCAGTAGCACAGCTCCCTCCGGGTCCTTGCATCTCTCCTGATGTTGCCAGTGCCAGTAATATACCGAATGATCAGGGGGGCAGGGCAATGCTGCCGCTCCTGTTGCCAGACACAGCCGGCAGTCCTTGCCCTGCGGGCCTTTACTGGTCCCCAGCAGAATCACGAGGGTCTTTCCCGGGTGAGACCGACTTCAACATCGGAAAGAATGCCCCAACACAGACGGGGATCGCATTTCTGAGCATGAACTCTGGGCAGTTCATTCGAGGACCTTGCTTCCTCCTTGGCCAACCATTACCCCTTACACAAATGTAAGTGACACTCGCCGGCAAACCCACAGGTTCTGCGCCTCGACTTCGGGAGAGATTGTGTGTCTCTTATTCCGCGTGTGCTCTTTTGTGCCGAGTTGCTTGCTTTGCGATCTGTATATATTCCCACGTTGTTGCCAGTGTGTCCTGTCAGTCGATCAACAATCACAACAATCAAGCTCACACAACGCATACGATATCCTCTCGACCCTACTATCTCCTAGTGTTACTTGATCATCATTATCTCAACGTTTCTTTGATCACAGACAACATGAACTGGTCTTGCTCGCAATGTGGAACAGCCGGCCTAAGCGTCGCAGTCGATGCAGGGTGCTCTATCTGCAGCCACATGCGATGTGAAAATTGTTACATCTATACTCAGCCAACGAAATAGCCAGCAACTCGCTATTCCCACGCGCTGCCTAGAGCATCGATGAACAACCCCCCCAAAGCCACGCAGAAGCCTGGATGCTTCTCTGCAAGACGCAGTGTCTTTTCTTGTGGTATTCTCGTCTTGGACGAAGCGCCCAAGCAAGACAACTCGAGCCAATCTCTCGAACTACCTTTTCTTCTTGATTTTGTTTTTATATCATCAATCTTCTTTGATTCTTTTTCTCTTCCTTCAACTTTCATCTCTCATTGCATGTCCCTCTAATGGCCTTGCTCATGTCGAGAGCTCGGCTCTTTCTTTGGTGGATACTCAACACCGTCGCAGCCACGGCATTGATTTGGCCATGGCACACCCAAGCTCGCAGCTTTATTGCTCGCGCGCTTAGTTTAGACGTCTCGAATCTGAGCTGCATAGCAGCTAATCGAGGCTGTCAGGAGTCAGGATAGACGGGAGGACGGAAGGATGATAGAATAGACGGGGGGGCGCCCAGTTACTTGTCAGTGTATTAGAGTTTGCCTTTCTGCCCATTATCTCTGGAATGGCTCCCCCCTTGTAGCGCAAGCCATGCTTTTGTCTTCAATTTTTTTTTATCATAGAGGCATCACAGTCTAGCCAATTGCTAGTCATTTGAATAGATTTCCTATTTGCCAGCAAAGATTTCCCCATCAACCAAGTGACTTCCAACCAAGTGAGGTCAGGCCAGCCAATCACCACCCCCAAGTCTGCCCTGCATGCATATTACACTCTGAGTTCCCAATTGGCAAAAGCCCCCTGCAGGCGTCATACATAACTGCACATTCCTCCCGATGCCCTTTTCTTTCTTTCTTTTCTTTTCTTTTTTTTTTTTTTTTTTTTTTTTACCCAACTGCGCCAACCGTCACGCCCTCACGCGCATAGCCGCACTCCGGGCACCAACGGCCGGCCACATGGCTCCGACCCATGCCTGATGGACTCCTCGTCCCATTTCTAGAAGAAACCCCCTGCACCCCCCATCGCGCCCAAGGCAGACAGCCCGAGGAACCCACCCCAAACAACACCGTCCAAACTTTGCTATGTGCACGCCCAAAATTAGACATTTTTATTGAAGAAATTGAATGCGAGTCATTTTATGCAATTCTTTTCCACGAGGGAACTTTCAGTCCAGGGCCCTGGCAAGATGCGCCAATCCGCTAACCCCAGCATAGCCCAACCTGCCAAGCGATTGACATAAAAACACAGCACACCCAAAACCTCTAGCATTTAATTTCAACACAATATCAAAACAATTGTCCCATTAATAAAAATAATATCGAGCTTAATACTATAGAGTAACTTATAATTCACTTATAATCATCATGTTTAGTATTATCAATAGAAAAAATTAGGCCCCTGGCAGGCGTGGAAAGGTCATTGGTGCGCCATGTTTTATGTCAGCCGCTTGGCCTGCCTCGCAGCAAAACTAAGAGGGGACAGGCATGTTTCTAGAAATCGCCAACATCATCACAACGAAGCCTTCTTTTCTTTTCCCCTCTGACCTATGCGCGCGCCTTTGTCTACCTGACTGAGCGAGGACCAAATCATCCTGTCAGGCTATTTTCTTCTCGGCGTACTCACTCACATCGTGCTAACAAGCCACCGCGTGGGACCGTGGAATAAGCGGTACATATCAAAGTGCAACAAATAGTACCCAAGCCCTCGGTTCAGATCGGCCATTTTCGTCATTCAAATCCCACGTGTCTCGTCTGCCTTCACCCCTCAATGCGTATTTTCGGGTTACGGAGCGCGCTCACCCCGCCAGCCGGTCTGATCGTCTGCAAGGCAGACCTGCGCCTCACACAACCTTCTCACGACACAATCGCACAACACGGAGCCAAGGCAAAGCGACGATGCATCTTATTTGCCAAGCACCTTCACCGACTTTCTGTAGGTAGCAAACAAGTCGAGACGAAACAAGAAAGCACGGACGACTGAAGTGAGGCAGACGATTCCGTAGCGTAATGGAAAGCGAAACTGAGTCAGCCTCCATTGTCAAAGACGTATGCTAAGAGCCTAACTATCGATGAATATAATGTACATATAGCACGTGGACAGCAACAATCATTCCCCTCCTCCTTTGCGCCACCGCCCAAACTCCAAAAATCAACGCAAGCAAAGTGAAGAAACGAGACACGATCAAAGACGCAGACAGTACAAGGCAGGCGATCCCAGCCCAGCTTCCAAAAAAGTAGCTCGAGACAGCAATCGGTCCTGTCCTCCCCGTAATCTGACTCGATACATTAAGCCCCGAAGATGGTTCAAGATCCCACCCTCTTCCTCTCCATTGCCCTTCATTCTCCTCGTCCAGACCCAGAACTATGCAACAAGCCATACTACTTTATTCGTATTCTTATATCAACTCTAACGCACCAGTCAGAGGTGCCGCGTGTACTGCCCCCTCTATTCTGCACTTGCCGTGATGGTTTGAATGCCTCGTGTGATTTCGATCGCCTTGCGAGGAGACGACAGCCCGCTGATCACCTTGCGCGCTTTGGCGCTAGCTGGAGTCCTGGAACCCTTGCTCGAATACGTCTTCTGAGCGACAACCTTCTTTGTTGGCGTCTTCTTCACGGGCGATTTGGGAAGTGCCTTCTCAGAGACTGTCTTTTTCGTGACCTTGGCCGTCACAGACGTCTGGCTGGTGACCTGCTTCTTAGGTGTCCCCTTCGAGTATGCCTTCACGACGCGTGTAGTGGTGGTCAGCTTCTTCTTGATAATAGTACCTGTCGACTTCCGGCCCTTGAGTGGAGTCTGGCTGGCCCCGCTCGTCTTCTTGCCCCTGGCTTTGGAGGCCACCGAGCCTACCGTCTTCTTCAGAGCAGTAGCAGCGCCCTGCTTGAGCTGCATGCCCACGTTGGCAAGTGCTCCCCTTGTGCTGGTGATGGCCTTCACCGTGGGCTTCTTGGCCTTGGGCTTCTTTGCCTTGTCTTCCTCTCCGCCCAGGAATTCCTGCAGCTTTCGCTTGCCCGCCTTGACAGTATCCTTGAGGACCGTCTTGATGGCAGGCTTGACCTCGCGGGGCTTTGGTCCCAAGAAGCCACGGCAGTTTGGCTGTCCGCAGAGGCACTTCTGCACATTCTTGGATGAGAACGGATCGAAATTGTAGTCGTACGTAAGCTCATCTCCCGTCATGATCGGCTTATCGCCCGCGAACAAGGCCATACGGGGCTGCCCGGCCACGATCCACTTGATCATGCGGCAGTTTGGGTTACAGCTGTGGTTGACAAATCTAGCGATGCTTCCCGTAGTAGCGTCGATAATCATGTTCTGGTCAAAGCTCATTAAGTAGTAACACTGCGACGTTTGAGCATGAGCCAACAGACCTTGCAATCAAGAATACACACGGAGGGGGTGGCACCATGACTTACATCGTTGTTCTTGTAGATTTCATTCATTCTTCGCTCACACTCCTCTTCCGTGATAATTTCTCCCGCGTATTCCATAATGATTTGGTTCGGCTCGAAGCACCGGTTGCTGCGGACTCCGTACCCACGGTCAGAAGTCTTGATCACTTCAACGCCAACACGGTATTTCCCGCCCTTGTTTCGTCGAGCTGTGAGATCTGCAAACGCACGGTTTGTACAGTTCTCCTTTCCAACGCTGCAGTTGCCGTCGTCGCATTCGTAGAGCATAATTCTGTTCTGGCAATTGTCCCCGCAGCCGTCCTCAGGCTTGCAGACACACTTGGACATGTCGTGATAATGTGGAGACTTCCTCCAAATATCCTTGGAGTCTCCGATGAATCGGTCTAGGTCAAGATTGTCAGCTTAAATGCGCCTGGGCAGAATGTTGTCATGTCCTCGCTTACTTTTAGTCATCTTCCTCCACTCGTCTGGCTTTGGCTGTCCAGGAGGGAGCGGGTTGCAGACGTGAAAAGGGAGCCGGAAGTCGCGCCCAGCAATGAGAGTGCGCAGGCCAGTGAACATGGGCGACGGCATGATCTTGTTGACACGGCCGCTGGGAATAAGCTCGGGAAGTTCGGAAAGCTGCTTCTTCTCCGTCATCGTGAGGCCCTTGTAGATATCCATTGGCGCATCTTGCCCGGAGTAGAGACCCTTGTCCAGATATTTCTTGACGCGGCGCTGCTTGGTGTTGGTGACGGGCTCGGGAGACTCCGTCTCCTCTTGATCGGCCTTGGGGTCGTTCTTGGGCTCGTCCTTCTTGACCCTCTTCCGCGCACGCGACTCAGCCTCTTTTGGATCAACGTATTTTCCATTAGCCCACACGGTGGTGACGATGGGCTGCTCGTCAACGTGCGCGAATTCCTTGGTGTCTTGTAGTCGGCGCAGCTCCCTAGAAATCTTTTGCGGGGGCGGGGCTACGATCTTGTCCATCGACTTGCGACCGCGTCGGTCGGTGTTGACGATCATCCTGTTCAAAGTCGCAACGTCGAGGGTTGCCCGGCGGGACGATGATCGTGGAGGGGGCGATGGCTTGGCTCGACGAATTGTGCGCGGCGACGACTTCTGCGAAGCGGATTGGGAGTCGCGTGCGCCAATGGCCTTCGATCGGCTGGCGGCACGCGCATTTTCCTGCTCCAAGAAACCATCATCCTCCATGAGGCCAGCTTTGATAAGGGTGCGTCGGCGTCTGTTGGAAATGACATCGCCATTGGCCCGTCGCTTCCCATGACCATCAGTGCCACTCAATTTAGATAAGTTGTAGACGGGAGCGGCCTTGGACCGGCGTGGGCGGGTGGGCGTGTCTCCCTCTTGCACGGGCTCCTGGACGGGCGCATCCGGCATCGGCACGTCGTCATGGGCGGAAGATGGCAGAGAGGTCGTGGGCTCGGCATCGACATCGACGGTGATTTCGTCGAGCTTAGAAGGTTCGGAATTCATGCTGGCGCTGTCGGCAACGGTGGTAGGGGGTGTAGAGTTCGGCAACGACGCGTCATTGGAGAATGTATCGTTGGGCAAGGCCGAAGCCAGGGAGAAGCTGCTGCCCGGAGAGAGCGACATGGTAGCGGCTTAAATTGACGCGCAGCAAGTGTCAGTTGGTTGTTTCCCAAGACAGTGATATTTCGCAGACGGCATGCGGACAAGGGGGGCAAAGACGCGAGAAAGGGGAAAAGAAACAAGGCCAGAACGAAAACAAGCAGACGAAGAAAGGAACACAAGGGAACAATGGGCGGGTGAATGGCGATCAGGACCGGCGGCTGTCCGTCTCGAGGAGGGAGGGGAGGTGGTGGAAGGAAAGAACGCGAGGTCGAGAATGGATGAATAAGGCAAAGGTAAATTAATTAATATCAGGCGTTGGGCCGGTGGACACCAGGCCGAGACGCGTCTGTGGCTCAACCATAAGCAACAAGGGAGAGGCGAGAGGAGCCACCGGTGGGATTGGCTGTGGGCCAGCCGCGAGCAGCCACACCTCAGCGACCACCACGACAAAGACAGGCCGAGAATGGATCTATTGGGAAGAGAGACAGAGGACACGACCCGCTGCTGAGGGCGCTGCTGCTGGTGCTGCTCCATCCCGCGCCCCTGGTCTGGCAGCTGGTCCGCCTGGTTGGCCATGCAGCACTTGCACACGTCCCGGACGCATTAGGATGCCTAGGTCAACAAACAGGCCCGGAGCGGTATTAATGCTCTCATTGTCCGTGAATGAAGCCCCGTGTAAATGCAGAAGGCGCGTAGAGTAGAAGGCAAGGGAGGCCACAAACACCACCACAAACGCATTGGAGCAGGAGGTATGCAGCGTACAATCCGGCCAAGCAAGAGACGAAACTCAGGACTGCCACTTGCATTGCTCTCACTCCCACTCTGTCACCAATGCGTATGGATGCGTATAGCTTGTTTCGCAGCTGGGGGGGCAGAGAATGTCGCCATGTGAATGGTGGGTGGTGGGTGGTGGTGGCATGTTTCGAAAAACAAGGGCAAAAAGGGCAACTGTTTGTGAATGTAAAGTGGCTTGATAGGAAAAGTGTGAGCTTGCAAAGGGAAAAAAAGTTTCAGGCTCACCTTGAACACGTAAAGCAAAATAGTTCTGACTGTGTCTTCCTCAGTGGTCGAAAGAAATGGCGAGAGTAGAATCAAGTCAGCACAGCCAAGCGTGTTGAGAACAAATCCGCTCTGATTGCTGAGACTAGTGCCGAGTTACCTGCTGACATCTAGTCTGGGCTTGGGCCACGGTCGCAAATAGATGGAGCAGGCAGTTTCAAGGGTCGTGCTGGTCGGGAGCGAAGCCGACGAGTTGATGGTTGTGGTGAGTTTGAGTGTGGATGTGGATGATTTGCGGGTGTGAAGGGGAGAAAATAAAATTCAAGTGACGGGGCACGGATGAGGAAGGCAAGAGGCTGAGGGAAGGAGTACGTATAGGCAAGGCAAGATTGGGGAGGTGCTACTAGGTAGGAGTAAGAGTAGGAGTAGGTAGGTAGGGCAAGGCAGGGAACGCGGGTGGGTGAGCACGAGGAAGGGGTCTAGTTAAAGCCGGGAAGGCAAGGTGATGTGATGGTGAGAGCGCGTAGCATCGAGCTGTATTGTGTCGATGACTGTTGGGATTGTGCGCGGCTGCGTCGTGTGGGCAAGTGATGAGTGAATAAGTGCCTGCTCCCTGTCCGAGCGGTGCGGTTGGCGAGGCAGACGAGGGAGATGCAGAGGTGGGAGAGAAGGAAAAGAGTCCGGATGCGTGAGAGCGAATGAATCACGATACAAAGTTTATTAGGCTTGTGCCGTGCCGTGCCTGTGCCAATGTCTGGGTCTAGGTAATCTAATCCAATCGATCCAATCCAATCCGCCCGGCAGCCTCTTGTCAACTGCCTCTCAATAGTGCCGGATAGAGACCCAGGTTGCAACCAATGATCCTGTACGACCGCCATCAGGGGGATGGGGGCTACTCTTAGGTCAGAAATACGACACAAGCGACTTCATACCTTCAGCTACGACGGGGGCGTTCCTCATTTGCGCAAAAATACTCGTTGTTGCGAGATAGGAGAGGACTTGGGTATGTTGGGAGGCAAAGCTAAGAAGTTACCCAGGTAAGGAGGTACTTGTGGCTGAGCCGCATGCAATAGCCCCGACAAGTAACGCTCTAATCAATGCCCAAGTGCTGACTGAGAATAAGCCAACTGGAAACATACCGTGTCACCGGCGACTTGCCAAAAAGCAGACGTACGGACCTGACACGACAGGCAGAGGGGCAAAGTGTTGTTGGTGATGAACGGCTCTTGCGATTCGCGAAGAGAAAGTGGGCAGCCAATTGCTTATCTGGCCTTCGAGGTATCGCCGCGATACGCTCAAAGTCGTGTTTAAGCCGTCACATCCGCCAGCCCCGAGGTCACCAATATCACAGGCAATTCTCTTGAAAAGTTGAGAATTACCTTTCATGAAGAAGTCATTCGTATTATTTTAGATTATCCGTTGCAATTACCACTCTCTTGGCTGATGGGGTGAATGAATTGGAGTGGCATCGAGGGAGCACAACACTCGATGATACCCGCACGTCAACCCCCGTCCAGGCCCTTGGCAAGTAAAGACCATCCAACGTGCGGGCAATGAGCATGAAAATAGCCCAAAAGATCTGGTATCTCGGCCAGGTGTGCTTTCAGTGTAAACCCTTTTCAAATTCACCTTGTGCTTCATTATTTTACCCCACGTAGGGCTATTAGTCGAACTCGTCCTTCAATTGCCGACGAGGCGTACACTCCCCTACAAATCGCGACACGAAAGTATTCTACTAGATAAAAACACTTCCATTTATTTATTATATTGTCAAAATGGCCTAACCCGTGTTTTTATCTCGATGCGTTGCTGTGCTATTACGCGAGCACCTCACATCCAGTTACCAGATTGACCAAATGAGCGGTTACGGTTAGCCATGCCCATTACCTACATTGGTATCAACAGGGACGGAAGAGAAAAAACAGTGCGAGCCCTAATTCTTCGTTTGAAATGATCTTTAGGAATATTCAATATGCTTTTGTCCTTTATTAGGGCCAATTTCGCTCCCTGTGCGCAATTCAATGTTGGAGTGTTTACGGCTCCGCGACATAAAAGTGCAGCATCTAGCGTTCTGGTCGTCAACACACCGGCATGACTCTCAAGAAGAATAACCAAGAAAACAAAATTTATCGCGACTTTGCGAAGCAAATACTCCATTCCCCATCGTCCGCTGAAGGCCGTCTCAATTTCATCCGCACTTCTCCAAGATGGCGGCATCGATTGTAGGAATATTGCCCCCCCAACGTGTGCGACGTGATGCATGTCACAGATCGGTCCATCCGGCCCTGGAGCGATTGCATTTCAATCAATCCTCGGAGCGGATACATTTGCCCTACATTGAGCGCAAGTGCCTCTTTTGTTTTCTTTTTTGCTAGTTGGAGCTTCGCTCAGCGTCGCTCTACTGACCGTGTGCTTACACCAACCATTGAGCTATCCACCAAATGGGTGTCGGAATACAAGGACTGCAAAGGTGTTTTAATCCCAAAGTTTCAGATAAGGTCACCATATTTATAGGCAATAATTAGTGATATCAATGATAATAGAATATTAAGCAACTCCTAGGCAATATTATCCGCTTATTATTGCACAATAAGAAGCATCAATCCTTTCAAGGTGGCTTTGCAGTCTCTTTTTTCTGGCAGCCACTTGCCAACCACCACATCAGATATCGCCACACACAATACCAGCGGACTACAAATATTGTCATCTCTACTAGTGTCCCAGGTTTTCGCTCAGTCATTTCGTCTGAGAAACATGCTGCTTTCGGTCAGTAAGACGTTGGCAGCCTCCATCATCCTCCCAATAACCTCTCCTCTCCCTGCCTCTTCGTCCTACCTACAACAGGACGGCATAACTGCCTGCATACAACCACCCCGATATCCGAGATGGGTGCATATTTTATGCTTCCGGTAGCATATATCTGCTTATTAATAGACATCGCTACCTGCGTCCCAATCAAAGAAGCCAAAGAGGCGCCCACCCACAGCACCACGGCAGGAGCAACCTTGAGCGCGACTCACCATCTTCCATCACCAGCCCCTCTCACACTTGCTTCAGCACGTTCTCTAACATAAGCACTCAAGCATCGCTTTTAACGCAAATTGATGCCATACGGAAGGAATCTGATCTTACTGCACACCGACCTCGTCAAGAAATGGGACACGAGCCAGTACTGGGTTAACCAAGATGCAGCGAATCTCCCCTTCTAACAACACTGCCTCCCCCAAGAAAGCGAGAATGATATTATCGGACGCAAGATATCGCTGGGCCAAGTGGCGCTATTGCATGTTGAGGCTATAACAGAGTCCGAGGAGGAGGAGTACGAGGAGGAGGAGGAGGAGGAGGAGGAGTGCTGGGATTGATCGGCGCTGTTTTCTTTTCTTTTTCCGCCCTGCCGCTGTGCTTTCTTTTTCCAGTCTCCTCACCACCACAAAGCGCTAGCAGATTTGGCATCGATTAACCTCCCCCAGCAGCACAGCGCCGAAACGCTCCATGGCCTCCGCAGTTGCAGGTCACAGGTCCATCAGACTCGCGGGGGTGGCGCACTCGTCATTCGTCATCTGCTCCATCTCAGCATCAGCGGCAGAGCACATCGTAGCGGCGGCATCAGCAAATGCAGAGCTGCTTCGACAGGCAGGAAGAACAGGAAATCCAACAAGCCACCACGGCCAGATGAGATCATCAACACGAGAACCCAGACAGCCAGATCCTGTTTCGGTGCCCGTCACAACTCACGGCGGCCCAACCAACACGCAGGCGAGACGAGACACCGGACGGGCTGCAGGCCAGTGAGGTCATCACCGTTTCCTCTTTCCTCGACAGAACCAACAAAACAGCAAATCCAAACGCGCTCAGCTCCCAACCACGTCCTCTCAACAAGCGCCCACCGCTCAGCTCGACCCTTGGGCGTCCATCGGTCAGCCCATGCGGGACTCGAGGCGAGACGAGGCGAGAGACAGGTAATATGTAGCTTACCAACCCAGTCCCAGCCCAACCCACACCCAGATCCCATCGCCTCTCGCCCCCTCTCTCCCTCTCTGCTGTGTCGCTAAGACGTCGCACCCGCCCCGCCAAGCTTCTCAATCCGACTCGTCACATGCAGCTGTACATGGCCTCACTTGCTCGAAACTCCTACGTACATACATGCGCACCCACAAGCCCTCATGCCCTCCCCCTCCCTGCTGCTTGAGCCTGGGCCTGGGCGATCTCTCTCTCTCGCTGTACACACACACTCCCTCTCTCTCTCGCACACCTGCCTGCATGCATACCTTCACACGTAGGTACATACATGCAGCAGGCAAGAGCGTAGAATATGAACCTGCCCTACGCCCCCAGACCCTGCTTTTCGCCTCCAGCCCCGAGGACATACGGGAGGGCTGGATGCATTGCCGTGCTATCCCAGATTCGGGATCCCGCATCTCCCGACTTATCGACCCGCATCCTCTCCCGTCACTTCTCCATTAATCCCCGGCAGGCATTCATGTAGATGACATTTTGACCGCAAATTCGTTTCTTCCCCTTCCCCCCTCCTCCTTCGCCCAAGCGTATACGTGAGGTGGTAGATTCCTCGTTTCCAGGCGAGGCATCATGCAGCCGGTGAAGGGCCAAGATGAGAAAAGAAACAGAAATGCCAATTTATGATGTAAATAGGAGATGAGAAGGAAAAGGACATTCCCTTTTTGATCAAGAAAGGCAGGGACACGCAGGAAAATGAGTTCATCTCTCATCTGCAGCGTACAGCACGTAAGAAGTAGAATCTACCGTCACCGCCATGCTCTCGTCCTCTGCGGTGTAACGAACGAGTGTAAGCCAGGGTTTCATTCCGACGCAGACACAAGATGCTGAGACCGACCAGAAGCTGGATTGGTGGTCGTAGGGTAGCAAGTAGCAGAAGGAGTAGGATAAACTTCTGGGTTGACGGGCCTTTCTTCCTCCCTCCTTCGTGTCATCTGTCATTATCGTGGTGGTTTCACAGCATGAAGTGCGCCATGGCCCATGAGCAGGTGGTCCCCCCCTCCCGAGCTAGAGCACGGCAATGATGGCATCAGCCCGCCAACGGCACCCACCTAGCCAAGGTCTATCAATCTAGCTGGGTGTCTTGGCGCGTCTCTGCGGGGAGGACGAGGAGGGGGGGGGGGGGATGGTGATACTTTGTGTGAGAGAACAAGCCCAGGAAGACCCCAGATGCGCAGCTACATGGAAACGCACATACAAAATCATCAAGACGTGCTGCAGGTTGAGGTACCGTGCTGCAAGCGCCATGGGGCGTGCCCGCAACGCGCACCCATCGTTCCCCTGTTGTTTCTGTCTCTCCCCGCGAACGAACGCACTTTGCTTCTGCCTGCGCTTGTCTCTCGGTGGCACTGGCCCGCCCAGACGCAATGCCTGTCCGCCAGTGCCTGGATGATGACCCCAGGATCAACAAGAATATCTCCTGCCCTCGTCGGCCTGGTTCCGGATCGCCAGCCTCGACTCTCGTAGGCGTTACACGTAGAAGTCACCCCCCCCCCTTCTAGACCCCCAGCGTAGCATGATGGGCAGGAGGTTCTGTTGGTCTGGGTAGCTCTGCGTGCCTTCCCCCTGCTCAAGCTACTGAGAGGGCGTTGTGAAAAGAGCTGTCACAGTAGGGGGGGCAGGGCAGGATGAGGAGATTTCCATCCAACGTCTCGCCAGAAAACCCCATCCAACTCGAAGTGGTTGCTGCACGCTGCAAGCCACCGCAGGCCTGCCGGAGACAATGGAGAACACAATGGAGGCCACACCCTCAGTTCTCGCCATGCAGCGTACGTACATGATGCTTGTCGTCTGGGCCGAGCCCAAACAGCACACCCGGCAGGGAGAGCTGATCGGGCGGCAGTCGTACACGTGCTATAGGCGGGCGGAGTGCTCCGAGGCCACCCAGGTTTTCATCACGAGAGCCGGCCACTGCGAGGGGCCTAATACGACCGAGGATAGCCAGTGAGTAGGTACCTAGCCCGGAGCTTCGCCTGGCATCTGATCTGATCTGATCTGACGGCTGGCAAGAGAGACGCCAGGCGTGGGCCGCGAGACATTAGCCGAGCTGGGCGTGGGGAGACAACATGGAGGCGGGATGGACGAGGAAACAACAGCGAGTCCAATGGAGATGGCTACATGCTAGATGACCTCCCTCGGGCTGGATCACGGCAGGCAGCTGCTCGAATCAAAAGGATGCACGGCCGCCCACAACTGGATAGTGAGAGACAGGGATGACGGCGTCTAACCGCAATCGCAGCACGATGCCACAGAGAACCTTAATCCATCCAGTAGATGGCCGGCTCGGGTGCATATGCAAGCTCTCCCATCAGTCGCATCCATCCCCTCACCATCTCTCGTGCTGAGATGTGATGCGATGTGAGGCGAGCAGAAGGGCCAACCACATCGACCATGGCCGGAGCACCAGTTATATAAGACACCACGGCATCGGGCCTTGGGATCAATTGTTTCTTCCTCCCCATCCTGCTCGTCTCCTCTCATCTCGTCTCGTTTCTCTTTCCTTCTCTGCAGGCCGCTACTTTTAATACAATCTGCCCTTTGACCTTCTCACTCTCGCTGGCACGCTCAACGCTGCCTCTCTTGCACCATCCGCACATCCATCCAACAGCATCACCAAGCACAGTTCAGGGTGTCTCTCTCGCTCACTTACACCCGCAACCAATTCATTCAATCACTCAATCACTCAATCACTCAATCACTCACTCGCCCAACGCCCTCCTCCACCCAAAATGTCCAAGGCATGTACCTCCATCTCCCTGCCGCTCAGACCTCTCTCCCATCGCAAACCCAGACATCCAAATGGCTAACAGCAACCAGCTCCAAGACAAGACCGCACCGCACTACACCGTCCCCAGCATCCCCCCGGTCCAGATCAAGGGCCGGTGCGGCACCATGGAGGACTTCAGGCGGCGCTACAGCACCAACGAGGACCCGACTTACACCTACGACATCGGCCACACCAAGACGCCCAAGCGTGTCGTCGACGACGGCGAGGCTGGTCTGTGCCTCGATCTGAGCACCAGGCGTTGAATTGAAACGGAAAGGATACCCAAAGCTAAAAGTCTCTTGTTTTTTTTCTCTCTTTTTTCTTTCTCTCAAAAAAAATTAAATAGTAGTTAATTCATCCAAATCGAGTCGCTCGTTGAACCATGTCTTAATCACCTTCCTCTTCCACTCTGCACTGGTGCCAAAACGTCCCCATGCCATACTCACCTCGACAATCCCACACAAATTTCAATCCAACACAACGTTTACCTAAAGCAACGCAACTTCTCGCCATGCCCCATCACCTCTCCCAGTTTAATCACCCGATCAAATTCTCAACAAGACAACCCGGCCACACATCCAGTCCTGACCACACACATCCAACCCTCACCACCACAGCAGATAAGAGCCACCATCCCCCTCCCATCCCAATGCACAAAGCAAAGCAAGCAAATCAATCCCAACCACCAAAACACATAAATCCCCCATCACCTCGCAGAGCCATCTCCGGTCCTTCCACCTACCTACCACAATGACGTGGACTCACCCTCATCCCCATCTCAGCGGGTTAAAGCGTTCCCACCCCGCAAAGGCCCCCTCCCCTTGATCAGGCAAGCCGAAGCCAAACCAACCACCACCATCCCCCCCCGAAGCCGCCGCGACGCAACCCAGAAGCCAACGATGCGTCCCGAACGGGAAACCGATGAGTTCGCTGGCCGTTCCCCCCGTCGGTGGGGGGCCACTCAAAAACCACCCACATCCTCGAAGCAGCCCCAGGGATGAAAAGCCTTATCAGGACCGGGATGGGGGATGAAAAGGTAGGTGTGCGCCGCCGTGGCGCGACGTCTTGGCGTGCTTTCGCGGTTGCCCCCTGCTGCGGGGATCTGGCCGACCACCCTCCAGCCCTCCAACCGGTTCTCTGGGTTGGAGGGGGGGGTCGCATTCGCGTACGCGCTTCGGAGAAGGGGGGGAGGGTGGTGCTTTGTGCGAGGGTTCTTGCATAAAAGTGCCCAGGACTAGGGGAAGAGTCAAAAGGGCCCGGCAGGCTTGCTTCATTCCTTGGGGGAACACAGGTCATGCGGACATAGGATGCTCAACCTCCGGACTGCTCTTGATACGAGCACGGAACACAGACGAAAGTGTCTCTCTTCCCCGACTTTCTCTACATATAGATGAGCAGGTCACGTCATTCCGGAACATAAACAGAGACAAACAATCGGTAGGATAGGTCAGCGAGGCCTAAAATCCTTGTCTATTAAGTATCTAACTCGGTGGGAAACATGGAGGGCGGGATATAAAACGCCAGTGACACATCATTAAAGAAGCACTAATGGTATAAAGGGTATCGGCCTCGAAAGGGGTAGGGTGTGTATCATCGCCAAGTGGTATATCCGGGGATTGGCTCCGAGGCTTGGTTCGTGCTGCTCATGGCCTCATGTCTCGGGCGCGGTGGGCCAAGTGACCAGTTCAAGGCAAAGAAATCAGGCAGCTGCTTCTCTTTCGTTCCTCTGACTCGGCAGTCTTAGGTCTTTGCCGCAGCCGCATATGTTTCAGATGTGCCTTGGCCTACTCAGCTGCGTCTTTTGTGGGCTCCTCCTTCTTAGACTCCTCTGTCTTGGCCTCTTCTTTCTTGGACTCCTCTGTCTTGGTCTCTTCTTTCTTAGTCTCCTCTTCCTTGACGTCCTCCTTGATTTCCTCCTTCTTGGGCTCCTCCTTGACGTCTTCCTTCTTGGCCTCTTCCTTAGCCTCCTCCTTAGACTCCTCCTTAGACTCCTCCTTCTTTGCGGGCTCCGGCTCCTTCTTGACCAGCTTAATAGCCTCGCCCTCCTTCACGCTGGGGCCCTCACCGCCGTACTCTTTGGGCAAGGACGACTTGATCTGGGGCAGCTCGGCTGCCAGCGTCGTGCCGGAGCTCATGGGGTGGAATTTCTTGAGCGTCGCGGGCGCCAGGAAGAGCTTCATGGCGGCGTACATCCAGCCCATGATGGTCGGCACGTTGACGAAGTATTTGTGCTCCAGCAGCTCCGGGTAGGCGGTGGCGAAGGCGTCAATGGTCTGCTTGCTGGCCGCCTTGACGTGGGGGTCCATGCGCAGGAAGCTGACGGAGAGGTAGTCGTGGACCTGGACCATCTTGTAGGGGTCCGCGACGCTTGGGTCATCCGAGATGGGCTCGGTGGCAGCGTCGATCCTGAGCTTCTGGACTCCGAGCTCCATCAGGGCAGTGCGCCATCGGACGAACCTAAAAGATTGTTAATCATCTACGAACAAACTAGAAAAAAAAACCCGGGGGGAACGGTAAGAGGCATCCACTTACTCATCGACGTCTCCAAACGTCTTCTTGAAGCTCTTGACGGCGCCGTAGATGTTCCAGGTGATGACCGTCTCCTGGCCAGCAGCATTCTTGTGGACGGTGGCATAGCCCAGACCCTCGAAGGTGTCGGCGTCAAAGGTACGCTCGACGAGCTCGGTCGGCTTCAGCTCCTTGCGCCACTTCAGGGCGTCCTCAAGCTGCTTCGCGGCGACGTCGACATCGCCGCCCTTGGCGCGCAGGAACTTCTGCAGCACAATCTTGGCCGGGATGCTCGTCTCGATGTCCTTGAGCTCGATGCCCCACATCTCGGTGTGCTCGGCCTTCTTGAGGATCTCGGGGAGGCGGGCGGTCAGCTTTGAGAGGGCCGTCTCCGGCTTCTTGGGGGCCACCTCCTTAGTCTCCTCCTTGGCCTCATCCTTCTTGGTCTCCTCCTTGGCCTCTTCTTTGGCGGCCTCTGTCTTGGGAGCCTCCTCCTTGGTGGTTTCCTCCTTGGCGGCCTCAGCCTTGGGAGCCTCCTCCTTGGAAGCCTCTACCTTTGGTGTCTCCTCCTTGGTAGCCTCAGCCGCAGGAGCAGCGGCAGCAGCAGTGGGCTCAACAGTGGGCTCCACGCCCGGCGCAGGGGCAGCGGCGGCGACAGTCTTCTCCTCGACAGCAGACATGGCGACGTTGGGTATCTAAAGGGTATGGAGAAAGGAAAGATGTTTGGGGAACGGCGTAAAGGGGAAAGAAGAAAGATCCGACAAGGTTGTCTATTAAATTTTTGGGGGACAAGGCGGGGGTGGGTTATTAGATCAAAACAAACAAACCGAGTCCAACAACACGGTGTGATGAGCTTGACGAATAGCGTGGCTCAATCAATGCGCCGCGGGCTGTATTCAGGGTTTTTGGGGGGTATCGTAGAGGGGTATCTGGAAGGGGGTATCAAATAAAACAGCAGGAGTCAGCCAAAGAGCGCAATTGCGTCGACTGGACAAGATCAAATCCAACGGCGTCGCAGGAGAGAGAGAGATGGGATTCAGGAGAAGAAGGCCGGAGCGGAAAAAAGTCATGGCCTGATTGATATCTCTGGGAGTTTCGAGGTGTCAGCGTCGTAGCGCCAGTTGCTGCCTCCACTCCAGCCCGGCCGGGTGGGGCGGGCCTTCCCCCTGTAATTCACTGTGCGCGGTGCCCAGATCAATCAGATCAAGAGAGGCCGTGCGCTGTGGCCCAGTGCCACGGTGCTCTGCCGCCGTTGGAGTGAGCATCGCGAGAGAGCTGTGGGCGAGGCGAGGGAGCCCCTGCAACCGCTGAGAGCGGTGCTGTTGCAGGTGTCGCTACTAGCCTGTCGCGCGACGCACTGCGGGCTGTTAGTCGGCGCTAGCACGAGCACTGTGGCGTCGCACAACGTCCCGTCTGGCGGGGAAACGAAATTACAGCGCCGGGCTAGGGGAGGATCCGAGCGTGGCTGGTGGCCAATCGATCCCTCACAGTGGCCCCCCCGAGTCTTGAGTGGCCTGCAGCAAAACGACAAAAACGGCTTCAAAAGTTTCAATTTGGGTTTTATAGCGGTGGTACGGATCGTAATCTGCAGTCTGTTCAGGTGTCCTGTGTACCCCCAAAGCTGAGCCAGTCCTTTCACCAACCATTCCAAAAAATTCCAGCACACCAATTTGTCAAGGACCGTGAAGTCCGTCCTAATCTCAAGATTGTCAGGCATGGCATAGCGACAGACATCTCCCATGTGGGCCTCCGGATCCGTGTCAGTATGGACCCTTGTTTTCCCCAACCCGTGTCTTCGTTGTTCAATCTCGCGTGCGCCTTCTCTCAGGGAAATGAATGCAATGGCAAATTAAAAAGGAAAATAAAAGGAAAATAAGGAACCAAACTCCGATCCGATCCATGCGCACCAATCTTCCCCACCCGAGCGTGACGCGAAACACATAAAAGAAGGAAAGCGTCCCTTTGGATCGAAATTGTCTATGTAGGGTAGCCAACCCAGCACGACGGCTGGTTTGCGGCAGGCAAGTGACATTGATCAATTTGTGTGTCGGACCGAGCGATTGAGTGTCTGATGTATGCATCAAAGGAGCGACAAATGCAGGAAACAGTGCAAGGGCAAAAGCGATAAAAAAAGAAAAAAGAAAACAAAAACAATCAAGAGATTTAGTCGGACGATTCACCACCTTTACCTAGGTACTTGGTGCGTGTTGCTGGGTTTAGTAGCCAGCCAGCGCCCGGGACAGGATTCGCTCGACGGCGGAAAACTCCATGTGAGCGACCTGGGCAATGGTCAGGCTGTCAAAGGACGGGCCCATGACGTGGCCAAGCTCGGCCCAAAAGTGACCCCAATAAGGGTCGGTGTCACGGGTGCGCTCCTGGATATCGTTGCGGTCCTGAAGAGGCCGAGACATGGTATCACGTAGCGTCTGGTCACGGATGAGGGCAATGTACCACTGCTCAAAGTGTTAGCAAAATGAAAAGAGGTGAGGAGAGAGGGGTAAGGCAAACCTCGACAACGTCAGGAGGCATCCCGGGCTTAAGGCACATCGCATACTGATGGCGCCATCCGAACGCGTAAGGCGGCTGGCCATAGCCTAGCTGCTGCTCCTCATCCGACATTTGCGCGAACCAGGCAATGTCGTCCTTCATGAGAGGAGTGAAGCCGTGGCAGCCCATTGCCGCACTGGCGACGCGGCGATAAAGCTGCCTGTTCAAGTGCATGTGGTTGTCAGTCTTGTAGATGGTCCGAGCCAGAAGACGAAGGAGCTCGCATGTCGCCTTGAAAACGGCACGTCGCTGCGAGATGGTGATGTGATCGGTGTAGCTCCATGGGAACTTCTTTAGAGTGCTGATGAGACACTCGTAGGGACGCTGAGGGCAGTCCTTGGAAAATGGAGACTTTTTTTTTTGTGCGTCAGTTGTCACGTACAGGATAAACAGCACACGTCAGATGGTGAACAGAGATCGACTTACTCTGTGCGGGACCTCAACATGCTTCACAAGCATGGTCATTTCTTCTTCGGAGATGAATCCCTTGAAGTTCTCCCATGGCTGATCCGGCTTTTGGGCCTTGAACTCGGGCCTGGAGCCATCCCAAAAGATGCCAACAGCGAGAGGGAACAGATCCTTCATCAAGCAGCCTTGGTCGGAGAGTTCAACATCCACAGGACGATCACCGAGGCGGCTAACGCGGCCACCCATGGTGTTCAGATGATGCCTCTCGACCGCTTTCATGGCATCTTCAAGGGTGCAAAATTCGACATAGGCATCCATGGTCTTGCTAGTGACCCGCTCCATGATGATGTGCACAGGTTCGTCACTGTCATTGAGAATCTTGGAGTTGCGCCCAAGGAAGGCAATGACTTCCGCACGCTTGGTATCAAATGGGATCTACATTAAGTATGTAGGTTGTCAGCATAAATAGTATCAATCAGCGGTAAGCGAGGAATGTCAGGACTCACGTTTCGAATCTTGACAACGCCGTGGTTGACGGTTTTATGCTGCTTTGAGCCCTCGACGAATGGGAAAAACTCGGGAGCCATTGCGGTACGGAAGCTGGGATATCCCGACGGAGTCGAGGTGAGAGCCTTCAACTTGTCAGACCGATAGTCGAAGACCTGCTGTTCCTGCAAAGCCAATGGAGAGGCCATCTTGGGAGCAGCAAATGTGTTTGCCGCGCCGGGATCATAGAAAGGATCCTGCGCTCCATTCTGTGCTTGGTATGGAACGAGTCCTAGATTGAACTTGGGGGGTGGCTCTTGACAAGCGGGCTGTCCACATGTTGTGGGGGCATAGTTTCTAGGTTCAGTGCGGTTAAGAGGTGTTGCTGTAGGAGCACTCAAAAGGTAGCTGGGTGTAGAATGCTGGGGAGTGGGATCTGGACTCATCACCATGGATGACGTGGGCTGGGCCGAGCCGGGGAACGGGCTAACGGAGGGAAATGTCTTGAGTGACCCGTTGGAGTTGGAATAGGGAATAACGGCGTTTCCCTCACTCATAGGAGTATGAGGAGCCTGTTGGGATGGATGTTGTGCAATGTTCACCGACGGGGCGGGCTGGTAGGGCATCAAAGGCGCAGTGTTCGCTGGGACTGGGGCGCCCACCTAGGACGAAGCAGTTCCATTCGCGATGCCATTGTGGCCCTGGTTGAATCTCTGGAACATGTGCTGGGAGGGGTAGTAGGGACCATTGTTCATGTTGTTCGTGTTGTTCATGGGGGCAATGGGTGGAGGAAGGGGGCCAGCTGCCGTTCCGCCAGCTTGGGGCATCGGGACGCTGCATTGGCCAGGAACATATGTGACGGGCTGGAGGCTGTTAATCGTTTGAAGATGAAGCAAGGACATATTAGTGATATCCATCTCCCGTACCTGGGTAAACTGTCCGTTGGTTGCACCAATGTTGGGGACCCATGAGCTGGACGTGGGGTTCAGCGTAGCCTGCTGTTGCTTCATGTCAGATTGCTCCAAGACAGATGGTGGAGTCGACGAGTCTTTTGCCGTTGTCCCAGATGTGAGAGAAGCAGATGGCGAAGTAGGGCCATTGTCGCCCAAGGGGTTGTTTTGGGAGGTGAAGTTGCCGGGCTGGTAGGCCTGAGCCGTACCGTTTGCCGTGGCCATGTTGATGAAGTGACTTTCCAAAAGATCAAGTCAGCTTTCGATGAATTAATATAAGAATCGTGAGGAAAACAAACCGATTTGTGGAATAACACGAGTTTCAAGTTATCCCAAGTTGAAAGCAAGCTCAAGTGTGCGGTTTTCCCCAGTAGAAGTCTTGGTTTTCAAGTCAAAGCGCCGCGAAGGTTGTGTTACGTACTCTGGAGTGCAAAGAAATGGCAACAAATCCAACGGGGGCTTTCCAAGAGTGTGTTTCAAAAATGAAAGCAGTCTGGATGGATGTTTTTTGTGCAGTGAGAAGGAAGAGGTGGGTGGATGAGTTGAGGGAACGGGGATGAGGGAGGGTGAGAGGGTGGAAAGGGGAGGGAGAGAGATTGAGAGAGTCAAAAGAGAGGCTTCGCACCGAGTTCAAGCTGTTTGGGGAAAGGTTACTCGGTGTTGGGCGTGATTGAGTGTGAGATGATGGCAATCAACTCACCTCGGCGGAATGGATCTGAGGTGATGCTCACTTTCCACTCAGACGCGCACCGCGCTGCTTGTTATGATCCCGTCTGCAGAAGCCCACACGCGCACGCCCGCCGGAGGGCACGAGCTCAGAGCACATGACTTCTGCCAATGAGAGGCCCGGAGCCTCCTTGGAGCCCACCCATCTGGCATTCTGCCAGCTGCTGGCACATGTTTGGCGGGGCAGCAGTGTTGTTCCGGTGTGTTATCGATGCCCTTGACTTCCTCCAAGCTTGTAGAGTTTGGCTGCAGCTGATCTAAGGAGGTTGAAGTTAGAAGTAGGGTGGCACAGGAGAATGCGTGAGTAAGTGAGTGCTCTCACCTTATGAATGGGGAACTCTGAGCGACAATACCAAACACAATGTAGCCTTATTGTATGATTGTATTCTTGATAAGCGGTCAGGCACCCAGAAGCCACCTTTACCCCGAGGCCAGCGCATATTCACAAGCATAAAATAGCACCGAGCGGCCAGCTCACACCGAAGTGCACCAGGAAAATAATGACAATGGCCGGCCGACGATATCCACCTTCAGTCGACGCTCGTTGTGAAGTCAGATAAACTCGAAAGCATGGTCAGTCCCAATTGTTAGAGTCGTGCCAGCCCGAAATAGAAATGTAGGTAGAGAACAGAGAGATGCAAGTCAATGAAGTTGTATTTATAATAGTCCGAAGCCTTATATAATCCGCATGAGAATCGTCAACTTTTGCTGCCACTCTCCATCTACCGTGGGCGGCCTTCCATGATTTCACCATACAGTATGGCAGTAGCATTCATATGACCGTGATGGCCGTTTAATCGAACTGGCGGAGAGGGTCAGCATGCGTAGGGCACGAGGTGGAAGCAAGACAGAACCTACAGGCGTCAAAAAGGATTCGGCTACGAAACGTGCCCGAGCGTTCAACTGGGAGAGCAATTCGTTAGTGATCCCACAATCCCTCTAACAACCCGCTGCGGACTCACAAAGAGCTTCATCTCGGAGATCTCCTTGTCGACTTCCTCCATGAACTGGATGATGAAATCCACCAACTTGTGCTTCAGCATTTCTTCGGTGTGGTAGTTGGTTATTAAGAAGGAGATGTCGTATCCCTACGCGACGTCAGTACTCTGGGCATCAGTTTCCGCATGTCGCATCGCACCTTGATAGGCTTTCTCCGAAGAATGAAGAAAGATTCCGCTCTGTAGCTGTGTCAGCCGCCAGCACTCCAACCAGTTATGTTTCAGGCAGGAAGCCGCACCTCATGGCGAGGAACCGATTGAATTTGTGGACCAGGATATGTTCAATCTCGTCGGCCTGCTTAATCTTAATGCTGATACGGACGGAGTTGATGCTGGGCTCGATCAGGACTCGCTCGTTGTCGTTGCGGGCAACGTGGAGAGGGGTGAGCAGGACCTCCGGCGAGGTCTGGGCTTCAATCTCGGGGACATTGTGGCGTTCGACCGTCTGGGAGGCAAAGTTGGAGAGGGTCAGAGCAGCAGTCAAGCTGCTCCGGACGCATTGGAGGTACGGGCGCAAGGATTGCGACTGTCGGTTGGAGCGAGTTAGTGGACACGGGGACTAGCTGTCGGGACTCAATGACGAGGCATGCGCACCATGGCTGGTTGATCTGGGCTCGGTTACCGACGCAGAGAAACTACACAAACAGCTTTGTTATCGACCGGGTCCTACGCCGTCATTATCTGGTGCGGGTTGACGGCGGGGCTGGAGATCGTGAGGGCTTGGAGTTGGTGGTGAGCTCCCGTCTACCTAATCCATGGCTCGGCCGTAGATTAGGAGCCAACTCCTCCGCTGACGTTCGTGGTGGGGCAACAAGCTGCGCCACTACGCCCCAAGTGCTGCTGTTGGTGTGGCATATGATCACGTGAATTCGCGAGCCTTCCCCGGGCGACGTGGCTCAAGCTTAGGTTCAGCCTCCGGGCGTGTGGGCGGTGAGTTACCCCACCATTGCCCAGGTACCAGCTGAGTGACGCATGTTGATTAAAGACTGGTATTCCGCTTCGAAGAAAATCATCTCCCCCATTTCTCCTCGACATTCCCTCGCCACACTGTTCTTTTCATCTCGATAGCTGCATTGCCCTCAGCTACCACCGGTCCAGATATTCATTGCTTGCTTTTGTCTGATTAGAAGAATACCCGAAGCAGTGTCTTGCTTGTATTTATGATGGCGTCGATACCAGGTTAGAGCCCACGGCCATTTTCTCGAGTTGCCAATTTCCTAGCCCACATTGCTGACCATCTACAGTCATCATCAAACACCAGGGGAAGAAGTATGAGATCGAGGTTGACCCCACATCCACCGGCGAGGACTTCAAGCTGCAAGTCTACAGCCTCACCAACGTCGAACCCGACCGACAAAAGATTTTGATCAAGGGAGGCCAGCTCAAGGATGACGCCGACATGGGCAAGCTGGGCCTCAAGCCTAAGCAGGCCATCATGATGATGGGCTCACCTAGCTCCGGTGGCCCCGCCCTCGTTCGACCCAAGGAGGCTGTCAAGTTTGTTGAGGACATGACCGAGGCCGAGCAGGCTCGGCAGGCTGGCGCCACCCCAGCTGGCCTGGTCAATTTGGGAAATACTTGCTATCTGAATTCGACTTTACAAACACTTCGGTCTATCCCCGAGCTCCAGACGGCCCTCACTACCTACAAGCCCACCCCTCAAACATCGGTCCTCTTGGGTCCCCAGAGGGACTTGGCTGCCGAGCTCTCCAAGGTCTACAGGCAAATGGGCGAGACACAGGGTGCTTTCCCTCCCATGGGTTTTCTCGGTGCCCTGAGAGCCGTGTTCCCTCAATTTGCCGAGATGTCCAAGTCGGGCCAGGGATATGCTCAGCAGGATGCTGAGGAAGCCTGGTCCCAGATCGTGCAGCAGATTGGTCAGAAGGTCAAGGTCAAAGAATCGGAAGATGCCGCCGAAAAATCATTTGTCGACAAGTATATGTCGGGAGAGTTCGTTAGCGAGCTCCAGATTGACGATGAAGGGGCACGTAGTGCAGGCGAGAAGGCCGTCGTGTCCAAGGAGGCTTTCTACAAGCTCAACTGCCACATCGACGGGCAGACGAACCACCTGAGAGATGGAATTCTTGCCGCCCTTCACGAGAAGCTGAACAAGAAGTCCGAGATCCTTGACCGCGATGCCGACTACACCAAGACGTCCAAGATTTCGCGAGCACCCAAGTACCTCACCGTCCACTTTGTTCGATTCTTCTGGAAGCGTGAAACCCAGAAGAAGGCCAAGATTATGCGGAAAGTCACCTTCCCTCACGAACTTGATATTGTAGAGTTCTGCTCTGACGAGCTGAAGAAGGCCTTGGTCCCCGTCCGTGACAAGGTCCGCGAGGTCAGGAAGGATGAGGAAGATATCGAGCGAGCTCGCAAGCGACGCAAGAGGACCAAGCAGTCCGAGCTGGACGACATTCCAGGCGGATCCGGTCTTCCTTCCGAGAAGGAGAAGAAGGAGAAGGAGCAGAAGGAGAAAGAAAAGAGGGAGAGGGAGAGGAAGGAGGTCGACCAGGCCGTCGCAGCCAAGTCATCTGACGGAGACGTCATCATGGGAGAGACATTCAAGACCGATTCTGAGATCGACGCCGAGAAGGATGCTGCTCTTCTCGCTGCCAAGAAGGAGCTCAACGCGCTCATCGACCCAAGCCTGCGCGACGACGACGGTGCCAACCAGTCTGGGCTTTACGAGCTCCGTGGTGTCGTCACGCACCAAGGTGGCAGTGCTGACAGTGGTCATTACACCGCGTATGTCAAGAAGACTGCCACTGTCGACTCCAAGACAGGCGAAAAAGGCGAGGAAGACGGCAACTGGTGGTGGTTCAACGACGACAAGGTGTCCGAGGTGACGGGCGATAAGATCCAGACCCTCGCGGGCGGAGGCGAGTCCCACTCGGCTCTGATCTTGCTGTACAAGGCAATTCCCCTCCCCTCTGCCGAAGGTAAGATCGAGGATACGGCCTAAGGTGCTTGCCCCTTCGGCGAGGGATGGCTCGATGGTCAACCCCGCCTCTTTCTTAATGCGATGCGAAACATGACAAATACCGGATTGGAGACTGGTTTCACGACTTGACATTACGGACGGAGGGGATAGACACTGGATCACAATGATTACGAGATGATAATGGAGTTATGCCACCTTTGTGTGAAACGGAATCAAGAGGAAAAGTTTAAAATTACAGAAAGTCTAGTGATGATGTGCACATCCAACGGGCATGTCTCGTAGCCATGCTTTGCAATGCTTTTATTCCCCGTAACGCCCATGAATTTTCAACGCCGTTGGCCCCAATACCATGTGTAGAATCCCCAATCGATCGCCGGTTATTGATACAGATATATATACAAGTAGAGGTGGAGGAGAAGAAATCCAGCGTAGACCGTCGCATCACGTTGATCTCCTCGCCCTCCGCTGCTTCTCCATCTCGCGCTCGCGCACCCGCTCGTCAAACGCATCGAGTTTCCGCTGGAGGGCAGCCCTCTGCTCTAGCAACAGGAGCTTCTGGTCCTCGAGGATCGCAATCTGTTCGGCAGCCGTCGTCTCGCGAAATTGTTTAATGGCCTAATGGGGCATGTCAGTAAATGCGCTGAATTGGTCGTATTTGTATGGTGGGGGCCGCCGTGATTGACTGACCTCTTCCTTTTGCTTGTCCTGCTTGAGCTGGGCGCCGGTGAGGGAGCCGACCATGATGACGGCTGCGAAGCCCACTGCCCACACGGCGCTCTTCACCTTGTTCTGGCGTGTCCATTGTGCGGCGGAGGACATGTTGCGAGGGGTGGGAGGGTCGGATACCGGTCGGGTAGAATTCTGGGTATGTCGTGGTGGGTACGTCTTCCAGTGGTGTCTTCTATCGGGGGCGAGGGGCGTAGTGGCCAATTGACTCGGTAGTATCCCCCTGGATGGTAATATTTACCTAGAACCAGTGGTCCTTCCAGATCTCCTCGGAGAGGCGGCGGCGGTGATCGTCAGAGGCGGGCGAGGACGGAGCTGGGATGGGGCTGGGCGGGGGATGAGGTATCGAAGAAAGCCGTGGCTGCGTTGATGCAGGTCTTAGCGGTCGGCAGGTTCGGTCAGGATGGTGCGGTAGCGAATGGCGTGCAGAGAGGTCCTGGAGCTCGATCTCCAGCTCGATGCTGGCCCGAGGCTGGTGGGCTGTAGGTTGAAGCAGAGCCTTGGCGGCGTGGGTTGGTGCGTGGGCCAGGATTCTTAGTAAGCGACTGTCGGGATGGGCGAGGCTCATGATCACGGTGGTGATTGTGAACAGCTATTGATTGGTTGGACGCCAGTGGTAGTGATATTGGATAACAAATAGCTTGCAGGGGGAATTTTTCAATTGTAGATGGTAGCTTTGTTCGCTTGGCTGTTGTGTTTCTTTCTTCTGCAGGGTAAGTCAATTGTTGTAATTCTTGTGTTTTTTTTTTGGCAAGTGACCTCATCCGACTTGTCTTGGACAAAAGAGAAGCTGTGAAGCACTGTGAAAACAACAACAGAATCATGCGATGTTTTTTCATCTGTGTATCAAGAGCCCAGCAGGGTAACGGGGTTTAGGCATCCGCCGGCGAGGGTTTCCCTTTCTGTGTCGGTTTCAGATGGAGCTGATACCAGGTATTGCTGCTGGACAGGGACTGCAGCAACCCGGTAGCTACGAGTTGCAGGGGAACTCAAGCCTGGTTTCGCTTGTTGAAAACCCGTGAATCACACAAACAACGAGAATTCAACTGACGGGTAATCATGTGATCAATTTTTTCAGGTCGCGTGATCAGCCGTGATGGTAGGAGGATGCTCAAGACCCTCACGACCCATGGCTGTCTCCTCCCAAGTGCCACCAGAAGCTGGCACCGGCCATGTTCCGTAAACTCAAACTGCAGCGTCTACGGGTATTTCTCTGCATGCAGGGAGCCTACGCGCCCTTGTTCAACCCATGTGGCGTCGTTAATTGGCTTCGAGGGTTGTTTCGGCCCAGAAGCCATTGTAGGGCCCGTGTTGGTGCATCCGCGCCCTTGCTGATGGATGGATGCATCCTGCATGAAGCCAAACCCCCCGTCTATTGACTGCCACTTAAAGATGAGATTCAGCCTGATTAGTAGGTGTTGGCGCCTGATCTTGATATCCACGATCGCGTATACCTTGATACGGAAAGCCCATGTTGGGATAGGTCTAGGATATGAGCACAAAGGGTTACGGTTTACCACACAGGGTTTCGATCTGTCAATGATTTTGAGTTTGTACAACTCATCATCTGCTGCATTGTATGGAAATAAGATTCCTTGGTGCAGACATTACGTGATGGCATGATCTATAATCAAATAGCCTTTCCTAGTTGGCGACATGCTGGTGCTTTATCTCATTGAGCGCATCCATACCGCTTCTGAGGCAGCGGTCTAGGGTACCACCACCTCAAATTTGTCGTGAGGGGAAAGGATGCACCACAATGGAGGGTTCGGCCCTTGGGTTTTGTATTCTCTGACTGGGCATTGTAAAGGCCATGGTAAAAATTAAAGACTAAAATTCCATCTAGTAAATGAGCCTATATTTTGTTCTGCATATGTTCATTTGTTGATGCGATGCCGGACATGGCCCTCTCACGTCCCACCTCCAGCATGTCGCGATGATTCATCCTCACATCTCTATCCACAATCGCGTATACGTAGGGCTTGCTCCATCCCTCGAACTAACTGCCCATCCATTCCGACGGCATCGGCTCCCGTAGGTGCCCTCAGCAGTGCGGTGAAGCTGTGGCTGGCCACCGATCCCTCCCCCTCACAGCAACCCCTCATGCTGTCAACCCCACCACCACCTCCAATACCTCCAAAATCGCCTGAGGAGAGCCCACTATCACGGAGATACTCGTAAGGCGAGAGGATGCTAATCAGCGGATACAGGGCCCTAGACGTCCCCACAGATGGAGTATGGGTGAAAACCCGTCAAACTCGCCTGAGGTGATGACGGTGGTCGCAAGGCGGCTGAAGAACTGGGCTTCTCGTCGGAGCGGAACTGCTGGATGCAGTAAGCCTCTCCAACAGCTCTTTCAAAACTTTCTGCCAACACCCCACGCTCAGATAAGGTGGGTGGCGCTTGAAGATCTGATTGATCGGCAAATCAGTAGGGTCCCCTGCTTTTCAAACCCGTGAACCATGCAATGCAAGCAAGGGCCCGGCCCAGGGACCCAATATCAGCGAGAGAACTAACACCTTGAACGAGAGATCTTGTACGAATCACGCTCCACCGTCGTCCTCTCTGAACGGAGGTAATGGATATCCAGCCTCCAGCTAGGCTCGCCACCCGGGAATTAGCCAAAAGTAGGGTCCTCTCAAGGCTTGACACCTTGCTGCTTGCAGGGGAAAAGGTCCCATTTGCACGCTTGTTCTGGCTTGGAGCTTGATCTGTGGATATGCCCGAGCCCACAACACCAACAGATTTTTCTCCCGTCCCTTTCTTCTTCCGCTACCTTGCCTGACAGAGCTACTGCCGTCTTACCGACCTCGACTGACTCTTGATTACCTTTTTCTCTTTTTCCCGACACAGGCAACGCGACGCACCGCTGCAATGATACCATCCTGACGGGCGCTGATGGGTCCCGCGATGGCTGACGGGCTCCACGTGCAAGATAAGGCCTACCCAATACGTTAAGTCCTCGCCGAGTCATTGTGGGCTGTGGATATGAAAAATTGGAGAGTAAAGAGGAGAATGGAAAGATCGTGAGAAGACCATGTTCAAGGCAGAGGAGTTGACGGGATTGGAAATCCGCAGTCTGCTGGGTTGTGGTGATGCCCTATATATTTGCCCTCTCTACACGCCTCTCCTCTCCCCTTCCCTCAGTCGCTACATCCACCTTGACTCAGTAGCTAAGAAGCATAATTCCTAGCTAGGAGCAAATATAATCTTAATTTTGAACTTGATTAACCATTGGTTTCTTACATAAAAGCTAGGAAGGCCAGCCATTGCCCGCCATGTCCCCCGTCGCACAAGGCTCTGCAATCCCCAGCAAGGCCTTCGACACAGCCTCTCCTTCACTCGATGAGAAGAAGGAGCATGTTGCTGTAGAGGCTGTGAGGGAGCTTTCCTCGAGCGCGAGCTCCGACGCAGACACTGACGACGATGAGGAGGACGTCCCAGACATTCCCGCCCATCTCGCCATCTCTCTCAGCCATGTGAGCCGCAACCTGAGCCGCAGGCTGAGCCAGACCAACTCTCGTGTCCCTGGAGGGGACGAGCTGGAGCCCTCCCAGAAGAAGCAGCAGGACAGACCCAAGGAGTTCAGCACTGTGACTGCTGAGATCACATTCATCGCGGTGTGCTCCATGTCCCTGATGATGTTCTCCTTCCTCATCGGAAATGTCACTGCCAACCAGCAGCAGTTCCGCGATGCATTGGGCCTCAAGAATGCAGAGATCCCATGGATCAACGGCGCCTTCACCACTGCCAACGGCTTGTCCGTGGTCATCTCCGGATCCATCACCGATCTCATGCCCCCGAAGGGTCTACTTGTGGGCTCGTTCCTCGGCATCACAATCTGGCACGTTGTTGGTGTCTTCTCCATCACCCCCGACTTGAAGATCCTCTTCTTCGTCGTCCGCGCCCTCCAGGGCCTCTTCGTCGGCGTCCTCGTCTCAGGGTCCATCAGCATCCTCGGCCGCGTCTACAAGCCCGGCCTGCGCAAGAACCGCGTCTTCTCCGCCATGGCCGCCTGCGCCCCCTTTGGCTTCTGGCTCGGTCTCCTCCAGGGCGGCGGGCTCGCAGACCACCTCAAGTGGGTGTACGGCAGCAACGCCATCATCTCCGGCGCCTTCAGCCTGGCCGCCTACCTCTCCATCCCGAATCTCCAGCCCGTGGCCGATAAGCCGGGCCAGAAGGCCGTCTCCATGCGCCAGTTCGACTACGTCGGTGCCGCCCTCGCCATCACCGGCTGCGTGTGCCTCCTCTTCGGCCTCACGCAGGGCGCCGTTGTCCACTGGGCGCCCTACACGCTCGCCCTCATCGGCGTCGGTGCCGCGGCCATCGTCGGCCTCTTCGTCGCGGAGCGCTACGTCGCGCGGCCCATGATCCCCACTACCCTCTGGCAGGTCAAGGGCTTCATGCCGCTCATGCTGGCCTACTTCCTCGGCTTCGGCACCTTCTTCGGCGGCTGGCAGTTCTTCGCCGTCCAGTTCTGGCTGCGCATCCAGGGTGCCGCGCCCATGACCGTCGCCCTCTACTTCCTCCCCAACGCCATCGTCGGCGTGCTGGCGACGTGGATCGTCAGCCGCATCCTGCACCTCGTCCCGGGACACTACATCTACGCCACCTCGATGATCTGCTTCACCATGGGCTCGGCCTTCTTCCTCCCGCAGACGCCGACGACCAGCTACTGGGCCCTCGGCCTGCCGGGCGTGGCGCTCGTGACCTTTGGCCCGGACTTGGCCTTCGCCGCCGCCTCCATCTTCATCACGAGCAGCGTCCCGCGGTCCTACCAGGGGAGCGCCGGCAGCCTGCTGGTCACGAACCAGAACCTCTCGGCGGCCATCTTCACCAGCATCGCCGAGGCCATCGGGGGACGCGTCGATGCTGGGCCCGAGGGGGAGATTGGGCTCACGGGCCTGCGGGCGATTTGGTGGTTCGCGCTCGCGAGCCAGCTGGTTGCAGCGCTGATTACAATCATCTGGGTGAGGATCCCCAAGGAGGAGGAGAAGGAGCATGCCAATTAATGGTATTGATGCGGTAATGATGAATGGTTTTGAGATGGAATTTTGGGTATGAATGGCACAGCGATTTGGGTAAAAAACTAGCAATCAAGCGATATATCTGGACATGGGAATAAGGGAAATGGATTTTCTACTGCTCTAATTTTTTTGAATTATAAAACACATGGCGTTTGCCATTCTTTGATCAATTTTCCGAGTTCATCTCTGAAGTGGCCTCGGGTTACGATGATTGTGTACAGGCGAGAGGTGGCACCTGAGCCAACAATACATGGGCCTGAGATTCTGTGCGACCGAAAGACTTTTTGGTGTCCCATCACCGAGAGGCAAGGTTGCATCATACTGTGGCTATGGCCAGACCAAGGCGTTCAATGCGGGTTCTGCGGCATGTGGTTCGCCTGCAATTTGATTCTCTGTCGATTCAGTCTTATGTGCATTCATAAAGTGCAGCGTATCGTCATTACCCCGCGGAGGAGTGCAATAAGAACACCGAAATGGCATACCGTACCGAATGTGCACTTGATGACGCTCCATGATAGGCTCGTCTCATGCAGGAGGCCCTCCTCCCTCTCTTACGAGATCATCCAGCCAATGGAAAGGGATAAGTTGTTGATGACTCTGCGGGGATCTGAAAGTGAGGCGACCTTCGACATTTAGGTGGCATCTGGCCTTCTGCATGTCAGTGAGTAGGTGTGCCTAAGCTCGCCCAATATTTATCAGGTAAAGACCATTTATGCTCGCGTAGAGTCCCCCGAAGGTTAACTCTTGCCTTGAATTAGACGCTATTCACGGACTCCTTTGGTTGTAGTAGCAGAGACCTCACTTGATCTCCCTCGTGTCTATGTCGCCATGTCAGCGGAACCTTCAAGTAAGGATTCCTACCAGACACGCCTCGACCGATTCTATGAAACCATGAAGCTGTCCGCGGCGCTGGGCCAAAGATCTCTCGCCAAGCGGTCACGGCCCTCATCTGATGCGTCCAGTGAGGTGAACACTCAGCGCCGGTTCCTGAACAACCTTGCCTTTCTCTGTGACCATCGGAGGGAGAGCTCGTTCAAGATGTCCATAGCGATTGAAAGTGCCGATGGCCTGTCTCGTTTCTGGATCGCAGCCGATACTGAACCGAGGGACAATGCCCTCCGTTGCCTCAACTTCATCCTATCCCTCCTGAAGCGCGTCCTTGGGCTCCCGGAACGTCTGCTGCACCATGGGGAGGATCTGCTCCAAGGGGTTTGCGCCGATATCGCCAAGAGCCGCTTAAGCCTAGAGGTGGAGGATCTATCCATGGCCGTGAAGGATTGCCAGCCGGTGCTCCTGAAGCTCAACCACCCTGATCGTAAGGCCTCACCACTACCTGATGAATAAACGCATGACCGGCGCTAATATCAAGACCTGCAGTGGAGGACCTGCCAGAATGGCTCGGCCAGCTTGACCTCGAGACAAATCAAGATAGAAACAACTTAACCTGGTGCCGCGTCGCACACGAGGCCCAAGAATACGAGGCTATGGAGAAGCTGAACTCAATCACGGGAGTGTCGGACATGCCAGTCCTGACCCTACCCTTTGTCCAGTTGCGGCATTCGATACGGTGCCTAGCTCGCCAAATCCAAGCCTGCAAGGACTTGATTGAAGATGGAGCGAAACTGAAGGGTTTGCTGCTGACCAAGTTCCATGTCTGCATGGTGACACCTCCTGAACCTGTGCCGCCCCCGAAGCTGGATCCCAACACGAACTTCGATGTGATTGCGAGGCGACTTATTGAAACAACTCCTCTAAGGAGAGAAATCGAGGCTGCGTTCTCGCGGTTAAAGAAAAACCATCCGGACATCGAAGAAAGGATCAAAAAGCAGTACGGTGAGAGCATGGCGGTGCCCAGGGTCCCCAGCGAGGTGCAGATCCTGGAACATTTCTACAAGAACCGTCTCAAGTATTCCATGGGCGAGAGCTTCGTAGGCATCAGCAAGGCATCGTGCCTGTGCTCGCAGGCTTACTTCCGGCACCACCCTGCTGCGTCTGTCAGCCCAAGTACGAACGGGGAGCTGTGCCAGAGCTGGAGCCCCTCGCTGATACAAGGGGGGGAGCCTGACGAGAACTTCCTTCTACAGCATAAACTGCTTGAGAAGGTTCATTCTGATATCCGCCAACGTGTGCTTCAGAGGATCCTTCAGGTAGATCAGTTGGGAGTTCCAGATGGGGCTTTTGATGAGGGTGCCGCAGGTGGGAAGTCTGCGGACGCCGATCATCTTGGTTCGGATGAGCACGAGTCAAAAGAAGACTGGCTTTTTGTGGGAGATGAGAGTGATGAAGAAGGTGGAATTTCTGTCTAGTGGCATTATTGTGTTGGTACATCATATGCCTCTCTGAACAAGAATTGACATCTGTTGCAATATATAGCCGATGCTGAGTTACCTTTGCTTGATGCTAGCTTTTATTTATGATTGGAAATTCGAGAATGCTTATAATTAATCCATTGGTGTCAAGGGTTCATTTGAAAATAATTACTCTATTGTTACCAAACAAGGAGAATTCTAAAAGTGAGTGGAGTGAAGTGTACTTCGTCCTAGCTGAAGCTCACTACTCGCCCGCTGCTTCTTGAAGATGAATCCAGATCGTCTTCTGTCTCTCCTCCAGCCAGCCTGCCACACCGTCAGCAGAAGTTTCGGGATCCTTCTCCCCGCTCTGATGACCATCTACTCCCTCCATATGATCATGGGCAATAGAAGTCTGCATTTCTCCGTACACGACAACCAGAAATGCCCTCATAACGCCCCATGCCACATTCATCCCAAGGCACATCCTAGACCCGCTCCCAAAGGCGAGAAAATGGCCCTTCATATCCTTAACAACACCCTTTGAGCCTCCTGTAGGACTTTCATGATCTTCTGTGGTTAGCCAACGATCGGGGGCCCATCTTCGTGCGTCATCAAACACGCTTTCTTTCCTTTGCATTCCCATCACCTCAGCGCTGACCTGCCATCCACCTGGGATAAGCTGACCATGAACAATGAGGCCTTGTTCATCCACGATCTTCCTTTCAATGCTGAAAGGGATTGGCGGGTGGATCCTCAGTGTCTCGCGGATGACTGCGTTCAACAATGGCAGTCGCTTTAGCCTTTCTGCCGTCAAACTTGCCGCCAAGGAAACTCCAGACTCAGCCATGGCAGCTCTAATTTCACTCCTTAGCCGCTGTTGAAGAGTCCTGTTCTCTGGCAGGGAGAGACGACGGAACAAAGGTGCTAAACCATCAGCTGTTGTGCTCACCCCAGCCCAAAATTGGTCCAGAGAGTCGCTTAGGATATACGCCTCCGATGGTACAGCCGCCGTGGGACCATTTGCCCGGAAATGGGCATGGAGACGGCCCATGAGTGATTGGTATTCATCCTCCCCTCCGCCATTTTCATCTGTACGTTTCAATGCTTCTAATGTTCCCTTTCCTATTTGGTCCGAGAACAACCTGGAAGGTGTTGTTCCATCCATGGCTCCCGGCGCAAGGCCACATCGACGAAGCCAGAGCGTAATTCTTGGTAGCAAGAACATCATGGCCCCAGCCGCACTGGTAATTCGCGCCTCCTGAAACTCGGTGTCCACCTCCATCGCTATTCTTTGCGCCTGGTCGTTCACCAAATTCAACTGGCTGTCGGGGCCATACACAATGAAGCTCATGACATCGTAAAGCGCAGGCCGCAGCAGCTCACGAATCTCCACCACCGCACCGCCACTAGGGCTCTTCTTCCCTATTCGTGAAGCTAATCGCAGCATGTCTTGTGCAGCGCGCAAGGTTACGTCAGTGACCTCCTTGGACTCTGCCGTCTTGGCCGAGTACATGCTCCTGAGTGGCTTCCTTCGTTCGTGGTGCACATCTCCGCGCACAGTAGACACAAGGTTCTCCTCTCCGTAGTTGTGGAACGCAGGTAAGGGATCAGGTCGGTCCAGACGCTGGGAGACGACGGAGATATCTCTCAGTCCGCTCAGGTCGTTGACCGAGACGTGACGCGGGGCGACTTGGACCAGAGGTCCGAATTTTTGGTGAAGGGCCTCGACGAAGGCTTCACGAGAACCGGTCAATTCATGGTATTGGAGCGGGATGCTGGTGAGCTTGAGGAGGTGAGGCCCTGGAAATGGGGATCTGAGCCGCCGGAAAGCGAGGGTGCTTGTGGCCAGGACGATGGCGCATGCGACGGTGGACGGCGAGGAGAGCAAAGCTACCGCCGGGGCAACGTAGTGTATGGGCATGATTCAAATTGACCAGCCGTCACATCTTTGTCAGGTTGAGGAAAGGCCCATTGTTCGTGGTGCATTTGTCGTGGCTTATTATGAGGCTGAGTTCCGCCTGGCAAATGCGATGAATACGCCCAGACCCGCTAGAAAAGAAATAGTGTGAACTTTGACTGAGGATCCAATCGGGGAAAGCTATGATGAATAACCTGGTTGTCAATGACTTGGCGCGACAGTTCCTTGTTATCATGCAAAGGTCGTTTACCATCACGTGATAATTATCGCAGCCACAGTCTCGGTTTGTGAAGCCTCTCAGCCAGGTGTTCATCAGACAAGATTATGTAGATGTCTTAGTTGATAAGGGAATTTGGGAGTTGTTCTAGAATTTACTCGTAGATATTTGGTCGACTGCCAGAGCTCGAAGTTAGCTGGTCCGTGGTGCAGGAGTGTCAGTAAGTGGTGATTGATGAATGTTCCATTGTTTGGTAACCCAGGTTGTTTGTTCACCATTTCTTATTACAATGAAAAAGCTCACAAATCCGAGGATCCTGTAAAGCCTTTGATTTTCTTGTTTTATGTTCATTTAGCTGCCTCCTTTCACTTTGAACCACATAAACAAATCTGGCAAGGGCCACATCCGTTACGTCGCTGAAATCTTTTGCCTTTCCCACACATAATCCATTCGATTGACCATCGCTAACTATATAATGCAAATATCACATGTAACTTCCATGCAAGCTGCGTATGACTGTGTCAAGGTTTCGCCCCTCAGCCTCCATACGCCCCTTTTGTTGTGACTCATTCGGCATGAGCTCAGCCTTCCAACCAACCAAAAAGAGAGCTTCAGGGCCAAACCGTGAATTGAACACGGGTCTCACGCAGAACGAATTTCTTCCAAAGCGTGAATTCTACCACTAAACCATTTGGCCGCCTGTTGTTGATGGTGTTAACTTGAACTGCCTTATCAAGGTTGTCCTTGGCCAACACCCCTGCGGCCTGGCTCCCTCGACGCACGAGCCTTCAGCACCAAAAGCGCCCAAAAGCCAACTCAAACTTGACACTCGTAGCCACCGTATATGTCTCCTTGCCGAGGAGACATGGGAAATCACCTCCATAAGGAAGAACAACAACGTCCCGGTCTTTGCTACCCAGCGACAGAGACCCTAGTGCCCAAGAAAAACTACAAAGAGGCACGGGCCCTAGCCGAGCCCGCCGAGGATGAATCTTGATATATAGAGTATATATCATCTATAATTAAAGATATTATGTCATACCGGGTAGGCATGAGATTTTTCAGGGATGATGTATACACATTCGTGGACGTGATTCGGAGGTCTTGTGAGTCGTTCAATTTTGAGTTTATCATCGCCTCGTTGGATATCCATAACACTAGTTTCTTTCTTGGGAGGCACGTTCAGAAATACGGTAAAGCGACTCGAGTAATACCGGAATGGGCCAAGACAAAAGTGTAGGGTTTCAAAGGCTGTACAAATATTGCCTGATCCCGTCTCTTATAGAGAAACACCCCTCAAGGAAAGACTTAGTATGCTGGGAAGATATGAAATAATGGAATGGGTATCAACTACAAAACTCCCACCGGGCCGTATTTAATGAAGCAACGATCATGAAATTTAAGTCACCAGAACTTTTGATTGAATCTCAATACACCTATTCATGCTTGAACAAAAGAGAAACGAATGACCGAGAAGTTCAATTTGATGCGCCAGCCGCTCTCAGATGCGATTCAGCCCAAAATCAAGTGCACTCTTGCAAATTCCCCCTGGAATATTGATCGCAAACCCCAAGCTGTGCGGATGCAAACAACGGGTGGCGGTTTGCTAAGAGCTTCCCCAACCAGGCGGCAAATTAGCACCTGGAGCTTGCTCCCAGAGCCAACCTTTAGCCTTCAGCTCTTCAATGAAAGCATTGGTCCATTCCCGGAAATCTTTCTGGGAAGCTGTTGTGTCGGTTTGGGCCATTTCAAGCACCTTGTTGGCGTCGAAATCGTCGACCTCGCCAATTTGTTTCATGTAGTAGTCCGGGTAGGTTTCTTTGAGTTTGATCCCTCTTTCGATACTCACTTGGTTGGTGCCATTCTGGGTGATGTGTCGAATAAGATCGCCTGAAACGTCGCTCTTTTCCTTCATGATAAAAATGGCGTGGCTTCCGTCCTTGAAATAAACGTGTTCTACCTGAAAGATTTCCATCTTGCTAAGAACGATTGTGCTCTGAAAATGTGGGATGAGTCGTCTTTGCTTTCGCTTTTGGTGGGGGCTCTTGTGATTTGGTGGTGATGATGAATGGCAGCAAATTCGCCTCAGAAGCTCGGGGAGGCCATCCTATTTATATGGCACTGGGGAGGTCGACTGTTACTTGAAAAACTCGTCGCATTTGGATCCTGTTGTTCCTGATCTTGTTCATCTTATGTTTCGGCCAGCCTGTACCACCAGCCTCTTCTCAGAACAACCTCAGTTACGGTCAGACAACTTGGCAGTCTTAACTTGCAACTCCCATCCCGTCTTTTTTTACGTTTACATCATTGCACGGCTCTTTTAAGAACATTCTAAGATTTATTACGAGACTCGCCAATATTGAACCCAGATATTGCAAAGACAGTGCGCATGTTTCTTCTTCTTTGGTTACTCGAAGTTAAATGAATTTATATACAAAGAATTTCAACTTCTTGATATTTGAAAACGGCTATCATCGTGACTATTTATTGTAGAGTCTGATCTGCAGTAAAATAGGAACTGGACGAGTTGATAATATACTCTAGTCACCCACCACTTTTGTGGTTTCGGCCAGTTAAGATTATTCCGGCTTCTTGTGCCTGTTTTGAATTTTCCAGGCGGTAACAAATTATCAGTGATTTGATTGTAAACTGCTGGTGGTTAAAGTACTCATTCGGAGATTAACGCTTGATTCGACTTGCAAGAGGTAGTACATAACGTAAGTTCCTAAGCACCTACAGATGAGGTAAAATGTTACACTGAATCGTGCATAAGCGAACACGTTAGAGGTTCCGTTACCCCAAAACTGCAGATCGTGGTGTTACGAAATAAGAGCTCATTGTATTCTAGCCCTACCAGTGATTATGTAACCAGTGAAACGTAGGACAGCTTCAGACAGCGTATCATAAAGACAGTTGGAGATTTGCATACTATGGAACTTTCAAGATAAAAGATATTGTCATGCTCAGGAGTCAGCAAGGGTTAGGGACCCCGGACCTCGATGGTGTTGGATATCATCGCAAGCATGGAGGAAAAATGGTCAGCCCTACCAGTTACTACCTACTATTTTTGGTGGGTGGCGAGTCTCGATCGGTTTCTGGGAATCTTGTTTCATAGAGACCAGGGCCAAACGCTGCGCGTCTGCATGGTGAATGGCATTAAATGACATTGCTGACGGCTATTTGCCACACTAACTGCCAAAGTTATGCATTGCGGCGAATAGCGATCTTCTCATGTCTGCCGTGGTTCCCACATTATGGTTGATTAGCACGTATAGAAAGCTGCAAGGCTTCAGGGATCGGACTCCTTCAATACTGGATACTCCGTAGGCTGCTTACTGAAACGCGCTCGAAGAAATGTGCTCCATATTAATTCGGGCGTTATTAATAAATTCCCCTTCTTCTTTCTTCTCAATCTATCAAACTGTCTCGTTCGCCTTCAGATCTCATTCTCAAGACGTGAGTTGGAAGTGAGAATGGGGTCATCAACAACCCGGTCCATCGGGATGTGGACCTGGGAAATTGCTTCCCTCGTCGCGTCGATAGCACAGTTTGTTGCCATGATTGCTATCCTAATTTCCTTTGACGGCAAGGAAATATTCGATGGCCCGCTTGTCACACTCAATACTGTCGTGTCGATCCTGGCACTCGGGTCCAAGGCCTCGCTTTTGACATTGGTCGCAAACTGTATTAGCCAAGCCAACTGGTCCCTTTTCTCCGGACCGCCGCGTCGCCTGTATGATTTCGAAATCGTGGCCGACGCAAGCCGTGGGCCTCTGGGCAGTTTGCGATTGCTCATTAGCAGAAGCTTCAAGGGAGGGTGAGAGAGATGGAGAACCCGATCGCGTAACAGACGGTGGAAGGAGAGATGATAGCTAACAGAAATCTTTCTAGAGCTATTGTGCGCGCAGGCGCATCGATTACCATATTGGCCATAGGCCTGGGCCCGTTTGCCCAGCAACTCATCCAGATAGAGCAAAGACAGGCGGTGGAGAATGGTGGAAGGTTTGCACGAGCTCAGTACTATGATTTGTCTTATGCAAAGTCTACCGAACTCAATCTCATGGAGGATGAAGCTGAGAGCTATGTTGCCGTCACCACGACACCCGTCAACTTCGGAATGCAGGCCGCTGTGATGTATGGCCTGACCGGTAAAACAAAACTCATTTTGCAACAATCCGACTACGACTGCCCCGGTAGCCACTGTGAGTTCCCCGAGGTTACTTCTCTAGCTGTATGCAGCAAGTGTGTCAACCTCGAGTCCTCTCTGGAAAGGCGCGAGAAACAAAACAGCACTGTGTTTTCTGTCGCCCTACCAAACGGAGTTACATGGCAAGAGGTTGGAACCGCGACTGAATTTAAGCTTCCGAACGGGCTGTTTTTGGACAATCTCCATAATCCGCAGAAACGACAAAGGGTTCTCATGACAATGCTTGGGACATCAAACTCGAGCAAAACAGTTGGCATGAAAGACATCGACACTCTCATCTGGTCGCAAAGCGTAATCAAGATGAACAACGAAACTGGATATCTTACCAAGAACGAGAGTTGGACAGAGCCAAAGGCTGAAGCAACGGAGTGTGCCCTCTACTACTGTGCAAAGGATTACACTTTTGAAGCCCGTAACGGTACACTTATGGCCACATCTTCCGTGGTCAATGAGGCATATAAACGGAACCCAAACTCATGGAAGTTAGATGATGAAGCCAACATGGTTGGATCAGAATTTGCTCCACCGCCTTTGCCAGCGGACCAGCAGGAGAGCTTGGCTTTCCATAGAAATTATTCCTGGTACACTCGATCTGATCTACAACTCTCCAAGGATTTTACGAAAGATGAAGGTTGGAACATTACCCAAACAGCCGTTGAGGTTGTCAACTATATCGCTCAAAGCGTTTTCTCAACTTGCAAACCAGACGAGAGGAAGAATTGTTCGGCCGTAGCGGAGGATCGAGGCGCGCCGACAGGTTATCTCAGTGATCAATATCGAACAACAAACCTGAGATACGATCCCGAAGTAGCGCAAATTCTCTGGGACTCCGATGATATCCCACAGACCTTTGAGAATCTCGCTATGAGCATGAGCAACACTATTCGCGCTGGAGATAGCATGCAGTCCACTGATGAGGGCAAAGTTCTCCATTATGTCACTGTATACAAGATTCGGTGGGTTTGGGTTGTGCTTCATGCTACTGTCGAGGTTTCTGCGGCTCTGTTCCTCATTTTAACTCTGTTGTACAAGTTTCCAACTGGAGGGAAGATTCCAGTGTGGAAGTCAAGCGAAATGGCGGCGATGTCAAAGGGAAGTCAAGTTTCGGATGTTTTCAAAGGTGCACGCACCCTGGAGGAACTGAACAAGCTAGCAAAGGAAGCTTCTGTCAAATTGGTCATCAAAGACGGCGAGCCCACCGAATTCGTAGGGGAGGAATATGTGCAAATGGTTGGGAAGCAACATAGCTCACAAGAATACCTGGGACGTGGGAATTGAGTGACAAACAACGCAGGAGTATCTAGTTATGTCAACAGTCATGATTATGAGCCCGGTGAACATTGCATACTATCATGATCTTTTCAGAATGCGAGACGAATGAAAAAATTATCCTATTTCAGAAGGAATTGGTCGCCAACATAATATCCATCGCCCTCCATGGATTCATCTTTTGGCAAGTCTTGGACTCCTTCTCCATCCATCATGCCATGTACGTATGCCTCACTTTAGAAATCGTATTAGCAACATTCTGATGAAGTAGTGTACAACACTCACCCGATAAACTCAAAGTCTTTGCCATTGTTGTCAGCTTTTGGACGTAGGACGCAAGGCCAGCGAAAACCAAAGAGGATAGCGATTACGTCGCCCTCTATCACCTTGTGGTTGGCCAAGCCCATGTAGCTGGTGTCAGTGAGGAAGAGCCTCCGCTCGCAATATGCGTCAAGAATTGCTAGCAACCATTCGGCGCTATATCCTAGTTTGTAGAACTTTTCGAGAGCCTGATCCCGCACAGCTCTGTCTTCGGGAGTAGCCTGCGACATTTGTGTGACGTCGAAGAAGTCCATATATGTCTCAACGTATCTTTCCATTGAGATTTCCTTCTCTTTCAAACCGTTGCTCAAAATGCCGCCCAATATCGTAAGCCCAAAGACTTCCTTAACGTCTTCGCCAGTTGGGTAGGTATCTAATCTTTTCATGCAATCATGGTAGACTTCGCGGAGCCCACTGGACTGGAACAGTTCGCCAAAATGGCAATACTGACTCCTGTAGGTTACCTTACCGATGATCTTGCCCTGTACTGCCAGAGAATATGGATCGTCCGTAGGAATGAACTTGTATCTACCATTCCTATGAGAATTTATCTTGAATGGTTTCCCGATCTCCCACTCGCAGCCTTGTCCAGTTCGTTGCCTCCAATCTGGGACCCAGCTCGGCCAGCCTGATTCGTTGCTTGGTTGTCTTGCTGACCAAATAAGATCAACACCATCCGAAAAATCTGTTCTGAATATTATATCGGCCGCATTCGTGAATACATCTTTGACAGATAGGGAGTAGTCTATGGCAATCTGCTTGTCATCTCCGAAACCGCCATCTAGCTCAGAGATGCCAACTACAGAATACACCTTGTCTCGGGGATCAGAAGCCAGGCGAGGCCGCAACTCCTCAAGAAGATCACGCAGACCCCACTTGCACGTAGGCCTCATCTTCTGCCCAAAAAGTTGCGGGTGGTATTCGCTTCCCATCTTGGCGCGCCATGGAATAGACACCATCTGGTTGACCAGCCACATGCCGTCCACGCTGCGACTGTGGCGGCTGTGTATGACCTCCGCCTTGTAGACGAACCACTTGGCAGCGGCACTTACGAGCTCCCATTGCAGAGTGTGGGAGCCGTAAACGACAAAGGCCTTGCGCGCTTGGATGATCTCCTGCACGGTCCACATCCTTTGATACCAAGGTTTGTCAAAGAACTCGGAGAAGGCATCCCAGGACTCCAAGTCATCAAAAGAGACGCCCAGCTCCTTAGATTTCTCCACCGTGTATTTCTCCACCCTCTCGAGCTTCGTGGCTTCGTGTTCCTCGTCATCAACATAGTGGTCCCATCGAAACATGTCTGTAGCATTAGGGAGAGCAATTTCTCCAACCTTCTTGACGAAATCAACAGCTCTCGAGGCAGATTCGGTTTGCGGTCCCAACCAGACGAGGACTGTTTCTGCTTCTATTCAATGTGAGCATGCGGGTCTGATGCTGGGATGGGAAATAGACGTACTGTCATATATTACATTCATTTTACTGACTTGCCTCGACTTGTCGAAGAGATCCTCCTGGTCGATGCATATTTGATCTATCCATAAGGTCTTGTGAGGACTGACTTCAATAATCTCACAAAGTGCCTCGTGGAGTGAGGTCGTGATACTCAGCACCTTTCCATCGCATGGAACGTCGACCCGGGTGGAGGGGTCTCCCCAGCAATAGGACAGCGCCGCGTATTTGATCGGATCATCTGAGTTCAGTGTAACGTGTTGTATGCTTGCTTCTAGCTCGCCTTTTTTGGCCTGGGTGAAAGTCACCAGACGGATTTCCGAGTCCGTTACTGGCGAGTAGGTGTATTTCTCAGGACGTGACATCGTTATGCCCAAAAGAAATTATTGCGCGATTCGTGACGTCCTATTGTGATTCATGTGCGCGCAGAATATCGAAAGTCTTGTTGCTCATCTACTTCAAGATCAGCGAAAAACGATAGTATAGTTGGGAGTCTGTGGCATATAACTCACATTTGGCGTGGCGGTGTATTGGGCTGACGTGAGAAAGCTGTGACGAAGCCCAGAAATGAAACGATCTAATGCGGCCCGGTCCACCTCTAGGCAGCCAAGCTCTTACAAGGACTGCGCTCCTCCATAGTGCGCCCTGTCACCATACGTTTTGCTTCAAACTGGAAATCTGTTCTCCAATAGCTCTAGCATCAACATTGCCCTATTTCTTCCCGAATATTCCATTATCAAGTAAGACACCATTACGAATATCCTCAAAACCTGTTTGGTAAGTGAATTCTTTGACCGCTTCATCTATATTGCTAACCGTGGCTTATTCCCACCAGTATTTAATTAAGTAGCTATGTAATGGGTTGCAAATAAGTAGGAGTTTCATGAATCAGCAATAATCTTCGTAAATCTTGGGACCCAAACAAGCCGAGGACGAGAACTTCCAATCAGAAATAACACAATCGTGAAGTGTTGTGCAAGAACATACAATTCCAACCTCTGGAGAGTTTCATGCTGTGAGATTCTAATCCGTGTTCGCAGGCTGCCCAACAACCTTTCCGAAGTCTAACTAACTTTCCAAAGTCTAACTAACGGATGGCGTATGTTCCCAGATTCTTGTTGTATTAACTTCGACTTAGGGTCATTCTCGATAGCCGTATTGAATAAGCTATTTAACTCGAACGGACATTGTCGGACCCAGCTCTCATCTAGCCATTTACAGAGCAGGAATTTCAAACTTGAAAATTTGGCCTTCGGTAGTTGTCACGTATCCTGATAACCCGTCTTCCGCCAGTGTCAATGAGCATGGCCGCCCCATTTCTGCATTCTGCGCAATCCGAGTCGCGGTGCCATTGGGAAACACTCTGACTACGCTGGGGTTCCGCTGTGGCCCTATATATGCGATCCCGTATTTGTCAAAAGCAAAGTCATCCGAACTGGCATCGGTAGAGATAACCTGGATGTCCCCAGACTTTTGGCCGTCTTCAGTAATGGCGAATTTCCCATAGTAACGAGTGTCCGTGTTGACAAAGTACACATAGCCATCGAGAATCTTGAGCCCGTTCACACCGGGATTTCCAACTAGAAGATCATCTTTCAGAGTGATTTCTGACTCTCCGCTTGTAACATTCACTCTAATGACCGTTCCAGCGAGGGCATCAGAGACAAGGACAATATCAGGCTGAGTGGGGACAGTCGCCAAGCCATCTGGGAGGTCGGCGTCGATGCTGGCCGCAGTTTCAATTTCCGGACTCTGCTCGTTGCTCAATCAACGGTATATACGGTTCCGTTGCTCCAAGGAGAGAGACCTGAACTTGGGATACCAGCTGCGATCGCATATGTATCTTCGCCGACGGAGTCAATTCCAAGGATGCCATAATCTCCAAATGTGGCCACGACTCGGCTGGATGGGCTTTCTGATTGAATATCGATATCCAGAAGAATCCCGCTAGTTATGGTGGTGACAAGAAGGTTGCCGTTTGATCGAATAATGCTGTTCTCGAAGTTGAAGTCGGAATTGTTAAATACCAAGGTTGCTGCGCTGATTGATGACATTTTCACAACTGTCTGTGAGGTTGAGATCGGGAAGCATACGTTTGCAGCGTCAAAGAAGCGAATGCACCAGGCGATTATTATAGCAAACGGGCACTCGATCAGGGGTTCGGGTTTGAAACAGGGCATACGCAATCGCCCCTAAAACAAGCTTCCTTGCCTGGCAGTTTCCAGACTTCCAACTGCCACCTACCCATGGAGCGCACCCTAATTGATATTACCTGCTATATAACCATGCGGCCTTATGGGAAAGGGACCACATAGAGGCAAGACCCACGGGGGAAGTAAGAGAAAGAACGAGCACATAATCAGATGACAATACTTGAAATTTAATACCAAGAGAGTCAACACCCTTCTGTCAGTGCGCATCTTTTATTACACTAGGTTGATGGCGGACGCCTTGCCTCAGCGATGTTATAGACAGGATTCACAACAGCTTGTAGACTCAAGCGGAGAGCTACGGCAGGTGAAACTCGATGGCAAAGCTTTTCGAAATCCGATATACGTTGAATCATACGATTGGAAAATAATCCAAATGTACTACCCATATTAATATCCGAGTGGCTCGTGTGAGAAGAGAGAATGAGAATCATCGTGGCTAATAGGTGTATCTGCGAGCATCATACTCAGTAATCACTTCCAGATCAATCCAACATTGCTCATCTATTTTGGCATTAAAAATCAAGCAAGGAATTTATCCTATTGTTTTTTTTTCTCCCTATCAAAAATTGACATATCGTGTGAGGCTGAAATCGCCTTTTATGGCTGTGCGGTCGCCAGTCCAACAGTTCTTATCGATAGGCCCCGCCACAACGCGTAAAAAGCTCGAGCGTCAGTCAGCACCAGAATAAGTTGAGTCAAAGTCGGCATAAAGTCATAATTGCAGTGATTGGCCTACCTTTTTAGCCCCAATATGCAATAAGCCAGTCGCTTTCAGCGAGTGACGGCTGCCCCGATACCTGCCAAAGCTCCGATAAGCGCCAGTGAAGTGTTTTGCCACGTCCCGTCGCACGTAAACAGACGACAGCGGCACAAACAAAGGGAGGCACCACGTCAAGAAACATTCTCTCAGCGACCGCAGGGCGAGGCGTTACATAAAAAGGAGCTTGATTGCGTCGAGCTAGAGAGGAAGCACGCACTTTTCATCCCTTTCTCATTGACCGTTGGTGATTTTCACCCAATTTGCCCTCGTGAAACTCGCCGCCTCACCCCGCGTAAGCACCTACCAGCAACGCCGTGGTCATCTCAAACAGGCGGGCCTGTTTACTATCAAGAAGATAGACGACTCAATCATGGATAACTATCAGAAGCTAGAAAAGCTCGGCGAGGGTGAGTCCCCCGGGCACCCCCAAAATACCCGGCCTAACCTCCATCACAGGAACCTATGGTGTGGTCTACAAGGCCCGCGATCTCGCCCACGGCGGTCGTCTGGTAGCCTTGAAGAAGATCCGCCTCGAGGCCGAAGATGAGGGTGTGCCCAGCACGGCCATCCGCGAGATTTCGCTTCTCAAGGAAATGAAGCATCCCAACATCATGCGCCTCCACAACATCGTCCACGCCGACGGTCACAAGCTCTACCTCGTGTGCGAGTTCATTGATCTTGACCTCAAGAAGTACATGGAGGCCCTGCCCGTGAGCGACGGCGGTCGTGGCAAGGCCCTGCCTGAGGGCTGCTCGACACAACTCGCCCGTCTCGGCCTCGGCGACATTGTCATCAAGAAGCTCATGCTCCATCTGGTCGAGGGCGTCCGCTACTGCCACTCTCACCGCGTGCTGCATCGCGATCTCAAGCCTCAGAATTTGCTTATTGATAGGAACGGCAATCTCAAGTTGGCTGACTTTGGCCTCGCCCGCGCCTTTGGCGTCCCGCTGCGCACGTACACCCACGAGGTCGTCACGCTCTGGTATCGCGCCCCCGAGATCCTGCTCGGCGGCAGGCAGTACTCTACCGGAGTAGACATGTGGTCCGTGGGCTGCATCTTTGCTGAGATGTGCACGCGAAAGCCCCTGTTCCCAGGTGACTCTGAGATTGACGAGATTTTCAAGATCTTCCAGTACGTTGTCCACCCCTGGCCTTGATGAACATATACTAACCAAGTCTGCTACAGAACCCTGGGAACCCCTTCAGAGGAAGACTGGCCCGGTGTCACGACGTACCCCGACTTCAAGGCCTCGTTCCCCAAGTGGGTTAGAAACTCCTCGGTCGAAATCTGCAGAAACCTCGATCAGACGGGTCTCGATCTGCTCGAAAACATGCTTGTCTATGATCCTGCGGGCCGCATCTCCGCCAAGGCCGCCGTCAATCACCCCTACTTTGAAGGCCTGCCTGAGGGATCTGCACTAGCAGCTTAATATGCGTAGGGGCAGACGGCGGGCACGTGGCGATGAAGAATAGAACATTGGAGGGATACAACAGAGGCAAATTGCTCAAGTCTGGTTGCATTTCTGTCTTTTCCGCTTTGCAAGGGCCACTTAAGGACATGCTACTAAAGGGACTAAGGAGGAGGCGAGCAGAGCGCCTGTAGCACATGTTTGAAAAGCTTAACTCTTTGACATTCCCAAGCTTATAAGTTTCGCTAGCAATTCATCGCATTTTCTGTTACACCAAACCATCGGCACAAAAGTCACCAGAATGATGAATGGGTGGATGAGCAGTACCCTTGTAAGCCCTCTCCTCTCGATGACAATGATTGGCAACGCGCGGTGGCTGTGCACGGCGCTTAATATGCATGCTTACATCCAGCTGAATCGAATATGCCTTGCCTCCCGTCCCCGCCTATAGATTAGGCATAGCTCTATGATGCCCAAAGGTTTCTGATCTGCTCAACGAGAGCATCCGAAACTGCTGCCATCTGTGTCCGCTTCGAAATCTCCCTAGCTTCAGGTATCAATGCTAGATGCGCCGGACTGCCCCATTCTGTGCCGATGGCAACGCAAAATACTATCAGCAGTGCGGATGTGGAGCAACAGGCTATCAGCAGAGCAGCCGCTGCATTTGCTCAACTCCGCGGGGGCAATGATTTGCTCCAAGAATGCATCAACAAGGCAACGAATGTTTCTGAGCTGGTAGAATCCATTGAGAGACGCCACAAGCACCTGGCAAGGAAATCATCATCCAAATTACTCGCACTTCTTCAAAAGCACACGACATGGCTGGACAGCTTTTCTGGACTGATCGATGCTGCCGTGGAGACTCGAGCTGATCTCCTCTGCCCCGTGTGGGCGCCTATCCGGCTCTTACTTCTCGTAAGGAGAATCTTGTGAACCCTTGAGACTTTTGAGAACTTCAGCGAGTTGACGAGTGTAGGCGTCCAGCTTTCACGCCCAGGTTACCCAGCAAATCACTACAATGATTGAAATCATCACCGAGAGCCTACCCCGGCTGGAATTATACAAGAAGCTACAGTCAGACCAATCTCTTCAAATTGCACTCTTGAATATATTCACGGATATCGTGGAATTTTGCGAGGTTACATACAAGTACTTCAAGCGCGGGACGCTGGGTACGTTTCACTATGATATAATCTAAGAGTGATGTAGCTGAACCGCTAAACCCAAATATGAGCAGTGCGCATAGGAAAGTTGATCCTAACACCTCTCAAGACGGAATTTGAAAAGATGTGCAAGCGCCTCAGATGGCATACGAAGAATGTCGATGATACTGCAGTCGCCGTCGAGCTTTTGCGGGCTGCCGACTTCCGAGCCAAGATGCAGGCGCAGAACGCCGAGAATATGAGGTCCAGGTGCGACACCTGGCTGAACCCGGCGAATATGCTGGGTGTCCATCAGGCAAGGTCCCGGACGAGAGTCACCGGCACGTGTGAGTGGCTGTTGTCGAGCCAAGCATACGATAGCTGGGTCAGGACCGAGAGCGACCTGGCCGAGGACAGGCTACTCAGTATTCTTGGCAAGGGCGGCTGTGGGAAGTCCATCCTTTCGTCTTATATTGTAGACAAGACGCAAGAGGGACATGGCATCACAATCTATTTTTCGTTCTCGGGGGCGGATGCACCTCGCCAGACGCTCCAAAGCCTGGTTCGCTCGTTGGTGTCGCAACTGGTTCATAAGCCCGAGTATATAAGCGGGTACGAACTGGTGCATGAACTGACTATGCAGGAAGGGTATTCGATGGATGATCTGTGGACTCTTCTGCATAAGATTCTCGCCTTGGGTACGGCTACTCTATTCTTAGTTGTCGACGGAGTAGATGAGTGTTCTGAGCCAGCCGAACAGCTAGTCGAACAGGTCATGAATATTCTCACCGTTGTTCAATCTTGCAAGATTGTCCTCCTTGGAAGAGCTCATGTTTCGGAGCTGAGAAGCCATAGAAGCAACATTATCGAGATGGACTCCACGGTTATCAAGGCCGATTTGCAATCATTTATCACCACCCAATTCCGCTCAAACACCAGACTTTACAGCCTTGGCTTACAGGATTCCATTTCTCAAACACTGATCGAGAGATCTGATGGCATGTTCCTCTGGGTCAAGCTCATGATTGATGATTTGTCGAGGGCCTCCTCCGTGTCCGAGGTGACCCAGAAACTGGCATGCTTGCCAAGAGGACTTCACGCAGCATACCACCAAATCATTCAGCACCTTGTACAGACTCTGGACGATTTTGAGATCCAACTGGCACAAAATATTCTCAGTTTCGTCGCAGCAGCAGGAAGGACGCTGGAGGTCGAAGAGCTGCACTGCCTTCAGGCCCTGTGCTCCCGGGCCAGCGCCAAAGATTACGGCCCAGGGTCCATACGTAACCATGTTTTTATCGACCCATCCGAGAGGTTTTCGCGCGTATGCGGTGGTCTGATTCACATACTGGATGGAAAGGTCACACTGGTGCACATAACCGCAAAGGAGTTCCTGCAAAGGCCAGCCAACAAGCTGGAAACTCAGAACCACCCTCAAGCGCTGAGCTTTAGGGTTGACCTGGTTCGTTCTCATGAGCTGTTTGCCACAGCCTGCCTCGACTTTCTGCTGCTCGACGGCGCCGGAATGAGCCAGACGGACGCACCACAAAGTCCTATGACCAAGAACATGCGGTTGTTCTTCAAGTATGCTGCAAAGTTCTGCGTCCACCACATCAAAAATTCTGGGCCAATTTCTGAAAGAAGATTGGCGAGAATCAGACAGCTCATCAATTCGGGTGGGATGGTTTCTCTGTACGAGCACTATTTTGTACTCATCCTTGAAGATGGGTACTATGAAGATCTAGAAGATGAATTCTCGAGCTTCTTCCAATGGGCCGAGACCCTGAATCTAGAGCTTGGACCACAGAAGTCTTTCTGCACTGTTGCCCATGAAGAGTGCATCCAGAGATTCGGCGCTGAAGACTGGCGGACCAAAGAGCTGGTGAGTCTACTAACGGACGAACCACCACCAACAGAACATCCGCAGGTTGATCCAACCGACAAGGTGGGAAGCAAGGAGGCCGCCAAGAGAGTCTCGGCCCTTATGAACTTGCTCAAAGAGAACCAGCAACTGCAAATACTAACCAAAATCGATCTGCTTCTGAACATGGGATCACTGATCAGGATAAAGGCGTTGACTGATCCTCTTGAGGCACTCTTCCTCTTGATAATGAGGCAAGCGCACAGACTCCCAGCCGTCTTCCTGATGCTCGTCGGTGGCTTCTACCTGGATTTCAAAAAGCCACGACAGGCTTTGGCTGCTTTCGAGGCCGCTCTTGAAAATGTAGAACATCTCGACACGGCACTAAAGTTTGAGATATTGGATATCATCGGCAAGATATATTATTGCAATCTCATTGATTACACAAAGGCCGAGGCTGCCTACCGGAAGTCAGCATCGGGCAAGCGTGAAATGCTCGGGCCTGATCACGAAAAAACGCTACATAGCCTTGACAAGCTGGCAGACGCGCTTTACAAACAGAAAGATTACGCCGCTGCCGTGGAATTAGGGATGGAAGTCTACGAGAAAATGATGGCGTCACAGCTCAGTGCCACCTCTTCCGAAGAAAAACCGGGCGACGCTTGTTTCGACCAAAGTCAGTTCTACGATAAATTCAGACAGCTACGTCTGATGAGAGAGAAATTGCTTGGGAAAGAAAATTTCGGTCTGACTGGAGTGTCGCATAGCCTGGCGTGTACTCTACATGCACAGGGCTATTTTGACCTCGCCAAGATCTTATGGGCATATGACGTCGAAGCTTGTAAACGGCTGCTTGGGGAGGATCACGCAAATACCTTGATCGCTATGAGAAATTTAGGTACTGTGGTGGTGACTCTCGACCCGCTAGAAGCGGAGAATATATACAGGCAGGTATATGTCTCCCGGAAGAACACGCTGGGGGAGGACCATCCGAAGACGCTTCAGAGCCTTTTAGCTATAGCATATACACAGTACAGGCAGAAGAACTACTTTGCTGCCGAGAAGACATTCCGTGCGGTCATCAGCATCAATGAAGAGATTCGAGGAGATAGATGCACAGGGTTCCTCGATCCTGTGGAGTCTTTGGCGCGGACCCTTTTTTCCCTGGACAGGTTCGAAGAAGCAGAAGTTCTCGACAGGCAGCTCCTTGCAAAAAGGGAGAGCGAACTTGGAGCCAAAGACCCGAAAACTCTACGCATCTTGGTACATTTAGGGCAAACGCTTCGCGCAAGAGGAAATTACAAAATGGCTCTCAAATTGGGGCGAGAAGCACTGCAGGATCAAGAGCATTTATTAGGAAAAGAACACCCCGATACTCTCGAAAGCATGTATCAGGTGGCATACTCCTACCTCATGCTGGACCAGAAAGAAGAAGCCAAACAGGTATGCTTCAATGCTATTGAGAGACAGGTGCGAATCTTGGGCACGGAGGATGTGGTCACATGGGGAACCATCGTTCTTCTCGCCATGATATACACCCAGAAGAGACCGTATTGGTAGAAACATCCTTTAGCGATCTACAAGATAATTACTGTCCTTATATCCCTACCTCCTAGAACTCATTTCATAGTCGAGAATATTATTGTGAGGGGGAATACAGGAGTTTCGAGACAACATATCCGGCTTTCCTTCACCGCAACCATATTATATGTTTTCACACATAAACAAAGTACTGTTTAGTCACTTCCATCTCTTGGGAATTGTATCTACCACAATAATATACAAATAGATACTGGAAATAAAAGGATTGCTTCCTATCGAATCCCTCACATCATAAACCCCAGTCAGACCCGACTTAGCCCGATAATTTCGTTGTAGGTGTCTGCACTAAAAAATATATTTGACAATCCCACTGATTATCCCCGGTGTAGCTGATCTTCTGGCGGTGCAAATCTAAATCGTAGAGCTACTAAGTAATCAAACCAGCACACCCATTAACCATGAAGCTAGTGCAAACCATTTCTTTTGGATAGTATGGGTTTAGAACAGGAAATAGCCTTTAAAAAGCCACATCGCCATTGCCTACAGGGGTGTCGGGCATGACATCAAGGCTAGACTTTGGGGTGACCACTCCTTCGGTTCTGTGAGCTAGTGCAAGCCGTATCTTGGTACTTCTGTGAATTCGAGATGAATTAGAAGTCCAGGTCTGAGCAGATCTATGGGGAGGGTTCTGTGCATCCGTAAGTACTTTGACCTCTCGCGGCGTAAAGTTATTGAGGTGACCTCAACGACTAAGCGTCTACCAGCTTGTCAGACATTTCCATACACCGAGTCTTCGCTAATTGCTGCCAGATAGACAAACTTCAAGCAAGGCATGATTTAAATAGACACAAACTGGGCGCCTCAAGAGTGTCTTGCGGGCGGCGCTGCTCTGCTGAGCTTTCCAGATCTACCAGTACTGAATGATGATCGACTAGCACCATTATCCAACCTCAACTACGAAGCAATTATAGCACGCCTAAGCTGAAAGCCTCAGAGTCAGTTTGGTTCGGCATTTGGTCATTGGTCATTTATCGCCAAAGCTAGAGCCCTCAAATTCTACGAGCCAAAAGTTCAGGGATCACACCCAACCCATACAACAATGGTCGAGGATTTATTTAGACACCGAAGCGCTCATTCCCCGAAAACGGGATAGGCTCGTCGGATAGTAAGGTTATCTTCGACCGCAAGTGATGGGTCAATATGTCACCTGGCGTAAAGGAATGAGTTCAATCATAAAGGGGCACGTACCCAAGGCAGACACCGAGAAAGAGAAGGTTCCCTCCCCTAAACAGTAACATTCAACAGAGCTCTATTCTACCATTTGTGATGCCAAGGACAAGCCATGGAGTTTTTTCAACAATAGTATCACAAGCTGGGACAAAAGCCTTTGGAGGTTATTGGGCAAGATAGTAGCATTGATAGCTAATGAAGAAAATACAAAGTGTTTATTCACGCTCTTAATAAGAATAAACTAAACCAATCTCAAATGGGATTCGAAAATAATATGCTCGATACCCTCCTCTGAATCACTTCCCTCTTCCTCAAATTATATACGGTTGAAGTGCAGTTATACATCCTTAATATTCAGAGCGCTTGTGACCAGGGCGCTTAGTCTTGCCGAAATCACCGGTGCTGCCGGGGATGACAATAGGAGGCTTGAGACCGCCGCCGCCGCGCTTGTGATGAGGACGCTTGGTCTTGCCGAAGTCGCCAGTGCTACCAGGGATAACGATAGGAGGCTTGAGACCGCCGCCGCCGCGCTTGTGATGAGGACGCTTGGTCTTGCCGAAGTCACCAGTGCTGCCGGGAATGACGATAGGAGGCTTGAGACCACCTCCGCCGCGCTTGTGAGGACGCTTAGTCTTGCCGAAATCACCGGTGCTGCCGGGGATGACAATCGGAGGTTTGAGGCCACCGCCGCCGCGCTTGTGGTGAGGACGCTTGGTCTTGCCAAAGTCACCAGTGCTGCCGGGAATGACGATAGGAGGCTTGAGGCCACCTCCGCCGCGCTTGTGAGGACGCTTAGTCTTGCCGAAATCACCGGTGCTACCTGGGATAATAATAGGAGGCTTAAGACCGCCGCCGCCGCGCTTGTGGTGAGGACGCTTAGTCTTGCCGAAATCGCCAGTACTGCCGGGGATAACGATAGGAGGCTTGAGGCCACCTCCGCCGCGCTTGTGAGGACGCTTGGTCTTGCCCATATCACCGGTGCTGCCGGGGATGATAATCGGAGGCTTGAGACCGCCGCCGCGTTCCTCCAGAACGAGGTCGGCGGTAGCATCGTTGGCCCCCATAGCAAGTCCTTGGCTGGCAAGTCCCAGCCATAGGAAGAGGGCGGCGCCAAACTTGTTGATGGCGACCATTTTGAATGAGCCGAAAAAAGACACAAGGAAAGAAAAGAAGAAAAAAGGAAAAGTAGAGAACGGAAGGCCGGCTTCTATCAGATGATTGTTGAGTTTCTGTGTTGTTGATGTTGGTTTGCTGATGGAGTAAAAGGTCGAACTCTGGAGGCAGAAGTGTACAACTTTATACATTTCCGTCCGATTTACTCTGGTAACGCCAAATATCTTTGATATTGAGAATGTCGTAAATTTAGAGGCGGATTCCACCCCCAGCTCTCGATGCCGGCATTGACAAGGCACCTCAACGTAGGGGCATCCTAGCTCCTGCGTATCTTGACTGATATCAACAACCACCCTCTTGGTGACTGGGGGATCTGCCACGCGGCCTCTCTTTTGGAGCAGCTTCCTGGCGTTCGCAATTAACGGGAGACCCAATCCTGTGAGCACTAGTCGGGTTCTGAACCGTGGGTTCTCAGTCTCGTAGCGACTGTCGCCCCAATAGCGGCCGTCGAAAAGACGCGTAGCCGCCAAGCGTCAGTAGTCTCCAGTCGGCCCCGGGGCTCAGTGGGACCCGAACATAACATGAAATGCAAAGTGAGGATTGCCCTCCTTGGCTAGGGCTGCAAGATAAGATGCTGTTGGTTGGGACCAAGGATGCTCCAGCTAATGCAAGGGTCGCGCCCTCATCGTTTCGAGCTAACGGCACTATACCAACCCAGGCCCTTGTTACGGCGAGCCTTATGAGCTATGAGTAAGAAATATTCCACAGATGGGCGAGTTATGAATCCTTCAGGGGTAGTATGTCTCTTGGCGGGTCGCACGACAGGAGGAATCGGCAGTTGGTCGCGTAGTTAGTGAGGCACCAAATTAAACCCCGGAATGGATGTAACGGGACTTTGGCTCACTTTGTCGGTATCTATTAATAACCTAAACAGCAGCAGTTGTACAGTCGAGCTTTACCAACGGCCAGACTTGTATCCCTGGTACTCCGTAGATGCAGCACTAGTATCGCGAAATTTTTTAGCTTTCTTAACCTTGGCCAACATCTAGACGCGATCCATCGCAGTTTCTAAAATAGCAATCAATCCCACCTTAGTGGAATGGCCAGCCTGAGCGATGCGTGGGCGATGTCTCGTCGTCGCACTCGGCTGTGAGCCGGCAGTCCCGATTCGGCGCCGAATCCAGGCATGAATGAAATGATTAGCAAGGATGCTGTTAACAGCAGCTCTAATCGGGGACTCTCTCTCACTTGCAGGATGAGAGTGGTATCTTCTTTAAAAATAGATCCAAGTTAGAATTCAATTCATTTGTGGTGTACGGAGGACGGACTCAGTTAATGCCGAAGCTGCGGATAGGCTACCCTATACCATCCACCAAGTTGGCGCCATTTCAAGCATCTACCTTGGTTTTCCGTAAAAAAGAACTTCATTCACTATGAGTCCGTGGGAAACGCCTGTTGTCTAAGTTGTTTTTTAAACGTACTGCATGCGATAAGTATTGAAACTAACTAAATAGTGTAATGTCTTTAGCAGCAATGAATCGCTGACGCTGTCGCAACATTTGAGTTCTCAATTTTCAGCGTGTGAGATCTTGCCCCAAAAGGGCTTTCGCCGGAAGGATTTTACTATCAAATTTAAGATGATGGTCAGTTTTCCAAGCACTACTTCTCGATAGTGAGCTCGAGGAATAAAGCACTTTGAGCAAGTCCTACATGTGGCCAGTGGTTGATGCCCCGCATCGGTCTACCACTACATCCACATGAGCCGAGCAACAAATTACATCGCGAGTGGACCCAGTTCCCCACGGCTGATGGAGAAATTGTAATATTGGACAGGGAAGCCCATGCTGCAAGCCAGCGGTAGCCTCGGGGGGTTTCTCCTCATACTTCTGCTGCTTGGCCAGCAGCAGTTCATCCGTTGGATGTATTAGCTAAGCTTTCAACGCACATTGGTATTGTATTGAACATGCGTACCAACTAATTTGCTGTTTGAAACTAAGCATTTGACAATGGGAGTGCGTCCCATGCTGGTAGGATGCCTTTTGGGTACGACAATGCATGCCGGTCGCCCGGGATTTGCCGTTGGCCGGCAGTTGGCAGCCGCTCTGTAGGATTGAGGCACATGCAACATGTTGGCAGCCTGATAATGCTCTACACCTACCCATAGTATTACGTTGGATTTCTCTACTTCAACCAACATCGTTGGTTGCTGGCTAAAAATGGTGCGATGCTGGCCGTAGGTAATAACCAACAAGACCTGCCCATAACCAACAAATTAAGGTGGATCGACTCGGTCATGGCGGACATTAGGCAATGGAGCCCAAGGGTTAATTCTGTGCGCAGATATTCCCGATTTGGACTTATGACAGATACTGAATTGCCTGGTTCAGAGTGGTTCTTGGTGCTGTCGTAAATGTTGATGGGCCGGCACACAGGCTCCGAATGGAAGTTGGTCGCCGACTGCTGACTCGCGAAATGAAGAGGTGCACCATGCTTGCTTGGCATCCGGCTGGCTAGTTTCAACTCTATCGCGCTTTGGGCAGTGTCCGCCTCAATCTAGCCAAGTGCTTACTATTCCTACGGCACTTCTACTATTCTGTGATCCAGCTTAGGACTTGCATGATTGTTTCAATGCTGAAGGGGAAAAGCAATATTGAGCAATGTAACCAGAGCGGAAGACCATAATTACGGCTTGGCGTTGAGGTTCACATCCTCGTCGATGTGGTTTGCACTCTTATCCACCTACTGAATGTAGACCACCCTTGACCCTATCTCGGAACCGAAAGTAAATGGTACAGATGTGACGCCCAATGCTCCGGACTTCCGTTTCACCCGAAGGAGAGGTTACGAATTGTCTTTGCCCTGGATATAGCTCTGTCCCTCTCTTCTCTCTGTATGCTTCCCCTTTGATTTGTGAGACGCCAACTATCCGGCTTGGCTACAGATGGACTACGGAATCTTTCTTTCTATGTCCACTGCGAATAATACCTTTTATCGCTCTCTAGCCCGAAAACTCTTCGCCCAAAGGGCCGCCCCAAACAAATCCCTCTCTCACAAGGAGCTATTCGCGGCATACAACGTGCTTCGACTGAATATCGAATCTTGCATAGGATATTACCATTGCTGCACTGGAGGATTTGAGACATAAAATCTGTTCTTCATCCGCCGCATAACGAACAACGTTCGACACGAAACTTCGTAACCCGTTGACCGAGAAGGCGACCGAAATATTGTTATGCGATAGGAGAAATCATGGTTCCTGTTTGTAGGCCCCCTAGACCTACCAAACAGGGGTTGCAGCAAAACAAGAATGAAAGCAAAGAGGTAGTAAATTTATCTCGTTGGATCTGCTCTCAAAACTCGACATGCGAGACCGGTAGCCGTCAAGAATGCAAGGACCACCTATCAAGACAATATTAAAACAGCTGCATTCCTTCAAGTGGCAGAAGCTGATCGAGCGAGAAATAAACCAGGCACTTCTAGTTTCCATGCCATAAACAGTTCTCCTTTTCGCCCATGGTCTGATGTAGGAGTATCACACGGATGTCCTCATTCATACTGGTGCTCTGGCTGGAGCCTACTATTATCCATATGTTGGAAGTTTCCCAGAGCTGAGAGCTAACACCCCAAAAGCTTAATAGTAGCGGCGTTTATATGTCAGAAAGATGCAAAGCCTTCCAGCAGCGGTCGTGGCCCTCAAGAATACTTTGAATAACGAACTGCAATCTGGCCCTTGCGGCTTCGTGGCATCCATACCTAGCAAGGAGCATCAACCTTGAAGCTATTGGAAGAGCAAGCACCGAGACCTATCATTTATTAGTGATGGAGGTTCTCCGCAACCCCCCTTTCCCAGTGGCGAAATCACCTCCCCAAATGAAGACTTCGGACGTTGTCGAATGACAATGCGGAATATAATACCGGGTGAAGCATTTACTGCAAGGTAAGTCTGTATTGCCAAGTAGCTTTTATGAGGGGTGTCACAGCTATTTTTTGCCTCATGACCGACCTGTCCGAATCATTGCAACAGCCATTCCCATCTTTGCCATGGAGCTTTTCCCGCCAACGACCTTTTTCGATGTGTCGACTCTCTCCAAGTTATCTAGCAGATATGACCTCTCGTCCTCGTTCATTGCCTCTACCGTTTGCACGATACACCCCGTCAAGCGGATTGACAGATAACCTAGAGAGGTTGCGTAGGGAATGAACTTCCACAGTTCCATACAGACGGCTCGGTAATTCTCATAGTCCTTGGATATGTTGGTTTCATATAACGCATTGATGTCGTAGACGATTTGCAATATATTTGCCCGAAAGGAGAGAAGCCCAGCTAGCCCCGTGGCAAACGCAACAGAGCGGAATTCGTATCTGATACCGGTAATGCATTCCGGGTCCAGGATCGCCTGCATGTTTCCGCTGTATAAAGCTGCCTGGATGGAATCGTCGATGATCTTTTCTATGTTGTGGTCGCATTTCTCGATTTGCTGAAGGAGCCTGGTTTTGAGTTTTTTGTTCTCATGTGGCCTTGCTTGTATTATTCTGACGGTATGTGTCCACTCGACCAGCTGGGTTAGGAAGCTACTGAATGTGACGGTGTGCTCTGAAAAGCCCTTGATCTCTTCCGAGGTTAGGTAGTCGTAGTGAGTTTCATCTGCATAGCCCTGCCAAGGGGACTGTGTGAATGAGCCGTCGCCACTGGCAGATACAGATTCCTGGGTTTAAGAGTTAGTCAGTTTGTACAACTCAAAAGCGTAATTCTAAGATATGCGTAGGGATGAGCTAACGATAATGTTTAGTCCTTCCCGTGTCAACAGAATATCAAACTTATCATCCGGGTTCGGAGGCGCTTTGTTCGCAAGTACCCATTTCATGGCAGAATAGTGCGAGGACATGTTGTCTAAGATCTCCTTGGTGCCGAAGGATATGGTGATCCGTTCCAACATCTGCATCGCAGCAAGTGTATCGACTGTGCAAACCTCACTGCCACTAATCTCGCGTTGAAGACTTCGGATAGTCTTTCCATATAAGCTTGTTGAAAATAGAGACTGAGGCGAGCGCCGATGGCGATACTCGTCCCAAGCATAACAAAAGAGAGATGTCGTGTTGAGGAGGCACTCACTCTGCGATAGGCGTTGTGGGAGGTATAGAAGATAGCTCATTTGCAAGCAGAGCACCGTGTCATAACCCCAGGTTAAGAAGTGGGCGAGCTGGCTTGCAACCCGATCAGATCTAGCCATGAGATTGACACGAGGAGTTGCCGGGAAGAACACGCCCTCAACACCGTCTCCCTTGCCATAGGTTGCCAGTTTGGTCCAGTTCTGCAATTTCCCCGGCCGGCGTTTCATGTTCCCGTCCGGCGGCTGAATCTCTGACGGCTGCGAGGCTGGCGCTTTTGCCCGGCGATGCGATACGAAGATGAGTGTAGCCGATGGACCTGGACATGTCCGTTGTGAACGCAAGCAGTTTCCGCATGTCGGCCACTTCTCATCGCACTGCAAATAAGTAGTCAGATATGAGAGCAATTGTGAGCTGGGTCAAAAGAACGGCCCACCTTGATCTTCCTCGTCTTGCAGGGCTGGCAGCCTGCTGATTTCGGCCCTCTAGGCATTTCTTTGTCCTGCCATGCACTCGTGATACGTATTTCCTGTTGGTATCCGTTATGTTCAATCTTGGTCACAGGAGGAGGTGTCTGGACTCTGGAGATCCATCCAAGATGGAACGAGGGGAGAGCAGGGGCATCGGCCAAAGCGCGTACCCGTGCCACTGGTAACAAATCGGATGACTAAGCCACCGGTTTTCCTCACTGCGTGACCGATAGAATCTTGAGAGGATCCTTGACCCATGCGCATACGCGGCACCACTTTGCATAACAAGTTGTACGTGTGTGCGGTCTCACCTTCCGGAAGCAGGGATATTTTCTATCCGGGAATTATATTTCGCCTCATCTGGCTATGTTCACGGATAGTTCACGGTCACAACATTAACACACCGCTTCGACTTTGAACACCTCCGACTTTGAACACCTCCGCCTAACTAAGCTGAACTTAGCCACCATGGAGAGAATGCCAGTTGAACTCCTGCGAAATGTTCTGCAGGAGCTTGACCCCTCTAGTCTCAAAAACGTGAGACTGGCAAGCAAGCGATGTGCGGAACTGGCCACCCCTATCTTGTTCAGCGTGATCAAGCTCGTGGGCGAAGGGCAGATTTTAAGTCGCGTTCCTGACCCTCAGTTCTATCCAAAACGCTCCGTTGAGTTTGGAAAGCTGCATGAGTCGATTGCCGAAGTCCTGCCGCTTGCCTGTAATGCAACCCGGCTGGTGTTTGCTCCAGCATTTTACCGAGAAGGTTCGATGAGAACACATCGCTGAGCGATGCAGTTCTGACTAAAGCAACTGACACCCTTTTTAGGATTCTGGGATGACTATCGGGAATATTTGCATGATCTGATGGAGGCACCCGTGGACAAGGATGATTCAGACTTTTCTGAAGACGGAAGTGAGGACGGAAGTGAGGGCGAGGACGAGGACGAGGACGAGGACGAGAGAGAGGAACGTCGCTACGAGGCCCGAATTCAGGCTGTCATCGCCAGAAGAGCAGCCCGGCCTGAGGTCGAAAGGGACCAAATACGAGAAGCCGAAGAGCACTGGAATCTAAGGAGACAGGAGCAAGAGGCAAACAGCGAGAGAGTCGAAGCCTCTCTACTGGAGCTCATCTTGTGCATAAACCTCAAAGAAGTTGAAATCCAAGAATGGGAGTTTTCCGACTTTGGAGGCCTCCATTTCGAAAGGTAAGCCAACAGCCACCTCGACAGGGACTATGACTTACATGGAAGCAGCTACGAGATCGATGGAATTCGGAAAGTCTCATCACCTACCGCTCATCATCTGCATCTCATTGCTCGCTGCCTTCACAAGTGCGGCCGCCACATTGAGAAGCTGAATGTTCGTGCACTTAACCCAGAGGTGATTCAAGATTCGCCCGCTATGCGTTTTGCGTTTGAAGGTCTCCGCCACCTCAGACTCGATATATACCATGTGGACTCTGTTCTTGAGGATTCATCCTTTGACCACGCTCTGCCTAAGCTACTCGAACATGCCGGTCCCACTCTGGAACGCCTCGAATTGGTATGCGGTAGTAGTTGGCCTCAGCTTCCGAGCCGTGGTGTGCATTTATTGGGCAAGATCTTCAACCACAAAGAGACTAGCAAGAGCCTATCTTTCCCCAACCTCCGATCCTTTGGACTCGTCTCTCTGATCGTCAGCACTACCTCCCTGTTGGAATTTCTAACCGCTCAACCAAAGATCGCCAAGGTTGAGTTTAGCTACGTGTACCTGGCAACTTCAGGCATGGGGTGGGAGTATCTGGCCAGCGCCCTTCCTGCGTCTGTAGAGACCTTGGAGGTATCTGGTAGGGTCGGCCATGAACCGATTGCAGGTTTTGAAACTCCGATTGCATACAACTGGTGTGCTGACTGGTCCTATTTCGGGAGGCAGTTGCTTACTGAAACAGGCTGGAAGGGGAAGGGCGCGGGAACGACTCGAACTCAGTTCCGCAGAATCGAGAATTCTAGCAACGAAGAATGAAACTTGGACCACTGGCCTATAGGTAACGCATGCACTGGGTAATGCATTTGGGCCATGCCGTTTTCGCTTCTCATGGCTTTCTGTATCTTGCCCATACTACTGACGAAATTTGTCTTAAAATTAGCAGAGGCCTCAGCATTGACTGGTACATTCTGAGGTATTCTTTCCAAATAAAAACGCTCTTTTTATTCACTCTAGGCTAGATTCTAGGTGCTAGATATTAGCATCACGGTGGTTGTAATCGAATCAAGGTCGCGTCAAGTGCCGGTTGGATGCATGGATGATAGCAAGCATTGGCAATGGCTGATCTCTGTCAAGGAATTTCACGGTATACAAGCACCACACGGTCGACGAGAAATTCCCGCTCTTAGAGACAAACCCAACAAATTTTATTAAGAATCAAGAAAATAAGTAGCGAGTGAGTATATTCAGCCTAATATCACCATTGATTTACCCAGAAGTGCCTACTGTGTTTGTTGTTCTCGCACATGAAGGATTGGACCATTTCTCTCCTTGAACTTTTTGATGGCGGTAGCATAGTCATCCCCCACAAGGACGGGCTCAGACCGAATCATCCAACCGCCGTGTTCAAAGTCTCGAGACTTCCATAGATTGAGCAGGCTGGGACGAAAGAGCGTATACTTTGTAGCCTTATAGGAAACAATAACGTCGTTCTGCATCCTGGGCATAATTTCGTGCTCAATCTCTTTCGCATCAGAACCAAATCTCGAGCCCAGGTCTAGCTTCGTCGTGACGGTAGCCCGAAGGCCTTTAGCCACCTGAACACCGGTGATCATGTAAAGCTCTGCCTGCTGCTTTCCATCGAGCCACTTCTTGATCGGCTCAGAATCCAGGGATTGGCAAATGTATCCGGGAAACTCAAACTCTTCAGGATCGAAATACCTTGTTTCCAATGTATCGCTCACAACACTTAGTTGAGACGATACAGAACAATTGAAACGGATCTCAGGGTTTTCATGATTGGTTGAATGACGATCCCTGAACGTAACCGTATTTTGCAGGCTCTGGGGGCATATATACACGTGGCCGTCTGGTATTTCGACGCGGTGCGGCCCCCCATTGAGTACCTCGAAAGGGTCGGCAAGAGACTCAAGAAAGGTACCCAGAACAAAGGGACCATCAGCGTTATTGGGGTCGAGCTTTCCATCGTCCAGGGGCATTTCGGCTGGTATGCCGAAATACTCAGGGACGAGGTCAAGAGAGCGAGCACCAAACATGTTGCAGAGAGAGGTAGTTGTATTGAAGAACAATCGAGGAATGAGAAGCGTGGAATGAGGAATCGATGGGTAGGTGGAAGGCAGATCGCGGAGATAGAAGTGGTTGCGATGAAGGATAACATAGATCCCAGATGGCGGTCGGATTTTGAGTTCTTAGATAAAAAGAGCACAAAATTGTCAAGGCCTCAAATAAGACAATCCAAGTGGTAACAAAATACCTTGGAATTGTGCCGAAAGACCTACACTTGTTAGATACAGTTGGACAAACAGATTTCATTGTCTTCTTAGTCTAGACGTAAACCAGTTACATGCTATGGATTTGTTCCAAGATCTATTATACCCACTCGGTGAAATCCAAGCAGAAACGGAACAACCTCTCTTTCAGGCATTGAACCTGGATGCTTTGTGATTAATGGATGCAAAGAGATAATGCACAGTGGATGGCATCTTTGAACAATTCTGCTTTACCTAGGTTGGCTAAAACCAACACCCTCAGAAGTTAGACACTTCTTTGTTCAAGTGAGTAGGTTAGTAGATTAACTAACTACGCGTCGCCACTAGCGAGCTGCTCTTTTAACAGTTTTTTTCTTTTCTTTACCTAGTAGATTGCATTGGTGTCTCCTTAACCGAGGCTAAAGGGATTTACTTCGATAGGTAGCTAGGAGGAACACACTCACACGGGCTGTACTTTACTGGAGCCAATATATATAGAATCGATCATATCTTTGCTTTTTATACCAATAAGATGACTAAAAATTGCTTTTGGGCTAGCTAATACAAGGTTCTTTTCTTGATATTCTTCTGACTTCCGGGCGGTCATACGAAGTTGGTCAGAAAATTTCCCTTTCATCTTCCTTCCTCGTACATATAGACCAATCTGTTGTCGCCATACCGCCTCAGTAGGTTGGTCACACAAACCATAAGATAATCAGCACCAGAATATTAGCACCAAAAGTGCTAAACATCTCATTACCTATCCAAGTTCGCAATACCGCCATTGGGATCGAAATACACCCTTTCTGGTGTAATAATCCAATCACCATCAGTGTGAAATTGTCCGCCAGCACGGCGAAGGCTGTACTTCCGAAGCCCATATCCAACAATAACCTGCTTGCCTAGCTTGGGAACGAGGATATGGCTCATCTGATCTCTCACATCGGGACCCAAGTTTGATTTTAGATGAACTCCCGTCAAATGAGAAATCTCAAGGCCTTTGGCCACTTGGATACGATTAACCATATATAGCTGGGCCTCTCCCTTGCCTTCAAGCCAACTTTTGACTGGCTCAGTACCAACAGTTTCGTTAAAGAATTTATCTGTCCCATCTCTTTTGAGAGAATAAGTTGTGATTCTATCGCTTGTGGCTCTTATCTCAGAACTCAAGTCGCCATTGAAGGTAAATCCGGGCTCATGATGTGTATGAGCAAGGCTGCAAGTTTTCGTTGAAGAGCATTCAGCTGTAACACCGTCTCGTAAGCTTAGCCATGGAAATGTATGTTGACCGGCATTTAGGGCATTGAAAGGAACCATAGGGGCAGTCAAAATACAACCCAAGACAAGAGGGCCATCAAGGTTGTTAACGTCATAGTCTGGAGACTGAACTGCCAGGTCGGCTTGCACGGGACAGTACGCGAGAGGCCCATTTTCCCTGCAGCCAAAGAAAAGAAGCTTGCTGTGTTGGCTCATGATGAATTGTAACCGAGAATAATCTTGCGCTGAGGAATGCCAAAGGAAATCGTCCAAGCCAGAGTGAAATTGAGGATATATGTAGTTCAGATCTCTAAATTGAGAAATGCTAGACAAACCCGGTCATTTCACGAACAACTTGATTTATACGAAGGGAGGACCGCACAAGACGCTCACAAAGCCAAGATTATAGTAGAAGGACGTATCTTTCATTGGGGTGAGAACTTTGACGAGCTACCTGGAATTATTCTTTAACAAACAATTGAGCAAAGCCCAGATCCACAATGGGAAAAGAGGCAACAACGAACAAGGGTCCAGTCTGTATGGAAACCGAATCTTAGCCTCTGATATGGGCAATTCTTTGTATGATGAGGCTCAAAGGCTGGAGGTTAAATTCGCAAAATGAAAGATTATTCGAATGGGTGCGCCAACCGTGAACTTTACGTTCGATAACCGTCAAGATTCCAGAGTTTCTATCTAGCGAGTAATTGCCACACCAAGGTTTGTATGAGATCAATTCTCCAGCTTTATGTGCTTTCTTATTCACCAGTTTTCATTTTCGAACGGGCCATATTCTAAGTTTACTGCACAATGCATAGTGATGAATCTAAGTCACCAAGGAGAAGTATAGCGAGAGATGTTGATAAAAAAAATTGATTTGTCGCAGTCATTGGGTGTTGCCATTCCAATGCTGCTCTGAGGTTATCCCCTAGCCCTGTCTTCATCCACCCGGATGTGGGTGCTGGACTAGTCATACTGGATTTCACTGCTGTAGTGTTCTGAGCTGTGGATAACGTGTTCTATCGTTTCCTTTCGATTGGCACTTTGGTTGCCTGGCAGCTCAGCTCAGCTTTGCGTCCGACGTTCGTCCACGGCCGTGACTCAGCCCGGCCACTCCACTGTGGAAAATGTTGAAATAATAAGAAGGCCAAGGCCAATCTTTCATCTCTTTTTGAGTCGAGGCGTTTTATTTTCCGAATGTTATCACGAACTGGCTCATGACGGCGCAAAGCACTTCTCTTTGCACCTTGCCGCCAGAGATCAGGATCTCCGTCGCTGGCCACCTTGATGCAAAAAGTCTGCTTGCGCTCAGTCTGACGTGCATCCTCTTTCGCCACCAAGTTCAGTTGACTTCGGACCAGCGTCTCCAGATCCTACTTCAACTCGAGCTCCTTGTTCGATATGGCGGTAAAATGAGAGTCTACGGACAGCGACCGGAAAACGGAGGAGAGCGGTTTGCGACAGCGCAGCAAATAGCGGATTGGGGACGGTTTCGATGGGCGTGCTCCGGATGCCTGCGCCTGCTGCCTCATCTTGAGTTTGACAACCGATTCATCTTTGGGAGATCGTACCAGAAGCCAGTACACATACGCCCGAACGATCACGTCTGGTCCTGGGATTCTCGCCTGGATGAGGTTGACAGGCGATTGCTCGGTTCGGGAGAGAAGCGTCATTTGCGCCAATGCAACGAGTGTCTGTCTCGCGGAAGCTCCTCATCTCTCCGCTACGTGGACGAATTCTGCTTGGATTCTGCAGTAACCACGCCCCCAACTCTGTCCCGTCGTATTCCGGTTGCCAACAGCCGCCGAATACGTTGCGCATCTGCAACAAACAGATTCTTTCCAGGTTTTCTAGACTTTCTTTCGCGAAGTCTGGATGAATCGAAGGAGGCGCCCAGCAAACGGACTGTGCAGTACCTCGGATACCACTCACGGCTATACCCTGTTCGCTCTGTTAAATGCTACCTACTTCGTTGCCCGTCATGTGAACGATGGAAGGAGTTACGATCTTTTCCCGTCCCGTGTAACGTCTCCTATTGGAGCGTTAATACGGAATCGACTAAAGAGAGGCTGTTTGTTTCGTCTGATCGCGTGCTGCAGTTTGACGAGCACCACCCCATTAATTTTGGCTGCATGGCGTGTCTAATTACCAAAGGAAACGACCATGACTCTATTGCTGACGTGGTGCTGACCCTGTTTCAAAGCGAGATGGATCTTGCGATCAGGGCCGAGGAACAACGCTTGGAGGTTGGTTGGTACACGATGACAGAATTCATCAAGTCCGAGTGGCCCGAATCCGTCCGCCAGGAGCTGGAGATAGTCAAGGGAGTTCTGGACGAAAGCAGGCAGGGAGGCACGAATCTAGATTTGCGGCAACTGGGAAACTCTCGAAGAAAGCTCCGGGATTTCATGGATGAGGTTTCTAGAGACCCTTCGTTTCGACGCGACTGCTGTTCGCAGAGTTGCCCACGGTCGACGGTGGTGGCATTTGTGAGGTACTACGATGCCACAGTCGAGGAAATAGATTGGCTCCACGAAGCAAAGGCGGCAATAGAAGCGACGCCCGAGCTTTTGATTAACTGGGCGTTGGATCCGCAGAACATGGACAAACCGCCATGGGACCAACCCGACCTTCCGGTGCGGAATTTTAGCTCTGATGAAAACTAAATTTTTGGTAAAGATATAAGGTTAGAATATGGAATGCAACCAACTCATTAAGATGTAGGATTGCTTATGCTTGATAGTACAGATGGAATCCCAGCTCATGCTATCTTGATGGGATCAAGTTCATGTTAGATATCTGAAGTTGGTAGTCCAACACTCGCAAACAAGTGAGCTGGATCAAAATCGACATGTTTAGATATGGATGAGGAAATTTCCGTTTATCTTAGCTCTTAGGATATGTAATTGTAGTGTGCTTGGCTGTTTGTTTCATTTTGCATCCATCCTAATACCCTCGACTCCTTGCTCTGCGCTGTGTCGTAAATATTCTGATGCCGTCCCCCTTGGCCGAGAAAGGCAAGGAAATAGCATAGTTGCAACTCCGGTGCTATATTTCGTAAGAAAGCCTTCCACTGTCCCAGACATCTGCGTTCAATATTATGTCTGGCTTGGAGTCTGGATGTTCTTTCGCCATAGAGCAAATGAGAGACCAGTCGATAATATCCACATCAGCTTTAACCCATGAAACCTGGGACCCTGGGCATAGCAGTTCCAGTTGGGTGATCAAATTCGCCGTTTCGTCCGCCAAAACATTTAGTTGTTCGATATCTTTCCTTGACCTTTGAACTGGCCTGCCCCTCCGCCAAATAAAGTCCTTCAAACTGAACCTTTCTACCAGCGGATGCTCTTCCTTGCTTGGTATGAACCGTGACGGCTCCGAGAGATGCAAATGGATGATATTCTCGAGAATATCTTTAACCTGATTGTGTATATCATCATTCTGCAGCAGAGGATGAAACTCGCTCAGAGTAGGAAAATCCGGCATGAGAGGGAACCCGTTGGCGCGACCCCATGTGTAGAGGCGACTGTCCTGCCTAACAAGCTTATCCCTCACGGCATAATGCTTTTTCCCGAGGCGTTTTAAGTCTTGATGCTGGCTCAAGTATTTGCATGCGAGCTCATACGGTGCTTGCAGGGTCTCGGGAGAGGCGACCATCGGTGCGGTTTCGGCTATCAAGGATGCATCCGCCAAGATGAAAGATACTTCCTGATGATATTAAGTCGCGGATGTGATGATTCTCAAAGTGAATTGGAGGTGATTGGAAACACTATTTGAGTAAGCTTACGCTGAAAGGGTTGAGGATGAGCTGACTGGCACCCCGCACATCTGCTGACAGCCGGCCGGAGTATGCCTTGCGTGACTTGGCCAATCAAGCGGGCATAATGACCGTTTCAGTCATATTCTGCATCGTCGGTTACGGTCGGTACACAAAGTTACTGTTCTCTAAATAACGCCTTGAAAGGCGTGATTGGCCTGTTCTTGAAGACTAACATTTTCGCTCTGCTGACTAGCCAAGCGGCCGAGATAAAATATAGCACACCAGAGCTCTTTTCGTGCAAGCTAGAGACCTCGTTCTTTTATAAATAATATTCTAAACAATAACAGTAAAACAATAAATTATTACATATTATTTAGCTTGATATTGTATAATAACTGGGCTAATTGTTTTGGTATTGTGTCGAAATCTAAGGCTGTACGGAGGTTTTGGTGTCACAATCGCTATAATTTTGCAAAAAGACTAATATCCTCAGCCAGAAGCCATCTCAATATCCGCCTTGCCAACTTCTTTCCCATCATAGTGGACCGAGAATATAAGGTGGCCTGAATCATCATCAAGTCGGGTGCGCATAGTGACGTGGATATTGTACCAGGTTTTCCCATCTTCAACAAGACTTTCTGTTCTATCAAGATCTAAAAGATCTAGCGGTATTGAATATCTGACTCTTCCAACTTCTTCGATTCCTTCTCAAAAGTCAGACTAGTTCACATGACATAAAGGATGGATCCTGTCACTTACTGTCGCTCTCGATGGTCGGTGGACCGTCATCCAAGCTACAAGAATAAAGAGTCATCCGCCCATGAAAAAGGGAACATTCGGAGACCTGAAAATAGATTTGGCCGTCGATTTCAGTTGAAGAATGGATGACAGTGCCCTATATGCGTGTGAACGTTGTTAGCGATTGTCACATGCTTGGCTGGAGGAGCAGCTGTGCGGACCTTGCCTATACTCCAGTTCATGAATCCAGACAAATAGTCGGCCTTACTGAACCTGTCGTAATGAGTGAAGCGTTTTAGTTTGTTGTATCCTGCATGAAGCGAGGGATTGTATCGATGGGAAAGTGTATAGCCATAGTGACGCCGGCATTTTTTTTCTTTGACAATTGAACCCTCAAGCCCTCGGAGGACCGAGCCACGAACGATGGCAGACCATCTGGAGACATCAGTATATTAGACAAGTTCAGAGGGTGTCAAATGGACATACCCGTCTGTCCACGGCAGTTTGAGCCGGATCCTTCGTTGTTTGCACCAACTCTCCAATCTTTCGTTGAGGTACGGTGAAGATCCGAAGCCACCGACTAGGATGATGGTGCTGATGGAAGATCCTTCCCGCCGCTCGACTTCAGAAACTTGATCTTGAACCAACTTTTCGATCTTGTCGATGACAGGATCAAACAAGATTTTGAAGTCTTCCGGCCTGAGTAAAACAGAAGATGACCGCTTCTCGTAATACTTCTGAATTTCCGGAGTGAGTTGCAACGAGGGCATTGGAAGAATTAGGCGATGAGGCCGTTTGCTGGGATTCTTCATACTGAAATCCTTTTTCTTGAGCTCAAATTGATCCATAAATGAACTTGCTGGGCCAATTTGGTCGGCCCCGAGTGATGTGAAAGCCTCGCCAAATCGTTCAACCATGAGCTTGAAGAAATTCCTATCCACGAATGTACCACCGCACTTTCCGGCTGGAATCATAAGTGTCACTGATGTTGCCTACCTTAATTAAGGGAACTGAATGCTACTCACCTGCCCCAACGGCTACCTCCCTTAGTTTTAGGGTAGGATGTGTTCTTTGGATCTCGTATGAAGTAATGTCCTTGATATTGTGTCAGTATTCTGCCATTCACGGGGTCATAGGCCTAACAAACCACAGTACCACCGCCGCAGTCGCAAACCATCACATTAGTTCCCGTCTAAGCACTTCGTAAGAAAATTGAATTGGCGGCGAGATTGTGGTGTTTACCTCGACGAAATTGGCCAAAGTATGCAATCCAGATTTGAGTGCCGCATGTGCTGCTGCCTCTGGTTCTGGGATAAGCATGATTTTGTCACTCTCCTTGGAAGCAAAGCCGGCATCGAGAGCGGCACATCTTGTGAGAAGCTTGGCTTTCTCGCTCCATGTCGCAGGGACAGTCAGCCAGTAGTCAATTGGCATGTCATTGAAACCGTCTTCACCCAGCATTTCAACAGCAGCCTTTTCAAACATGTCATACATTCCTTTCAAAAATCGCGTGGCGACGGTGAGCGCTGACTTGCCGGTGGGGAGCATGAATTCGTCTCCTCTGGAAATAGAAGTAGCTAGTTCTGGATCATCATATTCTGACTGGAGCGTGTCTTTATCTAGAAGGAGCTTCGTTAAGGCGTACGCCTTCATGTCTGGCTCAATTTGATAACCCCACGCGTCCTCGTCAAGATCCTTATTTTCGCATGCAAAGGCGACTCGCGTTGGGGCTTTCACGGCCATCTCAGCATGATGAGATGAGGCACCAGGATACTTAGTCCAAGGCTTGATATCATTAAAATCAGATGCATTGATAAGGCAAAACTGAGTCCTTAAGCTTTAGTTTTAGCCTTCTATCCAGCCTCGATGTTTTTGTTTGATATAAACTCACCCGAATACGTAGTGCCATAATCAATTCCAACTATCAATTTCTTTTTGTTTCTGAAAGCCATGGCTGTAGGAGGTTTATTTAGCAACGGCAGAGATAGTCTTGGCGAGAGAACACTAATGGAAATAATTTATGCAAAGTCAAGACGAGTAGTACTTAGTGGTTTGAGGGATGAGGAAAATAAAAGACAACAGATAAGTGCCTCTGCTCGTGGATTCCAACGCATCAAATACTGCTTGATAATAGTGCAGGTGAGGGAGCCTGATCTCATGCATTCTGTATCTGGCTGAGACGAAAATAGAGGAGTGGAAGAACGGGTTGCAGGCGGGTCGGCGGCAAAGCAGGTCTCTGGCAGGCCTAGTTGCCCCCAATGGCTGTGCTAAATGCATTGCTCTTACTCAAATCAGAACCAGTGAACTTGCATGTACATGGGGTGGTCTGAACAGGCTACGAACCTAAGACGCGGCTGATGGAACAAACCGAGAACCCCGGCGATGTTGGTATCATTCATCCAGGCTGGGATTGGTTGGTTTACGCGCTGTGGCTCACACTTCTTACAACTGTGGTCTAAACACTGTTTGTTGGCTGCATCAAGACCATGCCAGGCCACCTTAATGTTTCAATTTATGCATTCATTTAGTCAATTTAAAGTAACACTCGTATTCAAAACAAAAAAAAAGAGCTAACCAAGAATCGAACGGACAGATGGCCGCTTACTGGCCCATAGTTTCATCCCCATCGACACGGCTGGAGATCCAGGCCAACGCCTTCAGCCATGGAACCTCCGCTTTCACATCACCAGGTCTCGCCAATGGTTGAGAAATAATACTAGGTCTCATGAGCAGAGCAATAGGCCGCCCTTCTGTCTGCGAGCCTAGAGTGGCAAGCGCCTGGGCGTCAGCATCCATCCAGGGAGACTTCCAACGAAATGGATCGTTCGCGAAGCGGTTAATGTAGTGCACGTAGATATAACCCCTCTTCTTCCAGAGTCGCAGAGACAGGTTTGCAAAGCTCTGGATTATCTTGACCAGATCACTCTTCGCGTCCTTGTCGTCCCAATATATTTCGTTGATCAAAAATTGGAAGTTATTCAGAAAGACTGTTGCAAAATATTCCGCTCCCTCTGTCGTCATGGGTGTAGATTTCTCTAAGGTTTGCAGTGTACTGATTCGCCAGTCCATAGCGGCATCAGGTTGCACTATGTTTTGATCAGTTCAATCGTTACATATCGCGTTGGAGAAAGTCATACCCTTGGCCAAGGCCGACTCAATTGCATCGAGGGCCACACTGCCTGCAGCTTGGCTCCCCCCGTGCAACTCGGGGTTGATATCCACGAGAAAATATGGGGATGCCAAGAACTCGCGACAAAGAAAGCTGGAAAGCGCTGCTTGTAGCAGAGGCAATGACGCCTCACCATCACCTAGTCCCAAATCTAGTTTGAGAAATTCAGGAGCCCGAAGGTAAGCCTCGTGGGTGTTTAGGAGACTCATCGAATGGAGACGCGCTGCCACTTGATCTGGATCCTTCAACTCTGGAGCGCAAAGATCCGAGCACCAAGAAAAGAAATCCCCCTGGAAAAAGACCCTCAATGTTTCTCGTACCTTGTCGTCCGGTAATTCGTTTGAGACGTCAGAGGCGAGATCTGATATCTGCCTGGCACGAATGTTAGTGACTACCGCTTCCTGTTGCTGTATCTCTTTCTTGGCTGATTCTAGCTGAGCCATTGTTGTCTTCAATTGGGCCTCAAAATGAGAGCGCTCCTGCCAAACTGCCTGGCATTTATTTGCCCAGTTTTGCTTCAATTCTTGGGTTTGGTGCTGGTGCATTCTGCCCTGTTTGTGAAGGCGCGCGTTGACCTCATCCAACTGCTTGTCCTTGAAACGGAGTTCATCTTCTAGTTTGGCGATATTTTTTTCGATACTGTTGTTGGGTTCTTCCGTCCGATCAGAGAATAACGAGATTGAGGAAGTAAATCCAGAGAAAAATCCCCCGCTTGGTTTTATTACACGGTGATTCCGTGAAACGCTCCGGAAATTTGTTTCCCGTAGATCTTCAGGTCTATCGATACGTTGAGAGTCCTGATGAGCGCCTTCGGAAGAGTCAATCGATACCCCGACCTCGCAATCAGCGTTGGCTTTGGATAGCCCTTCGTCTTGATTTTTGGCCTTTTCCGCACGGGTTGTGTGACTTGCACCTCTCTCATCATTTTCTCGTTGAGGAGTGAAGCTAGAAGCTTTCTAAATTAAGTGATAGGTAAGCTGCTAGAACAACTTGAAAGGTTTATTTCAACCCATACCTTATATCTTTCTTCTCTGGATGGGCCATGATTATCGGGTGATTTAGGGTCTCTATCTCTTTGCGTTGCGTGATGACCAAGAGATAGCTCGAATCTTAGTTAGTCCACCATTCTCGAGTTTCACCTTGCTAGAGCAAAAAACTTACCGGTTTGCTCTTATAGCCAGCTGACACTGCTTCTTTCATCATCGGAGATTTTAGTGATCTTGCTGTGCGGCACTATGGAAAAAGTGTTTTGAGGAGGACAATTTGTTACGACAGGAGCAGTAAGGAGTCAGGAGGATTGAAGTGAATGAACAAGAGAAGAGAGATGCTATCGCGGGCCATGAGTCTACCCCATTCGCATAAGGCTTCTGAAATGGGCCGCGCTTGAAACAATTTCCTTTACGCGCGCTCTCCTGCATCTTGCATTAGGATGACTGCAGGAGCCGGTGCATATGGTTACATTTAGGGCCAACAGATTCGATTGAAATGTGGAGGAAATATCCACGGACAAGCGACTGACATAAAGCATAGCACATATAGGCATTTCAAGGTTGAATTTCAACGCAATATCCAAATAATAGACCCAGTAATAAATTCCACATTAAGCTAAATATCGTAGAATAATTTATTAACCTCTTCCTATTGTATTTAGCTGAAAATAAGGACCCTGCCTTGCGCGCGAAAAGAGCTTTGGTATACCCTGTTTCATTTCACACACTTGACGGATTAGCCGCCGCCCTCCCTGTTCTCCCACTCCTTGACCAGCTTCTATGGAGCGCTTTCCTTTTCTTAGACGCTGTAACCCCTGCTGCGTGCAGGGTCGTTCTGCCGTTTCTCGTCCCATGGCGAGTAGCCGCCCGGTTTCTTGAACATCAACAGAGGGTTGAACTTGGTAAGCTCAAGCTGCTCCTTCTTCTTACCAGCCTCCACGGCCTTCTTTTCTGTGTATTCTTTTTGTATATTCTGTGTTCTTTTGTGAAGGTATTCTGTGTGTTCAGGCCACCTTGTGTTCTCGGCTCACTATGCTGGGAAAGAGGTTGGCAAGCGGGAATTGAACGGCTTCTACCTGAAGGCACTGGCTTTCTTGTGACGTTATATCGATAGTGTCATTTAAATTTTATTCTAGCAATTCTCTCGGGTAGAAGTGGAGAGGAATGGTCACTGCTACCAAGAGCCTGGGACATGCCCAAGATTGTGTCAGAAGTGTTTCTGTAGGCAAAGGACTAATGATGTGAAGTAGTATCTACTTTCTAAACTAATTAGTCTAGAAAAGGATATCATCCCGAATGACTGTGATATCTTGAGAAGATCCTACAGTGGTTCTTTGCCACAGTCGAGCAACGAACCGGCTGGAGCTGAAACTATCTCTAAAGAAAGGCGTATTAAGCATGTGAACTTGTAGGCGCATCTGGCCGACAGGTGGGTATTCTGTGGGTGTTTATGTGTGTGTGTATGCATGTCTCAATGACTCGGATAAAACCATTCTGCCATTCGTCGAATCAAGCCACACAACCGGCTGAGATCCGTATACAGTAACCCCTCAATGCACTTTGCTATTTTGCCCTATCAGCGCGCCCGGGACTCAGTCTTGCATAGAGAGGGGGATGATCTGCATTGATACTAAGCCGGATCTAACTTGAGGTGCTTCTGCAAAACGCCTCATCTGCAGGAGGCCCTCCCCCTTATCAAATGAGGGCCTACAAACTCTAAACGTAGGGCCTGGAAGTTTCTTTGCATGCTTTCTTGGGGCTGTGTTTTCGCGTTATTCTAGGATTTATCCTCGTTATTTTGCATCTTCGCTCACCGACATTGAGGAGACGTGGCTTCGTCACTAATGACAGAATTTAATTTCCCAATGATAGGCTAGGCGTAAGACGTTATCTGTGTTGCACCGCCGCCGGTGGGCTTCTTTTCGTCATGTTGCCTTGGAGGCCAAGGGTGGTAGAGTAAAGTGTAGAATCCATATGTAACCCATTACTATAAATTGGGCAGCAGCCCAGGGCAAACGTCAAAACATTTGGCTGATAGCAAGAAAACTTCCATCGAGCAAGCCATACATTGACTCATTTTATTCACCTCGTACCAGATTCCAAGACACACTTCATCATGAACATCAAGCCAGAACCTCTTAGCCTCGTTGATTCTTCTCTCCTAGAGAAAATCGATGCGCTCTTTGCATGTAACCTCGGCCACGACGTTGACCTCCCACAGCTCATCGTGGTCGGTCAGCAATCCAGCGGCAAGAGTTCGGTCCTGGAGGGCCTCACCGGCCTCCCTTTCCCAAGGGACAGCAGCCTCTGCACCCGGTTTGCCACTCAGATCATCTTCAGGCGTGCCCCGAGGAAGAGCATCTCGGCACGCATCATACCATCCAAAGATAGTAGCTCTGAGCATCAGGAGAAGATGAAGGACTGGCGGAGAGACGAGTTGGCAGAGCTTGATGCAGACTCGTTCGCCGGGATTATGCGCGAGGTAAACATGCAATTTCTTGACTGGACCTATAAATATACTGTTGGCTAAATTAATTCGAAATATAGGTTATTGACTTGATGGGTGTTGGTCCAAATCAGGAGCCAGGATCGCCTGCTTTCTCCAAAGATGTCCTGGTCCTGGAGATTGCGGATCCTACCCAGGAGCACTTCAGCGTCATCGACGTCCCAGGTACCTTCAAGAGAACCACACAAGGCCTGACCACCAAGGATGATATCGCTCTTGTCGATAACATGGTCAAGGGATACATGACCAACCCTCGGTCCGTGATGCTCACGGTCGTGCCCTGCAACGCCGACATTGCCACTCAAGAGGTCGTCGAACAGGCTGAGGATCTCGACCCCGCCGGAGACAGAACTCTTGGCGTGTTGACCAAGCCCGATCTTGTTGATAAGGGTGCCGAAAACGATATCATTGAACTGCTTGAGGGTAAGCGGCATAGGCTGAAGCTCGGCTGGCACTTGTTGCGCAATCCGGGTCAGGCAGAACTGGCCAAAAGCCAGAGTAAATCGCGAAACGAACTTGAAGGGGCGTTCTTCAGGAATGTCGCTCCGTGGAATAACCTTGATGGCGAACTTGTTGGCGTCAAATCGCTCAGAGATCGGCTTCAAGGAATATTAGCCTCCCACATTCGAAGGGAATTCCCAAAGGTGAGATCTGGCAACTCTGAGGGCTTATGAATCAAGCATCTGATGTCAGAACTCGTCGACTGATGTAATTTCGATAGGTCAAGTCCGATATCCAAAGCAAGCTGAGGGCGGCTGAGAAGAAACTCAAAGGCCTCGGGCCCGCAAGGCAAGGTCCGATACAGCAGAGACAATACCTGATGAGGGTCGCCGGGGAGTTTCAGGAGATCGCCTCATCTGCCATTGGCGCTCAGTATTCTTCGTCTCCTGATTTCTTTGATGAAAACGGCAATCATCGGGTGTCTACGAGAGCAAGGCAGAGAGCCGAGGAATTCTCCAAGCTGATGACTGAATCAGGCCACAGATTTGATTTTGCAAGAACTGATGATGAAACAGATGAGTCTAACGAGGGCCTGTTGAAGGAGGAGCGGGCCATGACCACCCGGACTGTTGTTGAAAGTGACGATATCGAAGACATCGTTTCCGTGGATGACGACGTCGAAGATCCCTATCGCGAGGGCATTCTTGACTGGCTGACGGAGCTATACAAGAGCTCCATTGGGTTTGAGCTTGGAATTTTCAGCTCAAGCCTTCTACGCACAACAATGCAGAAGCAGTCCCAGAAGTGGAGGCATATCGCAAAAGGATATATCAGCGATATCATCGCGATTGCTCACTATTTCGTGTCATCATTGCTCCAGCACATCATCCCAGACTCACGCGTCCTCGAGGGATTGAGCTCTCGACTGTCGGACCACCTCAGGGGAAAATACCTCGAGGCTTTGGAGAAGACGGATTCTCTTTTGCGAGTTGAGCTTGAGGGTACACCGGCGACACATAATTCCGTCTTTGCAGGGACACTTGACCAATGGTGCGCTTCGTCTTAAGGACATAACTCGAGTGGGAATCTGAAGCTAACTGTCAGGTTCATAAACACAGCCGACAACAACGTCAGAAGACACGGCTGAAGGACAAAACGATTATGATCACGGGGTACGGAGACATGGTCCGTCTGGATGATGTGGTTTCCCAACACCCACTTCAGAACGGGGAGCAGATGATCCAAGAGATCCACGACATTCTCAAGTCGTACTACCTACTCTCTCGTAAGAGGTTCATTGACAATGTTCGTATGCAGGTGGCGGACGACCTTCTGGTTACGGGACCAAATACACCTCTAAAGATCTTCTCGTCAGAATTCGTCTCGGAGATGACGGATGAGGAACTTGATGATGTGGCGGGCGAGGACCCAAATGTGAGGCGTAACAGAGACGCCGTCCAGGAAAAGATCAATTTGCTTAGGAAAGCACTGAAGATTCTTCGTTGAAACGGGGATATGGGCCACTGGCACGATGCTAATTGACGCGGGTTAAGAATAAAAGCTGTGTAAATGAGATAAGACTATGAGATACTTGACATTGATTTTTAACTATTATGAAGCCCAACAACACAACTAAGACGAGGGTGACAAGATTTAAGATTCGAACAGGACGCTTAGAGGTATCAATACCGGGATAAGAAGTCAGAGTCCCAAAGAAAGAACGAAAAACGAAAAGAGACAAGTCATTCCTGATCTACCGCTGACGACGCCGCTCGCTTAGCGCTACGCGCAGCCTCGACCATCTCCCCGATAAGCTTCTTCATGCGGAAGCCCTCAATGATGGTCAGCCGCATCGCCTCGCTCACGAAATCAAACGGGGCCCCGTTCTTGCTCTTCATGCGGCTGGTCCTGACCTCCTCCTCGGTGACCCAGGCGTACTCGGAGTGCTCCTCCGGCCGAAGCTCGACCTCGTTCCACTCGGTCCCCGGCTCGGCCATGACGAGGAAGGTGACTACGGCCCACGTCTTCCCGGCGGACGGGACCAGGCAGACGCTGAGCTCCGGGTCCATCCTGGCATCGCGGCCTTCGTCGTCGATCCAGACGCCGGCGTTGCCGGCGATTCCCAGGGGGATTGGGCAGATGATGCACTGGGCGCGCAAGCCCGTCTCCTCCCAGAGCTCGCGCACGGCGGTGGAGATGATGGTGGGGTCCAGCTCAGGGTCTGCGGTGCCGGCAGGGACCTCCCACTTCAGTGGATAGGAGTCAGAGGCAGACCGGCGGAGGAGGAGCGTCTCGTAGTCCCAGCTGTCGCGCACGCTGGCGAGGGTCGGGCGGAAGACCATGCAGCCGGCGAGCACGTTGTGGATGTCAGGGCGCGAAGCTAGGAAGTCGGAGGGAGACACCGACAAGGCTTCGGTGCCGGGCTGGAGGATGACGGTGCAATGAGGAGGCCCATCGTGGGCGTTGCTGGAGGTGCCCTCGAGCTTCGAGGAAGTTGGAGCTACTGCTGTGGTCATCTTTTCATTTCAGTACAGATTAAAGATGGATGATGGTGGAGAGAAAAGAGAGACAGGATAAAAGAGAAGATAAGGGAGGAAGGATGATACGGAAGAGGGACGCTGGCTATGGCGAGGAGGCAAGCGCTGCCACGACTCAAGGGCGAACGAAGGGTGCGTAGGCAGTGCGAAGCTGTGAGACGCAATCACGGCAATGCATCACTTGGCGTACGCTCGCACAGTGGCAAGGGGTGGTGAATCGGGGGACCTGGTTCGTAATGCGATGCTGGGTGTGGGTGATGCGAGACGAGAGGAAGGGATTGACTGGCGCCACGATGCAAGAGCGAAGATGCTGATGCTAGGCAGACACATGGAAAGCGGCCAACTGGTGGTGGTTTGTTGGTGCTTTCAATTTGAACCGTGAGGCAGACTTCCACCATTACTGACTGGCAGCTGTCGCTCGACTCGCTGTGGGGGCGCTGGACAGGCGCCTCAGCGGGTGATTTACAGGGGACCCGCTGCTTCAGTGGTTCCAAAAAAAGCCCAGACACCACCAACAGCCGCTGCAGGAAGCGATCCCCATTGGCGATCTGGCCAATCCTTCGTCTCTTGAGATAAAAATACCACGCCAGAGGAGCGGTCTCATTTGCCTTCCAGCAGGGGAACATGATGCGAGGTAAATGCGTTACTATCCAAAGCAAATCTCTAGGGTCTAGACAGCGATTCATATACATTCCTCCCGCGCAGCAAGTCAGTGCTTCATTAATCAAAATGTCTCTACCAGCATGCCAGCTAACCACGATGGTCCGCCAGCAACGCTCTCTATGTGCTCCTGTGCTCCCCCATGCTCAAACCACAATCACAGCCTGGTGCTCGAACCATGGTCACAGCCTGGAAACTGAAGCGCCCTTGAGGGGACGCATGATGCTCTGCTGCGTCATGGACGCCACAAGGACGCCCGACTCGTCGTACAACCTCCCCTCCGAATAGGTGCGCCCGTTGCCTCCGCGCGAGGTGATCCTCTCCCTCAGGTGCCACCTGTCCATCTTCACCTCCGTGACGAAGATGCGGAGCGCAAAGTCCAGCGACGAGCAGGCGCCCGCATCTCCGAACCCCATGTGGTTGTGCGAGAGCGGGAGGAACGACAGCGCCCCGTCCATGAAGAACGAGAGCACGGCCGCGTTCTGCGCCGGCGTGGTGACTGGGACGTGTGATCGCTGCCACTCGGCGGACTTCTTGGAGGTGATGGGTAGACTGTCCTGTGTTGTGACATTGCCCTTGGCCGCACCAAACAGGTTTTGGGCCGAGACTCCGTTCACGCAGAGCCTGGACTCGAAGAAATTGTTTCCTACTCCGATGGATTGCTTGAACCCCTTGGCTTCGTCATCCGTCACAAGTCCCTTCTTCCTCAGTGTCTCCGCATAGTCAAGGTAGCCCGGGCAGTCCTCGGGCTTCGGATAGGTCCCAGCAGGCGGCGCAGAATACTCCAGCAGCGACGGCTCGCTGACATGGAAGTCGGCGGTCAGCTCCATGCACGGGCGAAAGCTGCCGTCGGCCTGCTTCTGCTTGACCTGGACGCGGCGCGTTGCAAACGATCTGGTTGTCCGTACTTCCTGGACGGTGCAGTACAACTTCTGTTCGGTGGACGCAGGCCCCAGGAAGTGGCCGAGCACAGAGTAGAGCGAATACTCTGCGGGGACTGTTGCGCACGCCGAGCTCACGGCGACTGAAATGGTGCTTCCTCCATAGGCGATCGGTTGCGCGTTTCCCATTCTAATTGGTTTCGAGCGCGAGACGAATTCGTTGGCCTGCAGCTGCTCGACCGCGACCTGCTCGATGATGGAGTGAGCCATCTTGTTTAAGATGTGGGAAATGGTCGTAATGCTGGTCTTCCCGGTGCTACCAAAGGTGAGGTAGACAGCAGACCGTCTTAAATAAAGGCCAATCCAGGCCCCTTATCTAGATCCTGGGGAAATCCTCTCGGTGGGTCGACCTCGGCCCAAGAAGCTGCACCATCCCGCCTTCGTAAATGTATCAATCATCTGCATCGCCCTACCGAGGAGTTAATCGGGTGGATTTGGTAATGACACCGACTCTATCTGACTGAAGGTGCCGCGCCCCCATGACTGCTTCAATCAGCAATAGCAGTTACAAAGAAGCAAATAATCGTTCTTTTATGGCTTTTAGAGGTTATTTCTGGGATTTACTGTTGGGTTTATTGTGTAATTTTGGCACTTCCGCGGCCACTGCCTGCTGCGAAGTTGCCTACCCTATAGCCCACCCCGGTGGGACAAGAAAGAGTAAACGTAGCGATAGAGAATCTCAGAATCCAACGATATTGGCTATCCCGACCATCAGTTGTATACGATTTATCGTACTTGAATACGCGTTCCTTTGCGATACCGAGCTAATTCTTAGCCTTGCGGTGTACCTCTCATGGTTTGATCCTATACCCTCAAAGCCCAACTATGTAACAGAATTTTAGGGCAGACAGGAATAAGGAGATCAAGGGCGAAGAGCAAAGAAGCGAGAACGCACAATTCGGCATATACATAGACGGGGATGACGGGGATAACACGTTGTTTACGCATCGGAGAATTCGTTAAATATGCACAATACTGCTGCAACTGTGGGCTCCGAGGAGAACTTGATCCATCCATCGAGATCGTAATTAATCGGCGGATGTACAAGTGTGGGGCCTCCAGGCTGATAAAGCCCACAGTTAAGCCGATTTCCAGGGCTTAGTTCCGCTGTCTTCAAGCTCACTGACGGCATGTTTCTTCCTTTTCAACAACCGCCCTTTGTTTCGCCGATCAGCGCGGCGGAGAAAAGCTCGAGGCTGTTCCATCGGCATCACTCGGCATCAGAAGTTAGCGAGTCTCAGGTACAGCGAGATGGTGGGTGTCCCGGGGAAGTCCAAGGGATGCGAAACCTGCCGCCATCGTAGGGTCAAGGTAGGATCAACCCAGTCGCGTCTGACCGATAGCTACTCACACACCAGCAATCGCAGTGTGACCTGCAGCGACCGGCGTGCGGCCGATGTTTGAGGACGAACCGGACGTGCCCGGGATACGAGCGTGGATTGATCTTCGTGAACAATGCGCCGCGGGAGACAAAGGGTGGTGTGGCTGTTTTTCGCCCCAAGCAATATGCCCGTGACAACGTCTTGGTATCGCGGGTGCGCGCCAAGGCCAGCTCCTCATCACCCCTCCGTCTACTGCCGCCCGGACTGGCGACGAGCGCGAGTGAGCAGCACCTGATTGGGTCCTTTTGGTCCAGTTATCTCCCCAACGGACGCTTAGCCACAGACGAGGTCATCAAATTCTCCATGTATGGTTGGACGAATGTCGTCGATGAGCTATATCACAAGACACCGATGATCCGGTTCGCGCTATGTGCCTGCGCTCTGGGATTAAGGGGGCTCGGGGAAAAGGACCCCAGGTTGCTTCAGAAGAGTTACCAAATGTATGGGAAAACTCTCTCCAGTCTGCCAAGATGGATCAGAGAGCCTGAAAATCAACAGCGGCATGTTGTGCTCACGACCTTGAAGCTTTGCTTCTTATATGAGGTGTGTTGCATTCCTTATGGCATCATGCCATTTTCTGACTGTTTGCTAGATATGGCTTGGTGCCAAGGATGAAAGCTCGCTTCAATTCGCGTCATGGGTCGCTCATGTCAAAGGCAACACCGCTTTCATACTGAGCTGCGATCCGGGCATGTTCTCACACGGTCACGCGCATCGCATGTTTGCGGATTGCCGGTTCGAGACGGTATGAACCGAAAATAACATTTGTAGATTTGATGTTGCTGACGTTCTCCCTTCAAAGGCAGTTATTGCAACCCTCACTCGCAAGCCTACGGCTCTGTCTACATCCAAGTGGAAAGATATTCCATGGAAATGTATCCCAAAAACCCCGAGAGATCGCTTAGTAGACATCATGCTGGATTTTCCCGAGATCACGACGGAAGTCAGTAGATTGGATCTCACAACGAGTGAATTCGGCCAGCTGTTCCAGCGAGAGAAGCTTATAGAGAAGTGTTGGTCGATTATCCGAGACCTCCGAAGATGGGAGGATACCTGTGGTGCAGAGGCCGTCGAGTTCGCAACCAACGGAGTGAATACCGAGTCTTCTCCAGATCCTCCCCCTTTCGCCTCTGAAGACCTCGCCAAGGGCCATATTATGCTCATATATTGGGCACATTGCATCATGATTTGCGACATATTTCAATCGCAAATTAGGAAAAGTTTAAAGCCGAGGACGCCAGCCGCCTGGCCTGAATACACGAAGCCAGCAACTTACTGCCGCAAATTAGCCAGCCTTTTGCGGTTCTTTCAAATAAACAAGTCGGGCTCTTTCTTTATGAATATGATTCTCACAACGACGGCATACTGCTTTGAATATCTTGGCAGAGAGGAAGAAGATGGGCCGTCTATAGAAAAGGCCATCCTTCTGAAAGCATTGCGTGGTCATATCGACAAAGACGCGGCGATTTTTGCCAACAGTTCCAGGGTTTTTCTTAACACAATAGCCAATCAGCCATATTTGAAAAACTTAATCAAATAAAAATATATATCAAAGACGAGTGGCCACGGACTCAGTCGGGCGAGCCAAGGCCGCAAAGGGGGCTGGGAGAAGCCGATAGTCAGAAATATATACGGAGAATCAGCTGAGCCATCTTCCTCTCACTGGGTGAGCATGATCACGATCTGGTACCACTTACGATCTCAGATTCTTGAGCAGCTCTTATAATCCCCCACCTTGCCTGCTACATTGCATTTCGCTGCTACATTGCAATTTCAAGCAACACTAATATCGTTCAGAAAACCCTTTTTCGCTCAAGTTGCAACACAATTAACCAACCTCTAGCAACAATTTGACATTGGAATTGATACGCTCAAACACTATTCTGCGTGTTGTCGAGTCTGCAACTATTATTGTCATAACAGCGAAAGCCAATCATAACTATCCAAGAAAGAACACTAGAACTACAAATTCGGTCATTCTTATAATGCATCATCATCTGACCATTGCAGAAAGCGCCCCACTTACGACTGCTCTTCAGTTTCGTGTCTTATTTCTTATGTCACCTAGTTGACTGGGTAATTTACCCGGCCTTCAGTACCTTCCATTCAAGTTGACGCTATAGCTCATCACACTTCGGGCTCGGGGGAAAATAGTTCTCCGCGGAGGACCGAGATCCCGCTGCATAATGCGGAGTCCGGGTATATCTACCTTCACTACTCCAATACTATCAAATCTCATCTCGGAGATTACCAGGGAAAGAAAGAGAGAGTCTATCTGTTCCTTATTTAAGAACAATGGCAAACCTTGATAGCGTTGAAGGCTTAGCTGAACTCGGGAAGACCCAGTAAGTCTCGAATTCTCCCCAGCAATAGCGCATTGCTTCTTAAACAGCCATTCTAACATACTTCAGCCCGGAGTTAGAAAAGGTATCTCCGGGTTTGAACCTAGGGTTCTGTATCAAATGTTGACAGCCCGTAGCACCTCGCCAGCGCTGAACTGAGCCCGGTGGTAACTTTACCCTTTGAACAGGTTGCGAAGCTATTCAAAAGCAATCCTCAGCCTGCGCCACCGACTTCGGACCTCGAGTTTACTGCGCAAGCATTGATGAGAGACGGCTACCAGAGCGAATACCGAGTTCATAGACCCGACGACTCATCTATCACCCCATTGGTAGTCCTTGTTCACGGGGGCGGATTTGTTATTGGCCACAATAGCCACATCAGCGTCTACTCGCGAGCCATCGCCAAGCTTTATGGTGTGACAGTCGTGAATGTGTCTTACCGACTCGCGCCGGAGCACCCATTTCCTGCAGCGCCCAACGATGTCTGGGACGCTCTGAAGTGGCTTACGCGACCTGAAGCTGCACAGGAGCTCAAACTCGACACCTCGTTGGGGCTATATATCGGCGGTGTCTCCGCCGGTGCAAACATGGCCGCAGTCACCGCGCAGCGATGGGTCACAGACCAAGAGTCTCCCAAACTGAATGGCGTGTGGCTCAGCATACCGTATGTGCTAGAAGCTGACCTTGTCCCATCCAAGTACAAGCACCTCTGGGTTTCGAGAGAACAGAACGCGGACGCACTGATCATCAACAAGAAAGCGATTGAATTCTGCACCAAGGCTTACGCGCATGACTTCTCGTCGCCTCACTGGTCCCCATTCGCCGCCGCCAATGCACACACCGGCATGCCCCCCGTGTACATCCAAGTCGCTGGCCAGGACCCCCTTCGAGATGATGGGATTATTTACGAGAAGGTACTTCGGGAGCACGAGGTGTCCACAAAATTGGATGTTTATCCTGGTGTTCCACATGGGTTTGCTGAGGTGTTTCCTGAGCTTGAGATCGCTCGCAAGGCTGCTCTTGATACTTTGGCTGGATTGGCTGGCTGATGGGGAGAAAAGTGGAGGAGGCCGCTCTTGCGAAGGCGTGGGATGACTCTGTTGCTATACAAAAATCCGAGTAGTTGAAAAAGATATGTATGGTACGGTGACAACCATCTTTGTATGAGAAATACTCCTTGGAAGGGCGCTCGTGGCAACGCAGAAAGCACATTCTATCTAGCTCTATATAAGAGTATCAACTTCTCGCGTAAAGATGATGCCACGGCGCACATAGGAAGGGTCCAAATATAAGTGAACCTAGCACTCCTTTTCAATTAGAGGTCGGGAGGTCAGTTACTCCTTCATCCCACCGATCTCCTTTTACTCCCTAGTTTCATAGTTTCCGCAAACTAGGGATCACAAACGGAACGGAATCCGCTCACATTGCTACTTTGAAGTGAAAAAACGACATATAATTTGGGTACAGCAATACGAGCATTGCCACACAGGTCTGTACTGCTCGGTACCAGCTCATCCGGGAACTTTTACCGGTCTCTCGATGGCACGTTGCTCTCTAACTAAGATCAAGGCCACTTGAAGGGCAGCTCTAGTTGAGCTGGAGTCCGAGCATCAACTTGAGCTTACAACTAGGTACATCGTTAGAACTTGTGCCACCACGACAACACGGGATTGCTTACGACGTATCGGAATCCTGGGAGCTCCAGGTCTGTCTTATCTGAAAACTCATCACTTGGTGAACTCTGATCTTGGCCCTCGCTCAAAAGCGCGTCTCGTCTCTTATTCTCGCGAACATAATATATGCGCAAGAGAGTGAGGAAGATAGCTAGCGGCGTTTAGCATCTCTGTCGCCCAAAAATATACCGTGAAAGAAAGTACTTGCCTTGCAGCCCAATGCATATGATGTCTGCGATGAAAACTGATCGGTAGGCAGGTGTCTCGCCTGGCTTAACCGTGAAGGGGCCGGTGATGTTTCCCAACGCATATCCAAAGAAGGCATAGGAGGACAGTGTAATACGCTTTGTGTATCCCGAGCTATTCACTCCAGGAAGAGAAAGTACGATGAAGAGGCAGGTAGCAAAGGGCGGAAATAGATATACTATAAACGCAAATTAGTTTTGACCAAGGGCAGATGTGGATTTGAAGGCTTGCCTCCGATAAGTAGTCCAGCTACATTTGACCTCGGGAGCACAATCTGCAGGAGGAGTCCAATGAAGGTAGGAACCAGCATGCCGATGCATACATAGATACGAGCATTCGGTAGCTTTTGTGCGAGCCAACCTCCAAAAAGAATACACACCATATTAATAAATCCCTGCGGAATGTAGATGAGAGTTGACTGAAGAGAGTCGAAACCGAAGCTCTGGATCGTAAGAGTGCCAAAAGCCCCAAATCCGCCACTATAGTTATGTTAGAACAAGCAGGGATACATGTGTGCACAGTGACCTTACTTCAGGACTTCATTGCAGTAAATCGTCAAGAATAAAAGCAATCCTTGAGGGTCTCTGAACGGGTTGAGGGCTTCTTGAACTTGGTTCCATTTGAACTGTCGATTCAAAATTCCCTATTTAGTTACATTATTAGTTTGGGGAAGTCAAAGGAAACTAGCATTTTATTGAGCTCACGGTCTTGTTGCTTCGAATTCGGTGAACGGCGAGAACCCTTTGCTTTTCAGTCAAGAACCTGGCCGTCATAGGCGATGCTGGGAGGAAAATGAACACGAGTATGCCTAAGTACTGTCAGTATAATTGTGAATATACGTTCGGAATTGGTGTACTCACCCCAAACAACGGTTATAAGTCCTGAAATCGGTGAAGCACAAGTGTTAGCAACGAAGGCCTGATGATCAAGTCGCCTGGAATGACGAACCGTTGAGAATAAAGATCCACTATGAAGGTGTTAGTATCTTTCGTAAGAAAGCGATCCTGAATTCTGTCACATGCCTTCCAACCTGGAACACCTGCGTTGACCTGCCCCATGCCATAAGCGACGATACCTCCGATCATTGCTTATCAACAAGTTAGCTACCACAGCCAAGAACACTGCCCCCCCTCGAGTACAAACTCACATCCGAATCCGTTCGCACAGGCCCAGACACCGGTTCTGAGGACTTGCTCCTTCCTCGTGTAATACATGCCATTCTGTCCATGGTAAGCTCTATGTGTGAGAGACCTTTGAGTTGAGACTCACAATGAGAATGAAGGTTGGGGTAATCAGTGATTCGAAGCCACCCAAAATGAATCGTAGAACAGCCATGCCAGCAAAATTTCGAGCGCCTGCCGTTGCAATAAGGATCCCACCCCAGAGCTAGCGTGAAGAATTAGCACATGCGAGATTTCACGCTGATGATGCCGCATTCAAGCTTACCACGATGGCAACGCCAATGAAGCGACCGATTGGGAATTTCTGAGATAACAGTGTCGTCGGATACTCGAAGACCAGATACCCGAAATAAAAGAGCGAGGATAGCCATGAACTGATTGATAAGGTGTGAGTATACAACCCCAGAAAGTCTGGATCATTACCATTTGCTTACTATTGCTTGCCAACGAGGCCCAGGTCTTTACTCAGTGTGAAGACCGAGGCATATCCAAGACAACTTTTGTCAATACATTGAAGCGCGTAGGTGCTGAAAAGGAGCGGTAAGATGAGCCTGTCCAGCTTGCGGACGATATCGCTGTAGTCACTGTCTGTTGCTGAAGCCGTGATCGAAGCCACATCGTAGTTTTGCAAAAACTGTGTCGAGCACACATCAGTAACACGGCATCCAGACTTGCTGCTTCTGAAAGAACCCACCTTCCCTGCTTCGTCCTGATCGCTCAAGTAAGCTTTAGGGTCGTTCGCTGTAGGGTCGACATTGACTTGAGGAGACTTCGTTGGCTCCTCCTCGATGGTATCGCTAGCCATACTCCCTGTACTCTGGCTTGTGACGGTCCGACAAGTGTGAATGGAGCGAAAGAGAACCCTAGGAGACTATTCAGATGGCCAACTCTGAGCAGATTATTGTCAGACTTCCAGGTCGTTGATATCTGTTGCTGGTTATCGAATTCTGCCTAACGCCCGCTTCCGAGTGGCAAAGTGTTGGCAAGATGGTAATAATGGCTCTGTAATATAGTGGTATTCGTCGCATTCCGATAGTAGATACTGATAAATCAAACTCAAAAGTTCCTGAAAGGGGAAATTCCAGCATCTTGGCAGAAATAACGGAGATGAAGAGATGGGGAAGCGATGTCTAAAGGACAAGTCCTTGATCACGACATCACTTTCACGTTTCTCGGTGGGCCAACCCAACCCACATATGTGTGATGGTAAACTTCCACCTGAACTCAAGGTGAGAATACACTAATCTGATTAGGAAGAGGACCCATATTATGAAGACTGTCACAACTCCATGATGGGTTTCACTCCTCTCTTTCTTCTTCTTTCTTCCCTTCCTTCGGCTAATAATAATATTAATTAATCTGTAAGAACTACTCGATTTCATAATTCTACTGAACCAATACTCAAGTTTTCTTTTCGGTTTTTCTTCTGGCGTCTCGATGTGAATATCATGGATTACCATGCCTGTAACACCCTATTTGACGTTAGGGATAGCCCAAATCACGCCTTCACAACCCCAGCCTTGCGTTATGGGTAACATGTCCGATATCGTTCTCTCCAACGAAAGTTGCTGGCGGGAATAACGTTTCCGGCACAAACGCTGCCGAGATATGTTATTGAGGCATTTATATTGGGCTTTTCTGGATCAATCTCACTATCATCCCATGTCGATTGGGTTGATGATCGATTTCTAGATGTACTTAATTGGCCACACTGATCATTCAATCACACCATGATGGTATTCCAAACTACAAACGGAATTAAGGATTCTCTAGGTTCTATGAGGACCCCGGCTCGGAGCCATAGCCTTGGAACCATCGTTTTGGAGCCACCGCCTCGGGTCGAACTTTAGAACCACGTTGTTGGGAACTCCTCGCTACCAGCTCTTCGGTAACTCACTCAGACCAATCCTACGCAACCCAATCAAAACGGCGATACTATGGGCGGTGCATCTTCTGTACCAGGGACACTACCCAAGGCCCCGACGCAACCTCCTGTCTGGCACCCCCTCAGCCTAGAGGAGCATCCTATCGACCAGGCCCCTTCTCTCAAAGTAATTGTGGTTGGCGCTGGGATTGCTGGGATCAACGCAGCCATTCTGCTACCTGCAAAGGTCCCAGGACTCGAGCTGACCATTTATGAGCGGGAGGCAGACATCGTAAGACTTCCAGGCACCGCATCGGTATACGCAATGGCTAATGATAAGACTAGGGCGGAGTGTGGCACCAGTGCACATATCCGGGAGTTCGCTGTGACGTCCCATCGCACGTCTTTCAATCCACATATGCACCATCGAAGGACTGGTCTGAGCACTATGCGCAAGGAGCGGAAATCAAAGCCTACTGGAAGCAAGTGGCTGCAAAATATGACGCTTTGAGATACATACGCTGCAACCATAGTGTCCAGGACATCAAGTGGGATGAAGCTAAGTCAAAATGGCTCGTCACAGTGACATCTGACAAACAACAGACAGTCGATGAGGCTCACTTTGTAGTTTTGGCAACAGGCGTCTTCAGCCATCCCACGCTCCCCAACTTGCCCGGGCTGTCCGGCTTTGAAGGCCAGGTTGTCCACAGCTCCAGGTGGAACAGCAAGTTTGACCCTGCAGGAAAGAACATTGCCATCATTGGAAATGGCTCCTCGGGGATGCAACTCTTGCCGCAACTGCAAAGGGTGGCAGGCCGCATCGATCACTACGTCCGGAGCCCGACCTGGGTCGCAGGAAGCTTCGGCGGAGAAAAGATTGACAAGGAGAAAAAGGTACCGCCCGAGGTGCAGGCTACCTTTGATGATCCTGAAGCGTATTTGGTGTACCGAAAGGAGATTGAGAATCGTTCCTTTAGCGGGTACGGAAACATCATGAAAAACAGTGACAAGGTAGAAGCCGGCCGCCAGAGATTTACTCAAATTATGAAGAGTCGCCTGGGAGATCGCACAGATATTCTCGAAGCAATCACGCCCGAATTTCCACCCAGCTGTAGGAGACTGACACCCGGGCCTGGATATCTCGAGGCATTGACCCAGGGGAATGTGGAATACATCACTTCACCTATCCAAGCTGTCACAAAGCACGGGATCGAGACGCAAGATGGGAAAGAGAGGCGCGTGGACACTATCATCTGCTGTACAGGTTCAGAGAAATCACTGTCACCTCCGTTCCCCGTGAGAAGCGGGAGTGTCGACCTCTCAACGGCATGGCGGCCGGGTGGCGAGATCGGGTTTCCCAACACCTACATGGGCATTGCTGCTCCGGGCTTCCCCAATCTCTTATTCATCAACGGTCCCCAGGCCAGTGCAGCTACGGGGACGCTTCCGTTTGCAACAGAAAGTCAATTAACCTTGGCGGCCAAGATTCTACGAAAGGCTCAGTCACAGGGAATCCGGAGCATGGCCCCGACGCTCCAGGCGACAGAAGATTTCAGAGCCTTCTGTGAGGCCTACTTCCCACGCACTGTCTTGAGTGAGGGGTGCCGGTCGTGGTTCAACGGTGGTCAGAAGGGTGGCAGGGTCATAGCCAATTGGCCGGGCAGCGGAACGCACGCAAACATGGTGAGGAAGGAACCACGCTGGGAGGACTGGGAGTATTCATACCAGTCTGAGACTGGGAACAGGTTTGCATACTTCGGAAACGGGTGGACTGTCAAGGATGTTGAAATCAACCGGGATCCGCCGGACGGACGAGATAGAACTCAGGAGGTTGACATGACGCCTTACTTGACTGCGGCGTCGGTGATTGGTGATTTAGATCTAAGAGCGTACCACGAAGTCTGGTTCGAGGTATAAGAAGTGATATCAGCGCTCGTTACCAGTACAAACAAGCCATCCCTAGATATATGACACCCCGCACTTCAAGTACAAAGCCCAGTCGTTTGTGGTGAAAACAACCGAAAGTAAATAGAAAAAAAAAGGTCAATTATAAAAAATCTCAAAGAAGGCAAGAATAATAGACGCCAGATCAAATCTTAGCCACAAAGAAGTATTGTCCAAAGGACCACAGCAAAAAATGTTGTTAGAACTAGCTACTACGGATTTGTAAAGTTTATCTTCGAGGCCGGTCTTAGTAGCACCGGATCCATGCCTACCGTCCTAGAGAGTGCCCAATCTTCGATAGACTTCCACTTGACGCACATCGATTTGGAGCTCGTCCGGGTCACTGGTTTACGAACGCTGGGATCACCCCATGAGAACGAATAGAGCCCGGTGTTTGCATGACACATGATGCTGATTCGTAGTGCTTCTAAACAATGGTCTAACAGATATCAGTGTATGGATCTTGGGACCGGAGATGGTCCTCATGGTGGAGCTCGCTTGAAGTCTTAGCGGCTAGAAAACAAAGTGCAATGCGCCAATGAAACTCACCCAGGTGTCCTTGAGTATATTTTTCGCCTTCTTCCGTCAGGTGAGGAAGATAGGTCTCTCGGAAAACATAAAAACGCAATTGGCGCTTGTATGGTTGGTTCATCTTAGTTTTCATTTCGCTGATATCTTGGCAGGGGTTCAGGGTCTCACCAAGCAATGAAGGTCGTGATATACAGAGACTGTGGCCAGATAGCCACCTCCTTTGACCATAACAGCATCGTTAGGTGACTCTCCAGCTTTCTCTAGCTCCTCACGCGTAGCGTTGAAAAAGATAGCTAGACCGGAAGGGTCAGTAAGTACTTAAACCAAGACAGAGATGTCATGGAAACACTGACGACCGACGAGGTTTTCCCATGCTCTAGCCTGATCAGGAGTAGGAGCCCCTGAGTAGGCGCTATATTTACCATGATCCACAGCATTTTCTTTGCTGATCTCGTACTCTAATAAATGGCGTACAGGCGCTAGGATGTATGGTGTTAACATTGTGGCAATGAGTAGAAACAAATAGAACTTACACCAGCTGACGCCCCCAGAGACTTTCGAATATACACGGGTTGTGTCCCATAATATGATGATCAAGATCAGAACGAAAAAGTGAAGTGCAATAAAATAGAGCCAGCTACAGACGTAAACTAAGGTGCTTCTTCTAACTGGGGTTTGGTTTAGTGACTCCTCTGACGTGAATTCGTAAGTCAAAGGGCGGGATTCCTCGATGTCGGAGGGTTCTGGCTTAAAGGTACCAGTCATTGTGTGCAATGAAAAAAAAATGAGATATGAGATGCAATTAATGTGTGTGTCACATGGAAGTAGATGAGTATGCCGGTTCTATGTATTTCAAATCGAGCGTGTGGCTTTCGCAAGGCGCCTGCACAGAGTTCCCAGACGACTGACCTCAGCAAGTCAAATGATGACGGTTGGTTCAAATCCTGTCATGGAAACCAAGTAAAGGATTGAAAAGGACCGAAACAAAGGTCCCCTTTTGAATGAATGATGCGTCAATTTTCAGCAGGGACTTTTCCAGATGATTCTAATCGAGGGTCCGTATCTGAAACTAGCAGATTACTGCATAGCAAAAATGCCATAGATGTCACCTTACCTTGGCATGGGCTGTCCTGCAGTGTCAAGGTAGGGTGACATCTATGACATTCCTACGATCCAATGATCCAACTCAAGAAAGTGAGGCAACGGGACAATTGTCAAATCCTGACTTAGAAGGTGCTTAGGATGACCAATAGATAACGAAGTGGGTGATCAGAAGCTGAAGTCAAAATTCGCTTATGCTTTGAAGATAGAGAAAGTATATCAATAGCCATTGCAGCCCGGATTTTGGAAAAGAAATATGTTTTGCAAGCTTCAAGCACGACTTGTATTAGACTACTTGCAGACTACAAATACTTCTATTTCAGTCGATCTCCGAAATTCAATATGCGATTCACCCAGTTCACCATCGCAGCCGTCAGCTGCATTCTTGGGCTCACAATTGCCATTCCTTTGCCAAAAGGTAATATTAAGTTTAAAGTACTGTGATGAAGTTAATCTAATTTAAAGTTACAGACGTTGAAGCCCAGGCTGTTGATGCTCGTGACGAAACTGTTGAGACCACTGGCTGTATCACTTCCAGCAAGACGGCTACCACAGAATCCACGGGATCTGTTGTTTGTGCCTTCTAGAGATTGGATATTTAGATACTGGATGGAATTGAATCATCATCGGTGGATCGGCACTATGATATGGGCGCTGGACTGAAGTGCACCTGACAGAATAGTCGCCACCCCCAATGCATGGGATTATGCCTGATAGTAGCCCAGCCGGAGAATTCTTGACCTATTAGACCCCCACCTTTATCATGTGTGTGATCCTTTGTTTGCCCCATTTGTACCCTTGCGTTCTAATAACCAAGACACTGCTTCGACATGCCCGTGACAGATGCCGATGCTGCAAGGCTGATTTAGGGAACATTCCCGATAACAGAATCTCTGACTTTATGTGCTCTGGATATGACAACAGCATTCCGGGGAGAATCATTGCAACACTCCCCACATGCCGAGGACGAGACGGACAGTCCCCAAATTCCGGCGATCAAGCAATCTAGACTTGGGGCGTCCAAAGGCTACCTGCCCAGCGTAGTAACGTTGATCAGCGAAACTAAAGTCCAAATTAAATATCGCATGATTGCAAAACCAGGCAGCATCCTACGGTTGGAGGAACGGTATGTCTCGTGTTGGTTGGTCCCTATTGAGACGTTGGTGTCGGATATGCGGCCTGTGGTAGCACATTGTGGGCCCTTTCGGCCCGTCAGGCCAATATGAATTGGATTTGAGACAGATGGATCGCGGTGCATTTGCATAAGGACTTGAGAGGGTTACTTTTTAGACATATCTTGCATGATAAAGGAGCTCGAGATGCGCTTCGAATGGAGACTGTAAGGAATGGCAAATGTGTGGATAAATCATGGCGCTTGGCTCACAGGTTCTCGCGAGCACATACAGAGCGGAGCAGACAAGTGGGAGCCGCTCTGCAGGATTTGATATTACTCCGAAAGCTGATCCATGGGATTCTTGAATGTCACCCTAATGTGAACACACTGACAGAACTTCGGTTCTCCAGGCTGGATGTAACTATCTGAAATCGGGCAGTAATCTTTGTGAGTAGATGGCCAAGTACGAACACAAGTCATCAAGACCATAATATATTTCAATACCCCGCAAGGAGCCCATTTTTGATAACCGTCCACGTTTAATGGGGCGAATACTTAACCATGGCTGACAGCTCAGTGCATCTCAAGCAAGAGTATTACCAAACAGCGGGCCATGCCTTGGCAGCTGCTATCGTCCTTGGGATAATGGAAATCGTCGCCGTTGCATCGAGGCTACACGGTCGGAGAAAGCACAAGCAAAAGTTCATGATGGATGACTGGTTGATGCTACCTGCTTTGGTAACCTCCGTCCCGGCCAGATTTCGGGCTTGTTGCCTATATGAAATGGAGATGCTAATATGAATTAGGTTTTGACTGTTGGAATTGCCGTGATTATTGTGTTCGGAGTCTCGAGAGAAGCATTTGGTAGCCCAACAAAGATCCCTCCTGGTTATGAAGGTAACCTGCTAGAGCTCAAAACAGACCAGCTATCGACTAGTATGACGGTGCGTTTGCTTCTTGTATAATGTAGATATGCGAGGAGACTAATCATGCTCTATAGCTTCAATACACCTACTCTATCGTGATCGTGGCTGCGCTTGGATGCACAAAGGCCAGCTTCCTTTGCTTTTATCGCCGCATTTTCGCGGTGAATAAAAGTTCCGGGACCAACATTGTGCTGCTCGGCATGCTAGGCTTCATCGCTTTATGGACGGTTGCCTTTTGCCTCACCTGCATATTCCAGTGTCGGCTGAACTTCTGGGCTATTCGTGGCTCAAGTATGGACCTGGAAACTCAGTGTCCGCACACAATGAGTATTGACATCTCAGTGTGCGCATCCGATCTAGCAGCTGACATTCTCATACTGATCATCCCTATTCCCTTGGTCAGTCACGTTCCCACTACAACTTATTGTTATGCTCTACGGATATTAAAGCTAACCAAGAGTGCCAGATTTGGCGTCTCAACCTGTCTCGCAATCGGAAAATAGGGGTCTCTGCAGTTTTCTTGCTCGGAGGAGTGTGAGTTTACACAGTAACTTCACAACGGTGAGCAGCCTAGCTAATGAGAAGACGGAAAGTACAATCATAGCATCCACGTTGCGCCTCGCTACAATGGTCAAGACCTATATCGTTGGCTTTGCCGAGGACGAAGACCCCAGCAGTAAGTGTTTCTGTTACCCACGAGTACAGCGTAAAAGAAGCTAATGGAGCATTCCAAGTCGTCATTACAGGTTATCTCTATTGGGGGATGGTTGAATGCGGTGTCGCCGTCTTTGCTGCGTGTCTACCAACATTGCAATTTCTGTTGAGGGCGTTGTCATGGGAGACACTCACAACATCTATAAGGGGAATGTTCAGCAGGAACTCGAACAGTACTGACCGCAGTATTCCTGGAGCTAGAGTTGATCAAACCACCGTGGTTGAGTCTATCAGGATGAGGGAAGGGAGAGGTCTACAAAAAGCGTCTATCCGTAGTGAGACGAGCGAGGACGGGGTTCTACACTCGTCTTCCTCGTATGTATAAGTGCTCTAAGGTGTAAACAAATCTCGCAATCCGAGAGTCTGAACTTGACTGCCAAGGATATTTTCTTGCTTTGTTCAATAATTTGTTTTTAAATTAGGCGTGAGCAATATGTTCCGGATTTTCTACTAACTTTCATGCTCCCTTTGTTCGTTTTCATGTTCTATTGCGATACCCATATTTTCACTGATCTAGAGAGTGGGACTTGTAGAGATTATGAGATATCATTACGTTTGATCTTATGCATGTTCAACCTCGCCCTTTTTTAATGCAAAGATCTTTTGTTATCGCGTCGTATTGTCTTTGGGGGTCTCGGATCAATCGGCTTGTTGAAGGTCACATCTAAGCGGGGGCCGAAATGTCTGTCTTGATGTGTTGGTTGCTTAACGCTATAGTAACGCTGACTGGTGAGTACAGCTGCAAAAGATCCCACCCCTTGTAATAAAAGCCCGAACGCAGGATAAACACCGACGATGTTGGCGCCACAATGAATCTTATGACTGGTTGTCTCCTCTGGTTGGTGGTGTCAATACAACGTGACGTATACTTAACCCGGAAATATCCTGCAAACCCCCTCTCTCTAATTAAGCCTATTTTTGAACTCGTATCTCGGAGACAGGTGGGTTTGGCTTAAATCAAGGAGGTGTCAAACCCAGTTTACAGATACGTGCAGTACTAGTCGCCGACCATCAGTGGTACTCTGTTTCTTCATTCAAGATGGAAACCCGCCAAATCCGCATTGCAATTATTGGCGGAGGCCTGGCAGGCGCGTCTATCGCCAATTCTCTGTCTCGACTTCCCTCTGTCGCGATTGATGTTTTTGAGGCGGCCCCTGAGTTCTCGGAGCGCGGTGCAGCGGTGGGCTTGTCTCCCAATTCCCAGCTGGCACTTCAAGAACTACTAGAGGATGCAAAGGAGACTCTGAAAAAAGCTAAAAGTGTCCCTATTGCAAGCACCAGGTTTATGATTGTAAGTGTCTTTCCCAGTTCAGATTTCGGCCACCTCTCTGTGACACTGTGTGGTTTTCCATCATCCAATGCCCCCCATTTTTAATTCATATCCATTAAATTTTTGTGTATTTATATCACTCAGAGAGACAAGTGTGACATGCTAATTATAAATCGAGAGTCTAGGGATCTGGCCCAAATGCCGGCAATCTCCTCATGGACTTGGGTGATGCTGCAAAGGAGGAACCTGAGCTTATCGTTCACCGAGCTTCACTCCTTCGAGAGCTCCTTGCACCATTGCCTGAAAGCATATTACACCCAAACAAGAAGATGGCCTCTATTATCCCAACTGACACAGAGGTCAAAGTCTTTTTTGCAGATGGAACAGACTATGAGTTCGACGCAGTTATTGGTGCAGATGGTTTATTCAGTACCGTCCGCGACTATGTCTTATCTGATGACACTAAGCAATATTCGGCATCTGCTGCCGGTTTTTGGGACTGTAGGGTTTTGGTTCCTTTTCAAAAAGCAGAAAAGGCCTTGGGTGAAGAGCTTTTCAAGCTAGATCGTCAATATTGCTGGTTGGGTGAGGGTGCCTTTATTATGCATGATGTTTTGGAGAACGGAACGCTAGTCCAATGTGTGATATCTGGTGTTGAGAATGAATCTCCCAGTGATCGAAAGCATACGCTCACGAGAGAGTTCCTGAACAAAGCATTAGCGAACTGGTTGAGCGGCCCTATTGCCAACGGGGTCATTGATGTAAGTTGAGCACGCCCCGTGTTACCGGAGTCTAGTGATCCTAAATTAACTGGTTACAATTATAGCTCGTGATGGAACAAGATGATCCTCGAGGGTATTCCCAGTGGGAACACAAGGCGACACCTACATACGCCCGCGGTCGAGTCTGTATTATGGGCGACGCTGCCCACGCCTCGACGCCTTGGCAGGGTGCTGGCTCAGGGCAGGCGTTCGAGGATGGCATGATTCTCTCGGCTCTCCTGGGTCATATATCATCCCCCGATGAGATAGATGCCGCGTTCAAAGTATATGATGCGGTCCGAAGACCAAGAGGCCAGCGCGTCATTGACTCCAGCCGTGGGACGGGTGAGATCATGTGCGGGCAATCTGAGGCTGGGCTAGACCCAGGAGAGATAATGCAAGCGCTTGCCCCACGATGGGGCTTTCTTGAACTAGACTTCAAATCTTATGTTCAGGAGGCGGCACGTAAACTCGATGAGCGCCTCAGGGCTTGATTTTTAGCAATTTCAATCAAGATAGGTATTACCTAGATACTGATTCACAAAAGTCAGAGTATAACTACGGATAACTATCAAGTGGGAGATTTCCAACTCTCTTCTCCTATAAAAGATTCAATATCTCTTCCAGCTCCCTATTGAAATCCACCCCGACAGTACCGAATACATTTAGCAGGGTCCGCTCGCATTAATACGTGTACATGAATCGAGGATTCTCCTCTCCCAACTCTTCAGCTTCCTCCTCCGTCATGCCTTGGATCTTATGGTCGTCTTTCCCGGCAGCCTTTCTTCTGTTTTGATGGCGGAACCATGCCCAGAATAGGATATAGACGACTGACGAGAGAGCGATGAGGCCCATGGAAATGGCATGGCCCTTGACATATCGAGGCCCCTCGATGGTCCGATAAAGCTGAGCAATCTGGTTAGTCACAGTGGGAAACTTCAAAGTAGAATGATGTAATAAAAGTGTCAACCTACAAAAGGAGCCGGGATGCCCGCGCTGTTACCGATGGTAAGTTGCAACCCTGTGGCCACAGTCCGCTTTCCATATCGCGGGTTGTTGCTTGGGAGCCAAGCCAAGGGGATACCAACCACCACATACAAGCCCATTGCAGCCAAGAAGCATCCAAAGTACTTGACATTGCCGCTAACATTGCTAACGAGAATCGCATAACCTGCTGTGCAAATCAGACCGAAGAGCACGGCAAAGATGGCGCGGCGCTGTGTGCGGTCTGAGAGATATGCCACGACGAGGTAGCTTATGGCACCCAGAGCATAGCAAGGAATGGTAAGGGCTTGGGCTTCTGTGTTTGACCAGTTGCCCAAGCCCTTGATGATAGTCGGGAGAAACGTGGAATAGCCATAGAGGATCACGTCACCTCCAAACTGGCCGATGCAGAACAGCCAGATCTTCCAGTCCTTGAGGCCCTTGTACACATCTGATTTATGCATCTGCTCCGAGGATTTCGTGTATCCGATTTGGCGCCGCATTCTCGCATCGATCAAGTCGCGCTCTTGGGTGGTGAGGTACCGCGCCGAGTCTGGATCATCAGCCAGCCAAAACCAGACTGCAATGCCAAGAATGAAGGTTGGGATTCCCTCGATGATCATGATCCATCGCCAGCCTCGCAAGCCGCTCACACCGTCCATCTGGCCGATTCCATACGCAAGGAGGCCGCCCATGGACCCTGCGATGGCGGCAGAGACGAACAAGTACCCAATGCGTAGGGCATATTCGCGCTTGGTATAGAACATTGTCAGGTAGATAGTGAGTCCGGGGAACAGCCCGCCTTCAAGAGCGCCCAGGATTATTCGACAGGCTATCAAGCCTGAGTAGTTCTGAACGATGCCTGTCAGGGTGGCCACGATGCCCCATCCGATGGTGATGAACGCGAGCCACCTTGAAGGCTTGAAATGCTTGATGACCAAATTGGAAGGTAGTTCAGATAGAATGTAGGTTACGAAGAGCAGCGATACGGCAATCTGATACTGGTCGCCGTGGAGACCCAGGTCTTCTTCCAATCCGAAGAGTCGAGCATTACCGATGTTCACGCGGTCCAGAAAACTGAGTAGGTAGAGAAGCATGACAGGCGGGACAATCCACATGTCTAGCTTCCGAAGAAGCTTCTTCTCTGCGACCTCATCGATATAGATATCGTTGGTCTGCGCGGTTTCTTGCTGGATGTCTTTGGTGGGCTCTACGAAAGAGTCTTCTTTGTCCACTGGGGCCTTTCGGGCAGGGCCGGGGGATGCCATTGTAACCAGAGAGCGGTAGAAAGTGATGCAATTGAAAGAGCTTGTGTGTAAGCCGCGTAATGATCAAAACACCATCGAAATTGAAGACGGGATTGTCTCTGGTTTTATGTGAAATGGAATCTGGGCAACGAAACTGACTCCCTCTACCCCGGACAGGTGGATAAAGCACGCGGGGTCTGTCAAAATGTTACGTATTGATAACCACTTCGTCAGATTGGAAATTGGGGAATTGCCGTTATCTGGTAACAGAGCAGGGGTCAATCAAACGTCAGACGATTTGCGTCCGCTTAGGATGTATCACTCGGCAACTCCACGAGTTGCCGGGCAGCCTGAAGAGCGCAATAAGATCGGCATTCCATGACCAATTAGCTCCCTGTGGCTCGGGGGGGGGCCATCTCCCGAACAACGAGGTGATGCTAAAATTAATACACTCGAACATTATCCTGCTGCATCTTCAAGTCTCTGATAAGTATTGGCATATTGTTGAGAGTAAGAATTAAATGTTCTAGAATAATATAGAGACATGTCGATTCAGCAGCATCGATTCCACCGCAAACGAAATCAGAACAACAGCTAGAAGAGGAGTTACTTCTTCACAAGCCTATCTAAAAATTAATGGAATTGACATTTATCACAAGTAAAGCCGGCATCTGTACATATTTCCAAGTCATCATAAAATCATACTGTTTACATCTGAAAGAGAAATTGTTCCTCAATCTCCGAGGCCAACTCTTTCAACGTACCGTCTCCAGAAAACATGAGGTCAGGCCAAGGACCCCCGCTCTCATCCAAGAAACTCCCAATCAGCGGGTTTCCAAGAATGTCATCCATATTTCGATAAGTCATACTTGGTTCCGCTCTTCTTGCTTCCCCGTCTAAAGCCAAAGACAGTGCCGGATCATCTCCGCTGACGCTTATCCCATGTTCTTGCCGATCGGTTGGGTTTCCAACTGGAGCACCAGCGTCTGGAGCAACAGTGGCGGAATTGTCCAGAAAGACCTGCTGCTGCTCAGCGTGGTCCATGGAGCGAAGTTTGATGACCTTCGACTGGATGTAGGATAGCGTCTCACAGAATTGTACGGCCGGGATGTTTCCATCGTTTCTCATGGATCGTAAAATACTCAACAGCATTTCGAGCGCATCTGAAGTTTCTTCCGTAGGCTTCATCAGTGCAGACATGATGAGTATAAGGGCAGCGGAGAAGATGTGATGGGCGTCCCAGTATCCGAATATCGCGATGGAGCCGTCCAAGAATAAGCTCTCAGCAATCCGGCTAGACGCCTGTGCCGCGTTGATACAGCTCTCTGCTAGAGCGAGCGTAATGGAAGAGAACACTTGTCGCCGCGGCGCTGCGTGAGGGTCTGGTGTTTTGGAGCTGAGCTGAAATTGTGTCTTGAAAAGATGTAAAAGAACAGGGCGTGTCGTTTGAATGATGCACTGGTTGTAGGCAAGGTGGAGGCTTGACACCCCCCGTGGTGTCCCGCGTTCCTTCACGCGCATATCTGGCGGTAAGTCATCGTGCCATTCTCGAAGTTGCTTCAAGATGCCATGGACCCGATGTATGCGGAGTCCTTGAGTCCGATTCGGAATTCCGTATATGTCCGTCACTGATAGTGGTCAATACGAGGATCAGAACTAAGTCACAAGCAAAGGTAGAACATACATATATTGCCGATAATTCGCGCCAGTTTGATATTAGTGACGAGAGGCTGGGGGTCGAGAAATTCGATCTTCTCCTCTTCTGATAACCCATCCATGCTAGGCATTTCAACGTCGATATCTTCGTCTCGGATCGACACAGGCTGCCCCAGCTTGGAAGCGGAGAAGCGGTCAAAGAAGTACAGAACCCACCACGTCCGCCTCCGGCTTTCTCTCTCCACGGGCGTCAACGTGGTCCCCCTTGACGCCGGTCTATGCATGCCGATTCCCATTGCCAGCCTCATGGCTGTTCCGCTGTAGCAGTATGCTGTGCGCACCCGGCCGAGTATATTCGACGCCCATGCCTTGTGACATTGTTAGTAAATCGACATATTCTTGCCAGGAACGAACCTACCAGAAGGGTTAGAACTTCAACTTGCGTCAATGAGGGCTCTTCATAGAAGTCTGGAAGCATTCCGACAGCTTTCGCGTAGTATTCTGTTCCCGGTACTCGATTGCTACTGTCGATTCCCCGTCGGTTTGTGTATATCTCCCCGAGACACATAAGCGTGTAAAACTTGCAGAGCCACATTGTCGACGGCGAGAACTCTTGCCGGTATATATCGTCAAGTTCTTTCATAAAGGTTACTTTAAGGAAGAGAGGATGGTAGTTTCCGATGAATCTCCGAGCGACATTGAGGAGAAGCCTGGCGTGCATCCTCTCGGGGAAACCGGAAATGTCTTGCTCCTGTAATGACGCCAGGCTATTACTGGTATTGATACGGCAATAGTTTGAGAAACCGGCCGTAGAGGGAGTGTAGTCTGGATCGAGGCATTGCAGGAGCCTGTTGCTGAATGCCGTGCATGATGCCTCGCCAATATAACCCGACTCTGAACATCGCTCGTTCACGACGTTTTCAGGCTGTCCATCGAAGAGAGGATTGAGCATATTGGATTCATCGGATGAGATGTTGGTTGAATCAACAGGGTCATCGTCTCGGTCTATACTGGGAGTGTCTTGGCCGAAACTCTGGGGTGTTGGATTTTGGGTAAGATTTTGCAGCTGTTTGCTATCCGCCTCGAGTTTCCTCAGGTAGCTTGATGAACGAAATGTGTTAGTCTCGCATACTCTTTCGTACTTGGAAGCCAAAATACAATAGGTTACCTCTCAGATATGGGAATCTTCCGCTCTTTGGAGGGGAATTTGCACTCGCTAGCCTTTCCACAAGCCGAGCAGGATTGGCAAGGCTGCTTTCCTGAACATTTAATCTTCTGAGAGTGGCACCTATGACATCTGAATAACAGGTGAATCGTTTCAGCAAACAGGACACGTCGTGGGCCATGATAGAGACTTACGCTGCTAGTAAACGTCTAGGACGACGTGATTGTTGGCTCATGGTGCAGGCGAAAAGAACTGCCTGCTCGTTTGTTGTTTCAAGGGTAGGAAATTACATAAAAATATTGTCTGATCTTTACATTCAAAAACTATGGATGCGCTTCAACGGGGATTAACCAAAATCTGGGGCCTGGGGTAAAGACACGGGCTGAAAAGTTGCAGGTCGGATTGTGGGATCAAAGCCCAAGTCACGCTCAGATTCCTTTCTCCACTCTCAAGACTGAGATGTCACCAAAAGCATGCGGGGCTAAAACGACTCATGCACCTTTTTGGTCCAATAATATTAGAACTTGGTGTGGATATTGTCAGCTTCTCCCACGATTCATGCACAACGATAAGTAGTTTCTGCCTCGGCAAGATGATGTTTACCGACATAGGGTAAGTGAAATCACATGGCCGAGAAAGCCTCAACTCCAAAAACGAGGGAGAGGGAAAGGAACAAAGAAACATTTGTGGCGTACGTTCTTTACCTTGAACCCTTTATCTCACAATCGGGGGATTAATGCATCGCACATATAGAGTCTACACGTATGTTGCGCGATTATTGCCTACCTCCAGATGATAACGGCAACTAATACTGGGGCCGATAACCTTCTGCCTCCGGCAATTCAAGACTTGCCGGTTCAGTACTTTGGGTTGTTCTCCCTTCCAGTCGGTATCGTGCAGTTGCCGCCTCCAGCTCTTTTGTGAATCTCAAATGCAGGCCTCGTAGCCAGATGATCTACCAACAAGAAAGGTATTCGATAATAGTGATGTGATGAGAGAAAATAGTATCGCTGTTGATTATGGCATAATGCTTACTGGTAATAATTCCAACCCGGTGAACATTTATACGCAATAGCTTTACTACTTCCTTCTTTGCTTCATCAATCCCGATAAGCACACTTTTTTAAGAACCTCCACTTCTGTTTTCCCTTACTGAACTCTTAAATTGGTAATCTCTTTGATTTCAAGTGAGCAGTATGGCTCCCTGGATTGTTCGCATCACCATTGACCGAGGTGGAGCCTTCACACGTGCATACATAGGCCGAAAATGTAATCGACCTCAAAGCTACCGTAGCCTCACACAAGAAAGGAACTGAGTTGATCAGGTCTCTTACCGGGAGATTCACTTGGGCAGTTGTTCAGCTATATATGAACACCATCCAGGATAATGCTGCTCAGTCGATGAGAGAGCTTCTGAAATCGGTTGCTGCTTAGTATGAAGATAGCGTTCTTGAGTCTACCGAGATGAACGATGATGGTATTGTTTTCAAGCACAAGGTGACGACTGACAAGGAAACGGGCGAAGCTGTCCTTGACTTTACCGGTGATGGTTTCATAGTATCCGAAGCCCTTGGTGACATTCCCCCGTAATGGGATCGGTACCTTCGCAACCGAATGTGAGGTTGTTCATGGTACCCTGTGAGGCGGCTGCGGCATTAAAGGCACGGAAGATCAAGTTGGCAAGCTTTTGAGACGTCTCAGTTATACAACCGAATGCCGGCGGTGCTGGTGCAGGAATGGGGCTCGCATGGTGCCAGCGGCGTCCATACACACTGACGAACACGCGGATTAATGACCCCGAAATCTTCGAGAAGAGGTGTCCCGTCATTCCGAACGAGTTTGCTATCCGCAGAGGCAGTGGTGGAGACGAAACGTGTCACGGCAGAGATGGATGTGTACGTGACATTGAGCTCAGAGTACCGCTTCAGGTGTCCGTGTTTACAGATCGACGGGTTACGTCACCGTATAGGTTTGAAGGAGGCCAGGCTGATCAAAGAGGAGAAAACATCTGGGTTCGGAAGGACCCAGTGACAGGCGCAACGAGGAAAACCTCTCTAGCCCCCAGAAGAATTCTCAATTTAGAGCGGGCGACCGTATAATCATTCTTAGTCCGTGAGGTGGAGGCTATGGATGGGCACGTGCAAAAGGGCAGCCCATCGACCGTGGCTCTTGGTGAGATCAGACATGACAACTCTAGATCATTGAGAACGAAGGGGACACTGGCGTTGAGAAGTCAGATTGCGCCTGGAAACTAAGGAAGTAAAGAGAGAGCGAAGTGTGACTCATGACAGAACTGTGTATACATTTTTGCTTAGATAAATTGATAATCACGCATCGGATAGGCATTTGCCACTGTGCACACTGTTCCATTCTTCGTATCCTTAGGTATTTTCTAACAGTGACAAGGGAGATCGAGATCTCCTGCTAATCTTCATCAAGCGCGTCAAAATCTAACACAGTCCGAGGTTGTATACAATGTTACTAAATCATCTTCAATTGTGTATTTATCCACGTTCCTTCAAATTAAGACTACTGTATACTACCTGAGTAATCCATCTTGGGGTATCCAGCAATCCCTGTCCCGGTTCAACGCCCGGATGCATTGTTCCGCACGCTCAACTTGAGAATTGATAAAACCTATCACCTTTGCGTCATCAATCATCTTGATGATCGAGTGGACATCTCTGAGCGGAGTGTCATTTAGAGGCAAAGCCTATCGTGTGGGTGAGCACATCGCTCATGTAGAAGGTCGTAGACTGTCCTCATTTCGTCCATGGTCCAAATATTTGCAAGGGGCCAGTCTTCGTCATCTCTTCGAGATCGGAGAACCCTAATAGTAATGTGTTGAGAAAGCCACGAATAGTTGTGTAGCGTTATCCAGTCGCTCGTCTATCCAAGACGTCACGTTATCCAGCGGGGACTTGGACACTTACTCCATCAGCGGAAAAGAGTTTGATTATAAAGTCAAACGGCAATGGAAGATGCCAGACACGAGAACCCAACACAATGGACACTCACTCCATCAACGAGCGAGTTCATTGCCCGACACGAAGAATGATCAGATAATAAATTATTCTCCCATGTTGTTCTTTGCTGTGAGCATTTCTGTTCGTTCGTTATTCTTGTTCTAGTTGCTCCCGCAAACAATCAGGATCTGCAACACTAGAGGAAGCTAAATCAGAATATTGACGGGCAAAATACGCCTCGCTGAAGCGCTGATAAGCGGTGAGTGCCTGGGACCTGTTGTCATTCGGTTGCTGCTCATGCTGGTGCTCACTCTCCTTTGTGTCTTCGTGATTATTATGTTCGATATCCGGAGACTCTTGATTGTTCGTCAATATTCCCGTGGCTATCACCAGCCGCTCGATTCGGATAGAAACCTGCCGATGGGATTCTCAATCTCTTCTTCAAATCTCTTCCTCAGTCTCCTCTTAGTTGAAGAGGTTCATTTCTGATATAAACCTGTCGATGGGATTCTTATCTTGAGCCATTACACCCACGCTCGCGTTGCTGAGTAGGGCCCGACAGAGCGAAGAATAGTCCTCTTCTTTCTCGCTTGCTGTCCTCGTGATTTGAGGCGAGGGAGGGGACCGTCTCTTCGAGGGTGAGCTTCTTCTCGTCCTCTGTTTTAACCCGAATCATCCAAGTCTCCAACCCATCATCGCCCTTCTTATTCGATGTATTAATCTTAACATACTTGTTGTCGGCTTCGTAGCTCATTTCGGCCATGAGAGCTCGGTTCAAAGCGACGTGGCCACCACGTAGCTCAGCACCCAGGAGCAGGCGGACTCTATTGGTGGGGAGTGTCAATTGCCGTGGTCGCCCTCGAACTCATTGTTGATCTTTTCCTAGATGGATTAAGTGAATATCTCTTATATTCTTCTCTCTCCCTGCCCCTGAACTAACGGTAGTAGGTATCGATAACTGTTGGGTGAACGATACGCACAGCCTTCAAATCGTTCTCGATCCCATGGCCGATCAGAGGCGTATCCAGGGAGATTAGAGAAAAAAGAAGTTCGCGGGCCACCTGCCACCTCAGAGGAGGCGGAACGAGCTCCCCATTTGCAGACTTCCAACCACCCTTCTTTAGCTTGGCCCATTCGTGCGTCCTCTAGGCAAAGAAGCCGCATGCCGCTTGATAACACCATGGCATGCCCTCCCATGACTCCAATCTCCGAAAGTTGTACTTCAAATTGCCCAACGATTGTTAACAATCAGAGGGTTTTGAGGATCGATCATTTGTCTCGAGCGATAGTGTAGCAGGATTTTTCGCCATCTCCATAGACTCCGAGTCCAGACCATTAATGTGATAATCATCCAGAACAAAATTATATCGTGATGAGAGAGGTGGACGGGAAACCCCACAAGCAATTCTGCATAAGCGATTCCTCGCTGGATCGATTGGAGTAGAACATGGTCAAGTTTTAGCTTGTTTTTAATATCAAGACGGGTTCTTTGCTGATCCAGGCCGAGAGACGGCAACAGTGAGTTCGAAGCTTGCGAGCGACCTTAGCGACCTTGCTGAGCCTCCATAGCACGAATTGTAGTGAATTGAGAAGGTAGACTTTGACCAAATGATCGCAAGGCAGATTTGTTAAGGTGTCTTGGGGTGTGCAGGATGCGTGGAACTAGGGCGGGTGTGATCAACGCTCGAATCAAACTCGCTGTTGATCCTCTGGCATGCTGGAAACTGCGAACATAAAATTCCAAGATTCGGGTTTCGATCTGCGGGGGCTGAAAGTTGGGGTGAGGGGAGACGAAAAATGGGTGTCCACCTAGGAGCATATTGAACAAAGAGAGCTACATGGACACCTTCCATGCTGCCCGGATTTATATATTATGAGTGACGGAGTGGAAGCCCAACACGGCTTTTTCTCCGACATACATGTCTGTGTGTCTCTCAGGCGGACATGTTTCTCAACAGCCTCTGCAACCTCGACTGAAATCACTGTCCTCGAGCGGAAGCGGATAACATGTTTCGATAAGAAGCGATAGCTCAGCTCTCCCAGATGATATCGTAAAGCACAATAATGAGATGCGCTTTCTTTCCACCTAGTTGGACAACTCCTAGAAGCACCTTCGAATGCTCGGCCGAATCCAGTATCCACAAGCGGAAGCGCATCATAGGTTTCAATGAGAAGAGTCTTATGAGCTAACTGGAGACTCAGTCGAAAGCTTGGGGTTTTTTTCGCGCTGCAGAATAGTAGCAGGCTCCTGAGACTGTTTCTGTTCCAATTACATCGAATCTGAGTCCGGGGTTAATATCCCCTACTGCTTGGAATATTTGGCTCCAGGGACTAGCGGAGGCTGATACCGGTCAGTCGCACGGCCACGACGGTTATTTCTTTCCCTCCAGCTCGGGCCCAAGTGTTTTCGTATCTTCCCGAATGCGAGACTCGGATTATTCGCTAGGCGCTGAGACCATCTTATCTCCTCTTCGATAATGGGAGAAGGCCGGCTTTATGGGGGAACAACAGCACAGTATCGACCACTGTTGGGTGAACGATACGCACAGCTCTCTCATCGCTGGCTGATTCATTGTTACCGAGGCTTGAGCTCCTTTATATGTGTGCTCTAATATATTTTCGATCTGATCTCATGCTCGCTCCCGTTCCATTTGACTGACGCCTGCTGAAGGACAACTGGGCTGGACCAATGGGAGATCAGTGAGGAAGATGGATGATATTGTCCATAGTTTATTTTGGTTGGAGGTTGGGAGGCTTATTTGTATGTGTTTAGTGGTGAGGAAAAGCTGAGAAGGCGGGTGCAGGTGCGGGTATTTATGCCTTTTTGGATCCTTTGTCTGCTTTCTATGTACTTGGTACCTGAGACCACTTCTCAGTTTACTGAACACTACACAACAAAGGGAGGCTTGCTAGGTGAGAATCATGACTCAAACCACAACTCGGTCGAACAGTCCATACTCTTAGTTTTGCAAATTTTGTTTGGCTGATACCGTGCGCATACAGCCGGGTGTTTATTGAAATGAAGGGCCATGGTCAAGGTTTGGAGATCGGTAATCCAGACTCAATCTCATTCAAGGGAGGGTTGTCCAGTAGCTACAAACAACTAAACTGGAGGTTTCATTGAGCCTAGAAGTCAAGTAGACTGGTTCTCGGATCGAATCTAGATTAAGGGAAATCACAATTGTGAAAACGTTACGGTTGTTTCAGCAGTCTTCGCAAAGCTCGGCCGTTCATACGAGCTCGGAAAACAACACATGCCATAAATATATACAGGTGGGAATTGTATACTAAAAATCGAAACAGAGTAAGCGATTGTATTAAGTTGTTTCTAATCAATCTTTATCCCCAAGCCCATCAACAGATCTGTCAAAGTGGTCTTGGTGTCAACTCGAAGCTGTTGGAAATAGCCCTACCCTATAGAATACAGCACGATTGACATTTTGATATCGGAGCCGCTGTGGACCCAGATGAGAGACATGATCAATAAAATCTATCCAAGAGACAAGATGTAAATACTCGAATACAGGCGACTAAGCCATGAAATTTTTTTCGTAGAAGAAACAGTTCATTCAATCACGTAATCTTGGCTTTGCTGTTTCATTGACACAACCTCAAATTTATAGTACTAGTTAACTCCCAGATCCAAGGTGCTTTGATGAAGGCTTCGTAGAATACTGCAGGACAGTATTCTACGTACAAGTCTTCATCCGCCATGTAAGAGAAGAAAGGAGTATAGATCGACCTAAGCATCTGTGAGGGAAACATTTCAGGTTATCATTTTTATCATTAAACTAAGGGATATGCTTATATTGATGCTATTTAAGATTGCGCGCTCGCTCCAAATCCAACTTAGTAACACCGATACCATTGCGGTTGAACCCACTCAGAAGGCGAATTTATGCCTCGTCTCTGCGGAGACCAAGGGTAATCCCCAATGTGAAGACACTTTGTTACTAGATCATTTGTGACCTATAACTGAAATCATGTACCCCAATGTCCTAACGCCAAGCTTGACCTGACAAAAGCAATTTGATCGTTACCAAAAGAAAAAGGAAACTAGAAATAAAGAAAGCCGCGAGGTGAGGTCAGAACAAGTAGCCCCATAGTATTCTAAATTTTGTTGTACCCTTCCATCAAAGAAAATCGTTCCGATACAAGGCTTAGGCAGCTGTTGCCCATTCAACAGTCTCGAGAGCGAGCATGACTAAAATGAGAGTAGACGGCAAAATCCTACAAAGGTCAGTTAGTTACATCCATATCGGAATAGTTGCAATGAGATTGTTTCAACATACCAAACAACATAGCTCTGGAACAAGATCTTGCCCATGGTCTTCTCGTAGACGTTGTTGATTTGGCAGATCTGAGCGAGCTGCAGAGCACTGGGTGCACCAGACAGCAAGAAGCATACAATAACAAAGATGGGATCGTCCAAAATACTGATTGGCAGGTACTTTGCTATGAGGGCAAGGATAGGCGCCATGATCATAGTAGGCAGAAGCATTCGACTGATGAGGGAAGCAATCAGCAACTTCTTGCCGATCTTCTCCTCCTCTGGGTCGAATTCTTCATCGTGGGCGGTCGTGTTCCGTGCCAGATTAGCTCCCAACACAACCAAGATCAAGGGTACAGCAACATTTCCGTTAGATCTGATCGCGCTTGTCACACTGTTTTGCACAAAGGAACCCTCTTGGAAGAAGAGCCTTTGTAAAGCGGGGACCGACGCGACGATGATGGCACAAATCATTGCCCAGAGAGGCGGGTTCATGAACTCCCAGATGAAGTTGTTGAACCTGACTGCTGCTGACTTGAAAGCTGAGAAAACAGTCTGAACCGGCTTGGGAGACCGGGAATAGATGTGGTTAAAGAAACCGGAAGTGGCTGTTTTCACTTGGGTTGACTTTTTATGCATCCATTGCTTAACACCGGAGGCAGGTTCCTCAACAATTCCATTGTTGGGGTTCACAACACGAACATGACGGATAGACAAGTGATCGTCGGATTCGTCAGTGCTGGAAGGATCATCACGATAGGGCTGAACCTTGTGAGCCGCCTTTCCCTTGGGGTCATCGTTATCAACTAGATCCACAAGCGTAGCTCTTGAGGCACTGGCGATCGGGGTTCGGCCGGCCGGGTCGTAGTGTCGCGAATCATTGCTGCACGTATCCTCGTCTTCGGTGTCGCCGTCCAGACCATCGATGAGTGGTCGGGTTTCGGTGTCATGCGCCAGGCTTGGACGGCCTCCCTCCTCGGTGACATGATCCTGATACTCGTCATATTTATCCTTGGGAGCCAAAAGGACATGGTAACCCCAGCTCCATCGAACCAGCTGACCGAGCTGCTGGAATATCAAAAGATAGAGGATGCCGCGAGCGGCAACCTCGTCGTCGTTATCCCCGGGTATCCTGTCCCAATGCAAGCCTTTCAAGGTAGCCGATAGCGAGATAACGAGAGAAATAGGCAGCGAGTTCGAATTGCCGAATACGCTCATGGCAGTAATAAAGTTGGAAGCTCGTTTGTTGAATCGGAAGAGCTTGGCGACGACCCTGGCAACGAGCCATGATACTAATGTCTGGACGACGAAGATAGCAGGGATAATGGCGAGATCGGAGAGCTTCTTGGCATTAAGCTGGGATGCGAGCTTCGTGAAGACTAGGGACAAGAATTGTTAGCTGGAGATCGGCGGGGTCGCAACGGAGAGCACATCGTACTTAGGCATGGCGTAAATAACATAACATTGAGATTGGCAAGAAACTTTTGCTTGTCGGCATCGAAGTGGCCAAGTCGGGCGACGATATAACCGGGCAGACTGACGCACACGACCTCGAGGACGGCGGAAAAGACGAGGAGGCAGAGATTGGGGAGCGACGGATGCGAATCGTGGGTGTTCTGGAATGTGCGGAAGGGGAGCTCGTAGGCGGACTGGGCAAGATCTTGGTATCGGAAGGATGTCGGCGCAGTGAAGGCGCCGCCATTGGAAGCCATCACGGACGAGAAGCAGGCGATTGACCTTGCGGGTGAAGCGAAGATTGATGGCGATGGGAGGTTTGGAAGCGTCGGAGGTTGAAGAAGAAAAGGGAAGGGGTCCAAGCCAAGGCCTGGCCAGCAAGGTGAATGGGCCAAGGCCGCCAAGCGCACAAAGGCGATGAGACAGTGGACAGTGTAGTTCCAGCCCCCCCTGCAAGCTTCGTGGGTATCAGTTAGGCTTCCTGGGCAGGCGTGTGGGTGGTAGAAGCAGGTACTAAGGCTCTCGTGTGCAAATCAGACGGTGGGGGCGCTCTGCCAAAACCCTGCAGGAGGTACGGGCGATAAGCTCTGGGTCGCACAGTACTTGCAGGTACCTACACTAGTGTCTTTTGCAATGAGGCGCGTGTGGGTGGCGCAGGCGTGATTCAATCTAACACCACCTTTCGCGTTTCAGTGCCCGACACGTGGGCCGCTGCCCCCCTCGGATAGGTGCTGGACCAGCTGAAGCTCTCCCACCACCAGGCCATTAAGCTCCGGCTGGTTTGCCATCCCCGCAGCTGGCAAAAAGCAAATCGCCCCCCCTTGGTCACTCACCGCGCGGCAGCGACCAGCCGGGCGCAGCTCGTGGAAGTCTGTCTTTGCCTCCAGGTCAATGGGCTGTGCCAGGACGAGCTGTTGTGTTGTCTCAGCGCAGCAAACAAGGCGTGCAAACTCTACTGTACATTGGCCCCTGCTGGACCCTTGCCAATAAAATTACCTTATCAGCGCGTGGGCCCCTCTAAAATGCATCACGAATTCCCAACGGTGGGCTGCACAGCGGAAAGAGTGGGGTTTACACAGCTCCTAATTGATTGCATTTGTGACGTTATCCAGCAGGAATCCGGCGCCATTCGTCATAGGCAATCGCCCATTACCGAACGGAGGCCTGTCCCCATGTCGTGCCACCATCTCGATCGTGCGCAGCTTCGTCAGAGCATCGCAAAACACGTTTATGCTTGCACCTGTCCAACGCGAATCCGCGTCATAGACTCTCTGCGCCATCGCCCCCATCGCAACTCCCCTTTGATCCCAATTGTAGGCAAAACAAGCATCTTTTATCACTTGTCGGAGGCCTCTTGCATGGTGTGGGCCAATGCCAGGCCTTGTCTGATGGCTTTGCCTCTTCATGGACGTGCGTGCAACATCAAAATCGAATCATTGGCGATTCCTCCAAAACACAGGAATGAAATGTGCCCACTTTTTAGAGTTGCAGGCTGTTTCGAGCTGAAGCTGGAAGCATCCATCTGCTTTATTTCCAGACAGGTGTCGTTTTCATGTCCAGAGGAATTAACCGAGCGTCTGACCACCCTCAGGGCAACACCGGCCGCAGATGTTGCATAGCTCATATACCGTCAGCTCGGAAACCGGACACGTCACAAAGCAAAGAAGTTCTCCGAAGTCATTACTTCACTGCTCCACTAACCTATCCCGAAGCCGCCAACATCCTGAACAACAATACTAATATATTTGGGATATCAGTGCTATGTCTAAAATGAAGCTTCAAAAAAATGAGACTGGTATCAATCTAACTCCATCATGCAGCATCCGGAATAGTATCTTCTACCCACTTATACAGAACATCCATCCGTACAGTGAACTTCTGTCCCTTCTTCACCTTGGCGCCTTCGTGGAGCAGCCGCTTATGCTGGAAGATGAGAACGCTCCCTTCCTTGGGATTGATGTCAATTCGACGCTCCCGGTCTCTTGATAAGAACCCGGTGGCACCGCCTACGAGCTCGCTGCCTGGGGACGCCTCTGCCGAATCATTCAGATAAAGGTGTACCGTATACTGGGTTTGGAACATGTTGCCATCCTCCTCGTACGAGACTGGTCCGTCGACGTGAGCTACCAGCAACATGTCAGCCGTGTTCAAAATATATGTGATGAGAAAGATGACGAAGTAAGCCAGCAGGAATCTGGCAACTTACGCTTGAAGAATTGCCCGGGCGAATATCTGAGGAACCTCATCCTCTTATTGATCCGGCTCAGCTCCCACTGCCCTGCAGGCCGTCCCAGAGGCCCGTAGCCATCATCGCTCCTCACAACAGCGAGCTGCTCGGCGAGGCCTTCAGCCCGGCAGCACCGCTCCCAAATGCGATCGGTCAGCTCCTGTCGGTCCCATACGATCCTGTCGCTTTCTCTGTATCCGGGTGCGGGACCCTCCAGGCCGGGGGCGACAGCGATCATGGCGGGCCGCCACGGACCCTGGTTAGGATCATCCTCTGAGGCGGGCAGTACCGACTCCTCGGCCAATTGTATCAACTGTGCGCATTCCTCTGGTGACACGACGTTGTCCAACGTGACGGCATAGCATTTCGCATATTCGGGAACGTCGGATGTGGCGAAGGGGACAGGGGTACACGTAACTGGCTTCTCTGGCGGGCCGCGCAGGAAGTCGTCGGGGATGGGAATGTCCTTCGACTCGTAGGTGACGGCGCGAGGCTGTATGGACTGCGCCTTCCGGATAGGCGTCTGAGACGTGGATAAATATTGACCCATATTGTGATGTCTTTGGTGGTGTTTCAATCTATAATCATGCTGGGGACTTTTTACTCAATGAACAGAGGGAGCTTGTAGGCTTATTTATTAGTGATGCAAACAAAGGACAATGGAACAAAAAGGACACATCAACAACTGGCCAAGTCTGCCTAGTTGATTGCTGTTCATTTCATTTAGTTGTTGCTGCCTGTCTACTAGTGCTCTTGGTGGCTGTGGCTGTGTAAGCTCAGCCCTCGATGACTTAACCAGCTGAGAATGCCAGGTGGTCACTGCTAGCATCATAAGCAGTAAGCGATTAGTAGTGAATGAATTGAGGTTTTTACAATAGTAAAAACTTAGTTCTGTAGTAAAAGGGGGGAGATGGGTGAGCTTTCTGTGAACTTGGCTGGTTCGGCTGACAGTTAGTGAAAGGATACTCCTGGGTGGTAAAGTTAGATCCCAATACGTGACAACTTCATTTGCTTTTAACAGCTTCTTAACTTATCTCTTGTTCTATTCTGAGAGCCTCTCTTCTTTTGATATAAAGAAAATTGGGCAGTTAGGCAAACCCACCACTTTTAACAAAGTAAAGAAAGGTTCTCAGCGCTTTGAAACTCATACTCGGACTTAACGAAGCATTAGCTCTAATTACCTTTTGAAAACAGGGAACTGGATTATGGCAGAAAAAATTACATGGAAGGAATAGAGATGGCAAGGGTAGGATCAGGAGGCTCACAGGTGCCCAGAATTACCAACGGCAAACACAACCCAGAATTATGGTTGCCCGTATTCGAGAGAAAACACTAAGGAGAGGCTATCAAAATAAAACATAGATCTGGTAAGCTTTCCTGAATTTAGAAATTTAGATGTGTATAATTCGATGCGGTATAGAAAGTGAAATGGCAAGCAAAAGTCGAAGTAGCACAGTCTCGAGAATCGCCGAAAGCATGAGCACCAGATATTCAATATTGAAGGTCTCTCAGATGGCATGAAATCATATACAGCCTTTGGATGACTACCTTTAAGCACATATCTTCTCTTGTTTTTTTTTCCTTATAAAAAAAATATCGACAACACGCAAGCCCCTTTGAATTCTTCACATTGGCGCAAAGGTCTGACCTCGTTGCATAATCTCTCATGCATAGGTCACTACTCGGTCCCTAGTATAAGGTTAGCAAATCGCGATGGCTCGAATCACAACAACAAATAAGTAACAAATAAATGATTATGGTCATTCAACATCATGATAAATTTTTGCTACCCAATCTGCAGTTCGTAGTCCTGAAGGGACATTAACAAAGAGAGCACAGAGGATCATACACTCTGTCCTTGATATACGCATCCAGCACCGCATCACCCTGTTGGTCCCATAGGTTCCATTGCGAGTCCTCTAACTTGGAAACACCGCCTCGGCGAGCCGACTTCATTACTTCCCGGGCAATAACGATGCTTGTCTCTCTCACGCGATCAATGCGTGGATAGATGAGACCAATTTCCCTCTCCTCTTTATTCACAGAATCCGCCAGCGCAACAGCAGCGGTATAAACCATGTCATCCGTGACACGCGAGGCCTTGGACAGAATCGTGCCGAGGCCCAGGCCTGGGAACACGTAGACGTTGTTACCCTGGTTGGGATAATAAGTCACAGCCCCTTTGCCATCACCAAAGTCGACCTGTTCTTCATCAAACGGAGAGCCAGAAGCGAAAATGACAGACCCGTCAGTCCACTTGACAGCCTCCTCAAAGGTACACTCGGCCTTTGTCAGAGGGTTACTGAGAGGGAAGAGAATAGGCCTTCGGTCCTGGCCAGACTCCTTGACTGAAGCAGTGAGAGCCCTTACCACACGTTCATCGAAGATGCCATAGGTTGCTGCGAGTCCAACCAGGGCACTTGGCTTGACGTACTTGATCACCTCCTCCAGAGTCTTGAATTGCTGGCCAGCATTATCCGTGCGAGCGAAATATTTCTTGTGCTCGGCCAGTTTGTCAGGTCGGTCCGCTGTGACGAGCCCCTTGGTGTCAACAAGCCAGAACTTGTTGCGAGCCTCGTCCTCACTCAAGCCGCGTCGAACGTAGTATTCCACCAACTGCTTGGCTACACCCACACCCGCGGAGCCTGCTCCCATAAAGACCAGTCTTTGCTCTTCGAGGGGGACTCCGGATCGATCGACTGCGCCAATGTATCTATGGTCTACTGTCAGCACCAGCATAGCAGAGGGAAGAATCGCATTGCTTACCCTCCAAGTACCACGGATCCAGTACCCTGGATGTCGTCGTTGAAACAAGTATATTGATCGCGGTACCGATCCAAGTAGCCGAACGCTTTGGTGTTCTCAAAGTCTTCGAATTGGATGACCATATCAGGCCATGTCTCATGTGCTGCTTGCATGAACTCGTCTGCCAACGCTTGCTGCTCACTTGGTGACACTCTTTGCTGTCGTAGGCCAAGGTAGTGCGGGTCATTCAAATTATTCTCGTTGCTAGTTCCGGTATCCAGGATGACGGGAAGGGTCTTTTGCGGGTTGATGCCGGCTGCGGCGGTGTATAGAGCCAGCTTTCCAACCTGTACACATGAGATTTAGTTCAACTATCCTGGGAGATGAGAAGATATATGCGCTAAGAGCGTTGGCGACAGTTGAAACTTACAGCAATCCCCACTCCGTTAAAGCCTAGGTCACCAAGCCCAAGGATGCGTGAGCCATCAGTCACAACACAGATTTCGGGGCTCTCGTGGGGCCAATTTTGTAATATCTCCTTGACGGATCCTCTGTGGTTGATAGAAATATGGAGAGCCTCCGGTCTCGTGTACAAGGCAGAGTATTGCAAGCAAACATCGCCGATGGTTGGGGTATAAACGAGGGGCATCAATTGTCGGACATTGTCCATAAGGAGACGGTAGAATAGGTCGACATTATAGCTCTTAATACTTGAAAGATACAAGTATTTGTCGATATCTGTCTGTCTCGAGTCGATCATGGCCATTGATCGGGATGCTTGTGTCTTCAGGCTCTCTGTGACATGTGGGAGGAGGCCGGTGAGGTTCTTGCTCGTGCGTTCTTCATTCGTGTGGGACAGTCCTAGGCAGGGAACCAGTTAGCCACATGTCACTAACGCTCATATAGCTAATACACAGGAGACAGGCCTACCTTTGTTTAGGAAAGGGGCACGCATCATGTGCTGGGCGTTGAAGAGAGCAAGTCCCTGCTCCAGAATCTCCTTGACGGCTTCTTGCTGTAGAGAATCGTTGTCTAGTGGGATTGCTATGGAATCTGGAGTGGCTTTTAGGGATAGAGCCGAAGGAGGAGAATACTCCTGGGTGAGCGAAAGTGGGCGAGGACAATGCATTTTGGATATCAAATTTGAGACGCAGATTACAACAAACTACTGGTATCGATGAACTGGAAGTGAGAAGGGGGGTGAAAAGAGCTGGACCTCTTATTCCCTTTTATCAATCGACTCTAAGTCCCTAGTGAGCCACATGAAAGAGCTATGTCATTCCCCATGGGGGAATGTCTGCCGAGATTACCCGACCATGGATGAATGGCATTGAGGATCGCCAACCACATGTGAGCAAAGGCAGTTAGAACCATGTCGTGATGGATGAACTGTGACTAACACTAGCAGAATAATCGATAACTCTGTTGTTTTGGTGTCGTTTTAGAGGAGTCATCAATGGATGCAAGACGTTGAAGCCCCCTTCCGCCGGAACGAGAAATAATCGGGGGCCGGGCGAGCGGAGTAAGACCGGACATGGTCTCTCGGGGAGTTTCGCCGAACGGCAGCTGGTTTCAGTCTCCTGTGAACTACATAATGTATGTGAAATCGATCTAATCTCTGGGCGATCTAGATGGTTGCACCCTGGCCAGCTGGCCCAGCGTGGGAAAGATCACATGCCGGGGTTCGGGGTGTCGGAGAATCGCCGACTTATGCATCATGCGTCGGGTTTACCCGCCACATGTGAGATTCACTCCCCGCGATACCTAGGCATCTCCATCCCCGACTGACAAGCGCTGTCCAAAGAAAGCTAATTGTGTGAGCCCAGATCTTATCCCATTGTAGGAAGTAGAAGGTCTTCCCCGGCCTCTCGGAAGATGACGGCTGAGGTTGCGTATCGCGGGGAGACTAAGCCCAAGATTGGTAAGGAATGTCAATAATGAGAGCACGGAGATATTTCGCTATAAGATGGTGTGTCCAATAATGCGGGGGAACCCCAGTCAATCATGTTACTGTGATCTTAGTTCATCTGCTAATTGTCAAGGTCCAGATCCCCCCTCGATTCATCAACGGCCGGCACTAGGCTTTCTTTGATGTCGCGTGCGTGCTCGTCAAATTAGCTTGAAAGCTTAGCCAGCAAACTTCCATCCGTCCTAAAGCAAGAGCATGACTCATACAAAGATGATTGTTTTTCATTCAAGCCCCCCCATTCTCCGATCCAGGAAAGAACGTTGAAGACAATGACTCATTGGAAACGATCCATCTATGAGGCAGGAGTAATAACTGACCATTCCACATTCGCATCCAATGAGCACTTCAGATTGCCCATCCTATGTAGGTAATTTGACACATGGGAGCTCTTCGGTTACACTAGGAAGTGGATCTGGCTCCCAGGGTCTAAGAAGTGGTTCGGCAGGATTCAGCTTCATCAGTCATTGCTCAGGATTAATTTCTATAGCCGAGGCCTTCATCTTCGTGGTCCGCTCCCTGAAACAGACAGCGGATGATTTTGCTTTCTAACATCTAGTACATGAGAATCTAGGAGCTTACTTTGAACACCCGACCATTACTTTCTTTATATTCGGTGAACACTGCTCAAGTTCGGCGGTACAAGCCAGTTGGAAAGCATGAATGCCATCTCAATAGACACGCCTAAACTCATTTCCCCTTCACTTTGATGTCAATTCTTTCTCTATTTGGACGGGCACACTCATTCCTCGGCGTCCACCAAAGCCAAATGGACGACACGGTGGATTTAAGCAGCAAGTAAGAATGATCTATCAGTGACTCTAGTCTTCATAGATACCTACGTGTACTTTGAGTGTGATATGGCTGCCAACCGCGGTTGCTCATCCATGACTGTAAATATCCAAGGTGAAAATGAAAAGGGTGATATGCAGTGTTAAAAGTAATCAACTTCGAGTATGCTCAACTAGTGCTGATCTTTCCCTTCCTGCAAAATGAAGCTGAAAGCTGTCAGTGAGATCGCTCTGGGAGGTCATGCCAATTGAGGACAAGCTTAGTCTTAGGGTTAGCTAAATTCTCTCCAATAAGTTCTAGAGGTAAATCCCGTATAATGACGTGAGCCTTTCCTGTCTTGATCTACTACCAGACAAAACCGATCCATGGGGTGGCAGATGCGCTATTGCTAAACCTTGATATAACTAAATTCTGACCTTTAACTTTCATCAATTGGTGAGATGGCCGAGTTGGTTATGGCGTCAGGTTAAGGCTACCTTAGCATTCATTCCTGGTGGAGCAATCCTCCTGGGTTCGAGTCCCAGTCTCATCATTTTTTGCTGTTCCTTTTTGGCAAACGTAATTTCCCCCTAGTTGCAAGACTTTCTCTGTCGATGCATTAATTGATATTATCAAGATTCTCATTGTTTTACTTTCCTCTTCACTTGTCAGTTCTCGGCTTCCACTGCTCCATAGGTGGAACGCTACTTGGTGGTCAAGATGCCGACTCAACCGAGACCAGCCTTCGAATGTCAAATCACAGCGTCACAGCCGTTCAGCTTCAATTAACTAACCAGAAAAGATGTATTACTGAGGCGTAAGCTTCGCAGATGAATCCGATGAATGCGAGCAATTGAACGCTAGCCGAAATGGTGTCCACAACCTATGCTCTTATAAACCTGATCATGATGTTTTCATGCTGCATGAACCGGCTTTCAGAACCTTGACTTCTTAATAACAAGCCAATGGCCTGGCCGACAAATCGATATGGCTGTGAAAGACGTCCTCATCCTCGGCGCAGGCCCGTGTGGTCTTGCAACAGCAATCGCTCTATCTAGGGCTAGCTCAGCACTATCCAGCAACGCCCAGCCACTTCGAATCACTCTCGTCGAGCTGCGCTCCAGTTTACAGACAATCGGAGGCGCAGTGAACGTGACACCTCTAGCCATGCGCTACTTGAACTCTCTGGGCGCAGAGGGGAAGTTGCATGACCACTCGATCTCTCTGGACCATGGCATCGATTATATCTCGCTGCGCACTGGTCAGCTGCTGGGTAACTTCTGGGGCGGGATCGGGGCTCGACGAGTCTCCAGGCACGCTCTTGTGGAGGCTCTTCTTGCAGTCCTACAAAAGGAGCACTCAGAAGCGGTCGAGATCCAATGGGGGAGGCGCGTGACTGAGATATGCGAAACAGCGGACAAGGTTGAGTTGAAGTTCCAGGACGACGGGCCCACATTGCAAGGCGATATCCTGCTTGGATGCGACGGGCTTCATTCGGCAGCGCGGCGGCTGTGGGTTGAACCAGAGCGCGAGAAGGTCTACAGTGGCCGCGTGGTTACCATGGGGTGGAATTACGCCGATGGTGAAGGCGACTCGAATCTACCTCAGCCAATGACACTCTCGACGGGTGAGCCAGCGCTGGTCGACACTTCACTTTTCAGTGGTCCTTCGGGGGTAATCTTGGCTTCGTATTACGAATCAAGCAGGAGAAATGTTTACCTTAGCTGTGTAATGTCTCGGGACGAGCCGGAAACCGCTGACCAAAACGCCTGGAAAATGCTGGGAGACGACAAAGAGGCGATGAGAAATGAAATTTTGAAGCTCTATCAAGACACAAAGGTCCAGGGGCTGGATGCAATGATTTCCAAATGCGAGAGTTGGGACTTGTTCCCCATTTATATCTTGCCCAAGGAGGGTCGTTGGCATAAGGGCCGCGTTCTTTTACTTGGAGACGCTGCGCATGCGGTAAGTCGAAACCTCGCTATCATGAAGAAAAAAAGGAAACAAAAGAAAGCTAACCCGGTTGAAAGATGCCGCCACAAGGGGAAAGCACTGAATTTGCCATCGAAGACGGCTTGCTCATTGCAAAAGTCCTAGAAAGGCGTGCTTCTAGACCCGTTGACCAATTGTTTGCCGACTATGAGTCTGTACGCAAACCCGTCATCACTAAGCACTACGAGCATGCCGTTTGGTCGATGGACATGGGCTTCAAGAAAAGGGAAGGGATTGGCCTGGTCATTATGGAATGGGTGACATGGATCTTTTTGCTATTTCGGCGATGGGGACAGAAAGCGCGATATTCCGGGGATGTGAGAGAGACGATCTTACCTGAATAGCCAGCATGGTTTCATGACTAGAAAGATGGATTTTAATGCCTCTAGCGTAGAGATTTGAGAGAAATATATTCTATATACCGATGTTAGCCAACGACAAGCATCCATGTCCACTCCCGACTCGCAATCTAACTCTTCATGGAAGTCGGCACATTGGATATGACCGATTGGGCAAATCGAGTCCTCGACTGACTCCATAGCTGGCACAGTTATCCAGCCTCCACTCAGCGGGTATCATCTGAAGGCTTAGGATTATCTCGGTATCGCCCCTCTCTTGCCGCCACTAACTCTGAGAGCTAGAAAGTTTTAGCATGTACTTCCTGATGACGCCTCGGGAGCAGGTGGATTGATGCGTGACACGAGAGGTTTCTAGTGGAGAATGGAGTGCGGAATTGAAGTTGACCGGATCGTCATGCCACGCAAAAAATTCATGGATGCGTCTTCTCAGGATGCCGTGTTCCCGGCAGTCTCCTCTACAGTTCTTTATTCCTTTTACATATTCAGAAATGGATATTTCAAAAGTTTATCAAACCTTGGATGCTTAGAGAGCACGAAAAGTTCATCTTTACAAACGCAAAGATTGTTGATCCTACCAGTGGCGGCGTGTCTGACGATGTAACTGTCGTCATAGATGGTGGCCTCATCAGCTCCATTTCGCAAGAGACGCCACCAGGAAATACATTTGCGGATGTGAAACATGAGAAAGTCTTGAACTTACAGGGGAAATACATCTGTCCTGGTCTTATTGACTGCCATGTACACATCGCTGTTGTTCCTGGAGAAGCCAATCCGGCATCATACAGGGATATGACTGAGCAAAAAAGCCTGGTCCGCCAGCCAAGCGTTCTCAGATCCATGCTCCACCGCGGCTTCACCTCCGTTCGTGACTGTGGTGGTACAAGCCTAGCCATGAAGGAGGCCGTGGAAGAAGGGATTCATCCAGGTCCTCGGCTCTTCATCGCTGGCCGCGCACTCTCCCAGACTGGCGGCCACGGCGACATGCGAAGCTCACATGACACTCAACCTTGCTGCGGAGGTGCTGTGTCGGGTATCAGTAGAATTGTCGACGGCGTGCCGGAATGCCTACGGTATGCACGAGACGAGATCAGACAAGGTGCGGATTTCCTGAAAATCATGGGTGGCGGGAGGAGTGGCCAGCCCTACCGACAAGATTGAGCACCTTCAGTTCTCTAATGAGGAGATTAGGGCTATTGTTACTATGGCAAAGAACACCGGCACCTACGTGACAAGCCACTGCTACACCCCGGAGTCCATGTCCGACAGGGTGTACGGGGCATTGAGCACGGGAACTTGATCGACCTTGAGACTGCCAAATTGATGGCCGAGACGGGGACTTTTCTGACACCTACACTTGTCGTCCACGCCATCGCGCAGAAACTCAAGTTTCTCAGCCCGGAGAGTGACCGGAAGAATACAAACGCTTTTCATAGAGGCTTGGCCGCACTAAGAATGGCGACGGATGCCGGCGTTACAGTCTGTTTTGGTACTGACCTCCTTGGACCTCTTCACTTCGCCCAGAGCCAAGAGTTTTCGGTCAGAAGCCAAGTCCAGACCCCACTCCAGATCTTGCAAAGTGCCACGGTCAATGCAGCCAAGCTCCTAATGCAGGAGGGCAAGTTGGGCCAGGTGAAGGAAGGTTCCTTGGCTGATCTTTTGATCCCTGACAGCAACCCGCTGAAGGACATCGCTGTGCTTGATCAGCCCGAGCAACACCTGTTGGCTGTCATCAAAGATGGGAGAATGGTGATATCAGGGAATGCTCTTGGGGTCCCGATTTCACAAAAACTCTAGTCCGGTCAGTGAAGATACATTTGAGACTGTAGACAGTTTGCATCGAAGGAGAAGAACGGTGTAGTTCTATGATACAGTTCTCCACAATCTACGTACCTGTTAGTTAATCTTCACTCCAATCTGTATTAGGAAATCCGTCACTTTCCATCCGAACTGGCCTCACGGAGACCCCTACCCGAGGTGCGTCCTTCTCCACAGCTGTTTGGTATCAAGAAATTGTGTTAGTTGTTTCACCAAGTGCATGGTATTCAATCATGTCCATCCCAAGCCCTACCGCTCCTCAGAATGCGGTTCAAATTAGGAGCAGCGCTGGCCTGATTCGAGTAAGACGCCAGAGAACCACAGATCGCCCTCGGTTCACCATCTGGTACCACCCGCTTATTCAGGAACCTTCCCATGGCAGTGGAGCAATAAACGTAGTGACTAATCCCTTTACGGGGTGACCTTCCGAGGTGCAGCATTCTCACCTTCAGGTCTGGCGTTTGAGCTACCCGTGTTGCTCCCTTTCAAACCCCCTCGCCAGACTCATCATATTCCGCGCGCGCGCCACGCCGCCGATCAAAGACAGCATGGTGTATCCGGGAAGACTAAGTCGTGGCTGTTCCCGCTGCAAGCAGCGCAAACTAAAGGTACCTACCTGCCTGCCTGCCCCGTGCTTGAGCTGAGGATCTGCGGCTGAAAGCTTTCCCCTCATTAACTCGCCAATAGTGTGATGAAACTAAGCCCAGCTGCACGCGCTGCTTGAAGTACGGGAAGCCGTGTCCGGGGTATGAAAAGAACCTTGTGATTCGGCAAGAAGGCACAAAATTCCAAGTCCAGGACCCGTCGTCGGGCGCCGTCGCAGTGATTCCAAAACCCGGCAGGTCTCATCGAGGATCCTCCTCTTCAGGGTCCTCCTCAGGGTCCTCCTCAGGGTACGGCTCTTATTCCCAGCCCATCTTAGACCCGAATGACTTCATATCTACATCGCTTGGTGTCATTCCATCATGGGACTCCGAGGCCTTGGGGTACTTCATGCACCAATATGTACTCCCTGAAGCAAATGACTCTTCAGGGTACCTGCATTTCTTGCCCAAAACCTATCTTGAATCGTCTGAATCCTCCTGCATTCGGGTAGCAGTGAAAGCTTCAGCCTACCTATCCTTGTATCGCTATTCCAAGACGAAGGAGCATGAGATCCAGGCTCATACTTGGCACCATCACGCAATACGAGGTCTCCTAGAGCAGCTCAGGTCAGGCCACGAAGCGACGAGCGGGGAGACCGTTGTAACCATGATTCTTCTCAGTATTTTTGACGTAGGTAGAGAGTATCTCGTTTACTTTAGCAGGCGCTCATGCGATGTAGGACATCGACGGCCGCGGGGGCCACCAGAAAATCAACCCACATCTCAACGGGCTAATACACATCCTCCAACGAAGCAACCGCTCCCTCATCAACGCCCCATTCTTCAGCTGGGTGAGGCAGCAGCTGGTGCGTACTGGCCCCTACCCGTAGCATGTGCATTAGCGTGCATACGGCTAACATGGCCGGCAGATAATCAAGTCGTTCACTGCAGATTACCACATAGTAGATCCCAGCTGGGTCACGCCGTCAGCCAACCCCAATCCACATTTGGACAACTTCAGAGTGGTTGCCGTGAGAGTCAACCAGTTCATGACCTCGGGGCGACAGTTATTAGCGAAACTCAAACAGGTCAACGACCCTGCTAACAAGGAGCCGCTCATGTCGCCTGCTGAACTAAAGGCCCAGCTACTCGCAGTAATACAGGAGGCCAAGTCCATCCAGCATGAAATTGACGAATGGATTTCCACGATCCCCCGATCTGATAAGTGGGGAACCATGTGCAAAGACGGGAAACCTAGCGTTTACATCTTCTCGTCGAGATATCTCGGCTGTTACTGGATTAATGTGTTCACGACAGTAATCATCCTCCAAGGCAGTGTCATCGCCTGCTACGACATACTTCTCACGATGACTCACTCTTCCGTCGACCTAAATCTAATCATGGCCAAGTCAAAATCCGGGAGCGAGGCGAAGACAATGTTAACACATATCCACAAGAGCATCCCATTCTCCATGGGGAACATAGACCAGGAGGGGACGAGGATCTTTCGGCCTGAGAGCAGATCGGCATACGGCTGTCTGCTGGTCTGGCCGCTGGCCGTGTTAGCAAGGTGCAGGCTCTCTGGCGACGTTGAAGTCAGGGATGCCAGGGCTGCACTTGAAGTGATATCATCTACCATGGGAGTTGACTTGGCTCACTGGGTGCTCAACGAGTGGAGGTCTCCCCTCTATCCATTTATTCAATAGCGATAATTTTCGACATGATAATGAAAAATAAGGGACTTAATCAATTGCACGACTTTCCAATGTGAATGGTCAATTGGTTTTTATTCGGAGCTGTAACTCATTGACATGGCTGATCGGGGCGACAGACAATTTTAGGTGCTGCCCAATCTGCCGTCCAATGATTGAATCATCTGCCTCAACAACAACTTCGGGCATGTACTTACTTTTTGTTAGGAAGCGACAAGTACCCTATATCCCCGGGGGTCTATGATATCTTACAATGAAAGCCAACTTGGTGAACAGGGCATCGAGTTTCTCGTGCGAATCCGAGCGCTCCGAAGCTAGCTCTGCTTATTCGCCGCACGTTGCCCTTGTTTCTTGCCAAGGACGACGGGATGTGCCTATCTACACTACAGCAACAACTCACAGCAGATTAATGCCCGGAACCACCGGGATGTTAACCTAAATTTGCAAATTCGAAACGGTTGTCAAGGAAATTGGAACGCATGAAATCCGGCTCTTATCAGCGACTATGCCACTTCAAAAATGGCATTACTCCCAGTCACTTTGAATCCAGTTATGCATCAATGCACTCCCATTCGTTGGTGGGCGATTGAGTACCCATGAAATCCAACTTGGCTTTATGAACACCAATCATGGTATTGTTTGATGAGGCTGACGACGACGATGGGCTGGGGTTCCACGTCATTTAACACAGCCTCAATGGAAAGTAAAGGTAATTTTGGTCATTGCGGTGAGGCGCTCGCCTCAAAAGCGCGCATGCAAAGTTAGAGTACGCATTCAAGTCACTAGTAATTGATAGCATCAAGTGCTGAGGCTTATGCTGCCGGCTTTTGGACTCACATACGTTGGAGATTTTCATATATGCGACACCGCGACGGAGTAACTCTCTAGGGTCTAGAACCAATTAGGTTACGACGTTAGAACTCACTCCAACTCTTTGTGACGTAGGAGATATATGCAGCCCTATCACAAGTGCGAGTCAAGCTAAAGTGCTATCACCGACCAGTGTGACAAGCCAATAATCAATTACTAGCTCACAGTAGCCGACACAGCCATCTCAAGCTACGCACGGCCTAGCCGAATTGTGCATCCCAGCTTCGAAAAGCTATTCCTAAATGCAATAGTCGATTCATAAGAAATTCTTTGTCTTGAAAGCAAACCCAATCAATGCCATCATCCCCTATTCGCCATAGGGTAGCTGCAGAGGCATGGCTCTGATTGGCGAATTGATCTGACACGCAATTTGTCATCCCTCCACTCCAGCGATGGTCCTCATTTCAAAACCGACGGTTCCTGTTTGATTCCCGCTACTAGAAGCAGGCCCGTACCCTAAAAGTTCTAGTGAGATAAGGGATCAGCCGGCAGGACGGCCAAGTCAGCCATGGCCGAAAAGGTCCATTTGTGCCCAAGAATAGAGGGGCAGTGACTGCATTCTAGGAAGGAGGAGGGGGCTGAGCACTGGCTGCCAAGCACGAGGATGAGTCCTTTGGCACGGCACAAAGAGGCACAGGAATGGGGCCAGGTGGTCTTTCATTCCAGACCTTTGTCGAGGTCAATTCTGCTAGATAGCGAGAACATGGTTGATTGATTCATGAATCTGCCCATCTTGGGGGTTTGGATCCCGGAACACGTGGCTCAAGCATCAATAAAGTCGATTCCCCAGGACGGACTCAGTCATTCTCCAGGGCTTGTTGTCGCATGCAGCCAATTTGCCTCGTGCATCAACGTCAACAGGTGGGACTGAACCGCTGCAATCCTCCGCCGTGGCTCCGCTGCCCGTCCAAGCCCCTGCTCCTGCTCTGCGACACCACTTTGCTTCGAGCTCTCTGGTTGGCTGGGAGACATCCGGTGAAGCCTTGCATCAGACGGTTTCGTTGTCCTTCTTACGCGGCCGTCAGGTTACTGCTGAGAGCAGCGAGTGACAGACGAGACGAGAGCATCGCCCTGTGTTCATACTCGACCCAACTCTTGCGACTCCTCCATAAGTAACAGACAGGACACCTTCCCGGGACATTACTAGAAGAAGATCTCAATTGCCAATCGAGGGACGTGCTCACCTTTTCCAGCAATGCAACGCGTCGCGGAACCAAAATAGCGCCACCCCCTTGTCTTTTGGCTACTGTAGCCTTGCCTGTCTCGTCCCGTCGCAACATCACTCCACTCCTAATTTTAAAGGGGTCAGTCATTATAATCTCTCGTGGTCCTGCTTCCCCGTCCAGTCGGTTCCTCCGTCGTCATCGGTGTCTTGCTGGCCGACCAGTCGCTCCTTTACCTCAACTCCAACCGGTCTGCAGAGACCTGCAACTGCTGTACCATGGCTCGCTTTGCCAATAGCCTGCTGGTACTGGCTTTTGCCTTTCGTGAGTAGTCCTCCAGCTGGATTCTCAGCCTTGGACCAAGATGGCAGCTCTCTGACCCATAATTATTTCCCAAAATCTAGACTCCTTTGTCGCAGCAATCGACTGCAATGGAACCATCACAATCACAAGCCAGGATGACGCCAAGGACGTGCGGGAGAAATGCAAGGTGGTCGGGGGAGACTTGAATTTTGCGTGGAATTTATCAGAGAGCATCGACCTCGACGGCCTGGAGGGGGTGAACGGGTCCGTCAAGCTGACGACGTGTGACGATAAATGCGACGACATCACGATTCCCCCGCCCTTCAACATCAGCAGCCCCACGCTCAAACGCATCAATGGCAGCCTTTCGTTTTCATCATTTTACGGCCTCGAGAAACTTATTCTTCCTAATCTAAACAACGTCAACCAGAGCGTCTCCCTGTTGGACCTGGACAACGCTACACACATCGATCTGACTCGCCTGGCAACTGTCGGCGGCTTCGCCCTGGGAGCGAAGAGACTGGAGGAGCTGAAGCTGGATGGACTTCAGAACTTGACGGATAGCTCAACGGGGAACATCACTGTGTACGATGTCGGGACTATCCAATCTGTGGACGGGATATACGAGAATCCAATCGACGGCCTGCAGCTCGGAGAAGTAAACGTCACTCTCAACAGAAACTACACCGCCAGTGTGAAGAACGTCACCTTCGGCTGGACCCGCGTCCATGATCTCTTGGTCGAGAGCGGGGCAGGAATATCAGTCACGCTCGGAGGACCCTCATCCGAGTCTGTTGAGATCGACTACCTCAAGCTGGGCAAGGGCGTCATGGGACTCGAGCGTGGATCGCAGATGAAGAACCTGACAGTGAAGAAGTTCCAGAGCGAAAGCATGAACATCACCAGCTTGAAGCTGGACTTTGACCAGGCGTCCGAAATTGCCATCGTGGGCACATCGCTTAAATCGGTCGAGATTCCTTCCGAGGCAGAGAACTGGGAGAATCTGAACCTGACAATTTCAAATGTTCCGTTGTTCGAATTCGGCTCGAAATCCGCCGACGGGAGCCAGGCCTGGCACTGGCCCAAGGGGGACATGTCAGCCCTGCGCCTCGTCGGCAACATGACGGCGGATTTCCTGTAAGTCGCCCATGACAGAATCTTGTGTGTTTAAACTAGAGAGTTCTCACTAACTTGCGTCCTTAGCACATCTTTTGTTCAGGGAAGCACACGAGTTGTGAAAACCTTCCACATTGACGACACGTCTGGCTCTGTCGACTGCTTAGCCCTCGACCAGATCAAGGACAGACTTCCCGAAACGTATTTCTGTCAAGCGCGTAATGACAATGGAGCATCCATGCCCGCTATTCTTCGTCCTTTACACATCGGAGTATTTTTAAGCACGGTTATCGTACTAGCATTATAAGGAGTTCCCAAGAGAATAATCCACTTACGGCCGCGAAGACGCCAAGTTTAATGATATTTTATACATACATATGCAGCACAGCACATACATATTTACTTTTATTACCTTGACCTCGGCATCGTTCTATCCCCACCAATCTTGAATCAGTGACATGCCAATAACTTCAACCCCGCTGAAAATCAAACTCCGCCAACCTCGTGCGGTCTTCTAAGCGTCTCAGAATGACGTTCTCCGCGGCGCGCGGTCGGAAAAATGACAGGAAAGGGCATAGCCGGCGTAGATGGTGGTGTGATTACCAACCTAAGTTGATCATTGTGGCCCGCGCGAATATATTATGCTTTCGCCGTATTTTCGTTATCACCCTTTAACTCCGTAACCTCCGTTGGCTTTGCATGAGGCTTTGAGCATTCTTCAATCCAAACTATGGGAAGGTTTCAGTATGGTGCTAGTGTACGGAATAGTAGAAGGAAAGATCGTTAGTTTCTCCGGATCCCAATTGATATATAAAGAAGGGTTGATCTCTCGAGCTGGTGTGAAGATTCATCCGATCCATATTCCGGCTCTTCTCAGCCTGTAGCATTCAATAAACTCATCGTCCATCGCCCACAACATAAAATATCATGTCTTCCAGCCCAATCCTCCGTCAGGTTGGCCAGAACGGGCCTCGTATTCCCGCTGTTGGATTTGGTCTTATGGGCCTCAGCATCGCATATGGTCCTGTTGGGTGCGTCTGCTTGCCTATATACTGGTACATGTCTGTTCTAACGTCTCTGATGTATTTAGAACCGACGAGGAGCGCCTCAAAGTCCTAGACCGAGCGTGGGAGCTTGGCTGCACAAACTGGGATACTTCTAATGCATATGGCGACAGCGAGGTGCTTGTTGGAAAGTGGTTCAAGCTCCACCCGGAGCGTCGCAAGGACATCTTCCTCGCCACCAAATTCGGGATCACCGTGGATGGTTCTGGAATGAAACTAGACTCCTCCCCGGAGCATTGCAAGGCATGCATCGAGAAAAGTCTCGAGCGTTTGGGTGTTGAGTACGTCGACCTGTACTACCTACACCGGGTCAACACGGAGGTGCCCATCGAGAAAACGGTCAAGGCAATGAGTGAGCTTGTGAAGTAAGCTGACAACTTCCCCAACTAAATTTGAGCACGCGAAAGAGGCCTCCGAGGGCATACTTGCTAACCTAGTTTCTGCCGCAGAGAGGGAAAAGTCAAGCTGCTGGGTCTGTCCGAGATCTCGTCGTCAACTCTTCGACGAGCCCATGCTATTCACCCGATTGCAGCCGTCCAGGTTGAATACAGCCCCTGGACGCTGGATATCGAGGGCCCCAGCGGCACATATCTCCTAAACACCTGCAAGGAACTGGGCGTATCCATATTCGCATACTCCCCTCTGGGCAGGGGCATCATGACGGGCCGCGTCCGATCCGCGGCTGACTTTGGCCCTGACGACTTCCGCAGCCGCTTGGAGCGGTTCCAGGGCGAGAACTTCCAGAAGAACCTCGACCTCGTCGACAAGTTTGGAGATCTTGCCAAGAGCAAGGGATACGCGGCGAGCCAGATGGCGTTGGCGTGGCTGACGGCGCAGAGCGACCTTGTCTTCGTCATCCCGGGGACGAAGAGCATCAAGTATCTGGAGGAGAATTGGGGTGCGGCTGGCGTAAAGCTGACGGAGAAGGAAGAGCAGGATGTCCGCAGGTTCGTGGAGGACGCCGACCTGAACGGTACCCGGGGGGCACTTTTGGGTCATTACCTTGATACTGCGCCTCTGAATGAGTAGGCAGCTGTCCCAGACCAATCCGGTATCAGAATAGATATAAATTCTGGAACACCGAAGGATCCTAAAGATAGGTGACTGGAGTAAGCACATGCTGCTGTCAGTGTGCATTGAATGAACGAGCTCAATGATACATTACATCGGCGTGGAAGTCCCAGCAGGTCTTCAACTTCATAGTCATAGCTGGGCTACAATCATTACTGAGCAATCTCTTGACCGAGGAGTAAAAAAGAGAGCTCCTTTCCAACTCATTCCCTTCGTGGACAATATAACTCGAATGATAGAAATTTCTGTCTGAAATTTGAATTAGTCTTACGTCTTACGACAACTGTCTAAATTATTACACAATAACTCAAGGCATAGACCTAGGATAAGTCTATACCTGTTGAACATCAGGCACCGTGATTTGGTGGGGTTCATCAGGTGTGAACGCTGAATTGACCTTGTGAGGCACCTCATGCAAGCTTGCCGGCTTTGATCTTTCCAGAGTTGACGTAGACTTCTGCGTGATCGAACTTGCCCATGTATCGCCCATGACCTGCCTTGGACGCTCTTGTACTACATCTCTGACCTCCGGTAGTCTTGTTGGCTCTGTCTCACTACTATCCTCGGAGCTTGTGCAGTTATTTTGATGGCGGGCGCGGTGTTGTTGAATAGGACTCCAGTTGCTCGGACGTCCAATCGTGGGTGCAAACCCGATCGCATTGGGACCAAGGTCTCGGTGGCAGTCGCAGTTGCATCTTCCGGCTATGCTTCCTATTTTGACGAGTTTGGCGATAAGGTCGGCCATGGAGAGTTCGATATGCAGTTTAACCAAGTAGGCGAGCGGGTGGAAGAATACATAACTGGGGAAGATTAACTCGCATTAGATTTTGATCGTTGGGACGGAGTGTAATCGACAAAGACATACAAGTGTTTGTTATTGAGGGACATCATTGTGATGATGAGAACCTGAAAATGCACGTCAGCACTGCCCAAAAGCACATGTCTCCAGCAAAGCAGCTCACATCCATGGTCATCGAGATGGAAATCATGAATATGTTTACACGATAGAGCGTCACATATCTCGATAGCCCACGCGCGAGAAGTGTCGACCGCACAAGATAGACGAAATAGAGGTTCAGGCACACGTCGATAATGGCGAGCATGACCTTTTCTGTACGGTCCCAGATTTCGTTGATTCGGATGTATCGTTGCGATATCTGGAGCTGGGCTGGTATCCAGATGCATGCGACCGCGATATTAATGAGGACAATGAAGCCAAATACGGCCCATTTCAAGCGGTGTATGATGGCGGTATTGTCAGCGATGAGGCCGGCTCGGTTGAGGATGATTTGATAGATGCATTGAACCTGGATCGTCCAGAGCAGAACTGTTTACGCCCAGGTTAACACTGGGCGAATCGGGAACTTGGACGAACACTCACTCGTTCCCCCAAAAAACCAGAAACTGGAGTGGTCGCTCATGTCAACAATCTTTCTTGCAGCCGGTCATTTTCATAAGCATCATACGAACCTGGGTGGTATATGCCCGCGCATGTATGCAAAATAGATGACACCAATTATTGTGCTGGACCACAGCTCGAGCCAGATCAGGACCATGTAGAGGTTCACCTTCCGGATCCGCCTCCATTGGGCGTATGTCTGTGAGAAGCAGCGGATGAAGGCGAAAAGGGTTAGGGACAAGGACATGCCCCAAACCACACTCGCGTCTGATAGCTCTTCGCTGTTCGGAAGGATGGGAACATAGTACGGCGGCACAAAGGTCCCGTACTCGGCCATGATGACACCGGTTCAGTTACACTGCCAGAGTGTTATGGAAATATCGAGGTTCGTTCGGTACATTGAGGTCTCACCCGCTTCGGCGGATTCACTTGGCTTTCCGCGTCCATGCGCTCTGACACGAACTGTGTCCCAAAGTAGTGGCTGTGGTCATTAGAACTGATACTGGAAAGGGCACACAGGACTGAGGGCAGAGGGGATTTGACTGGCAAATAAATGAGGAGGCCGGGGGCAAGCCTCCGGGCCCTCCTGAGCTTCAGCTGGAGGCAAAACTAGCAAAGACATTGCGCACTTTTGCCTGTTTCTCCTTTTTGGGCGATTGGTCTCTCCTCCCTGTCGCCCTAGACAATCGGTTTCCTCGGGCTGGGGGAACTCCTTACGCTAAGACATATCATTTCTTTTTTTGTTCTCAGATGGCGAGGAATGCTGTCCTCTAGGCCTGGCCCTCTTTCGCCCTGCGCAGCGAGAACTTGCCTAAGCGTGTAACGGAAAAAGCAATTCTGCAGTGTGATTGGCCCGTTATTGGTTTTGTTTTTTCTATGAGTGTGTGATGGTTGTGACTAACAAGCCTAGACGCAGTGGCAATGCAGCTAGTCGTCTTATTGTGCGTGTACTGCCAGAGAAAAGGAAAGACGGCCTGAGCAGCTGGAGAGAAAAGCTTGCATCCCAGGGCCCTGATCTCGATTTATGATATTGACCAGGAGTCTTGGGGCGGAGTGCTTGCACGGCTGGTTTATTTCCTTCTTTCCCCTCCTTCTCCCCCCCTCCTTTAACCTGAACCAGTGAATCGAGACGAAAGGAATATACCTGGTCTGATGTCTCAGCCGGTGACCCCAATTCTAAACGCACCTTGCTCTAATCATAAGCTACTCGACCTGATCCCAAACCGGGTTACATCGCGGCCAGATCGGATCTGGGCCCAGCCCCTTGGTGCGCGATCAGATTTTCCATTTGGTGACCCACTCGAGGTCCCATACCTCCGTCTGATGCAGTTTCATAGACATTGCTCTCACTCGCGGTGTCCGTTTTCTATTATGGATCGGCCGTTAGCGACTTGCTTCCGCAATGTTATCTGGTGGAGTAACCTTGCCACCTAATTCTTGATGGCAAGATAGATCATCTGGATACTGGGCCGGCTTGTCGAAACTTTTAGATATCGGATGTATTTGCTGGATACGTATGCATTATTCACACAATGTCTCGCACGTTGGCCTAGCCTACCATACCATATCATGATCAGATGATTCTCGTCCCAATTTTGCCACCATATCAATTCGTCACTTCTCCCATCAGCAAATTGCCTGCCGCCCAAAATTTGACCATCTCACCCAGTGTCTCTAGTTGCTATCTCAGCACGGCTTTTCCGGGAGGGAAGCAGACCAGGACTATGGACTGCCGGACCGCGGATGCTACCCGCATCAAAACCTTGTCTCTAAATTCGGGGGTTTGTCAAGTATCTGGACCAGATCATGTGCATCACTAGTCTAAAGATACTCTCGGCCAAGAATAGCAGTGCATGAGATCGGGTTAGATGTGGGCTGGGACAGTCCATACAGTCACGCTTGTCCACTCAGTACGGGAACTTACAGACCCCAAGGTGGTTGAATGCTGATCATTCACGCAGATTGACTCCAGTGATCCCGCCACTCCGATCTTCTTCGGGGCTGTTGAGGCCAGCGATTCGGATGCCAATCGAAAACTTGAAAATTTCCAGGCTCGCTATGTTATTAGATATTGACCGAGGGAAGCACCTTGGGACCTATGGGTGACTGATTTATACTGGCTACCTTTTTCTAGCTTGCAGACTCCCCAGCTCTGATAAAGCAACCAGTTTGGTGAGAAACTGACTTCTCGGAGTTTCCGGCGGTTGACCACAGAGTCAACACAGTTGGGAGCCACGCCTTGGCCACGATGATCGGGTGTCTAAATAATCCGAGGTAAAGCAATAATAGATTCGGCAGGCCTTCTACGCTTTCGCCTTGAAATCTCTAATGCGCTTAAGAACATATCGAAGGTCAATTTCATCCTTGTTCATTCGTAAACCGTGGTGCTTTGTGTGTGAGAGTTTTGCGACCTGGAAACAAGCTTAATGTCCCAAACTATCGAGTCGGCTAGGGATGCATGGTCTATCAAAGCTTTCTATGGATTGTGATCGTATTTACATGAAGTCTTCACAAGCTCGAGGCTTAGAGAAGTGTATATACGTCAAGCGAATTAGTTGTGAGGATTTGAGCTGAGCGTCGAAGTCGAGTTTTAGTTAGGTAGTGTAACGTGACCCTGACCTAGTCAGATTAAACTTTTCAGGTGATACATTAATCTCCCAAGCTTGTCCTGGCGAAATAAAGGTGAAGGTTCAGTCATTTAATTTCCATGGTTTCTTCAACGCTGAACATCTTCTTGAAAGCCTGAAAGCTCGAAAGCACAGGTAATCTGTGATCCGGATGAGTCTGAATACCCTCTTCGGCTCATACCCGAGGTTTACCGGTTGGTCACGGCCCACGGACCGCCTGTTGCTTAGCCAGCGTGTTTGGCAGCAGCACAACAGCAATTGGGTTGCCAAGTTGAGGAGTGACGTGAACGGTACCGGTATATCCTAAACCTGAGACGTTAGACCAACAAGGAATGTTATCTCCCCAACGAGCTAAAGCTGCTATCCGATTGAATTCCGGAGAGCCGGGGCCAGTAACCAATCATACCGTTAGATCTATGCAATAGTTCAGCAAACTATTATGGTCTGGGGCCTTTAGGCCGCATTGCATCTCCACCCCACCTGATCAGGCGAGGAAGCTTAGGTCTAAATGACTCCTTCATATCCTGGCCCCTCCTCACGAAAACGAACGCGCTCGAGATTAGCCTCCCAGACCACCGCTTGTGTCCACGGCTAACTAGAGACTTCACTTTGGGGGAGTCATGCGAAGAGATTATGCAGAAAAATGTCGTCGACTAAGCTCCCAAGCACTGGCGTCACAGAAATCCATGATTCAAGCCGGAGCACCACTGATGAGGAGTTTGATGATGGGGACGAATTCCCTGAGGGTGGTTTAAGAAGCTGGATTTGCGTTTTGGGTAGCTTCATCGGCCTTGTGGGCAGCATGGGAATTCTGAATTCCATCGGCACACTTCAGTCATACCTGGAAAGGAACCAACTGCGAGATTATCAGCCGGGGCAGATTGCCTGGATATTCGGTGTCTTCAACTTCCTGACTTTCTTCTTTGGGCTACAAATTGGTCCTATTTTTGATGCGAGAGGTCCTCGCTACCTGTTGCTCTTAGGAACCGTATTCATTTTTGGATGCTTGATCAGCCTCGGGTTTTGTACTGAGTACTGGCACTTCATGCTCTCCTTTGGTGTAGCAGGCGGGACTGGGATATCATTAATCTTTACACCTTGCATTTCGGCTGTCAGCCATTGGTTCAAAAACAAACGGGGGCTTGCTACGGGAATGGCTGTAGCAGGAGGCTCGCTTGGAGGCATTATCTTGCCCCTTGTGATGCAAGATCTCTTCCCCAAAGTTGGATTTGCCTGGACGACACGGGTCATTGCCCTGATCTGCCTGGTTTGTGCCGGTGTCGCCTGCGTGCTGGTGGCATCTCGTCTTCCCAAGAGACCCTTCTCTAGAGAAAATATCTTACCCGATCTGAAGATATTCCGAGATCAAAAACTAACACTGACTACTATGTCAGTATTCTTTATCGACTGGGGAACATTTGTTCCCTTGACTTATATATCCTCCTATGCGATAGCCCATGGCGTGGATGAACCGACTGCTTTTAAGCTTATAGCTGTTCTGAATGCTGGCTCATTTTTGGGGAGATGGCTGCCGGGCTATGTTGCGGATATCATCGGTCGATTCAACACCCTGGCCATTACCGTCGGCCTTTGCTTTCTGTCTACGGTAGCACTGTGGTTGCCAGCTGGGGATAGTCTTGCCATGATGGCTGCATACAGTGCCATATTCGGGTCTGCCAGTGGTGGAAATATCAGCTTGACGCCGGTATGTGTAGGGCAGCTCTGTGACACGAAAGATTATGGCCGGTACTATGCCACCTCTTACACAATCGTCAGCTTTGGGTAAGCTTTTCTCACTTTACTCGTGTAGGTTGGGAATGAGCTGACCATCACTTCAGGACCCTAACGGGTATCCCTATTGCCGGCGAGATCCTTCATCGTTGTAATGGAGATTTCTGGGGGCTGATAACCTTCACCTCTTGCTCCTACGCTATGGGACTTATTTGCGCCTGGTGTGTCAAAGTCCTACATTGCGGATGGAGAAAGCCTTTTGCAGTTTACTAAGTAAATGTATTCCGTTCATATAAATCGAACACGTGAAATTTCTTGGCCTTGGACTGAGAGTACCCTGCTTTGTTTCGTCTCGCTTGAATAGTAAACGCGCCCTGATCCACTTTTGGGATTGTATGGCCTGCGACTTGTAGGATTCCGGAGTAGTGACACATCTCATACTTCGCTTCACTTGATAGAGAAGTGTGTATGCATGCCTCGGGCATGTTTTGGAACTCCAAATTCTTTTGAGATTTGAACGAGACTCGTGTTTATTAAATATTTTCATCTCAAATATGGAATAATGAGTTGTTCCTATAGGAGAGTGGTAACAAATGGACAATAGTACAAAAAATTAGTTTGTCAATTGCTTATCACTGCTATAATCGAATGGCAGACGCAACATCAAAGGTGGCATGCCCCTAATAGAGTGTACAGTCACACTAGAGGTTCCGGCAGTCATGTGTTGACCAGGCCAGAATAATTCTTCTGGTACCTTTGCCGAAGAAAACCGCTGTACAGAAATGGGTAAACATTTTCAAGATCGCTAACCCCTTTTCGTGGCGGGGGTTGTTCCAGAAGTATGGGTCGATTTCATGACGGGCATGGAGGAGCGAAGAGGAGAGACCTTCCGAGTGGCCCCGTCTGTTTACCTAATGGACGAATCTGGTTCTGCGTAAGAGTGAGGGTCACTACCCGAAATATGTCGGGTTCATTCTGGTGGTTTGGCTATTTGGTGTAGTCGAGTGGAGTTTGGAGAGCCTGCAACTTCAGCCAAGGAGCCTACGTACGATTAACAGCCGATCATAGAGACATGGCGCGCATATTCAAGCTGAAGCTGCCTCGAAATGCCTGTAACTATTTGGTAGAAACACCATATCGCTAGATCCTGGCTAATTGTCATTACTCTTCTCACTGTAACGGAGGAGCTTTGGTGAGTGTTTGGTCCGAAACGTGTTTCAGCATTCGTAAACAAGAGGCATAGTAGAGAACAAACAGCTTACTGCTTGCTTGCAGATCAAAATTCCAGTCGGCCCGAAGCGCTGAGAGTATTGATCAGTGTAACATGAGCTTACTTCCGATAATACTGTTGGAGTGTGGCCTTCTCATATGATTGGGTGTGGTGAACTGAAACAGGAGAGGCAATACAAATGTATGGCGCTTGACTCTGTCGGTAGATCAATAGGCTTCGATGACGCTCACCAGAGTAGTGCCTTTTGTAGTCTGTCCCTGTTTGTCGTGAGGAAATGTACACTCGGTTGGGAATCCAGCGTTGGAGACGAGGGAGTTACTTTCTGGCTTGAACCGCCAATAGCAATATTTAGAAAAGACGGTGGCGACGTCATCTCGTATGTTTGGAGCTTTGTCTTGGACTTCAAACCCGGTGGACTTGGAACTTTGTATGCATTGTGGAGCCAGAAACAAAACCAGAAGTGTGTTGGCAATCCGTAATAGTATGGCTGCTCAATGTCTGATCACCATGATGGACCAGCTACGGAACTACCGGCAGTTTTCGTGGGCCATTCCACATAAGGGCGGAGGAAGGTTTTTCAACGATACAACGATTGGTAAAGGTAGCATCCCGACAAGCCCAAGAATCAATAGCACCATGCAGGCTATACGCTGGTTAGACATTATTGCCTGTTGTGTAACTGGTGATCTCATCAGCTGCTTCTTCATGCGCCGGCACTCTTGGCTGCTCAATGCCGTGTTCTCTGCCGCTCCAGGCCCGCCAGACCAATGCTTGTCACCCAATCACCGTAAAATGAGGCAAGCTGGCTTGCAGTAAGCGGATCGGATCGGATTGTCGCGGCTGAGCATGCTCGCTCCGTTTGGCCGTGCTGTTGTCATGAAGCATGTTCTCCACCACTGAAACTGAGACCTGCAGAAGGTATCTTAGATGGCACCACAACAACAAAGCAAAGTAGAATCTGGACCCTTCTAGATGGGAGGGCTAACTGCAAGAAAGGTGCATTGACCCTTTCAGCTTGCTGTAGCCCTTGGATTCAGCCAGCCTCTATTTCATTAGCGTTAAGGAGGAAAAGGATAGTCAAGGAAGGTTACCCGCCGATCGACTGTGGCAGGAATAATGCTGGACGGTAATAATAGATAAAAGGCACCATCTGGCTTCTACCTTGTCAATAAAAATCTTACAACTCCAACCACAACTCAGTTAAGATCTCTTTTTCAGACAATTGTTTCAATCATGCGAAGTCCATTCTCGTTGGTTACCCTTGGAGCTTTCCTAAGCCTGACCCGTGCCTTGGATCTCCCCGTTATCACGCTGCCCTGGGGAAAATACCAGGCCGAAGTATTTGCAGACGACGAAGAGGTGAGAAGGACAAGAGTTCAAAAGATAACTTGAGTAGATGATGCTGACCCTAAGCCTAAGATTCTCCTCTTCAGAAACGTTCGCTTTGGAAAGGAGCCACCTCGTTTCGGTGCACCATCCTTCCCTAACTGGGAAGACGGTTCTATCCAGAGCCCAGACCGCAGCACCGCCTGTGTCCAGATTGATCCCAAGAAGTTGAGCCACCCGCCTGTGGGTGGCAATCCCCTTGAAGACCCTCAGAAGTCCCGCACAGCCCAGACAGAAGATTGCCTGTTCCTCGACATCTATGTTCCCAAGTGGGCTTTTGAAGAAAAGGAAACCCTACTCCCTGTCACCGTATGGATCTACGGCGGTGGCTACGCATTCGGCTCAAAGAACCAAGGCGGCCCCCTTTACACCGGCAAATCTATCCTCCAAGCATCCAACTACAACTCCATCTTCATCGCTGGCAACTATAGAGTGGGAGCATTCGGCTGGCTCGCCGGCGACTACATGCAGCGAGTTGGACAGCCCAACGCGGGCCTTTACGACCAGGCTCTCCTCCTCGAGTGGGTTCAGAAATACATCGATCAAGCCCATGGCGACAAAGAGTTCGTCAGCGCCTGGGGTGAGTCGGCGGGAGCAGGTTCAATCCTGCACCATCTCGTGCGTGAGGACGGAACGGTTGATCCCAACTTCCACACTTTTTCTGCCCAGAGCCCCGGGTTCGAGTGGGCCTGGGACAACTCCCCCGGAGGGAAACTCGACACAATGTTCAGGAACTTCTCCCGGCTTGCTGGATGTGAGTTTGCCTACGATATCGACTGCTTGCGCGATGCGCCCGTTGCGGATCTAGCCGAAGCGAACCAGAACCTTTACGACTTGGTTCGCCAGACCGGCCTTTTCCCTGTTGGGCCTGCCATAGACGGTAAATGGATCAAGAACCTCTCACCCATCTCCTTTTCCGAGGGTAAGTAATATCCCGAACCAGTGTGCCCTCATACATGTGACTTTAGCTCACTAGTTATTAGGCAAATATTGGAAGAACATCCGATCAGGCATCATCTCTCACGTTGCGAACGAGGGTTACTTGTTCTCACCCAAAGATATGGACAGTGAGACCAAATACGATGCATTCCTCAGCGAGTTTCTGCCTGGTTCGGCCCTGGCCCCCCAGAGAGCCGCAATCAAGAACCAGTACGACTGCAAGAAGACGTGGCTGGGCAACTACCGACTGTGCGTGGCCGCCATCATCGCTCACGCCGTCTTCACCTGCAACACGCGAGACCTGGCCACAGCCTACCCCGACGTCTCCCACATGATGGAGTACAACTTTCCCGCTGAGGGGCTTGCATATCATGGCTCGGATCTCATCCCCCTGTTTGTGACCAATGCTACGGAGGCGGAGAAACTCCTGGAGTCGTTGGACATTGATAAGAATCTGATTGAGATCATGGCCGCTCTGATCGATACCTCGATCAGGGGGCCGTTTCAGAATTATTTCGCTTCTTTCGCACTTTATGGTTCCCCTAATAGCTTGGGCGCGAGGGTACATTGGCCTACTGTGGGGGACAATGGCGATGAGTTCTCAGACGTCTTGAAAGTCGGCCTCGCGTGGGGCTCTTCGTTTACGCTTGGCTCGGATTCGAAGAACTCCAAGGCCAAGTGCTCGTTCTGGAGTGGCCTGGCCAAGGAGATTGTGGCCGCAAAGACGACATATGGTGATTCACATGGCGCCCTGCTGGAGGCACAGTATCCCATAAACAGTGGAAATGAGCTCTAAGCTGTCCGGGCCCGGGTTTCCGGTTGGCAGGTCTGGGCTGCAATTGGCACCGTATGGGGAAGTGGGTTCGATAAATCGATCGAGGTCGTAGCAGACGGTGCCCAGGTGTGACAAACGGAATTGAAAATACCTAACCTAGGCTAAGTAGTAGTTGAATCCCCGACTCAGAATAAATTGAACAATAATCTTTGTAAGGTTGAACAATAGTCTTGTAAGGTTAGACAATAGTCTTATAAGGTTAGGCAATAGTCTTTAGAAGGTTGAACAATGGTCTTACAAGGTTGGACAATAGTCTTTGTAAGGTTGGATAATACTCAATCCTTGTAAGGTTTGGAAACAAAGTGATTGAATATTAGTGCTAAGTTTGACGTAAATATAGTCGAGATCAAGTAAGGAAGATTTGGAATCCGGGAACAAAGTACGGTATGCTCCAGAGGAATTAGGCTACATAATAAGGGGGAAACCGCACAGAATCAAGATTTAAGATGTATGGAAGTAACTTCATCTTATTATCTGCAGCATACCTAAGGGGGCCACTACACGGTTCTTCCACCTTAACTTACCCTACATACTCTTTCAATCTTCCCTCCGTTCCTTTTCCTGCTGTAACATCCTTTAATGGCAGTTGGCCATAAATATGAAATGGAACACAGTACAGAGCCAATACCCCTACAATCGCTCCCATTCGAGCTTCAGCACTTGGTAATCCAGTACCTCGACCCCATCGGCCTCATTTCTCTAAGTCAAACTGGCCGTTTTTACCGCCAGCTCATCAACCCCGGCCGCAAAGAGCAGGTAGAGCGCCTGTTGGCACTGGAATGCCTTCCCGAGTATGGCGGCGACAGGCCAGCTATCCTACACCCGGACAGCGATGAGGCTGTGGCAGGCCCGGACTGGCACAGAGACGCGTGGCCGGAGCATCATCGCTGGGCATGCGCGTTCTGCCTTCGGCTTCTCCCCCACACCCATTTCGACAATCATTCGCTCCTTAGGCGGCGGTACCGAAAGCCGGAGCCGGGTTCAGAAGTGACGCCGCTCACATCATGGCAACCTGGATCGGGGAGGGGGGCAGGTCAAAACGCCCGTAGGCGGCACCAGCAGCGCCAAGCGGGCGCAGGAAACAACCCCCCCAGAGCCTCTCAGCAGCTTGGGTGGGCGCGTACCTGGCGAAAGTGCAACGAGTGCATGTTCCAGCGAGGGGAGCTCGGCCACGTGGATATTGGGAGGCCCTCTATCTATACACGTCGGCAAGGCACGCCAGAGGTGCCCATCCAGATCAGCCGCCGCGTAGTATTCAGATCCGTGTTGGATCGTTACTTCCCAGGGCTAGAAGCCAGTCTGGAGAGCGGGCCGCGTCCATTTCCGCTGCGGAAGGATACTTTATCCCGAGCAGACGTTAGCGAAGAGACCTGGACAATGTACATGGTGCGGTGTCCAGGGTGTCAGCGCTGGCAAGAGCAGCGGGCGTTCCAGATCGGGGACTGTAATAAGCATTGGAAGCCAAGGGTCGGTTTGGATGGACGGCTGATGGGATACAACGAGCTATGGACTGAGCCTTCCTCGGTGATGCTTGACGAGGTGCGCTGCAATGGCTGCTTCGTCCGAGAACATGGCCATCAAGCCCTGAGGTGGAAATTGGTCAGGCTCTTTAGGAGGGTGATCCAGGAGCTGTTTTTCAAAACCCAGTCTCGGCTAAACCAGCCCTGGAGCTCGAGCTCCGATACATACAGTAACGTTCCCGAGCAGTACATGAAGGAGTTTTGGGAAATGCAGAGAAAAGCTCATTATGGGGCGGTTGAGGGGAGGGACTGCTTTGAGACGAAAGATGGTATAGTATGTATGACAGATTATCATGTGGCGACCTTGACGACGCTCCACGAGGAATTTAAAACCCTGTGGACGGTGATGAGGACGCATGCTGACTTCGTCGAGGAAGATTTCTTAGAGGACGCGCGTTTTATGGCTTGGTTCAATTGCTATCACGAATCAGAGGCTATATGGAAATGGCTGAGGGAGGTCCTATGTGAGGTTGAGAGGAATCCAGACATGCTGGTGACGTGGGCGCTTGGACGAGATGGTGCGTCGTTGATGTAGCTCGCAAAAGTACAACCACTGGTCATCTCGTCTTGTGGACGTAGCTTGTCAAAATACAATCGTTGCTCTTTTTGTGATTGACTCTGTCTAAATAATCCCAACTGTCTGTTGTTGAAGTGCCTTCTGTTCCTGATACTCCAAACGCCATTCCAAACCCAAAATGAATATGTTGAAAACCTAAGATCATCGAACGCCAATATATCCACTGTGAAGGATGGGGTTTCACTTTGCAAGAATACCTTTAGCTTCAATTGTAAGAGTATTAGGGAGATGCTTTCTGGACAACAATAGCGGGGATTGTCTGCAGTTGGCCCTGGGAAGTGGTAAGCTGTCCAAGCAAGAGCTCCGGGGGGATTGTCGTGAGCGGCTTCACGGCTGGCGCTATACTCTCGCCATCACCGGAGGCCGGGCTCCGAGTTTGAGAGGGCAGCGATGTCGTAGAGCTGGACTGTGAGGGCGTGGGTTTTCTTGGGATGGTTCCATGGGGAATCTTTGGCGGTACTGGCGGAGCTGGAGGAGGCGGAGGCGGCTGGGTAGGGACTGGTGGGATCATCGCGGCTGGCTCGCCCATAGAAGGGCTTGGCCATGTGATGGAAGCTCCTGCTTGCGAGTTGACGGATACCAGTGACACGGCGGATGACTTGTGGGCAACTGAGTGGCCCGAATACCCCATGCCATCCCCCATGAGGAGAGCAAGCCCGGCCCTGTCTTGCTCATTGAGCAAGATGCGTTGCGAAGACTTCTTCCGCTGGCTGTGCCGAACAACGACCTCTTTCTCCTCGTACACGCCGATCGACGCCGGTCCGAAGAAGCTGCTGTCTTCGACGACTTGCTTCTCCTCGACAACCGGGGGCGGCTGGATGAACGGGGTGAGGTCCTCCAGCGGCGAGAAGGGCCGCATATCGCCATCGTCTGTCGGGTCGAAGGTAATGGAATGGGATGGCTTGACTGGGCGCGTTTCGGATTGGGGAGGAGGCGAGCTGGGAGGCTCTGATGCAGGTGTGCCCTTTCTTTCAGGGTCATTCGTTGCCGAGGGTGTAGAGACGGGTCTTACTGGTGGACTGGTCGGAATGTCTCCTGGCAGCTCAACCGGGCCAGAGTCTGTATTTGGCTCTGCGCTCAGCTCGGCGGGGTCCAGGATCGAGCCTTTTCCATAGGCAGCGAAGCTGGTCGGAGGACACGATGATACGCTGTCTGTTCGGTGGCCTGAATTGCCGTGGACCTCTGCCACAGGAAATGTCGACCTTGTGATGGCCGAATACCGTGGTGGTAAGGTTGGCTTGGAATCTGTCACTGCAAGGCCAAAGTGTCAGCAGCCATAGAGATGAGCGACGAGGAGCTTTACTACACCTACATCCGGAATCACCCATGATGTCCGCCAGGAGCCCAATGTTATCAAACTTGGGCTTGTCCGTCTTAGAGCTCGTCGTCGAGAAGCTGCGAACCGATCTCGGACCGTCCGACTCCGCGCTCACCACACTGTCGCGGCTGGACTGCTGCTGGTCTCTCTGCCCGGGAGTCGGGCTCCGCAGGGCGAGCTGTCGCAGATGCACCAGCTCGCGGAGGATGGCCGCATGATGCCTCGTGACGACGGCCTCCTGGCTGCGGAACTCTGCCGACTCGGCGAACTTCCTGGCGCTCCTCTTGCGGAACGCCGACCTGCTCTTGCGGACCTTCTCCAGGCCTCCATCGACGACCTGGCGGACCTGCCCGAGTGCCTTGCCCGCGCCCTCCTTCACGCTATCCACTCGTCGTAGCACGATCGGCTGCCGTTCGAGGTCGGCGATGTGTTCGTCTCGGAGATCGGTCAGGAATTGCAGGTCCTGCTCGCCGGTTTGCAGAAAATCGAGGAGCCGGGCTACTTCGCTGGGGACGTTGGCGAGGTCCTCCTGGCTCGGTGCCGTCAATTGGCCCGGGGCGGGGAGAGGGGAATCATCTACTTGAGATGGCATCACGGATTTTTGGATGTGGGATAGCACATGGCCTAGCTAGGTCGAAGAATCAGGTCAATAGTAGTTGGAGGAGGTAGCTATCTAGCTGAGGCTTGGGGGGACGACGTGAATGCGCAGGACGCAGGCTATAGCTAGCCTTGAACACCCAGTTCATAGCCTGGCTCAATACGATACGGAGATGGAGAAACGAGCTTGAGGAGGCTGGAGAAGGCAAACGTGGGCGATCATTATCGAAGCGGGGATGTATGTGCCTGCGCCGCTCAAGAGAGGCAAACTGGAGCACAGCTGGTGGTTTCAGCCTCTCAGCCACAGGCTACGTACAAGCTTGACCTTCTCCATCTTCTGGCAATCCTTGTATCTAAACTTGGATCGGGACGGAGAGTTGGAGGGTCAAACAATCCCCGATCCCTCCCTAGGCGCGCGCTATCGAGCCTCTAATGGAACAGCCGCTCGGTCCACCGACATGGGTGCGAGGGAAAAGGGTCGCAGCGATCAAGTCCTGGACCTGGTCAGCAGCTAGAGTAAACCGCTTGACTGAAATTGGGCTGGTCTTCTTGTTGGGGGAGGGAGGTAGGCCATTGTCATTTGTCATCTCGTTCGTGGATGCAGCTTCAAGCATGTCAACGGCTGAAATAGTACTCCCACACGCATCGATCAGCTGATGTGAGATGTTTACGCCTTTGCTAGTGGCTCATAAGCGGAAGAATCCCACAGCCTTATAGGCAAGTAGAACAGGGGGATCCAGCATCATGGAAAGGAGGTGGAGGTTGATGTCATTTTACGGAAAAGAACTGCCGCACATCAAGTCTCATGTATTATAATTATTTGCCTTAGCTCCTCCAATACAGCAAGATCAGCGGCACAGCTCCCCAAAGTCCCAAAAATCCCCTGCTGCCGGGCTCCCTGTTGTCTCCTCACGCAATCAGAATCACAGCTGAACAGCAGTCGGTGGCACAACAACCTTGGGCGTCTTGTAGGGCACGCCGCCGCGCTGGCCCAGCTTCTCCAGCCCGGCGCAGACCACCACGCTGCCCCTGCCAGCTTCGTGCACGAACCGCCAGTCGCTGGGGTGCGAGAAGAGCACGTAGCCCAGCTTGGTGCACTCGATGATGACGAGCTGGAGGTGCTCCCGCTGTCCGCTGGCGTCCGAGGACGAGACGAAGCTGTCTAGGAAGGTGTTGAGGGCGCTGGTGAGGGCCTGGGCCTGGCTGGACACGACTGTCTCAGGCACGGGCAGCGAGGTCCGCTGGCTGGGGTCCGGGTGCAGGAGGAATGCGGAGAGCCTGCGCCAATTTGAGAGTGCATGTGTGGTGGCTATTTCGGTGGTCAGCATAAAAGTTGACATATGAGTTGTGCGGCTGGACGCTCGCTTACCTCGCTTTGTGTTCTCGCTCTGGCGGTCTGGGCCAGGCATGGTCTGGAGGAGAGCTGCGACGGGAACGGGCAGCATGGAAAGGGGGCTCCGGGAGTGGACGTCGATGCTCTTGAACACCACAGTTGAGATGACATGTCGTAGAGCAGTCTGGCGGGTTTTGGGGTCGAGAGCGAGCGCGGCGATGGCATCAGGATCGTGGTGCGCACTCTTCACAAACCCTAGGGCCTGGAGTTGCCGTGAGAGGTCGTTCACATTGGCCTGGATAGGTCGGGGGTCGTAGTTGTTTTCCACGTGCTGGTGAATGAGGTCAGACAGGGCCTGAAGCTCGTTCACGATCTCATCGTCTGGTGCACCGTCAAGGAGGAATTGGTCAAGCTGAACATCGGTACTGGCGGCAGCCCCGTTCGCCTCGGGCACGGGAGAGTATGACTTCCGATCTGATGCACGAGCTGCCGAGATGCTTCGGGCTTGTGGCGCTGGGGCAGACTGCTTGTTGCGACGCTTGAGGAAGACGAGAGCGACGAGGAATCCGACGATGAGGCCCGCGATCAAGGCTCCCACTGATGCTCCAGCGATCGCGCCTACAGAAATGTTGGTCCCAGATGGACTTGACGCTGAGGCTGACTCTGCTGTCGTCGTAGGGCTCGTCGTTGGGTTTGATTGATCTCCAGTCGCAACGGCCTGGGAGACGCTCTGTGAAATCTGTCAGGATGCTCATCCATCAATGCAAATGTAGAGGCCACAACCAACTTACACTGCTCGCTACGTCCTGAGACATTGTAAAAGTATCAGCCGATGCTATGAGATCGGCTGCGAGGGAAGCTTCAGCAAACTATCTCAGCTTATAGGAGAAGAAAAAGCTGATGGCCGAATGAGCATACGAAGAGTTTGACGCCACCCGGCGATCAGACATTGGCCTTGGGACTACTATTATGAGCTAGACAGCGCCGGTCAAATGTGTACTTTTAATAGAAATGAGAACATGGTGGCGGTGCATAAGCGTGGATCTCTGTTCATTACCGAACCCTGAAGCGACGATTTGGCCTGCAGGAAGGCTGCCTTGGCTGCCTTCTGGCGCAGCTGGACGATGATCAAACCCCTGGGCCGTAATCCTCATCCCTGTGAGCTTTCGATATTTATTTGACGTCTGGAGGTTTTGCCCACTTACCCAAGCCACGGATGAGGTGTCCCGCCTGACCTTTCTGATGCCCGTTACCTCTCATGTTGGGTCACTCATAGAATACTAATACGGATCTACGACTGAACAGCAAGGGTAAACATGGCTGCGGAAACACCAGACGTAATCGTGTCCATCGATTTGGGCACGACATTCACCGGTAGGTTTGCCTGCCCCATTGCCATAAAATAAAGCCCAATCCAACCAACAATTTTCCTCCCAGGCGTGGCATGGATGACTCCACAGAGGCCAATCCAGGTCATCAACGACTGGCCGGGCAGCGGTGACCGCGGAGAGCGCAAGGTGCCCACGACGCTGGTGTACAACGCCGACGGCACGCTCTCGACGTGGGGGTTCGCCTGCGCAGACGACGATGATCCAACGCACGGCAAGACCCGCCGGGAGTTCTTCAAGATCTTCCTGGACGAGGACACGCTCGAGGCAGCGCAGCAGCAGGGCCTCTCGAGCGCGCCGCGGAGCACGACTGAGGCGCGGGGGTTCCTGACGGACTACCTAAAGCAGGTCTATAGTCACATCAAGGAGAGCATCGAGACGCAGTTGGGCAGGCGGCAGCAGCCCGGGGGGTGGGAGCCCATGTCCGTCTCGTTCCTGTTCAGCGTGCCCACGACGTGGACCAAGATGGGCGTCATCAACACCTTCAAGAGCATCGTCCGGGATGCGGGCTACGGGACTGAAGGGCCGCGGCACGTCGCGCAGGTCGATCTGACCGAGGCCGAGGCCGCGTCCATCGCCACGTTGAAGACGAGCGCCATTGAGTTCCAGCCGGGGAATCTCTTCCTCACCGTGGACGCTGGAGGCGGCACCACGGACCTGGCGCTGATGCGTGTGACGTCCGGGGATAGCGTGTTCCCGCAAATGTCGCAGGTAGCCGCCGTCCAGGGCATTGGTATTGGATCTTCTCTCATCGATAGGGCGTTTGTGAGGCTGGTGAGCCAGCGACTTGCGGCGTATCCTGAGGTCCAGAGCTCGCTGCCGGGCGATTGTCCGGCGAGGATGGCGAGGAGCCATCATTTCAAGACCGTCAAGCACAAGTTTGGCGAGAAGGTCTACATGCAGCAGGTGTTCAAGATACAGATGGAAGGAGTCTCTTTCGATTTCAGCCATCCTGGGGCTGGGATTGAGGCGGGCCGGATGCTGTTTACGAAGTGAGTAGCCCAAAGCTCCCGATCTTGCCACTCGGCATGCATGAGACAGGGATCATAAGGCTAATTATAATTAGGGAGGAGATCCAATCATTATTCGATGCTCAGATAGATGGAATGATGCGGAGAATCAGGGAGCAGCTCGACTGGATAAGCGAGGCCGGATTGCAAGAGCAAGTGGTAAGTCGCCGGGCTCAATGACTTTGCTCAGTGCCCAGATGTTCTAATCCAACTCCAGGAATACCTGATTCTCGCAGGCGGCCTGGGGAGCTCTGCGTATATTCGGGAAGAAATCCAGCGCCAATTAGCCTTGCAGCAACACCCCAACGCGGGAGCCGTAGTCATCGTCCCATGCCAAGAGCCACAGCTCGTCGTCGTGCGTGGTCTCCTGCTGGAGCAGCAGCAAAAGATCGCCACTGGCGCTCCAGCGGGAGTACTGACGAGTCGGATAGCTCGCGCGAGCTATGGCGTCGTCATCAAAGTCCCCTTCTCGGCAACATACCACGATGAGGAGGATGCCTCGCCGGATCCATATGACCCCAGGCAGATTTGGGCACTTCGACAGATCCAATGGCTCATTCGCAAGGTAACCATCATCTACCGAGCCCAAAGACCCCGGTTTCTCATCAGCTAACCTTTGTTTTCATCTACAGGGAGACACCGTTCAGCCAAACTCGGCGTTCACAAAGACATTTGAGATCCGGTTAGGTAGCGACGAGACGACGAGATCTTGGGACTCCTCATTCATCACCTCCAACCTCCCAGTAGACAAGCTCCCCACTGCACTGAGACAACCTGGCGCGGAGAAGCTTTGTGCCGTCAAGAGCGATCTGACAGGAGTCCAGCAGCATGAGCTAGTGCTCAAGCAGAAGAGGGGGACATGCTTCAAGAAGGGGTACAAGTATTACATTTGTCAATTCGACGTCAAGGTCATCGTAGCCCCCGCCGACTTGCGGTTTGAGCTCTGGTTTGGCGGCACTAAGTTCTCGGGGAACCACGACCCCATCTCGGTGAGCTGGGAGTAATGGTTGAAGTATTATTGATGCCAAACACATACGCCGGGGTGATATAGCAGGTGTCGGAGTAAGGAGCATTATACGGAGTTTCTCCTTCTGTGTAGAGAATATTGAAGTTAATAAGCTACGGCTTATAGTCTTTGGAAAAATTACTGTCAAATATTTATCACATTATAGACCCTCAATAATTAATTTCTCCAACAATCAGCGAACCTGTCACCTGGCCTAGCGACGGAATAACTCCTGAATCATAAGCTAGGTACCTCCCAGTATTACATTTAACAGAACTTGCCTGACCCTTGAGGACCTTCCCCTCGGCTGCTATTATGGCCCTCTTGAAGACTTCGCCGTTACTTACGATGAATATCCCAAAGCTTTACCGTCCCCCATCCCCCGCCTCTAACAAAGCATCAACGTTCACGTAACCCATGCGCGTGGCAATACCCGTAGCGCCCCTGTTCAAGGCCAACAGCGAGCCGACTATGATGCATCATTTTCAATCGGCATCTTCACCTGGGGTCGGGCTATGTGTGCCGTTCTGCTGCCAACCTTTCGTTGAATCTCATATGATATAGAGACTAAATCCTCCCAAAGTGCTAAACCTACCAGAAAATTGGCCATTACAAGTGAGCAAGTTCCTCCGCCGTCAATTCTCCCCAACTACTGCAGCTTCCCGAGTAACAAACAAGTTGTATGATTGTAAGTTGGCGTTCAGCTAACAGGTCGACAAGAAACCGCCGCGAATAAGGTAGCGGATAGTAGAGCTACATAGAAAAGGTCTGATAGTGTGGGCAATTGACAAAGGCTTCTTAACAGCAGCTAGAGAGATACTCATATCTCCATAAATGGACTATTTCGGCGCCATACTTGGGAACGAGCTATCATAGGTAAGCTTGTTATATGGGTTGCTGGACTTAAATGAAGCATATTGAAACATAATTAGAAGGTTACTCTCATGGTTCAATTTGGGATCACACAACTGGCTCGTGGAGTTAGAAAAGACTCCAAGCTCAGGAAATTTAACCCAATTCCCCAGGGTGTTCGCTCACCACAGGGCAAAACGCGTGCGAAATACCCGAGATATTTAAACATCCCAGAATTAAGTTATCTAAATGAGTAGAGCGATGTCTTCGTGGGCGACTTTGTAGCAACAACTACAGAGACAGTCGTTGAGGCGTCGTAGAGATTTCCCTAGGCTCAATCCGAGTACGTGTACTTCAACTCTAAAGATCTAGAGAAACTGACAACAAGGGGTGGTTCAGAAATTATGACGGGTGGGCCTTAATGGACTGGGGTTGCCGGTGTACCACACTCGGCGGATTTCCCAACGACCTAGGGTGTGATCAAAAGATGCCAGCCAGTGGCCAGGTGCTGGGCCGTAAGAGGTGGAATTCCAATAGCCCAAACAGCCAGGCGTCAATTATCCGTTATTGAGATTTGGAAACGGTATTTGACGGTGGCTGGGAGCTAGATATATATAGTCCATTCGACTGACTTACCCGTCTTTCTACCGCTTATTCCTATGTCCATGCTTGGAACGAGATCAAAAAATTAAGGAAAGAGAGAATACGCTGAGTGAAGAATTTGAACTGACTATGATGATTGTATTTCTGTGCTGTTGAAAAGTAGAGCGGGGTGATGAAAACCGGTGGAAAGAGTGCCTTCACTTGTATTTGAGACGGATGTAGGAGAAAGAAAACAAAACTTTTGAAAAGCTGAGAGGTGAAAATGTCACCCTTGAACTTGAAACTGTCCGAAATGATCGGGTCTGCCCCTCGAATACTTAGGTCGGATCTTAGGGTGAGTATTTAATATAAAGTTTTGCTACTTTGAAGGTCATTAATATAGCTTTGTTATCTGTATCCCAGCGGGACTAGAATAGCCAGGATATGGATTAGTAACTTTGTATTGGGATAGGTAAGATAACCATGCGGCATATCTTTCACTGTAGTGATGATGGGACACCTTTGTATTTGTGGACAGATGTGAACTGGCAGATCCATGGATTGCTCATTAGAGAGTAGCGAAAAGCCTCCCATTCAATAGCGGGCCCGAACCGAGCCAAACCTTCCTAGTCGACTTGCCCTTGACCTCGAGGATATTGTCATGGCATGCGGTGACCTGTTCGATCGTCAGGTCGCGAAGATTCTCCACGCCAAACCTCTCGCACGCAAGTCCATCTACCGGGGGCTAGCTAGTTACAGGTACGTATCGTGCGGAGGTGACGCTGCTGGGCCAATTCACGAAAGGTGCGGTTGGTTTTCTGCGAAAATAGACTTGAGTTCATGAGGGACTTTATGCGGAGGGTGAGGGAAATCGAACAATTCAATTCGTTCACGTTGGCACCAGTTGAATAATACTCCCCTTTATGCAAGTACTCCCGCTGCCTATCACGATGACGGTTGTCTCGAAGAGACAGCTGCTCCATCCCAAAATCGTCTTTGTACGCGTAACGACTAGACCCATCGCATGCTTAACCAACCTTCCGTTGAAACCTTCCAACAGCTAGCTCTTCTATCCTAATCATTATCGCATTCGTTCAATTGCTGCTGTTTGCTTTGCTTCACACAGCTGTGTTCTTGTCAAACCACACTGATCAGTCTGGAAGACTGAAAAGACCGACAGATCAGATCGGCACATTCTTTTTCTGCAACGCAACCAATCTTCGTCCAGCTGGAAGATTGTCAGGTTGCCTCCGAGGAGATTCAAACACCACATCACCAAATTCTTCATTTTGTCTATCCGTCCTTTCTCGTCCTCTCGTTTAACGGATCCCTCCTCTTTCTGACGGGTTTTTGCGCATCAAAACCACTTTTGCACCTACCTGCGCATCCGTCGCGCCGATCTGTTGCACACTTGGTGATTCCATCACCATATGGCCCAAAAGTGGATATAGATGCATTGTAGATGTCCAGATGCAGCAAAAGCCACCCCCAGCTTTCCCCTTGCCTTTGCCTATGCTCGAGGCACCGTGTTCTCCAGAGGACTGTTGTTGTTGGTTCGAGGAGGAGTTTTTACAAGATTCACCTTCAGCCTTGCTGGCACTGGCCTGGTTTGACGCCCGCCAGTCCGCAACAAACTTAGGGTCCAGCCAACAGGCGTTTTCCTCCCCGATTTCTTCCTTCGTAGCTGGCGTCACCTTCATAGGGTTCAAGAAAGAATGCCCAGTACTTACTTATACAGGGTTAATATGCAGCACTTGTGCGGGATGGATACGCAGTCAGAAGTCCTATGGGAGAGGTCGTAGAAGCTGGCTTCGATAATAGAGCTATACTTGTAGCCCGAAGAATACTTACATACCTATACGTGAAGGGAACTAGTTTAGAAAATAAATATTTCTTTAGTGTTTATTGTAACAGAATATCAGAGTCGATTGGCCACCCTGTTCCCGACAATACCCGTCGATTAACTCCAAAAGAAGGGACATCTCCAGCCAGCGCTGGCACCTCCCCGTGCCATATAGAATTCCCCTTTGACGTACGAGATCCCGGTATCAAATCCGAGGGCCGCATACTCTAAGCTCTACTCGCTATTTCCCCTAGTACTGCAAATATCTCTATAAGCCCCTGCCGGGCATGTATTAAGATTACAGTCGAGCTACACCCATTAGTACAACTGCCGCTTACCATTGCGGGTCTACCTATTACTATTGGCGAGAGTAAAGGTTCCCCAGGCTGGGGCACAGGCCCAATGTTTCCTATAGCAACAATGGGCAACTTTAAACTACGAATTTGCCAAGACTTTGTTGAAGCCCCCGATGGCGGGGTTTATGTGAGATTCGCGCGCGAGATACGCAAGGGAACGCGTCTGCTGTTGCGCGGTGGTGCCCTGGACTGGAAGAAGGCACTCGTCACGGTTCCGTATGGAAATGAGAGCAAAGCACAACTGCTAGATCCCCCTAAGATTTGACAGAGCAGCCTGTTAGAGAGACGAATCAGCTCGAAGCTTCGCTATGGTCGTGATTCGGTATGCCAAGATTCTGTATGCCACAAGTATCGAAGCCCAGTTATTATACCTTTACAGCCTGCATGTAGCTTCTCTATTAATATCATGGCCTGTTAGGTAGTTGAGTTTTTGAATAGCCAATGAGGATACCAATTTATCGAGAAACTCTTAGGCAGGATCATGAATTATTCCACAACAGGAAGAATTATCATATCACTGGTTGCCACAATAATTCTGTCGAGGTGACTTATGTTTGCAGTCTGTGTTTTCCTGATAGCCACTTGCTTCGGCTACATCGGGTTGCGTGGTGCCATGCAAAACAGTTGACGTAAATTTGGGCAACATCGAGTCGGACCTTTACAGATACTGCGTAAGGTTAACCCATTTGAACAGCTTCAGTGGAGGAGGATAGTCAAAGAGTGGGACCATCAATTCGCCAAATGCACAAACATACGTGTCGAGCGATTAAAGAAAGAAAACAATCTAGAATGAGAATTCCTTCTTCTTCCAGCAAAACGGCTATTTTCGCATCTGGGAGCACTCCCGGGAAGGGGTAGGCTTGAGAGTCGGGAGTCGCCGGCCCGGAATGGCCTGTTTTATGCTTCGATTGAAACGATGGCGATCCGAAATCAATGCGACGTCGCGAGAATGATACAGTACAGCCTAGCATTGTTCCGATGCTACGGTGGAGGTACGGCACGCGTAAACACAATACGAGGTAGGTAGTGTAAGCGATACGGCAAAATAACAGTCATGCAGCACGGAGGGATCATCACGATAGCCATGGAACAACCGTATGACGGAAAAAAGAAAGCCGTCTAGGCCCCAATCTAGTATTGTATATACCCGTCTTATTTACAAGAGATGATCTCAATTCAGGAAAATGCAAATGAAAAACACCGAGCCCATAAGTCGTGACATAAAGCACCGTTCGAGCGGCCTGTTTAGGACGACGCGGACGGTCCGCCGTTGAAGCGGTCGATGCTCTTGCGGATGCCCCTGTCGACGCTCTTGGCCATCTGCTCGAGATGGAGGCGCTCGGGGATGCGCTGGGCGGCGCGGGCGATGGGGGGCTCGATGCGCTGGACGCCTCTCTCCATGGGAGGGGCGAGGTAGCTGACGTTGCGCTCCCAGCGAGGAGCCCACTTGTTGGTCTGCTTGGAGAGGCGGTCCTCGGTGCCGGGCATGAGGAACCAGAAGGGGGCGAGGACGCCGACGCCTGCGGCGCCCATGCAGAGGACCTCTGAGGTCTTGGCTGCGGGAAGGCGAGGAACGCGGGGAGACATCTTGTGTTTGTAGTATGGGTGGGAATGTAATGTAGACGGAAGAGTGCCTAGATGAGATGGGCAGGTTAGCTTAGGTTATGATGACGATGATGACGAGGGTGACGGTGAGAAAACATACAAAGAACGACTCAAGGGTCGTGTGAAGATAGATTGTCTTGAAGAAAGTCTCGATGGACAGAGTGAGGATGAAGAACGTATGTCAGGATTGGAAGATGAAGGTAGGATAGGTAGAGGTAGATGATGACGAGAGAGTACCGAGTCTGAAAGAGGGGTCACACGTCCTTATATGAGATGCAGGACCTAGCAGCAGTCAGTTACGCCCAGAAGCAGACTTATGACCTGCGCTGCTGCGTGAAGGCAAATCGCTGGTACCTAACGGTTTCCCCGTGACCTGATGTCTGACGTTCCTTGCCACAGGATTGGCCAGCAGAGAGCGGGGTAGGACTAGACTGATGAAATGAATAGTAGGTACCTTGCTTGTGTCAATTACATTTGCGCTATGAAACTGTATTCTGGACGATCAGGAGAGGTAGCTTTCCTAGCCTTCTACGCCAGCCCGACCTGCCAGCGAGGAGACACTCCGTCGAATGACGGCGAAAATGCCATCTAGACGCGAGAGGTTGCCTGGTGGCAGCCGACAGTGATGTGTCAATTCATCTTCGCAGACAGTTACATTCCAAAATGAGCGGCAGTGAATGGGTGTGTGAAGGAGTTCAGCGCTTGGTTGTACCTGGAGGGTCACTGTGCTACTATTGAAAGGCTTCGGCGAATCAAAGAGCGACGGCGGTCTCCGGTTTTCAGTGAGACTACTGGGATGCAGCGCAGATGATTGGTACATGGACTGGTCATGGCGATGGATGGCCATTCCTACATACATGATGTGTACAAGGACATGCGGAGGATGACGCCGCCCCTGTCTCACACCACAAGCGGCAACGCATCTGTGTCAATCGCTGGGACCTGGGGTAGAGTTGATCAACGCGAGGCACACGATGCTATATCTGCTCTGGCCATCTTTCTTTTGATTCTACGAAATAATATTTTTCTTCAGCCTGTCAGTCTCTCTGTCTTCTCTGTCTGCCGTGAGATGCTGGCAGTTAGCGGGCGACAGGCCTAGAGCTCTCCACTACAGGTGGCCCACTTCCCCAGACGAAGCTAAGTGACGGCCCCATCTTCCATTTCGCAGCAGATCCACCGCCCAGAGCCCACTCAGAACCCCCGTTGCCGGAGAATTGGCCTGCCTCCAACGAAGACGAACGACGTCGAGAGATGTGGCCCAGGGCGATCTCGTCATGGGGATCTAGTGCGGCGAGGCGGCTCGAATTGAGCCCGTCTTTTACACCCTCGATTCAGGCACAATCTCGATTGTCTCCCTGGTCACCACCCGTCGCTGGTGTGTGCAGGTGTACAGTGGCTTGGAGGGGGGGAACACTACACCGTCAGCGGCGCATAGGCATGTGCCAGCGCTGGAGGAGGGGGCAAATGGGGGATGGATGCACTGCGCTGCGCTTGAGAGTTGATTCATCACCTGTGGCGTGTTTCGTGGGTGGCCGCCAGTGTGCTTGTACCGCTGCACAGTGCAAAGTCAATCAATCCCACCCCGCCGGATGAATGAAATGCATGCGGGCAAGGGTTCTCTCCTTTCCCTCTGTTGGGCCCAGCCCCTGGCCTCGAAGCCTGTTGCCCCCGGAAAGCACCCAAAACAGCGACGTGACACGTGAGTCGGACTCGCGCCTCCAGACTTCGAAGGACGGCCATGGCGTCAAACCTGCCTCGCTTCGAAGAAATAACCCGAATCGCTTGTGCGCTCCCGGAAGGCGTCCAACTATCCTTGGGAGCTGTTCCTCAGCTGTCGGCGATGGGGGGTGAAGGCCCGTCAACACCTGATCATGGTACCGTCCTGACGCTCGCTCCATGCAATGAAACCCAACCGGGCCTGGCAAATACCACCGCGTTGCCCCCCTCCATCTCCTCTGTTGTCTCCCGCAATGACACTCTTCCTCCTCGCTACTAATGCAAATTAGACGGACAGTGCGCGCTCGCACTCGCGCATGGACGTACGTGTGCCACGACCCTGCACTCTCCTCTCCCTCCCTTCCCCTCGCTCCCCCTCGCTCGATATCATTGGACACGATTGGTGCCGGGTCAGGCATTTACGTATTCTGTTCTAATTTGCCATCCAATCGCGGCGCGTTGATTTCCAGTGGCAGACTGAGACCTTGCTCGTACTATTTTCACCGCTTGATCCATGCTGCGGTTTTGCTTTTTGCGTCCTCAGCTTCGCTGCGCGCTTTCGTCAAAATGTCTTGCTTTTCTCGTAAATCGCAGTTCAGCCCAAGTCACCGTCCATTGGGTCTTCTCGACTGACCGGTTCATCCGCCAGAGAAACGTTTCCTCATGCATGGATTTCTCTGGTGCTACCGAGCCATGACGCGAGAACCAATTGCAATCAAAGGGGGCCAGCATGGCATACTACCCTACTTCTACCAATCGATCAGCAAGCATGGACATCTCCTATGGTGTGGTGCTACAGCCCTCGCACAAGTACTTCCCCTCCCTGACGAGGTACTGCTGATGTCGCTCTGAGACATCGAGTCAGCAACCGTCAGGTCATCCCCCGCTCGTAATGTTTCTCTGCAGACCTCCATTCCAGACCTGATGGGTTTATTCCCCACACTGAGTCCTCGAGGCATGACAAGTCCCGGCGCTTCTAGGCATCATGACATACGACTGCGGACGAAATATGGAATGACTTCTGCCTCCGCTCTCCCTCCGTTGCTAAAAGCTCAGGCGTCGGCGGAGAATATGCTGGCCTCTACCTCCTCTTCAGCTCGCTGATCCCTACGATTCTGAAGCCCCGATGACCTTCTCTGTGCAGTATGACTCGGGCAAGCCACTCGGCGGAATTTACCCCAGACCGACCTGAACCTTGTTCTGGGGCACCGCTCCTTTGTAAGCACACTCTTTTGGTTCCCCTTCCCCTGACGTTAGACAGGGGCTCCTCCTGAACCAGACAACTTTTCAGAGTGCTTGCTTGGACCCAGCCTCTGCATGAATGCCAAAAACGTCATAAGTGAGCTGTTTTCTCCCTCTAATATAGCTACACCATGCCGACTTCCTTCGATTGCCTCTGATCCACCCTATTCGTTGCCTACGCACAACCTCACCAAACCGTCAACTATACTCGAATACCTCCTTCCGATCTTCCATCGAGCAGAATAATCCCCCCCGTCGATGTCCCCGAAGCCTAGAACCGATGACTATATCCGTCTGACAAGCTCCTGCGATATTATGGTGGCACGGTGGATCGGTTGGCACTTTGAATGACTCGGCGCCAGGCCGGAGCTTCTTCAAAAGAGAGGAGAACACAGCGGCTACTCTCGCCTGCATATTCCATATTGCCATTAGCAGTAGGTTTGAACTTATTGACGACTAGCTTGCGCCGTCACTACGAGGGCGCGCTTATTTGTGTTGATCCTGTGGGGCCAGCGTTTGGGATAGTATAGCCTACGGCCGAGGTTTACACATGTATGATGTTTGCCGAGCTGCACTCGCTCATGCTGTCGTCTTGGCCCAACGACGGCCTTGCCCCTGAGCACAGAAATCACTCATACGTTGGGTTCGACAAACTAGTTCTGCTGCGTCAAACAGGCGGCTACTAGATTATGTCGAGATATCACCTGCCGGCTGTTGTCAGGTAAGCAACAGTATGAGGTGAGCTTGAAAGTTCCAATAACTGCAGGTTTAATGTACGGAGGCCACGTTAAACCTGAGTATCTCAAAGAGTTTGATCCTTCTAGAAGGAATACGGGAAATGCGTTATATGTTGTGAGGATGATAGGCAGACCTCGTTCATGCAACCAACCTCGTCCAATACACCGATTACTGCGAACACGGCAAACCCGTACGAGTCTCTTTCCGAAAGCCCATCCCATCCGTCACAACAACTTCCGGGTGTTCATTTGTTAATCAGATCCGATAGTCCGGGTTACTTCCTCATGTTGTATCTTCGTCGTTATAAGAAACAATCTTCCCAACACATAACAGATGTGGGCAGTCATTTGATGAAGAATAGACCGTTGCATATTGTAAGCGATCGCCGCGGTTGATACCTTCTTAATGAGATGGTAAGACTTTTCAAAGAATGCTCAGTGTATCATGAGTCCCTCCTCGTATCTTTTGGATGTACCTTGCTCCAGCGAGAATTGCGATGAGCGGGAAGGTGGTCATCACATCTCTCTTGTTTTTAGTTGTTGCCTTTCATGTCCTTCAACCCCTCGAGGACATCTTTCTTCACTCCAAATTTACCATTCGTGAAATGGCATCTTCTTCCCCAGTACACCCACCAGCGATCTCGGGATTCTGGCTTCAGATATGAAAATACGAAAAGAAAATTTCCATTGTAATGCATCCAGAGTTTCAAGTATCTTTGCATCCACCATCTTTTGTGAAGTCCCAGAAGATATGGTGGTAAACAAAAAGCAACCATTGTGATATCGTTAAGATAGCAACCTAGAACTAATTTGCCTTCTTGATAACTCCACAGAAGTCCATGGCCTGGCCGATGGTTACCCGGTTGTTTGGAAAAGAGATGGTATTCCTGTAGAGAGAGCGTGCCTTATCCCAGAATGATTCATCGCGTTTCTCGTTGGCGGTTATTGGGATGTTGATACGGCCGGGCGTGTTTGGAAAATCCGGATACTCAACCCCATCACCTCCCATCACCATGATGAAGATTGGATGCCCGAGACCTTAGCTGGGTGTTATTAATGTGTCTAACTTGCAGCGACGTGTGATATGGATATTGGTTTTCCAGTTGTGGGTTCAGCTATGTAATTGCTACCAATTGGTGCGTGCAAAGTATGATGAAAAGGCTTCCCAATCGTCGTGTGGGCGACGTTGAGGAATTGACAGTACTGGCCGGCCTTCAATCGCACGATGGTTTCCAAGTTCCCCGGATGATCGTGCTGTCCCGGCATTCCATGATTTTCATGTCGAACCTCTCAATGAGGTCGGGTTCACCATCGCGTACGATCTTTCGTGCTTTCATTAAGACTGCGTGGTGACTTGGTTCTTGTAAGAGGAAAAAAAGTCAAAGAGTTTCGGATCGCCCACAGGAAGGAGTGCACTGTCGAACGGATCGATCGAATCCGCCGTAGAGTCCTTTAGAACGTCTCGAGTTCGTATAAGCCCATGTATCGCGTTCTCGGGGAGATTGTGCCCTTCCTTTGATCGTTCCACCATCGTGTCCCATTCCGTAACCCATGAAAGCACTATGTGGGAGAGTGCGCCCAGTCGAACACATAACTTGTTCTTCGGGTAGATGCGTGAGTATTCACCCATCATTGCTACGATATCCTTCATTGGACGGTTGGAGTAGGACCTAGTGTGCTGAGACAGGGTTTCATTAAGTACTTAGGACACTCTCTACATCATGGCTTGGACAGATAAGCGATTGGAATAGGAAACCATAACGTCTCTGGTTGCGACCCTCATGTCTTTCCACCCTTTCAAGTATGTCCCTTGTGGCCCAAATTTGCCATTCGTCGCGTGGCCGAGTAAGGGTCCTTGGTATTGCTGACCAGTGCATTCCACGCCCGAGGGTTGTCCTACTTGTCGACTTTGAGTAATCCAAACACTTCATCTGTGTTGGTTTTGGCGGTAGGTAATATGAATCACGTTGCAGCCCCGTGTATCATCTATGGGCAGCACTCAGTGAGGTGTCGAGTCCTCAGGGTTAAAGAACGCGCGGATGATCTCTAGACCCTGCTTAATCTGATCAAGGTCCTCCTGGGCCTGGCCCCCTTGACGGTTACTGGTCAAGAGTTGCTTTACTATGATATCACATAGACTGTCTGGCATACGCTTCTCTTACCTCTTGAAACTCGTGTTGCTTGGGAGACTCTGACTTAGTACCCTCTTCCTCCTGGGCCCTCTCACTCCTGGCGAGATCCTCGAGTCGAGTTGCTTGGCGAAAGCGGTTAACAACTGCCCTCTCAAAATTGCTGTTCGCTTCCTGGACTGTAGGTTAACCCTTTCAACTTGCGTGAAGGAAACATGTATATTCCGCCGTGTCAACAAACGGCATGGAAATGTGGACGTCACGTTGCTCAAGGCATGCATGTAACTTCCCGCGTAAGTGTGAGACGCGCCGAGGTGCGGGCCAACAAGTAACTGCCCTGTCGTGTCCCGCGTGGAAGTATTTGTCATGCGCCGTTTTCAGGACTGTCTGAACACACGCGTCCGGTACGCAAAGTTTGATTATACCGTTGTATTCTCGACGGCAGAGAAGGTCGTTTTCCAAGTAGAGCGGGAATTTGATGCGATTGGATTTCGCTCTCAGGTCAGTTGTATATTCTCCGATCTCCTTCTCCTTCAGTATAGTCATAACGCGTGACATTCCCTCGTCTGACTTGTATCCTTCGACGAAATTTGGTCTCACGTCCTCCGTCACATTCGTCGTATATGAAAAGAGACAGAAACTTGACATGTAGGTAGCAAGCCACTGAGATAAAGCGTGGCACACCAGAGCTCTTTTCGTGCAAGCTAGAGACCTCTTTTTCATACTAGTATTTCCGAAGACAATAACAGTACAATATAAAAGTATTCTACAATTTTCAACTCGATATTATGTTTATTCCTTAGATTATTGTCTTAATATGTGTCAAAATACAACGTTGGATGGAGGTTTGATGTGCCATGTTCTGCTTCTGCCACTTGTCAGACAAGGTACCTAGGTATTCTGCCTCGTAATTCTGGCATCAGTAAATTTGTGAACCCCCCCGTAACCTTACACTGTTAACCTTCTCCTCTTTTCCCCCTTCATCTGTGCACTTCTCCCTCTTCCCCCCCCCTTCCTTCATCGGTGCTTAACGTCAAAATATTATCTTCCTAATCAAAACTCATCACATTCTCGGATTCAACCATGGAACCACAAACTCAAAGCCAGGAGGATCAGATCAAGGCAGGGCTGCAAACCCTCCGAGATGGCATCACCCAACTTCTCCAGAGAAAGTCTCGACGTGATATTCTACAAGAAAAGAGGCAGGAAATGCTAGATGACCTGAAGAAGGAGATCGCAGAGATCAAGGGATCAGCTGTCGTAAACGAAGCTGATCGAGCTGCATCTTTGATGGGACGGTTCGAACAATGGACCAAGACTATCCGCGAAGAGTACTATGACGAGAGTCAGGATTATTTGTTCAACGAGGGTTTGATAACAGACGCAGAGAACCTTTAGGGAAGCTTCTCAAGGCAGTTCTCAAACCAACCCGAAACCCGAGCCGAGACCTCGACAGAAGCCCAAGCCCAAGAGCGAGCTGAGGAGAACGGCCTACCGGTGCAAAATGCCCGGGCCGGTAACTCCAAGACGCGGCTTGCGGATTCGCAAGACAGCGAGCGCTCCGCAAAGCGGCCAAGGAGGAGCAGACGCCAACCCGCTTCAAGGAAACGTACACCTACTCTCCCTGTCGTGACGGCCAAAAAGCAGGCAGTTGCAGATCCATTCGTCGGTGAACTCTACTTGGTCTCCTGGCCTGGTGCAAAGTGGTATGCCGGGCTGGTTCTCCCATTTGAGAATTTGTCTCACTTTGGCCTACACGTCGACTTTGAGATGGCAGGTCTTCTGGAGACACGACCCGCGTGTTTCCGATATGACGGGGAGAACAAGAAATTCCTTGGATGGGCAGAGGGGTACGAAGACGGCGGCCCCATGGTTTCCCAACGAACATTTCCGGTGTTCTACCTTGACGATGAAGACGATATCAACTCATGCACCTACGGCTGGGTATCAGCAACTGACCTCAAGCCCTTCGACTTGAAGTTGGTGGCTTCAAGGTTTCACGAAATGATCCAGAAGTTTATTGAGGCTCAACTCCGGGATGTGGAACAGAGCCCTATCAGTTTCCAGACGTGTAAGTTTGCTATCCCGAGATGTTCGGTTTTTCTTACTAATGTCCTCCTCCAGCTTCTCTCTCCGACCCAGTCTCTCAACACAACGCAGAGCCTGTTGACTTGGGCGCGCAAAGAACCAGACAGCTGGGAGCAAGGCCTGAACTGCCGAAGTAGATGCTCATGGGTCCCCGCTCATTCCACCAGCCGAAGACAATCACACCCACTCCCCCCCCCCTCGACCATTCTATCCACAGCCTACTCCTAGCGACGAGCCTTGTCCCGGCAGTACTTTATTCCTTTGTTCAATTGCATCACTATGTGTTTTCTCTCAGGAAGTTCAGTCAAAAGATTAACAGTCGTTTTTACGTTTTGAAATTGACGTTCGGAATCGGTATCAGAGATGTGGACTATGTCATAAGAAGATGCTCAGTTTGAGATGCACCAAGAAAAGCTCCGCATAATGTCGTTAGATTTGGTATTTAGAAAATCAACACGCCTTTCCCTACTATCATGTCCTTTTTTGAAATTCCCAAATTTGAAAGATCCATTTCCTCGTATTATATGCAAAAATAATTATATGAAATCCAATCATCGACCGTCCTTTGGTTCTCTCACATCTTCTGTAGAGCCAGTTTGGTATAGCGAGCCAGACATAACAGCCAACCTGGAAGGACCTTTTTATTTCTTTTTATTTCAGGGCAGTCTAAAGCTACATAGTTGCTTCAAACAGATAAAAACATTAGTATTTCGAATGACTTTCCAAGGAACAGTTCTTTTCGTACACAAGAGATCAACCCAGCGCGGCACCTCGAGGCCCTCAGCTCACCCTCCAGGTGAACGTTAGACAACTGCGATCACAATCACTGGCCATCCAGGAAGCGATGATCAAGAACCAGACACAGATCAAACCTGCCTGAGGCCAGTGGAACGATCAACAGCAAAATTGGATAGGTGGTCCTCTCGTTGTTGTCGTGATAATCTAAACTGCTCTTGTTGTTGCTGCGCCTCCCACTGGCCGGACAGGAGCAGTTTAGATTATTACGATGATAACAAGAGGAATTGGTGAGATGAGGACGATATCACGGTGAGAAGGAGATAGGCGTAGCCCTGGCGCTGACAGGGCTGAAGGTATCAGCCTCGAGGCAGTGCGAGTGATAGAGCACATCTTACCCCAGACATCCACGATCAGGTGCTAATCCAATTCAATATTCCTTCCCATGATTCAACCGGCACCACCACTGACCCCATGGCGATTTGACCCGTCATCTCTGAGTGAGCGCGAGATAATATTTCAGCAGCCTTTCTCGCCATGTCGGACTTCTTCCCCAGTAACCACAACGCCCTCGTGCAGTACTCGCAACGATCCAGCGACCCTTGCATCTCGCCCCGCCCTCCAGATGGATCCGAGGACCTCGAGTGCCACAGTTCCTCGGCTCGCTCGAGATGGATTGCTGCCGCTTTTGTGAATGCCCTGATGATGAGTATAGTCCAGGGCTCCGTCAGGATAGCTCCCTCGTGAGTTACAGAGTGGAATGGGGTTTCCTGCGCGCCAGGAGGCAACGTCCACTGGCTGGCATTGTTGCTTCCATGCTTTGGCGCAGATACCGCGGCAATATCTGAAATTTCTATAGCGCTGGATTTGGCCATTTGCCTGCAGAAGTTGGCGTTGAGTCGCTTACGCCGTACATCTTCGATCCCAAGTTGTTTCTTGTCGATAAAACTGATCGCCTCGGCAAGTAAGAGCACGGCCAGGTGCCAGTGCGAAAATATGCACACGAACCAGCTCTGCACACGGGGTGGGACCGCGTCGTAGTCTCGGATTAGGCTGCGATGGAAGGGGCCGTACGTGACGTTCCAATACTTGTAGATCAGCATACTCGCATTGATAATGTCTTCGACGGCCTTCCCACGTCGACCTCGTCTGATAGCACTCTGTAGATAGGAGACATGTCTGAAGAGGAGGACCTTGACTGGGGCTGATTTCGTGACTGTCGCGGCGGCATCATCGTATGAGCAGGGCCAGGATGGGATCTTGCTTGGTTTTGCGAGGTCGTCTTGGATGAAGAGGTTAACCTGCCATCTTTGCGGCAGTGTTTCGGTCGTCTGGCCGTATGAATCGATCGCATCTCCGAGTTTTGACATGTCCCAGGCAGCGTCGTGCTGGCATTCCTCGTCGGCTACCACGACTGGTCGTTCGTTCATCGAGGAGGATATCGTGTCGAACATGACGGATAGCCAGTAGAGCAACTGTACTGTTCGCTTTGCCTCTTTGATCTCTGCAACCGCATCCCCCCCTGTCCGGCCTCTGTTCTTGTCCAACCAGCCGGCCTCCCATAAATCGAACTTGCACTTGAGGGCGTGGATTTTCCGAGCTCCCCTCTCCATAAAAATAGGTGGTTCTTCGTTCTCGATTGCTTCTCGCAGCCTACCCATTAGTGTTTCCATGACGCTGTTAGAAGAGTTATAGGCTTCATAGCCACCACTATCCCAGCTACTCGTTTCATCACCATCCATAGGTCTCTGACATAGACCGAATATCAACTCGGCACACACTACTCTGAAACATTCGAGGCTCGATACATTCTCCAGCGCTGCTTTCGCTTGAGCCCATAGCGTCCTCTGAATATGGCGATCGAACTCCTCAGGCGGCGGCGTACAATCCGATCCCAGTTGGTTTGGGCTTTCTCCTTGACTATCTTTGTATTTCTCCGATTGTCGGTAGCTGCCCTGAGCCCACTGGCTCGCAAACGCCATGATAACCAGATCGAGCGCCTTAGACGCAGCCTGGTCTTCCGAGGGCCGTAGTTGGAGGAGCCTGTTTCTCTGAGCGACGCGGTCCAGGAGTTTCACGCGCCCGTATATCTTGTTGGACCAAGTTGAGCCGAGCTCGTTTTGCAATCGCTCTTTGTTTGTAGATGTTCTCATGAGTGTTAGCGACGTGCTGCCGTAGGGACAGGTCTCCTCCGCCAGCCAGCAGGAAAGATTGTGCTCTAGCACATCGTGATAGATGCGGAGGAGGTTGTCGGATATCATGGCGTTGTTTGAGATGGTCAGCATCTGTTCCTGGGACGTGAGAATGGAGAGCGTCGAGGTGGGTGCAGGCCAATTTGTCCAGCTGTCTCGCCGTGAGTTCTTCCTGGCATTGCGATCCTGGTAGAAGGTAAGTTCCGAGTCTGTATTTTGCAACGACGGGTCTCGGCCCAGCCAGTCCGTCGAGGGGAGAAACCCTTCCTCTGAGAGAGAGCCCCACGACTGCGTTTCGTCACTGGAGAGGTTAGGAAGCGAGCCCCAGAAGGCCTGCTGGGCAACATCCAACGATGTGCCAGTCGAGGACACCCACTGTCCATCGGTTGAGTTACTCGCGGGACTCGCGTACGGAATGGCATTAATATCAAGAGGCGGCGACGGGAACATGTCCAGCTGCGGGTTCAGCTGCTGCTTCATGGCGAGCATGCCCGGTCCCATGCTGAGGCCGTAGTCAGCCTCCCCGCGCGACATGAACGCTCCGTCGTACCCCGGCACAGGGCCGTAGAACTGCTGCGCAGCCCCAGCTGGCTCGCTCGAGTCATCAGTGCCGGGGGATGCCTTGTTGGCGCCGCCGCGGAGCTGGGCCTGCGCCCAGACGAAGGTGCATTTCTTCTTGGTCTTGAGGCAGTAGGTGCACGAGGGTGTGCGCATCGAGTCCTGGGCTTTGGGAGGGGAGCCCGGATATCCCGGAATCATCAGCGGCGCGCACAGGATGAGAGAGGCGCGGGGGGAGATGAGGACTCACCGAACTGGCCAGGATACAAGGCGGTGCGGTAGTTTCTGGCGTCGGGAAAAACGCGGGTGTCGCAGGCCCTCTTCGACTTCCGGCACTGGTCGCACGCATGGTTCTGGCGGCGCTTGGTCGTCTTCTCCATGGCTCGACGTGACTTGAGCTGTCTGGACGCGCGGCTGGGCACGGCTGGGAGGGAAATGCTGGGCTGCGCTGGGCCTGCTCGGTCGGTTGGTGGGGAGAGAGGCGGGATTTGATGAGAAAAAGTGAGTGAGCGCTTCTGGGATTGGAAATGATCTTAAGACTCTCTCGCACTAGACTAAGAACAAGCCCAAAAACGGCGGTAGTGTCACTGGCCTATAATGATTAATCCCCCGCCTGCTAGAGGGTCGCAGTGCATCGGCAGAATGGGGAACAAGCAAGGATCCTTCGTCTCGTCCCCCGCATTCTCTTGGGCGCAGTTCGAGGCCCCGATTGGGCGTGCTCGTGTTTGTGCTACGACAACAATCATCCGGGAGCACACCCTCAGGCGTGACGGAGGGGAGTATGTATTTCCTGACAGGGAGATTGTCGGGCACAGTCACGGATCAGTCGGTCCTAGAGGGCAGTATGAAGACATTCCGCGGAAGGCTGCTTCTTCAGCGGCTGCCTCAGGTACCTACGCGCGTCACGTGGCCAAAATTGAATTAGTGCCTATGGTGATCACTCGCAGCCTAAAAAAACACACCAAATTACGCTCCCAGGCCACTCACCCCCTGTAATGCACGAACACATTGGAATTGAAGTTACCCCGCTTCTCTCGACTTTTCCGTCTGGGCTGACTTATTCCTCCGTTACGCAGCCAAGCCCTTATACACCTCCATCTCAATCTGCCCCCACAGGCCGAGAACTTGTGCATCAGCAAATGGGAGCACCTGGGAGGCAATCATGCCTGCGACACCCTTCTCGCGATCACACCACCAGAACAGGTTGGCCAGCCCGGCCCATTGTCCTGTTGGCTGCGAGCGCCCTGTCGCGGTGCTGTTGGGCAGCATGAAGGTGAGCCCCCATCCCTGCGGCTGGCTCGCCGCGACCGGGTACAGGTCCGGGATGGGGTTGGTGAGGTCTGGCTTGGACGGCGGGATGCCCTGGCGCCCGAAGTTGGGGAAGTCGGCGATCTGGTTGGTGAACATCTCCTGGACCGTCTCCTTCTTGAGCAGCTGGTGGCTGGTTCGGGGGCATGTCCCGTCGTTTAGGAGCACAGCGAGCACCTCTGGGAGCTCTGGTTAGCATGGAATGCCGATGCAGAAACAGGCTGCACGGGGTGGTGTGGACGTACTGCAGTATTCCTGCGGCCGGGCAAACATGCCAGCACCGCCACTGTTGAATATCTCACCCACCTTCTTCTCGTCTGCGAGGTCGACAACGATCGGCACCCGCTGCAGGTGGTCTCTCGGCCGTAGCTTTCCGTCCTTTTCTCGCTGGTGCATGTAGGCGAGCTTCGACCGCATCTCCTTATTGGGGATCATGGACATCTCTGTCAGCCCCAAGGGCTGGAAGATGTTCTTCTGCATGTAGTCGTTCAGCTTCAGGCCAGTCACGCGCTCGAGGGCAATGCCTGCCCAGTCGATGTTGACCTATCATCCATGTCAGTACCATGCGAGACATGTAGGAGTGCGGCTGGGCCAACGCACCCCGTATTCCCACCCCTCTCCAGGCTGGAAGAGCAGCGGCATAACCATGTCCTCAATGCGACCGGAGAATTCGTCAAACCCCCCAGGGAGCGACCAATCTCTCAGTCGCTCATTGAAAAATGTATAGCCGAACCCCGCCGTGTGCGTCAGGAGCATGCGCAGGGTGATCTTCTTCTTCTTCTCTTCCAGCGTGCCATCAGGCCGCAGGACCTGGAGGGTCTTGAGCTCCGGGCAGAGGTTCTCCAGCTGCTCTCCGTCATCGAGGGAAAGTATCCCCCGCTCGACGAGCTGCATGCAAGAGACGCCCGTCAGCATCTTGGTGCAGGACGCAATCCAGAAGATGTTCTCGAGCGTCATGGGCTCGTCAGATGCCAGACCCCGCTTGCCCGACGAGTGTGCAAATAATTCTTTACCATCTCGATCGACAACGACCACGGTAACGCCAGCAAGACCCAGTTCCTGGTCGACGGTCGTGCCGTCTACCAGCGCCCGGAGGCTATCTAGACTCTGGGCAGAGAGAGACATGGCGAGAGTCTGTTTTGGCTTTGTAGTAGATTCTTTTACAGAAGGAGGACAATTGATCTTTGATCTTTGGCGAGGAAGATGAGATGAGATGCCCTCGCTGTAGGATATGTAAGGGGAGACGAGCTCCATGTCCCGCATCCTCTCACTTTTGCCGAGGTGATCAACCCCACAAGCTGAACACGGCGCTTCAGTCTGCCGCAATACTGCGGCTTCCATCGTGACCTCTTACGCAACCGTGCTGCGGCTCCGCATGGTCACCCGCCGTCCAATCCGTCAAAAACATGTGGTCGCCCACGATGACCGATCTGGCTGCTTGCTTGACGCGGGGAACGGAGAGCGAGTAATGCTCAAGTCCCGATGGCGATCCCCGCAATCTAACCTCCCTTGCGATGCGGCTGCAGGGGGGCTACATCATTCCCATACCCTCCCATACCCTATCTAGTGGGATAATCGGCTGCGGATCCGCAAACGATAGGAGAGGAGCTGGGCATCTGTCTGGGGAGCGGGGATTCCCCAGATGCATTGAGATTTCTCCAGGTTGGTGAGTCTCCCTCCACGAGGCTTGCATGCATAACGCTGCGAAGGGCTTTGTCGTTGTATTCGATGCCGACTCAGTGCACAAGCCTCGCCAATGTCTAATCTTCAGATGGATCTGTATGGATCTAGTGTTACAGCACATATGCGGATGCTGGATGTGTTCTTCCAGAATGGACGTCGTGGTGTTGCGCAGACGCGAGTTGTAGTATAAATAGGGGTCGTATGACTCCCCGTTCTGCTGGGTTTTTCTGAATATACATCAGCTTAACAAACAAGAAGAAGAAGAATTATATCAAGATCTCATTAATCGCTACAATGACCGATGCTGCAATCCCCAATCATACTGCCAAAAAGTTCAATACGGAGCTGACGGACTACTCCGTTGCTCATGAGGACAAGACGGGCCCATATGCTCCTGATTTGGAAGTTGATGCTCTAGTCGTGGGAGCAGGTTTTGGTACGCTTGAGCCTGCCCTTCTATTGAATGTGATTTGAGTTATCTTACAATATCTTGCAGCCGGAATCTTTATGCTCAAGACCTTGAGGGACCGTGGCTACAAGACGGTTATCTTCGAGGCCGGTAATGACACCGGTGGCACTTGGAGATGGAACTGTTATCCCGGTGCCATGGTTGACTCGGAAGTCCCCGAGTATGAGTTCTCCTGGCCCGAGGTATGGAAGACCTGGAACTGGCCGGCCAATTATCCCACCTATCAAGATCTCCGATCTTACTTCGACCATGTTGATAAGGTCATCGGTGTCAAGAAGGACACTGCCTTTAACACTGTCGTTGTGGGTGCCCACTTTGATACTGATGAGGGCCGCTGGCACATCAAGACTGAAGATGGCCGGTTGACCAAGGCTAAGTACCTTGTCCTTGGAACAGGATTTGTAAGTAAATCCTTTATCCCTCCATGCCTGATTCGATCCATTTTCTAACCGATGTGGACAGGCCGCCAAGCGGTATATCCCTGACTGGCCAGGAATGGACAAGTTCAAGGGTACTATCCACCACTCTTCCTTCTGGCCAGACGAGGAGATCTCTGTCAAGGGCAAGCGCTGCGGCGTCATCGGCACAGGCGCTTCAGGCGTCCAAATCGTCCAAGCCTGGGGACCCAAGGCCGATGAAGTCAAGGTATTCCAGCGGACACCCAACCTGGCAGTTCCGATGCGCTATCGAAAGCTCTCCGTTGAAGAGCAAGAGCGCGGCAAGGCATGGTACCCAGAGCTATTCAAGTACAGAGAGACCAGCTTCGCCGGATTCCACTACGACTGGTATGAAAAGGAGACATTTGACGACACCCCGGAGGAGAGAGAGGCATTCTACGAGAGTGTTTGGGAGAAGTGCGGCTTCAGATACTGGGTCGCCGTGTACAAGGACAACCTCTTTGACGCCAAAGCGAACCCGGAGTCTTACAAGTTCTGGGCCAAGAAGACCCGTGCTAGAATCGGAGATCCTCGAAAGAGGGATATCCTTGCTCCTCTGGACATGCCCCACTTCTTCGGCATCAAACGGCCTTGCCTCGAGTACAGTTACTACGACCAGTTCAACCGCGAGACTGTGGACGTTGTCGACATCAAGAACAATGCCATTAAGGAGTTTACTGAGACGGGCATTCTTTTGAATGACGGTAGCCACTATGAGTTTGATGTCATCGCAGTCGCAACCGGTTTCGTAAGTTTCCCCCTCTATGAATAGATTATACCCATTCACAAGCTAACCCCACTTACTAGGATATTGTTACAGGAGGTATGACTATTGCCGTTTGATATCCTACTCAAACCATCTCAGTGGGATCCATGCTAACAACTCGTCTGTCTAGTCATGACTCAGCTCGGACTTGAAAGCGTCAACAAGACCAAACTTCAAGACGAATGGGTCAAGGGGTGCGAAACATACCTAGGTGTCACAACCTCCGGATTCCCCAACATGTTCCACATCTACGGTCCTCATGGTCCGACTCTTCTGAGCAACGGCCCGACCAGCGTCGAGATTCAGGGTCGTTGGATCGCCGACGCAATCGACAAGATGAACAAGAACAACATCAAGTACATCAACCCCAAGCCCGAGGCCGCCAAGGAGTGGAAGCAGCACATCTTGGACCTGAACAATAGGTCTCTCTTCCCTACTACAAGGTCGACTTACATGGGTGGCAGCATGCCCAACAAGATTGTGGAGCCTGTGTGCTACACTGGCGGCATTCCTGCCTATGCTAAGGAGATTCGAGAGGCTCTAGACAGCATGGAAGGGTTCGATATTGTTGACCAGTGAGGAATTATGTTCCTAGTGTCTTTCTGTCTGCAGGATATACTATCCATAGTTTGGTTCAATTCATGTTTTCGAGTATTAGGACCAAGAATATTGTAGGAACTTCTTTGATGTCTAGTAAACCACAGAGGCATTAAACGGTTTAAACTCTTGTTACGTAGCTGGATGATGGCTCACTTTAAATCTAAAATGGACTTCTAACGCTTCACTCCTCCGTGGACTAAGAACACAACGATCCATCATGCCCATGCTTTGATGGACTGCAGCATACCACGTGCTCACATGTTTCACTGTTAATGCTCGATTGATTTCCCATATGCTTACCAAGAGCATAGTTACGTAGGTGGCTGGTTCCTTAATCTTATGACATCTTATGAATCAGCTTTCTCAATTTCTCTGTATTGTTCTCATTCTTCTTGTTCTCTGTTGTAACCGCTCCTGCACCTCTAGGGTCACAGCTGTGCGTCAATTCAGAACAGAGGATCTCCAGCTCGTAACTGTATCAGTGACTGAATAAAGGATCAATATAGCCTATCCAGCTTTTTTTTTCATCTTCACCATTGGTCATTGCGGCTGTGCAAACTTACCATGTTTTGTTTCCAGGGCAAGGGTTTTGACCTCTGCTATCTTTCCGTTGCTATTTTCACTTTTGCTTGTTGAGAAATAATGATGCAATGGGCCGAATGAAACCAGTAGGCTAAAGTTTTTTGTATGATGACCCATTCGATGTTGGTTTTTGAAAGAGTTTGTTCAATGTTGACAATGATGCCGACACAATCAATCATGTTCAGAATTATAGGGCTTTGTTCGCAACAAAAAGACATTCGGAAAAGTCCCTTCTATCTAATATATTGTGAATGAGGATAGCTTGACTTGCGAGTATATTAAATACTTTCTTCGGACCAAATGGCTGGCATCCGTGTTTATCATCTTTCACAATTTCCTCACTAAAAACTCATATTACCAACTTCAAACCAGAAACAACACCCCAGAAATATTCCTGTACATCATGGGGGACCCCATCGATTTCTCAACATATCGCCACTACAATATAATTCTCAAGACTCTCATAGATAGCGACAGGCTGGATGAGGTCATTCGGAATTTTCAGTCACAGGGCGTGGATGTTCGTCGCGTGGACCAGGAGGAATTAGTTGCCGGCTTCATGAAACACAACATCTCCACCAACGACCTGATTTTTAAGAATCGCTACGACTACCACTTTACCGTCTCTCCCGTACCATTCAATATGTAAGTCTCGCTATTCCTCTTGTACCCACCGCTTGCTGACTTCTCGTGCTCTCAAGGGTGACTCCTCCAACCAAGAATACTCCACATGGACACTACCATTACAGCCGCCCTGGAATATTTCTGGGGGATAACAAGAGCGACAAAAGCCACAGGAAGTAGTGTCCGCATACTTGTAGGATACCATATACAGTGTAAATAGATGAGCTTGGGTTTTTGTCTCTACGCGCATTACTTTCCGGGGCCAAGTTTGTTCAGTCGAACTAGGTTTCGCCTAGCTAAATCGGTACACGATGCCCAGCATAAAAGCTCAATAGACAAATACAGTATATAATCAAATAAAATTCAGGAAGTATCTGTACCTTTGATATAATTTATTTCTTGGCAATTTTTGAGTTATGGTGAAATCTTTGGGTGCCTGGCCAGCGTCATTCGTGTATCAGCAGTATTGACCTTACACTCACAGCAAATGAGTTTCTGCTCAATAAGATTTTATGGGTTTAAGACTCAGTTAGGCGTACCAAAACTTTTGTCAATCCATACTGGTGGCTGTTCTTACAACTTCACCGTGCTGCAAATGATTTTCAACCAAGTAGCATGTCTACCTGATCATAACAGCGGTGTCTACGTAGTTCGCTTTTTTCTTTTACCTTGATTTTTTTTATATGTCTCCTCCCATTAGGAAGCACTTCGAATATTATCTGGTTGGAAACCATGAGCTTGGGGTCAACCAAATTCAGAGGTTCTTTACGCTATGAAACTCCCTCCTGGAACTGACTCGGCGAGGTAGCCGACGAATGTGCGTCGCGGTTCAGGCACATGGACGGGATAGCCCTCTAGTCATACCTACGAGATAATTAGTAGCAATTATATCTTCAGGACTTGCTCTCAATGCGCCGTCACTTTCATGGGTGCTCAAACGCATACTGGCGTGGCCTAAGAGTCCTGTTCCTTACGATCATCTCATGGCTGGTAATTCTTCTCCTAGATCTGCAAGACTAGCCTTGCCGCTGATGGCAAACACCATCAGACTCCTACATGGCACTTTTTTCAAGCTTATGTAATATTTATATAGAGGTCTACATCCAGGAATTTAAGACGGGCGATGACCTAGCTGTTTTCCGCAAGGCGAGTGAACGCTGTAGAACTGCGCCAACTTTCCAACATTGAGACGAGTGAGGTTGAAGGAGATAGCCAGCAGTCATCTCTCAAGATAGTTCATTTCTATTCTTAGCAAAAAAGGAACTCATTTCAGTTGCCGGTTGCCTTTCGCTTATGCCAGAGGACCCAAGAACTAGGAGAAAAAGGTCTATTGGAAAGATTAAACTTAGAGGACGCTCACGCTTCTATAACAAAAGAAAATCCAAAAACATCCTGCCTATAGAAACAAATAAACCTTAAAGTTATCTCACTATTCAAACTTTCGCAACGGCTGGCATGGGGTTTGCCCAAGGTACTTTGCCAATCATGCGCTCCTCAGCGTTGATATAATCAAACACCTGCATATTTGCTGTCTCAGGGGAACCGCGGCCAGCCAGGAATTTTTGGAGCGCATGTACAGACAGTACATGTCGGTCGACAAAGGCGAGAGTCCTGGTTTGCCAGGTGGCCATGGCCGTGGCCTGGCCAGAACGCCCGCACCCTGCTGTCACGGTGGCATACCGAGAGTCCTGGTATGCCTTGAAGGCTGAGTCCAGCAAGGCTTTGCCTGGCTCGGAGCCACCGGCTGATTCAACTGCTTTGTGTATCTCGTTCGCGAGGCTGACGATGTCAAGAATGCCGTTGTTGCAACCAGCACCTGTACTGGGGGTGAACTTGTGGGCTGCGTCACCAACAAGCACAATGCGGCCATCCCAGCTCCAATGTTCGACGACACCCTCCTCGAGACTCACAAGGCCGGATTGGACACGGCCCTCGTGCGCCTTCTTCAGGCTCAAACCCCCTTTTGAGGTGAGGGGGAGCTGACCCCAGCGCTCGACGATCGTAGCTTCGTCTGCCTCCGTGAATCGAATTCTCTCACGGGTTGGGGCATCGAGAGTTTCATACAAGCCAATGACGGCGGTCTCTTCGCCAACAAAAAATTGTGTTGCAGCGCCAGGACCATGTGTCTCGACTGTTGTGCCTGGCTTCAAGTCTTGGCAGAGAGATGTAGGGATTCGAAGCCAAAGGCATCTATAAGTGGTGAGAAAAGGTTGCTCCTCATTGATCTCCAGTGAGCCGGCGTTGAGGCCGAGAATGCGCATTTGCTGGCGGACACTGCTGTGCGCGCCGTCGGCACCGATGACTATGGAACCAGAGTAGGAGGTGCCGTCCGCACAAGACACGATGGTGCGGTCTTCTTCAATAGTAATGTTGGAGACTTTTTTATTCGTGTAGACACTGGATCGTGCGTGGGCGGGGATGCCTTCGTACAAGACTCTGGTCAGATCATGCCGGCTAAGGACTCTTGGAAATGCGCCGAACCTATAAGAGGTGAAGACATGTTAGATTTGCTAAGATCGAAATGGTATCTAATTGAAACCACTCACTTTTCTTTGAGGTGGAAGAACCACTGTAAATCACTGACGGGTTTGCCTTGGTGGTCGATACACTCGATGCCTGAGAGTGGTGAGCTCACAGCATCGAGGGCATCGCCAAGACCGAGCTGATGTAGGGCTCGCATGCCATTGGGAAGCATGACGAGATTTGACCCAGCATCGATGATGATATGTGGCCGCCTTTCAAGGACAACAAAGTCGATGCCAGCCTTGGCCAGAGCGATGGCAGCGGTCAGCCCAACTGGGCCACCGCCCACAATGATAACTTTGAATCCGGGGACGGCCATGTTCGAGATCTGTTGTCCGCAAAAGCTAATTTAATCAAAGATGATAAAAAATGGCGCTGTTGATTGATTCTTAGGTAATTCTCGAGTTTGGTGATGTTGTTTGATGTATTGATCTTATTCTGTCTGATCTCTTCGACCTTCGAGGAAGAAGATATCCCATCATCTTATAGTAAGATAGTCTCGCTTTCATGTCGAATAGAATGCCAGTTCGCATTCGATTTCTTTGTGTATGAGGCTCCGAGAGTGTTCGGCTGTGTTTGTCGCACTCGCAAAGTGGCTCAGCAAGCGGCGGGATTCAGGTGCCGAGTGACAATCTCACTCTCTCTAGCGTTTGCTATATTTATGACGTAGGACGTGGCGCTCGCATTCGGATCAAGTGGTCATCCAATGCCGAATGGCGCTTAAATCTTCGACCCGTCACTCAGCTTCGGACTCCGACCGCCCTACAGACAGCCACTACCGTGAATTCGCTGATTATCCCTCCTTCTTAATCATTTCCTAGGCTAGCTAACGTTCGATGACTGGCGCCACTCCCGAGCATTTAAACGGTTGCTGCGAATGCGAATCCCGACCGAACTGCGGGCTCGCGAAGATGAAAACCGTCGATATGATAAGCTCGCTTAGATGCGATACTCCTGTCCTCGATTATGTCTTCCGAATTTCGAATTTCGGGGATTTCCTCAAAGCAAGCAGCCGAATTTCAAACCCCATTCCGGGACCAGCTCCCTGGACTATCTTACCGATGGGGCCTATATTACCGAGAGTAGAAATGGGGCCGACGATTTGGCAAACACGATTTAGTTGGGTTGATAAAAGCTCTCGCCCTGAGTTCTGATTGATGATGCAGACGAGGCCAATACTTAGGCATTGCAAAAGACACTTTGATACAAGGGGCGCCGATACAAGGGGCGCCGATACAAGGGGCGCCGATACAAGGGTGCGCAGTGCCTTCCAGTCTCCTAGTATATCGCACTAGAAGAAAACATCAGCTTAACATGCGACGAGTACACCGATATTGTATCAATTTAAGGAGATAGCATCAACTCCCGGCGGTGTTGCTGTACCCGTGTGTCGCTTTAAACCGCTCAAGTTCGTTGCGTCGATGGATTAGTTCAGTTGTCTGCTAAGCTTCGCTTACGAGGCCAACCCTGTCCGGTTGTAACTCCTGCTAAGGGTCTAATTCAGGAGCCTGGAAATAGAAATATGAAATCCAATATTCCTCTTCTGGCTGTATAACCTCACGAGATCCACAGGAAAACGTATCTTTTCCAGCGGAACCAATTAGGAGTCTCCGAGCTGGGCGGAATAGCCCTAGGAGGAATAGGTGCCAAGCTTCTTAGCATGTTCTGCACTTTCTATTTCCTAGCCCAGAGGTGCTTAAGATTTCCAGGCTCTTGAATCAGACCCTAATTGATGATAGAGTGGCATTCCTAGCCGACAGAAGTTCTATTTTCCATAGATGGATAACAATGGATCAGAGCGAAAGAGGCAGTTGGGGTCGCAATGGCTTTAGGCAACAAGAGTCCTAGGAGCCTGGAACGATCTCTGACTCACGGCGACAATCACGAACCAATCGAATGCGCCTCATGGATATATCATATAAATATGCCCATATTTGTTGTCGTTTGCCACTTGGCTATATTGGCTATATATTCCCCAACCCCATCAAGCTACACTGGGCCGTGCGTGAATAACACCTGTGCAAGTTTTGCCCTAGATCATTCAACTCAAAATGCCGGTGACTCTCCAAGTCGCCAAACACGATTCAAATCCCGTCGGTCAGAATGTGAATACAGACCACGGGGGCTCGCAAGATGTGCTAAATAAGCTCATCCACTCACCCGTCGTCCTGGAACAGGCAGACGGCGAGGCTGGCCCGATTCTTGTCACCGGTTTGGGCCAGCAGACATCCTTTACCGATGCTAAATTAAAGGAGATGAGTTTCAGCGTCCAGGACCACGGCCTGATTCGTGCCGCCTACTACGCATATTCCAATCATCACAATCTGGTCCTCCGGCCAGAGGATATCTGGTTTGCCATCTTAACCCAGTTCAGCTTCTACGTCAATGCAAACTCGGAAAAGCTTCGCTCGTCCTTTGTTGCGCATGAAGGCAAGAAGGGCCTGGTCCTCCGTGACTCGGGCCAAGCTGACATGGGCCTCATGTGTCGCAACATGACCAAGCTCATCGATGAGAACATTGTTGACGAGAAGCTGCGTGAATGGATCCTGCCATCCTTCACAACCACGACCGTTGATGACGAGGTGGTCGCTGCCGTCATCATGATGGGCACCCTCCAGAGGTACTTTGAATACCTGTTTGATGCCTTTTGCTGCGGCATCCCGCGTGTCACCTTGCTGGGCGAGCTGAGCGACTGGGAGGATATCCAGCGACGCATCGAGAAGCTGACCGAATATGGCGAGGAGCCGAGCCGGTTTTGCGAACTGCTCCGGCCGATCCTGCAGTACATGATTCTCTCCTTCAAGACACCAGAAGACCTTGAGGTCGTGGACTTTTGGAGCAAGATCATCAGCCATACTGCGGGCAGCGGGGTGAACTATCTGGACGGGTGGTTGGTCGCATTTTGCTTCTGGGATGAGAAGGGCAAGTGTCGCGTCAAAGAACCCGAGTATTTTAGTTACTCGTCCCAGAGAACACCCTCGATCAAGGCTCCTTATCACTGGGTGGATTTCCATGATGTACCTTGCGGATTTGTTTCGTGCCCTTTGACGTATATATCTCCGGACAAGGAGGTCATAAGCGCCAGGTTACTGGCTGGGCTGGCTGGATTCGAGTTGAGCAAGTCCATCTACGAAAGCCTCCCTATCGCCGAGGTTGAAAGCAATACTGCGGCGAGTGAAGAGGAGAATAAAAACCAAAGCGGCCTCTTTCGTCTATTTTCCAAGCTAATGGCCACAGACACGCCAGGAGAGCAGCTTCATCCAAGTACACCAGGCAAACCGCGGCTTTCGCTGCTCCACAGCGAGAAGGCATCGCACGAGTCAGACACTATCCAGCCTGTCTCTGGGTGGTGGATGTACAAGGACGAGGCTGGAGAAGATGATGGCAAGTCGCGCTCCCAGCTTTATCAAGACAAGATGGCGAATGAGTGGAATGGTCAGGTGAGCACAGGTTATATCCAGAAGGACGGTAAGATGGTAGTCAAGGACGAACTACCACGCGACCACTTTATGTAGGAATTAGCCATCCACGGTGTGAAATAATCAAATAAAAGACTCATGTTGAACAGACAATTAGAGATGTGGCATGTACCCTCATCTAGATACTTGTTTTAAACATTAAGAATTCATTAATCAACTATTCAGTATTCGCCTAGATTGGGCTGATAGCTTGCGGTTTGGGCAACTGGACATCAGGGCGGTATCATTCATCGGCTTCAGAAACAATCACAATACCCCAGGGCAGAAGGTAAGCTCAACTTCTGGTCTCGCCACTAAATCTTGACACACTAGGATCAAAAGTACCGCAAGGTGCATACAACTTCACCTTAAAATGTTTTTCGCTAACGCCTTCACCTAGTGGTGGTCAGCTCGATGCAACATCGTGAATTGAGCATCAGTGCATTCAGCTTTGAGGGAATTTCTTCCATTAAGAACTTAGGAACAAGTGAATTTCGAGCACCTAACTACACATTCAATTGTGTTTTTCTACGCTCCTAGAGGTTCACCAAATAGATAGCATATCTGAAGGCTTCGTTTGGCAATTTCAACGCCGCCCTTAGCAGCTTTCGGGCAGAAGCCACCAATGATTTGGTTAATATCAATTTAGAGATCAACTTTTCCAAATTCGTGAAGCCACCTCCTGAATACGACGCTATAGGCCAGAATCTTGCTCGCTCCCGGCGACACGAAGCGCAGAGCGGCGCTCAGCATGTGCTCGCGAGAAAACTTGGACTACTCTTCAAAAGCCATGCCACGCTGCCCCTTACACCTAATCTCATCAAGGCATACGGGGAGAGGGCTTCGCAGATTGCTAAAAGTGCCATTGCGAATCGTCGCGGACAGCATTCCCATGGGCCGTTCGCCGAAATCATTGGAGCCGATGCCACCACCTTATGGGCGGCTACTACCTCCGGGAGGCGATCTTTACAATGCCACCTTTTGGCGTGTTTCCTGGCGAGAATGTGGGAGCCTGCAGAGGCGACGTCGATTTGGGTCGAAATAATAACTAGGAGGAAAATAGAGCTGCAGGCGCAGCTCGAAGAGGAAGGCGAGCTGGATAATGAGGTCTTGCTAGCGGCGGGCAGCGACTACATACGGTCCGACATTTATGACTGGGACGCCAGTGCTCGAGCTTGGCTTCGTGCTGCCGATGTCGTTATGGGCAGGCAGCAGATCCAACTACGGCTCATCGTTGATAATCTCGACATAGCAGTGAATATGAAGCCAGACACATACGCCAGTCATAGAAGCTTGGGCCTCAGAAATGACCCAAATGGAGAATCTGCTGATGGGCGTTCCTCTTCAGGTTCACGGTGGAGATATTCTTCTTGGATTGTTATCTTGGCACTTATACCCAGATATGCTGCATCTTTCCAGTAAAGATCAGAAGATCAATCAGGAGGATCCTTTGATGAAGGGTCGAGGCATCTTGACGTTGGGCTTAGAGCCATCTCCGAAGAGAGACCAGGATTGCAAATCAGTCTACTGGGCGCTTCCCCTGGCTCATTTGCGATATTATGGCTTGCCGGTTACACGTATGAGAACTTCCCGGATGTCCGATCAAGATCGATTGACGGTTGACGAAATGCTCTGGGCTATGTTATCTGCCTACATACTTCAATGGGATAACGGCAGTGCTGCAACTGGGGAGCTACTTCAATATTTCAGTGATGTTTCTATCGAGCTTCACTGGGCCATTGGGTACGAATGTTCCAAAAGCTCTAGCTACGAAGGCCAGATACATTGGAAAGCCGATAAATGGGTGCATGAAGTTAATTCTTGGCTGACAATGTTTTCGCGCATTTCCCTCTTATTTAAAGACCGCTTAAGAGAGGAGAGAGTGAGAAAGCTCAGAAACATGGGTCAAAGATGTTACCCGGCGTCCTTTGTCCCATTTCAGGGTATATTTCGGATCCAAACGTTCCTAGAGACAGCAAGACGTGTCGAGGATAAGATCGAGTTACTCAGAGAGGTAGCATCATCAATTGCGGGCCAGTCATCGTCTATTGACAATGAGTACGAGTTTCTGATTATCTACAAGAAAGAGTACTTCGATCCTGAAGCCAGGGTGTTTTCGTCAGCATACGAGTATGCCACTGCTTGTCCAGATTATGCGGTAGTAAACGATGGGTTAAAAATCGATGGCCCCCGTCAGCACAGGAGATGGATTTCACCTCACGAATCAGACCAGATGTTGACTGCACGCTTGGGACAAATTCGTTCAGATGGAGAGATGGCCGAGGTCATTGGTCCCTCCCTCTACCCCGTCTTTCAGTGTGTTGCGAATCGGCGGGCCCGAAAGTCAGAAAAAGATGTCAAAGTTCCACATTCCTCGCACGGGAGATTGAAACTATATTCAATTGAGCCAGATCTCGCCGCTCAGTTTGGTCCCAAAGGAACATGTTAATCTCGAGCTTATAAAGTCTTGTATGGGAATATAGCAAGTGTTGCGCTTCTGTGTCAAGGCAGCAAGCCGGACCAGCCCATCATCCACCAAGAACATGAATCGCTCAAAGATACCAAGTCTCATGCACCAAAATACCAACTCAAAACAGCCACCATTATGAAATTCTTTCGGCCAGAAAAGGTCAGATTCGAAGCGTTGTGGAGGATGCTGAAGCTGAATACTCCAGAGCATGATGTGATTCTGGGTATGACATTGGTGGACAGTCTCTACAAGACTTTACCCAACGCCACTGTCGACGTCCGGGTGATCCAACTAGGCTTCGAGAAGGCCCACTGGATCCGTTCGATGCTCTCGCCACAGCCTGCTGCTTTCACCAGCAGGAGAACATTCGCCTCCTATCGATTGCCTAGATATGGCTCGCATCATCTCACAAGCTCCGTGTGCTTTGCTTGCATCGCCATGATGGAAACTGGCTCGTACAATCTGTGTCCAGAAGATTTGGAGAACGTCTTTGCTCTATCCTCGGCCGATTCGCTGTATATATCGTCAGCCGTTCTCCAGGATCCGGCAACCAACACGTCCAGCGCCCCGATCCAGAGGCTAGCAGGAAACATTGGCCGAGCAGGAGTTGCCTTTCTTGTCCCTCCTGTGGACCCCGAAACAAAATCATATGACAGCATTGATGAGTGGTATTGCCTTGACCACAAAGAATTCGACGGGGTCGTGGACGACTGCTTCCAGGGTACAAGCCTGCATCTTTCGTTTTCAGAGGCTTGCCAGCCGCTCAATGTCCAATTCTCAGGAAACAGGGATGTCGGGGCTTATTTTATTGAAGCGCTTGTCTCCGTATATGATCGCGGCAAATGGGTCTCCGAGCTTGATATTCTCGGGTCTTTGCGCAATCGCAGGATCCTGCGAGATTATCTACACTCCGACCCGTGTCAATGTAGCCCAGTCCAGCCACTCGGAGCCAGGATCATTTCCATTGACAACTATGCTGAAATGGTTGTCCCGCCAAAAGCTCCGGGTATTGTCCGAGCAAAAGGAAACTGGCAGGCTCGATTAGTCGCGGCCGCTATCTGCATAGCGAAAGGTTACCGTGTCATCTTGAAGTCCGAAAAGACGTGTTGGAATTGTTCTTATAAGTTGAGTATGAACGGTCGTTCTGTGCAAGAAGCATTAAAAGAAACGAAACAAGGAGCTATCATAGTTTTGTATTGCACTTGTATAATAAGTTCACCTTTTTTTGATTCGGTTTCACAAAGATAGTGATTTAAGCCAGAAGAGAATGGGGGCTGGGCTGAATTGATGTAATCATCTGTAACAGATTTTATCGTGAAATATGTTACCATGGGAGACGTCACGGTTGATGAACCAGCAATCATTGATACGAAGTGTAGGGTAAGCTAGATGATCAGGATGGCCTGGCTTACTAATCCGGTAACCAGCTAATGCACAGCCCCAGCCGAAGCCATCAGATCGGCCCATTCCCGTCATCTTTGTGCAACAAGCTACCATCCACAAAGACGAACAGTGGGCCTATCAGTGACCGGCACTGCTCATGATGGATGAGAAACACGACTCCGGGCTGCTAATGGGCCCGTCATACCTAGGCCAAGCCCCCAAGAAGCACAAGCAGGCCTCACTGGGCCAGCGGCTGGGGCTCGCCTTCTACTTCCTTTGCGTGTCCTACATCCTCTGCTCCATCTTCTACCATTCGCTCGGGCTGTTTGGCATCGTCGGCCGTCCTGACCATGATGGTGAATCCGCCGGCCTGGCCGTGTGCGACGAAGCACCTCCCCTTGTGACCTACGAGGGCGAGACTATTCAGTGGCAACCATGCGGTGAAATCAACGAGCACCCGCTCGAATGCGGCTCGATTGACGTACCCATGGATCAATTCAATGCCTCGAACTCTGGCGACAAGACCTTCAACATCCCACTCATCCGCCTGCGCGCGTTCAACGCCACCCAGGGCAAGAATCTCCTGCTGAACCCCGGTGGCCCCGGCGGTAGCGGCATCGGTCTCGTTCACAGGAGAGGCAAGCAGCTGAGCACCATTGTCGGCGAAGGCTATCACCTCGTCTCCTTCGACCCTCGCGGCATCGCTGCATCTACGCCCAAGGCTTCCTGCTACCCCGACAGCGATGTGCGCCAGAGGCTGTCGAGGGTGAGGTCTAAGGACCTGGTCGCCGACAGCCCCGAGGTCTTCAGCTGGACCAGCAACTTTGTCCAGGCTTGCGCCGACACCATGGGTGACCACGGCCCGTACATCAACACTCCGCAGACAGCTGCCGACATGAACAGCATCCTTGACGCGCTGGGCCAGGAGCAGATGGCATACTGGGGATTCAGCTATGGTACGATTCTGGGCCAGACGTACGCTTCGTTGTTCCCTGAACGATCTGAACGAGTCATCATCGACGGCGTGGCTAACAACTTTGACTGGTTCGGCACATCCATCGACCAAGAGATGTGGACCGACACCGACAACGTCTTTGATGGGTTCTTTGACAAGTGTATCGAGGCGGGGGACAATTGTGCCCTAGCAGGATTCGCCGACACCAAGGAGGAGATTAAGAACCAGGTATTGGCATTCGGCAAGGCCCTCCAGGAGCAGCCTGTCAATGTGTACATTAACTCGTCCTACTACGGTCTTGTTGACTACGAGATGCTGTTCAACAAAGCCATCTTTAGTGCCCTCTACAAGCCAGCCAACTGGAACGAGGTGGCCAAGCTGATCGCGTCGCTGATGAAGGGCAACGCGACTGACCTGTTCCTCCAATACGGCGACGGCGATGGGTTCGGCATTGAGGGCGAGGGCCAACAATTCGTCTTGCTCAACGACGCGCAGACGGGCCCCGAGCACTGGCCACAAGATCGCCAAGCCATCCTGAACGCGACCGTCCTACTGGCAGAGAGCTCTATTTTCGGCATCACTGAGGCTCCGGCGGTTTACCAGAAGCAAAAGTGGAATCTGCCTCCCGGGCACCATTTCCAGCCCGGGCATGCCATTGAAACCGTCGGACCACTGCTCATCCTCTCCACCACGTACGATCCTGTGTGCCCGCTCAAGTCGGCTCGGGTCGCCAACGAGGCCTTCAAGGGCTCCCGGCTGGTCGAGGTGCTTGGGTACGGCCACTGCAGCGTCTCGGTGGTGTCCGGGTGCCTGGCCCAGCACGTGCGCAACTTCCTCTACGAGGGCGTCCTGCCGCCTCCAGGTGCGCAGTGCGAGGTCGACGCGCCGTACTTCCTGCCGCCAGACGAGCAGATCCTGCTTGTCGCTGAGGATGACGACTCGGAGGAGGGTCGGCTGTACCGCGCCCAATTGGAGCTTGCGCAGGAGATGGAGTGGCCCCGGCGCTGGTAGACGGGCGGGGCACGCGCTTCTGGAGGAGTGGACGGGATGGTGCATCGTAGACAGACAAGCGGCTTGCACATGACACGAACGTTGGCATTAGTGTCTGGGCCGTGTTCCATTCCCCTCCTCCCCTGTTTGGCCGGATCATGGCATTGCGTTCCTGTATCAAAACCCCTAGTGTGGGATGGATTGTCAGGCACCTTGCCCCCTTGGGTCTCTGATCCATGCCGGGCGATGCTGCGTTGGGCAAGTGTTGATATGGTGGCTTGGGCTAGACTGAGGTCCCCAGCTCCCCCCCAATTCCACAGCAGATACTGAATTCTGAGAGAGGGTGGCATTGGATTCCCAAGCGTAGCGTTCGGCTGCTTGGCCTGAGACAGACCCCTGCTCCCTCACGTTGGCAACGGGCGGTCGAAACCCAAAACCTTGCGCGTGGAGGGTGAGTTCTGGTATGGGGCCTTGGGATGATGCGACACGGCGGAGACGAAGACGTGCAGCGCATCGTCATGAGCTTCGTATTAATTCATGCCGTGCCCTCGTCGTTGGTTGGCGCTCGCTCCTGCCTCCTGCTCGTCACTTCCTTCCTTCTCTATTCATCCCATCTTTCGTCCTTCTCTTCCTCTCCTTGTCCTCTTCAATCGGGTGCTGCGCATCCCTGTAATAAATAATAAAAACAATTGACTACTGATACCTAACAAATTCATCATGTCTCCTTCGCCGAGGTACATCTTCCCTTCCTTCGTCATCGCGTCCGAGATCGCCATCCTCGCCTTCACCACCTACCTTATCGCTATCAACTACTCCGCCTACCACAGCGACCGCTCCCTCGAGCCCGCCAGCGATGATGCCTCGGTCCTCAGCTGGATCCAGCTCTCCTCCACCCCCTCCATCCTGCGCCTGCTCTACGGCTGCCTGTGCGGCGACCTCGAGAACCTCCCCGTTGCCCTCTACGCGGCCGGCTTCGCGTGGGCTGGCCTGACCATGCTCTGCACCCGCTTCAGCACCCCCGCGACCCTCCACAGCGGCCACGCCCACCTCATCGCCATCGACGCCGCCATCGGCACCTTCTTCCTCGTCGCCGTCTTCCTCTGCAGGCCAGCAGCCGCCACCACCGCGCCCGCCGCCAACGGGGAGCTGAAGCTGGGCGAGAAGCTGGGAGAGCCGATCGAGCAGCAGCAGCCCCGCAGGTCCAACCTCTCGGCGTACCTGGTCCGCGAGGTGGTCGCCTGCTGGAACTCGTTCCGGTTCATGTACATGGAGTTCAAGCTCGTCCTCGCGGGGTGGGGCGCCATCCACGACCAGTCAATCGTGGACGGGCTGTTCTGGGGCCAGACCATCGGGTTCGCCATCGACGCCCTCCTCGCCCTCGGGATCATCGCGCAGGCCGTCTACGCCCTCGTGCAGGCCTTCCGGACCAAGACAGTCTCCCTATTCGATGTAAGTTGTCTCCACCCTGGACCCAAACCGTTACGCTAGGGACGAAACGTTGACGCATTCCTTAGGCATCTGGCTATGCGCTAATCGGCGACGTGACTGCCACGATCCGCTATGTCTTGGACTTTATCTGCATCTGCGTCCTCGCCGCGGGACCGCTGACGGGCACCATGTTGCACGTGAGCCAGTACGCGTCGCTCGTCTCCATGCTGCTCCCCGCGTGGTGCGTCATCGGCACGATCAACATGTTCTCGTGCTCGGGCATGGTCGTGGAGGTTGACGATGAGGAGGAGGAGAAGGAGGAGACCGAGCGGCCCTGGCTGGTCACCGTCTTCGTGGATGAGAAGAAGCGGGAGGGGGATGTGATAATAGTGTAATCGACGTAATAATGTGCGCGTGAGTGTAAGCAGTGTAACCCCGTTTTAGTTTTCAAGCTCTACACAAAATAAAGCATAGATACAGATTCCCCCCGAGTAATTTTCTAGACCTGGCCCGTCGTGTTCCCAAAAACTGAAGATTATATGCCACCATATGAATGCCCACACTGAACCCGTCTGATCAGCTGATGAAGAAACCTAAACCAAGAAACAAACAAATATCCTAAAAAAGACAAGATGGAAAGAAAAAAGAGAAAAGCAGGCAGTCCCCAAGAGGGCGCGGTCATGAATCATTATCTTCCCCCTGGTGCAGATCAACCCAACCAAACGTCATTAATCTCATTCAGATCAAAAGCACATAAGCACGGCAGGGAATCGATCCGATCAGTGTTTGCCGAAGAGGCTGAATCGGAGCTTGCCGCTCTTGGGCTTCAGCGACCGCTCGCTCATGGGGGTGAGCGGTCTGTCATCGAAGCTCACAGCCCTCTGGACAGGCTGCGGGTGGATGGGCTCGTGCTGGGGGGGTCCGGACATGGTCCCCGAGGTGAGGCCCCTGTCCGCCAGCTCGCCTCTCATGGCGCGGCCAACGTCCTCGTGCTGGCGGCTGTAGTCGTCATGCTTGGACTTGGCGCTGAGGAACCGGTCCTCGGCCTGCTGCCTGCGCTCCTGGAGGGCGCGGAGCTCATCGTCGAGCTGGGCCATCTCGCCGCGGGCCTCGGTCATGAGGCGGTCATACTCGTTGATCTTCTTCTCAAGCGGCTGGAGGACACTCTTGAGGACGCTGGGGCTCTCGAGGCGGCTGACACGGCGGTTCGGCCCACCCTGACGGCTGTCGTCGAGGGAAGGGGGGGGGCGGAGCTGGGCGTCCTGGTTGGACATTGCCTGGGACCGGCGGTGCGGTTGATCAGCGGAGGGACCACGGGACTGGCCGTAGGGGCCGGATCCTGGGGGAGCGCCTGGATTGCCGGAGTGGCGGCGACTGGAGGGGAGGTTGCTGTTGCCCTGGGGCTGCGACCTGTAGTGGCCGTTCTTGGTTGGGCTCTGAGGGCTGTCATCATAAGAACCTCCCGGAGGACCCGGGTATCCTGGAGGCATGGCACCTTGCTCGCCACGACGAGCCTCTGGACCTCGCTGCTGAACGGCGCCGCCCTGGTCGTTGGTGTTAGCCGACATGTGTCAAAACCGAGAATGGTGGCGGCAATACTGGTCAAAGGGAGAAAGGGTGGGAAGAGCAAGACAATCGCTTCCCTTCCGGAAGGGAGGCTTTCGTATTGCGATTGGAGGGACATGGACGCGGGGCAGATTTTCAGAGTGTGTGGGCCGATAACGCAACGCAACGCAATGCAATTGAGGGATGGGGGTGTCGGGCAAATTGGAATTGACCATGCATAGGAAATGAGATGCTTACCTGCTGCGACTGGGAAAGCATTGAGTCTTGCAGGACAGAGTCTTCGGTGGGGCTGTACGGTTCATCACCGTCCTGGTACCGGTAATCATCACGGCTGGGAGAATGCGAATGGCCGTTGCCGTTGAACTGGTTCGAGCTGGCGTTTTGCTGGCGGTTCTTGGCGCGGGCTGCCTTACGAGCTTCACGGGCCTCGCGGGATCCGCGCATGCCTACCTCGTCGGGGCTGTCATACGGCTGCTGCGAAGCTGACGCGGCCATGCTGATGGTGATGCTGTCGGGCGAGATCTTCTGAAGGATGACTCCGGGCATGGACGAGGCGGTAAGCGGCGGAATGCAATTGAGCTGCGTGGAATTGGAGGGGGAAGGGAGGGAGAACGAGCTGGCAGAAGGCGGGGGGTGGCCAGCACAATGGAACAATGGGCTGGATTGGAATGCAATGTAATGCGAAAGAAAGCAATGGAGAGATGAAAGACAGATGATCGGAATGGATTGAATGTGAATGGGGCTCGCCGTTTTTACGGTTGGACACCGACTCGAAAAAAGGTGCAGGCTGGGAAGCTGGAAAGTGCTGTGGCTGGGGATCATTTGAGTTAGCGCCGGCACGGACAGCGGGCTCCCGTCTGGGCCCACACAGCCCTGAGCTCCCGCTGGAACGGCCTCCAGAGGGCCCCAAGCCCTGTTTTTAGGGCCTCGCACCCGCTGTAGGCCCTTGCTGCCCAATTCCCCCGAGCACCCACTTGTTACGTGTCGCTGATCCTGTCCCCAGCCCCACGCTTTTCGATGCTCGAAATTGACTGGATCAATGTCCAAGACCTCACCAACGGCTGGAAATCAATCTTGCCTTGGCTTTGGGCCTCCTTCTGTACGCCGGAATCTCCTGCAGCTCGTGAAACGGCTCCCGCACACCCGATTGGGCCATGCGGTGGATTTTGCCCTCGTATTGCTGATGCAGTGGCCATGAGGCCGCTTGCTGACGAGCAAGATGACCCGCCACTGTCTTGCCTTCATTGGCACCAACCTCTACATTCTCTGCAGCCACATGCGATGGACCTACAGCCACAGTTCAGCCACATGGCCATACAGCCAGTTCGGGCACATTCCACCTGTTTCGGCACTGGCAATTCGCACATCGAACTCGCCATATCTCCAGAGCCAGACTTGAAATACTCGCTGTCTGAGCATGTAGTAAGTAGCATTGGAGCTCGACCTGCCGATCGAAGATGGCAACGACGATCGGGAATAAGCTCGATCTCTTGCCTTCCATCTTCTCCGTGCAGAGCGACAGGGGTCTGCGAAATGGCCTGACCGACGATCACCGAGCGACACAGCATCTCATTCCCCCTCTCAGATCTTCGCTATGCGACAGCATCTCTACCATCAGAAATCCGAGGGAACTAGAATGGCCTAGGTATTCACTCTGAGCAGTTGAGTTTCCACGTGTTCGACGTACTCACCGGCATCCTCATTGGCTAAGATTAAGGGTGTAGGATGATTTCTCAACCCAATTCTAATTTCTACTGCCCCAGGACTGATACATTTGTGACCGAGGTGACCATTAGATCGATGCGCGCTCAGTGAATTCCTGTCATCCGCTGATATGTTTCCCATTGCCATTTGGCAGTTTGATCCCTGCTTTCTTTTGATCTCAGGATTTCGAGAGGAGCCCACGGGACCTGTCCAAAGTTGACGATCCCGTCAGATTAATATCTAGCTACGCAATCATCGGAACTTCACTCGATGAGCCAAGGAATTTGCTTTTTGAATAGTCCATCATCCTCATTCTTTTTACATGCCAATTTCTCGAAAGGCGTCAGTAGTCTAGAAGAGTGGCGATTTAGCAACTCAAGTCATTTTCGAGCCCCTTTTTTTCCGAAGACATATGCTCTACAGTAATGAAAGGAGAAGCATTGGGAGGAAGTTTTGCCTCTAAACTTTTTTTTTCCTGCTTTCTGTCTAGCACTAGGCCCGAACAAAACACAACGAATGGAGAAAAGGCAAGACTACTGTACTGGGTGGCATCTTCAGCCATGGACAAATTCGGAGGTTCAAAACAGGTTGCTTGGAAGCAGAAGGCTTACATAGCCTAAGCAGAGTGATGGGCACATGATTGATCCCCTAGAAAGCCTCTGGGTGAGGCTGTCTGGCCACCTACATTGAGAATATTTCCTTGCCGTTCCATGAGGGTCTTCCCTTGCCTTTTTACCACACAATGTGTAAAATGCCCCGAACATACCTCAGTAGTTAGGGCTTGCTGAAAAAGCCTTGGTCCTATGACTCCTATCGCCACCCGTGGGTTCTTTCAGGGCGAGCATCTGCCTGCTGAAAACCCACCACCAACAAACTTATCCATATTACTATTCGGTGACTCACGCAATTAAGCCTCATCATCAAGATTTATTTTAAGGCTGCTTCCATGAGCTTCTCGTGATATCTGGCCACCTATGTCGAGGATACTTCCATGCTGTTCATTACCCTCTTCGCCTTGAGAACACAATAGGCCTGCTGCTTCAATCACAGGCCTACCAAGCTTGTAAAAATCTTAGTCTTGAGATTGGACGTTTGTCCAATATCCTTTTCCAATGAACAATACTCATGAACTATGTTTAATGACTTAGGTAGTTGAACCTCGTTCAGATTTACAGCAAGCCACTTTGATCCATCTCACATGTGACATTTTAAAGCCTGAGCGTCTAGCAGAGGCGTACCTAAGAGAAACTTAAAATCGATCCCCGTGGGGTAAAGGACAACATCATACCCCGCATGGGGATGATAATTGAGAAAAAGCTTAATCCCAATTCCAATTCGAGACTTGCGTCTTGATGCCAAGAACTCAAGAGAGAAGTCGGATGAAGGACGGATCCAGACTACGCCCAGGAGCTATGTGTGTGAAAGGGGACTCATATTCTTATGGTTCCAGGTTATTGAATGGCAAGTAGTGACCGTCTTCCCAATTTCACGAGAACCGCAGTTTCTTTTTGGTTTTGCCCGAGCTTTTCACCTTGAATAATGAATATCTTTCTGAGTGAGGAATCAGCCTCCCAATAGGGGCCTTCGATTTCCTTCGGGGATTCGTATGAGGATTGACTTTGACGCCTGGGCAAACAAGGAGGATTTCTATACATGTGGCTGACATTTTACTCATCCTTGGGTAACTTACTAGATAGTAAGGTCTTCCATCTGCCTGGAGGCAATTGAATTAGCTCTAGCTTTGACTCTTGGGCAGTCCAAGGAAGAATTTTCATGCATGTAGCTGACATTTTACTCATCTTGGGGCGAACTTACTCGATAGTAAAGGCACTTGTATGGGCTGTAGCTTTGATGCTTGGACAAATTTGACGAATTTCCATACATGTAGCTGGCATTTTACACATCCTGGGGCGAAATCTTCTTTCCTGTGGCTTTGGAAAATGACCATCAGAAGTTTTCTTCGCATTTTGAAAAGGTTTGGAGTGAATTTGACAGCCATCGAAAATCTATAAAGCTGTGGCCTTTCTCCTTCAATCCTTCTCAGATTCTTCACCGTAGCACACCATCCAGCTCACAGCTTCTAACAACTCTATTGAACTCACTGCTCAACTACTCTACCATACCAAGACACCATCTCGGCCTTCGTCCATCCACCTCAAGACACAGTCTTATCTTATACCCAATCACATATACTTGGTCACATCAGTCTGGCCTCTATCTCTAAGCCAAGCCAAACACATCGCTGTCATCCCCTTGAGAGACTTCACTTAGTCTCTCACTATTTACAACCACACTCACACACTCTCACACTCCGGAGAAAACAAAGTTTCCTCCAAATTTCCAAAATGGGTTGCGGTCATTCCAAGCCCAAGGTCGTCGAGACCCCCTTCCGCCCCCCTGCCCCTCACTTCGGGGAGGTAGAGGAGCCCAAGATCTGCCAGACACGGTACTACAACCCGGTCGTCCCCGACCCATTGGCGAAGATGTCTACTCACGCCATGCCGGACCACCGTCCGGAATCGGCTGAACTGCCAAGGTGCAAGCCAGTCAGGCCGCCCATCCCACACAAATGGCGCCCAGTGCGCTCGCGGTACTACGGGCTGGGCGAGCCAAACGAGCCTTTCAGGCACTACCTGCCCCTGGACAAGTAGAAGAGGGCCAGAGGGGGAGGAGGAGAAGGGGGGGGGGGAGGGGGGTGGGAAGGTTTAGCCGGGGCTTTCTAAGATTTTGAGGGAGGAGTAAACGCCTGCGGTTGCAGGAATGAAAAAGGGGAATAGAAAGAGAGAGGTCCTGTATTATTATAGTATTATTAACATCATCATCCCTTGAGATGAAAATCAAGTAGGCGTTTTAATTATTTTTTCACTGTTGGGTTCGCTTTCTAATATGTTGGCCATGTGAGCTTGGCTTATCTTCGATGTCCGACTGAGTCTATCTCGTACATCACGCCTCATCGTTTCATCACCTATCCCAACCAACCCTGCGTCAAGTATTCAACCGACCCTGTGTCGCCAAACAAATTCCAAATACCCAAAAGCTCACAACTCACAAACGTCTCGTACTAGAAACAAGAACCTACAGGATACCATTAAGGAATCTGCAAGTGCCCCTGTAAAGGATGGCAACCGGATCATCAAAATCCCACTGCTGCCAAAGTTTAGCACTCGCAACATACGTCCATTTTGAAGGTCAATTTGCTTAGGTCGTGATGATGCCCTCCACAAGCAAACGGGCACAGCTGCCTTCCTAAGTTCTATTATTGAAATTAAAAAGTCACCTGTGACAGCTGGAAGCTCCCTGAAGCGTATTATCCTGCGCTTTGTGCCCACAAGGCCAGAAGCAAGCAGGCGAGATTTCGATTTGGTGGTGGTCTTCGCAGGGTCATCCTCCTTGTCAGATGATCTTGAAGCGTCCGAAAAGCTTCCTTTCCCTCGTCCATCGGGTCGAACTTGACCGCGTTAATCCGACGCGATCTCGCATTCTTGTTGATTTTTTTATACAGCTTCCCCTTTTTGTCCTCAAGTCGGCCAGAAGTTCCGTCTTCCTCTTCTCGAGAGGGTCTGCCTTCTGCTGGAAGAGTGGTATAAAACAACGAAGGAATATCGCCATTCCAAGATACGATTCCAGAGCGCCGAGAGTTTTAGGCATTTCGTTTTTTGCAAGTGCTTCTGGAAAAAAAAAATACCATTACTTGGTTTTTGACAATGGTATTGGATAAATATTCTGGTGCCATGAGGCTAAATTGCAGCTGGTTGAAGGGTGGCTGGTTACAAGGTTTTCTTCAGGGAGTTTACCTTGTCAGCGAGTGATCCCCCAATATCAAAAGGGACGACCTTGATAGCGATCGATCCAACATCTTGCTACTGGAAACAAGTGAGAGAGTGGGAGCTCTACAGATTATACATACAGCAGCTGGTGAAAACAAAATGGGTGGAAGGGATTACCTGCACACTAACAAAAAAACGACAGATTAATGCTCTACCTACCCAGTACCCTAATCCGGTCAAGACATCAAGTTGAAGTTTGGCCTTTTTGCCCAGGCACACCGCCTCTTGCCCAGCAACAATAAGGCTTGTCGCCGGCCGTATCTAAAGATCAACTCCAAAATGCCTTATGCCCCGGCCTGACTCCCTTCGCGAACCTTCAATCCCGCTTTCCTCCTATCTGAAGACCGCCATCCCCGGCCGCCGCGAACATACCTGACTGAACTGCACTGGCCAAACTTACCCTTATCAAACCTCCGACCCATCTGGCATATCGCCGCCCTAATCATTCCATCACACATGAACTAGGCTTCAAACATCTGGCCGAGATTCGCCCAATCGGCCTAATCAACAACACAGCATAATGATGTCTCGTTCATAGAGCAAGAACAAGAGGCCTAGACCTAAACTCATGACGAATGTCTTGTTCTCAGGAAACGCGAGCCGACTGCTCACCAATCCGACGGCTGCCCAAGATCGATATTCGTGAGCACAAGCTGGAAACGCTGATGAGGCACTGGGATCAATGGACACACTCGAGCCTTCGAAGTTGGATATATCATACCGCCCCTCAGCTTCAGCAGCCGCGCTCTCGACATCCACGATTTGCTTGAAGAGGAAGACTTCGATGACGACGCAGCAAGGAGGCTACCCGGCAGCAACAAGGTTCAGAACAACAATAGCCATACAAAAGAAACACTCTGTAAACCTTCACACCGAAACTCGCTTGCCGTTAGGACGAGCAGCTCATCAGATCTCTATCTATCTTACCCTATCTGATCTACCTAGCTGGAATTCTCCAGCACACACACAGCCTTACACTCACCTTTATCCTAATCAAGCACAAGCTCAAAGCAATACTGTGAGTACCAGCAGCCCCTTGGCCAGAGCACTTGCACTGACAGGTGCGCGGCCTTCGTTATTTGTCACGTCATGCCAGACCAGATCTCGGCGCCTTCTCTCGAAGGCAGTAAGCCTAAGCTAAACACAAGTAATCCGAAACCTGTTGTTTACGCTACGGTAATCTTAGTCGAGGAGCTTGACATGGGAATTTTGAACACCTTAAACAAAACCAGCAGCTTTGAGAGCCTAAGAATCTATCCACCAAGCAGATTTTAGCGAGTATATTTCAGGCGTGTGCCCAAGGACGAGATCGATGCCAATGCCTCCTCGGGATCAAAGGTCGGTGGATGAGAGGGTTAGGTCTTCCTCGTGCCCAAGGCTAGGTCACCACGGAAGTATGCCCTCAACAAGAACAAAGACCTGCCTTGGTTTCTAGCTAGAGCTCAGCATCCCTGGACTATAAACCGCACCGCTTGAGTCCACACCCTGTATTCAGCAGTTCTAACACATCGCCGATTTCATCATTCCAACACATGCACATGTGATCCTCATTTAGATAATCTCCGGGCCTCACACGATCGACCATGGACAATCAAAAAGCAATATACTCCAACGTCTTGGTCGTGGGAACAACCAAACACACCGAAAGCGACTTGGATGACAAGAGCCGCCATCCTGCTGAGAAAGGATTCTATCGGTTGACGAAGCGAAGCGAAACGAGGAATCATGGACCGTGGGTCAAGAAGAACTACAGCTGCTCGCGTGCTTATGAATGAATTCACATCGCGCTAATCCTTGTAGCACATCCCTGCCTTTGTCTCAACATCACATACAGACCAAGTTCATGTTAAAATCGTACATTTGGCCGAGCTTATGCCTCGCCCGATCGAATCAATCAATAACATAACATAGTAGCATCTTATTCAAAGAACAAGAGCCAACGGCATACCGGCCGTGCCAGTTATTAGGGATGGCAAGCTGATAGCTTTTTATTCTGCGGCCTCCTAAGATGAATACTAATTATAGAGAGCTAGCAGACCCTGCTAAAGCAGTGGGCTAATCAACAAGCAAGAGTAGGGTGAAGGAAAGCTTCTAGACCTCAATTACGCACAACTAGCTGTATTGCTCAACTTCAGCAGCCACATCCATGGCTTCCTTGAAGAGGAGGATTCAGATGATAACACAGCAAGAGTGGTCAAGAAGCATTCCAGCGATTGGCTCATGTTCTTGATCACTGGCAATAACACTGGTTCACTAATTCTTTTTTTTTCCCCCATCAAAAACACATTTTTCCGTACAACGGGGGAGGACCTCTTCGTGGCAACGAAACCGCTCACAACACGGCAGATCTGAATTGCCTGCCAAAAATCGAAGAAGATCTTATACTGGTGCACTAGTCAAACTTTGCAGGCAGTAACCCACTCGTGGTCTCATATAACTTACATATAACCCCTGGTTTTAGTTTGCGTGTAGAGCTGAGCCTCTCTGATGTTTTCTCCTCTATTATTTCACGTCCTTTTCCCTTGAAATGTTAGTTAAAGCTATGGATTTTCTACTGAAAAGCAATAGATTATCCGAACACAAAGGAATCGGCAAGTTGATGCTAGACATCACAGCACGACTAACACATCAAACTTGATAGTTCCAAAATCAAGGTCCAGCGCCAACACAGGCTTGTGCCCGGCATTGTAGCCAGCAAGATGTCTATCCGAATCATCACCGCTGATGAACATATGAATATTTTATTGGAAGCATCATAGCTATCGTCTAAATCGCTTACTTTATGCGAGATGAGAAGAGGAAGACAGCTAGAAAGCTCAACACTCTGCCTGATTACAACATCACTCTTTCCACCAAGCATGTGTAAAAAGCCCCACCGAACTCATACACCCAACTGAGTTCACACTCGATCGATCTGTTTAAATCTGCGCTGGATCAACCCCGTCGTCTTGGGAATAATGACCTACAAGAACCCCCCACCAACTTTAAACGCATTAGTGATCAAGCACGGGCAGCATGACAGGATCGCAATCTATCATTAATTGCATAAATTTATCGAGCCTGACTTAACTTAACCGCGAAGGCTATTGATCTTTCTTCCCTATGCAGATTTCGCCTCCATTGCCGCTCGGATAACCTCTGCGATCTCATTGTGGCCGTTGGCATACGCGGCCTCCATTGCTGTCTCGCCCAGTACATTGACCGCATCTAACTCAATCTCTTCTAAATTCACGAGCATTTTCACTATATTCATGTAACCCTGCATAGCAGCAACGATCAACACTGTTGGCTCGCTCACCTCAGGATGTTCGAGCAACTGATCCTTTCTCAGCCGTCTGATCGTCTCTACCGGAGTTCCTATCGCATAATCACCGTTCACTTCGATTCCATCGAGAGATAAAAGGAGAGAAACCATTTCCTCTTGGCCGTGCCTCGCTGCATACCACAATGCAGTCTGTCCAGAGTTATTTTTGAAGTTGATGTCGATTTCCGGGAATCGTTCAAGGATGACTTTGACGACATCGAAATAGTTACACCTAGCGGCATCGTGCAAGAGACCTGCAGGCGAAGTGGACTCCGGGACTGCCCCTGCGTCGAGGAGGTGACGTACGACATCGGTGTAGCCTCTGTTTACGGCCATCTCTAGGGGGAAGACATCGAAATATCTGTTCGGGCTTGCCCCTGCGTCCAGAAGCATTTTAGCGATTTCGCCATACCCATGCCAAGCAACCAAGAACATAGAATTCTTGGTGTACCCATTCCCCTTGGAAGGATCTACATCAGGGCGGCGAAGCAAAAGCTTTACCGCATCCACATGCCCCTTCATTGCTGCCGTCATGAGGGGCGTCATCAATTCCCATCCGGCAAGCTCTGGTCCCACATCCTCTAGTTGAAGCAACAGCTTTATCATCGCAGTGTCCCCAAGGAAGACAGCTGCTTGGAGAGGATGGAAGTCGCATGCATTCTTGGATGTTATATCCCTACCCTCGACGGCTAGAAGATACTTAACCATTTCGTAATGGCCAGCGTCCATGGCCAGCATCAGTGGCGTGTTGCTGCCATGATTGCATCGATCGGTCTTGTATTTATCCCTGTGACATCTGAGGCGTCTAGGCATGAGGCTCTTGCGATGAGGCGCCTCCTTGGCGTTTATGTCCCCTCCAGCGCGCAGAGCTTTGTCGGCTGTGGCAATTTTCCCCAGCTCCGCGGCCCAAATCAGTGCCGGGTTGCCCCATCTCAGCGCACTCTGGAGGTAGAGAAAGTCATCAAGAGTGTGGTGGAAGTGACGGTTTACCCTTGATAGAGCACTCATTTCGCGTGGCGAGTCTACTTCAGCGGTGATGTGGACGATCACCTCATTGGGGAGCAGTTGGATCATGGCGGAGGCATAATATTTCGTCATAAATGCTCTTTGCTGGTGCAAGAGGAAAGAATCATTTGAAACCACGCCTGCCAGGTGAAGAAGTCGGGAGCTTCGGCATCAGTAATGTGTAATGTTGCTGCCTGCGTATAACCAACTGTATGGACAGGGGTGAGGCGGGTAACTCAACCGCTACCACTCCGGGGGCCTAATACCTCTAGAGCCCCGGTGGTTGCATCTTGCAATGCATATGGCTCGTATTGACGCAGATATGGATGCGGTTCGGATGAAGGCGAGCATCGGGTGGCCTTTCTATATCAGGACACGCCATCCACTCAATCAGAATCACTATCGTGGACGAAGGGGAACTGATAATAATAGCCTGAGAGGTGGAAGTTGAAATGTCATTCATCTCTAGAGTTTGAGAAAGCCGACAGGACAACTCAAAGACCAGGTGATAGCGTAATAGACGAAAAAGGGAGGACGATATTCTTCAAAGTTCTTCTCCTTTGGTGTAGGAATTGCTACCGCGTGTGTTGTTTGTTTGGCTAGATTGACTGTCAAGTGGTGAAATAAAACATGGCACACCAAAGCCTCCATACAGCCTCAGATTTCGACACAATATCAGAACAATCAACCCGGTTATTAATACAATATCAAGCTGAATAATGTACAATAATATATTATTTTACTGCTCTTTATTGAAATAATACTAATGACAGAATGAGGTCTCCAGCTTGCACGAAGGGAGCTCTGTTGTGCCATGTTTTATTAAGTTGTATGGGTTATCACTAATGTGTCATTGTGCAGCGTGTATGCATCATCATGAGGATATGCCACAAGAATAATAAGTCACAATGAAGATTCCCTCTTTCCAGCTCACCAGCTCAATTCGGTCGGAAGGGCCTCGATACATTTGGCGAGGTGCTCAGCCGTATAAAATGCGAGCTGTCTGAGTATAGGATGATCTTCTATGGATGCATCATTTGGATCACCCAAGTGCCAGTAAAAAATCTCGCTCTCGAGGATTATCTGCGTAATCCGATCAAACGCCAACTCTTTGAGCAGGAGATGCTTATAAATGAAGGTTCCACCAGAGTCGAACATTTGTCCCCTCGTCTCCGAAAAGGGGATCACTCTGTGCTCGAGCACTGAGTGTGCGTGCTTCATGGCCACCTCGTTCCACTTGGTGATGATCCGCGGCCGGATCTCCGTGGCCGGTTCGGGGCTCCTCCACACGATCTTAGCTCGGCTGAGGCTATGAATGTATCGGAAGATGTATGCATCGCAGCTTCTCTCTTCGAGGCGGGTAGCCCAAAGCTCAATGACTTCCAGTTGGGGGAGCAATAGAGCCGCTTTAGCTGCGAGGACCACCACCGACTCGAAATCTCGCCTGCTTGCTTCTGGCCTTGTGGGCACAAAGCGCAGGATAATGCGCTTCAGGGAGCTTCCAGCTGTCGCAGGTGATTTTTCAAGGTCAATCATAGACTGTAGGAAGGCAGCTGTGTCCGTTTGCCATGGCGGGCAAAACCGTTCTAGTCTTTGAGACAGCTTCGCCATCTCCCGAGGTAAGTAGGCCAGAGAATATGGGGTTACCACCGTCCCTACTCCTCTTCGAACGTCACGACGCTCACCTGACGGGATCTTCCATTGAACGAAGGAGAATTGACGCAGTGTTTTCGGCAGAGAAGTTAGTAAGTGTGTTTGAAAGCCTACAGAATGTGGGTTAGTTTCAAAGAATATTCACCGTGGAGCTGGCCGATGTTACATACCTAGTTCAAAACAGAGTTGCTGAAGAATGTCAGCATGAATAGTTCTTTCGAGGCGGAACCATTCCAACGATATAAGGCTTCGGCTAAGTAGGCAAGCCAGCGACCTCGTGTCAATTTCCCTCCGATGCTGCTTGCGCATAACCAGCCCTTTAATCATAGGCACGGCGGGGAGATTTATATATTCACCGTTGAAGCGGTCGGTCTCATTTCTGATGGGCTCGAAACGGAGCGGAGTCCCCTGCATCCTTTTGATGTGCCCGCCCTGCCGCGAGGGGAGGTGGCCATCATGGATTAAAAAACACCATGAACGCCTATGGTAATAGCTGTGGACATCAGCGATACCAGGCGGAACATCTGGATCTTCAGCGGGGTGGAATGGATAGTTGGGTTGCATGTCCCCAATGATAAGTCGATGCGAGGTATCGTCGGGTGACATCGCGGACACCATCAGTGCCAGTCCCTTCGCGCCATGCTTCGCGGGATCCCAGAGCTTGAGAGTTTCCAGCAGGGACCGGATGCTATATGTGAAGATCACGTTGTTGCTGGGCGACAGATTAGCATAGAATTAGACGGATATCAGAGGAGGCATGGATGCCCAACGTACATTTGCTTCTCAAACTCATCCTCTGGTACCTCGCACTTGGGACACGAATAATGCGGGAGCTGGATGCGCAGCCAAATATTCCTCGTATATTTTAAACGAGTAGAATCTCGTCTGATGATCATGTTAAAACATTCGAGATTCTCGGTATTAAGGACAAGACGCCGAAACGTGCAAGCCTCAAAGAACACCTGCCATTCCCGGCATATAGTAGCAAAACGGGCCACCCTTGGAGGGCTCTGGTTGCTATTTCGCTCCCAAAGGATAGGCAAGCCTACGTGGCTTAGTATTTGCTGGCGTATTTCAGTTGGTAGCGATGCCCACCGCGTGGTGCTCGGCGCTGATGGTTGCATGTTGGTTGAGAGAGATGCGGTACAGAGTGAGTGCTTCTGCAATATGGAAAAGAGATAAACATGGCTTTTATATACAATAAGAAGAGAATAATAAGAGAAAAATAAACTATTTTATAATTTTTAGCTTGATATTGTATTCAGTACTAGGTTATTTATTGTGATATTGTGTTGAATTTCGGACTCCCATATTTCCATTAGGGTGATGCTTTTTCTTCGGTTCCTTGTAGAGGCACGAGACTTGAAGAAGCTAATCTTGATGAAGTTGCCCAGGTATAGGAAGCGAGGGAATTTGGATATGGATAAAACTTCCAAGACGGCTGAGGTGAATTTAAGTTTACATCAAGGAGAGTCTGTACGATATTCCCTCCACTCCGGGCGGGTGTTGTAACATGCGACTGAATGAAGGTGCCGCAGAGGTGTTTAGTTAAAAAACGAGGTCCCTGTCTCACGCGCAAAGAGCTTTGGTGTGCCACGTTTTATTCCACCCTTTTGCGTGGCTGTGCCATACCAAACGTTCATTGAAAGTAAAGTCAGAACTCAAGGTTTGTCTTCCTGGACCTAAATATTAAGCTTCGCACGATTAGTTCTATGCATTGTATTGGCGAGCTCTATGCATATCTAAGTTCAGATATGTAATTGCCCGGCTCGTCGCTTGAGAAAAAATCCTCGATCTAGTATTCTATTCCTTCCAATATATTACGACATCTATTTTAATCCATATGATCATCTCTAACTACCATAAGGTCACCAGCTCGCAACTAACCTTGCATTATTGGCAACATCTTCAGCGTGAAAAGAAAGTCTAGTGGTAACTGTTGGCTGTGCCTTTTGCTTCCCTTTTCATGTGGTGTGTCAAAATTCCATCGGCGAACCAGCTCGTCTCGACTGTTCGGAATCCGAATTTCTCGTAGAGGCCTTTCCCACCTTCGGTTGCATTAACATAGCAAATCCATCCCTCCTCATCTGCTGCCTGAACACCGGGCTTTATCAGTGCACTGCCCACTCCTTTCCGCTGCGCCTCCTGTCGGACTACCAACATGCTCAAAAACATGACATTTTCGGAGCCCACAATGTCTTCCATCCTCTCGACATTTGTCTGAAAGAATCTCACCGCAAGCTCGGGATCGCCTGTCTGCGGATACATGTCTGGCGTGAAGATAGGCTTCGGCGGCCTGGGATCTTGGATTGGCCGACGCACCCATCGTGACCAGCCGAGTATTTGTCCCTCCTCGTCGCATGCAAGGGTCAGCTCTTGCAGCTTAATTTTCTCTTTGATCCATTCGATATGGCTGAGTTCTGTCTTCGGATCAGAAGCTGGAAAGCAGCGAATGTTCAAGGCGGAGTTTTTGAATGCCGAGTTTTGGACCGCCAGCATATGGATTGCATCGTCAAGGGTAGGTTTTCGCAATATCAGCGCCATTTTCTGGTTTGGATTGCTTCTTTTGATGAATTTCTCCAAATTAATTCGTAGACCAGCAGTGAGTTGCGAATAAAGCAAGGTAGAAGTTTCCAGATCGCCCTGTCTCCGCCAAGCTTTATCATCTCTACTCAGCTTTAGTATGACTCATCGCCGATGATACGATTAACACGATGGAACCGGCTTCACACAGACTGAGGCGTATGAGGATCATTTGTCTCGCCGAGTGAATATCTTGCTCCTCTGCACTTGATAGGTCACTGCTATTGCAAGTCGGTGTCTTAATTTGCTGTTACTGTAGGAGGTAATTTGGTCTGTGATTGCGATGCTATGGAGCCCCTGCAGGCAAGTGGGTGACAAAAGAACTGAGACACCAACGTGAATAATCGTCTTGAGCAGAGCCACTTTTTATAATAAGTAGGACAATAAAATGATAATATCGATACAAGTTGGCATACGATACTTTATTGTCTCTGGATAAGCCATCATAGGCTCTCAGTAATATAAAAAATTCAAGCGATAGACTTCAGAATACCGCATGGTAATTATTGGATTCACAATTTCAATGTCGCCCAATCCGGGCATATCCCTGTGGCTGCACTTCAACCTAGACCTGTTGGTCGTTGATGCCTAGAAGCTCACGAAATATCTTCCTCAAACCCCCACCTACCAACTGATTTAGCACGACCCTCCCTCGCAATATCAAGCTTCGGAAAATAAGCAAAGATGAACGATAGCAGTATGTCGACATTCGAAGCTCTCCCACAAGAGATCGTCATCGACATAGGCGAGATGTGTGCCTGGCCAGCCTCATCTGAGGAACCGCCCCCTTCGAAGCACCTAGCTGCGCTAATCCGTACAAGTCGGTGGCTATACAATTTACTCAACGCAACTCTGTATCGAAAGAATCTCAAACAAGACGAGCCACTCAATTCGTGCGTCCTCTGGGCTGCTGAAAATGGCCGCCTGGACACCATCAAAATGGCGGTCAGTTTTGGCGCGGATCTCAATGCGGATGGTGCCAGGGACGAAAATGACTACAAAATGGATGAGAGAACGAAGCAAACTAAGTCGTTTCCAAGTCCCCTGCTTCGCGCAATACGCAATAGGCATGATGATATTGTGTATTATCTTCTAGATATGGGCGTGGACATCGATCCACGTCCAATTGGATGGTGTAACATGTCTGCGCTCGACACTGCTTCACACTACCACAGTTCCGACAAGATTGCTCTCGCCCTCGTCCACAAGGGCGCCCGTTTGCTCTCACCCAGTTGGGAAATGGGTCTCCGGAAACTAGCCGATGGCAAAATCAAGGTTGTTCAGGCGCTGTTGGAAGCTTGTAATGATACATGCCTTGTGAATGACGGCATACGATGTGGAATAGCCATGGGAAACGACAATATTGCCACTTGGGGACTTCGAAACCCTCTATCCGATGTTTCTACACAGTGGTATCGTGGTAAAAATCTGCTTCATTATGCCGTAGGGGGACATAGCCTGCGGGTCGTTGAACTTGTCCTCGCGAGGCCGGAAGTCAATGTTTCCGCGGCCGACGACGACGGTTGGATGCCACTGCACATGGCAGCATTTTTAGGCGAGTCTGACCTTTTAAGGCTGCTCTTGGCTCAGCCCGGGGTTAATGCCACATACAAGACGATCTACGGCGACACGCCACTGTCCCTCGCCATAGATAGATGCCATCTTCACTGCGCGAGGCTCTTGCTGGAACGCCCCGAGTATAATCTGAAAGACCTCGAAAAGAATGGGCGTACAATGCTTCATATCCTCTGTGAGAAAACGGAAGACGAAAGCGATAGCACGTTGGACTTCATTTGTTCTCTCATTGAACGTGGTTGTCCATTAGATGCCGAACTTGACGACAGGCGCATCGCTTTAGATATTGCCATTGGAAGAAAGAAGACGAAGATTGCTAGGCTCCTCCGCAGTTACACAATCATCTCAGGATTTGGACATGGGTCGTCACAGACATGTCGTATCTGTCGTCCAATTGATCAGCTACGTTCGGATCGAACTCTTGGTTCAGGTCATAAAAAGAGGGATTGCAAGGACATCTCGACAGAATTATCGCAGTCAGTTATATTACAATGCTTCCTATTATACGGTAATTGGTAGATTATATTGCCTAGTAGTTGCTCAATATTTTATCATGGTTATCACTATCAACCATTTCTCCAATATTGTGGCCTGTTTTGGAAAGTTGGGATAAAAACACCTTCATAGTCCTGGTTCTTTAGACACTCATTTACCAGAACTACTTTCCACTGCTGAGTCCTCCTTCAACTAGAAATTAGAATGTCATCCCCAATCAAACATAAGAGAGTTAACTCATTGCCCATTCTCTACGGTTTGGGGACTTTTCAGCCACTAATCAGAAGATCGCAAGTGTATGAGCTCTAGTGTGATAGTTCAGCAGCATGCTCTACTTGAGACCCCCGATATTCTCGTTACGTCTGCTTCATCAATTTGAGTCCATGCGTCCTTGAAAACAAATTCCAACAGCATCAGACTCAGCATATCCGGGCAAATCACCATGCGACATATGTCTTTCGCTGAAATATTCAGAAATTCCCAATTCTTTTCATCACAATGCTATCTCGATCTAAGGCAGCGAAGATCCTGCCGTGGTAGAAATACCTCATTATGCGAAACGCAGCCCACAACTTCCTGTAAAGTTTCCTTTCAAACAAGTTAGAGATATTCCTACGATTCAATTCAGATCCTGCTATTGGTGCAATTTCCTCTTTCCTCCCTGTACATCTTCACGGACAATTCTTTTCACCTACAACCGGATGCAGACCTCGGAAAAGTTGTTGGCATGACGATTTGGTGAGTTGGAAGCAACGTACATAAAGATATCTATGTCCAAAATGGAATGCCATTAAGCTCATGAGCATTGATTAGCCTCCATTTAGTTTGTAACTCGGGTATCAAGCCTCCGAAACTGGTACGGAGAGGGATGCTGTTGATCTTTGTAGAACGAAGCTGCTCGGCACCTCTGATCCGTATTTCTCGAACAAGACCGCCATGGATTTGTAGATTCAATTGTTTCACTTCAGATATGTTACAACCCCGTGCCACCTGCCCAACAAGGGTGCCAAGAGTCATCTCCGTTGGTGAATTTGGCCTAACAGAAAACCAAGATGGGACACGGCCCGAAAATCGCGGCATAGAAACAATCCAGTGTTTCAAGAACCTGAGGTACAGCATTGACCACTAACAACGCGCTTATTCACTTAGCAGAGACCCAACATAAGCATATGGTCAGAACGGAGATCCAAGCCCCGAGTGTTACCTTAAGTCACCCCCGGGGAATTTTCAAACGAGGATATGACCGATTATTGAGATGATCATTGCCATTTAAGATATTAAACATATCCAACACAACTAGTGGCTACCGCATTGGTATCAAATGAGGCCGGGGTGTATTCTAACCCAAGCATGACCTGCTCGAGTTTCAACTCACACTTCCCACGACAGATCCCCGCACATGGCTAAGTTAAGTAGAGATTTTCAAGTATATAAGTGTGGCTTTCTGGAGTATTTTGAAGTTCCACTCTTGTCTGAATATCTCTTCCATTAAGACTAACCGACATCCAATATCCAAATCACCCTCAATATCAATTCTAAGACGCTTCTTTGCAACGACCACAAGTAAGCATTTAGCTGAAAATGAAGGCCATCGGGCTTGTTGTCGGCGCATTCGTCGGGACGACAGTCGCTCATGGCACTGTCTCGAGCTTCAAGACAGACGGCGTCAGCAACGGCGGATGGCTTCTCGATTATTATTACATGATCAAGAACGGCCAGACCCCTCCCAAGGTTGCCGGCTGGTATGCCGAGAACCTCGACAACGGTTTCGTCGCTCCTGATGCCTATCAGAGCACCGATATCATTTGCCACAAGGCGGCCAAGCCTGGAGAGACTTCTGCAAAGGTGGCGGCTGGCGGCACCGTTGAATTCCAGTGGACCGACTGGCCGCACCCTGGACCTATGTTTACCTATGTGGCCAAATGCTCCAACAACGACTGCACCAAGGTTGACAAGACGAGCCTGAAATGGGTGAAGATCGATGAGGCCGGAATTGACTACGCTACTCAGGAGTGGGCGGCCACCAAGATGCAGAAGAATGGCAACAAGTGGACAACGAAGGTGCCCGCATCCCTTGCCCCTGGCAAATATGTCTTCCGCCACGAGACCATCGGTGTCCATGGTTCTGGGTCGGCGAATGGCGCTCAGAACTACCCGCAGTGTGTGAATATCGAGGTTACTGGTTCCGGAACCGCCAATCCCACGGGTGTTGCTTACAACCAACTCTACACTGCTAGCCACCCCGGAATTCTCTTCAACCCCTACACTACGATCACCAACTATGTCATGCCTGGACCAACTCTGTGGAAGGGTTAACATAGATTGAGCACCACACCCAGTAGCAAATATATTTCATACTGGGGTTGGAATTGTTCAGATAGGAAATAAATGCATATCAACCTTGTCACCACGAGTAGCATGTCAATTTGTGTATATCTATTTGAAGAATCATCCGCGTAGCCCCTCAATATGAAGTATCACCGAAATGTAGATATGAGGTTGAGAAAAGGGTCCGATTCAAGTGCTCCAAACTGCTCTAAATCTCCAACACGGGTTATTATTCCAGCTATTAATGACAATGATGATGAGTTCGTTTTACGCCGGCGTGTCTCTTGCAACACAAAGGGTGTCTGACCACAACTAAGAGCCAAGGTAAGCAAATAGCTCACTGGACTTGGAGTTGTGATGACTGACCTTGCATCCAGCATATTTCCCTGTTATAGAAGGCTTTCTGGATGACGCCACAGGGTGCGAGAAATATAGACCGGGCGCCGTACAGCCCAGGGAAAGGTAGGTGGTGAATACTTGTTCTCTGCGATTGTTAACATTTATTTTCCGCTTCCCACTAAAGCATAGGTTCTGAGCATGAGTCAGCACCGGGGTTAATGAATGCCATCCAGCACCTTAACAAGTTGTTGAAGTTTATTTTGTCCCTTTGGCGAGTGCGTTTGTTTGCTTAGAGACAAGGGCTGTAGCGACGAACCCACGCTCAAGGTAACCATCTGTTAAGCCTCTAGCCACATGATAACAAGATGGGGAAGAATGCAGAGGTATAGGTCCAGCCAAAGTAAAATTCGGATCAGACATGGCACCTAGATGTTTGCGTGTCACGTAGCTGGCTACAATTGAGGCGTTGCTCCAATGAGAAAACCATGACATATAGGTCTTAGATTGTTCTAAACCAAGCTTGGAGGCGTTCATGCATATCTACCGGAGAAAAGGCCACATGCGGTATGGTTTGGGGACATGAGGCGTTTAGGGGGTAGGAGACGACGTAACCATATGGAGATTCGTCCACGTAATAACTCAAGTGAACAATGTCAAGCCATGTGTTCTTCAGGATCTGATAAAGATCTGCAGAGGCTCAGCGGCGTCAGGTACCCTTGTACTTCTCCATTCACGTAACTATCTTAATCCTGGCAAGGGACCGAAATAAAGCATGGCGCATCGAAACGCGGGTCTGAACCTGTCACAGGGAGTGACTCACCCAATTAGCATGCCTCGATGAAAGGTTGCAACCACCATCAATAGAGAATCATTATTTATTCTTAAATTATCATTCCCGTAGGAGTTTATTCATCATTACGGTAGTTAAGATTTACTGTAAGAACTGAACACCTAGATCTGGCGAACTCCCCCAATCCACTCCGTTGCGATCATAAACATTAGTAACTATGATTTCTTAACGAGTGCCGGGCCCCCTGATGCTAACGAGGCTTGCTATCCGTGCGTAAAATTCAGTCCAACAAGTTGAGCGAAGAGACGCGTTAGACCACGCGGCCTTTGAAGTGCCGGGCCTAGTAGAGATTGCGTACGCGAGATGTTGTGGGGTTGACCGCCGATCCAACACGACAGTCTATCCCCTGTTTGACAGGGCAACAACTTCTCTCTCAACAATATCACGCCTCAGTTATCATGGTAGCAGCTATGGATACCATTCAGCCACCCTGAGGCGCCCATGACAATGCTGGTTTCTATGCAGTAAAGGAATTTAGACGAGAGAAGCCATCGTCTCACAAGGAGTTACCCCTGGAACGAACGCGTGTCGACAGTACTGGGAAAGAAGCCATTTGGAAAACCAAGTAGAACCATCGTACGAAATAAGATGCTAATGAAAGATATATAATTAGTCTTGTCTTGGCTATTGACCACTCTTCAGATCTGCAGAGCTCACCGAACTGTGCAATCGATCCTCTGCTCATACTTTCAAGCATATCTCAACACTGGCATCCGGCGAAAATGATTTCCTCTATTCTAGGACTCCTCCTCTTGACTGCCTCTGGCGTCTCTTCTGCATCCTGGAACACTACTTGCAGCACCCCAACGGAACGAAAGGCATGGTAAGAACATACATCACAAATCTGATAGCGTACATCTTCAACAAGTCCCTTACATTGTTACAGGAATGCGATGACAGACACGGAAAAGGCAGCTTACATCGAAGCTGAGCTTTGTTTGATGAATAGCACGGCCAAAGCTGGCATCGACGGCGCCTTGAACCGTTGGGATGAACTTGATTGGGCCCATATAACCCAGTCCAATGTCATCCACAACGTCGTAAGTATACAGCCCTAGTAGGCAGGCTTCTTGGTTAACTGACGAGGGTTTCAGGGGGCTTTTTTACCCTGGCACAGGTACTTTGTCCGGGTCCACGAATATCTCTTGCAGTCTGAATGTGGTTACGAAGGCGGCCAACCCTACTGGAACGAAACGCTCGACATGGATGACCTTGCAGGCTCTGAAATCTTCGACCCTGACACTGGATTCGGCGGCGAAGGCGGCGATTGTGTGACGGACGGCCCATTCGTCAACTTGACCTTGCACATGAGCTCGAGCTCAACGTCAGACAGCTACTGTCTGTCACGATCACTCAACTCAAATGGCTTCCAGACTGGTGCACAGGAGTACATTGACGAATGCTACAACACCGATACGTACGAGGAAGCGTTTGAGTGTTACCAAGTTAATCCCCACACTGCAGGGCATTCCGCCGTCGGAGGAGTGGTAAGTGATACCTCGGTACCGATCCAAACAGTTTCAAGGCAAATGCTAACCATCACTAGTTGCTTGATGTGGTTGGAAGTCCCGGTGAACCCATCTTTTACCTTCATCATGCCAACTTGGATCGCCTCTGGTGGGAGTGGCAGCAAGCCAACCTCACCTACCGCTTGACTGATATGGGTGGACGCAACGTCCCTCTGACCAGCTACCTTGAGCAAAATGGTATGGAGGAGCCGGGTGCTGCTTTTTTAGACTACGATGGTGATGACGGTAACGTGACAACGCTCAACCACAACCTTTGGATGGTCGGCATCGTTGCCAATGCAACAATCAGAGAGGTTATGAACTTGGGCGGCGATCTCATTTGCGCGGAGTACGTTTGAGCGTGCACCTATCCAACGGCACCGCTTGTAAGAGAAGCATGGTCTATTTGATCATAGCTCCATGTATCGTTGAAAGCTAGATCTTCTAGCACTTGTTTTCTTTTCCTGTGTTTTCATTCAGGTTAATGCTTGTTTTATATTCTTCCCGTCTATCTAGTCCTGGAGATAAAAGTAAGCCATGAGGTGATAAATGGATTCTCTTGTATATCCATTGAAATGTCTGAATCGTTTTCAAATACAATTAGACTGGGGGAATATATCAGAGTCATAGGGTGCTTTCAAAATTTGGAAATATCCAAGCATCAAACCCGCAAGATTCCACAAGAGCTTCCCAATCCTCCGTCGCCCACATATTGTCCATCGATAATTCATCAAAGTTTGGTTCCACTTCTTGAGGCACCTGTTGGCTCTCATCCTCCACGGGCGCTCGACTCTCCACATTGATGCGGCCAAGAATACCACGAATCGTGTGCGCCTGGTACCATTCTACACCCCACCGATTCAACTCCAGAAGTTTATCGGAAAAACTCCTCCCCGACTCGGTGGCTTCGAGTAATTTCGAAACCAGCGGGCTGGACTGGGCTGATGTCGTGCCGAGCGTGTTAAGCTGGCTCACAACTACGAGCAAGGCCCTCGAGACGAAGTAGAGGATGAATCCCATCTCTGTGAACGGCGAATGTGTCAGTTCCCCGTCCAACCAGGACAACGTCTGAATAGCTTCATGAACTACAAGTTCGCGCTGCTGTTCCATAATTCCCTTCAGCTCAGATACAGCCGGGCCTTCTCCAAGCTCAGAGAGCTTTACCCCAAGCACAATGAGGAGCCGGTTATTGTGCACATACATTTGCAGCGCTCGTGAAGTGTCATGGTCGTATAGGTGAAGATGTGAGCTGACAAGCTTCTGACAGCGATCGAGGAGATGGAAGATTGACGTAATCTGCCCCAGAAGCTTGCTCGTTTCAGAGCGTTGTGTGATGTACAAGCTTCTGATAATTCTTTCGAGGTGGCATGCCAAGGCTACAAAGTCGTCGAATGCAATGTCAGAGGGAGACAAAGCTCCAGTCTCCCGTCTGCGGAGAAGAGAGCGGTCCAGGCCGATCCAGTAGTCCTGGTGCAGGTTGGGAGCGTGTCCATATGTCGCAGCCTTGAGCACGTCCATAAACATGCAGGATTTCCAGAGCTGTCGTCGAAACTTGGTGTCATCTGTATCCTCGTTGGCTCTGAGAGATTCATCAAGTTTGAGGTCTTGTGCCATTTTGCACATGAGTGCCATGGTGATAGCCACGTTGAGAAAGTCGGTGTAGTCTTTATTTAGAATCTCAAATCTGGCACAGGCGATGACCAAGGCCTGTACAGTCTGGATTTTAGGCTCGTATTTGGCTCGTAAGCTGAACATTTGGGAGATTTGTTCCTGAATGAAGCGTCTAGTGTATTCCAAATCTCTCCATGACGCAATAGCCAGCCGATGTTTAGCTGCAACCGCGCATATCACAGCTTCCAGCAAAGGCGTGGGCGGATAGGCCTGGATCGAGTAGGAAGAAATAACGGGGAAAAAGGGCTGGATGTGCTTTAGGTAGATGTCGAACAAGTGACTCTTGACGTTGGGATCGAGGTCCAGCACGTTTCGGTCCAGCCCATTCCGACGTTGAACAGACGATTGATTCAACGTAGGTCTAGGCGCATTAGAGCCAGGCTGCTTCTCTCCGCTATGGAGATCGCTCGGATTGCCGCCGAAATTGGACGTGGGCCCCCAAAAGGTCGTTCTTGAGGATGCCTCCAACACCGTAGTTCTGTATAGTTGCTGGGCATTGGCCGCCCAGGGCTGGTTGTCCATTGCGCATTTTAAATCGTATTTTCCACAACGACTGCATTGAGGAGTAAACGATGTCGAGGACGACCAGTCGCAGCGAAGTTTTAGTCTGGATTCAATAGTCAGCCGGCAGCCACACTCAAATTCCCACACGAAGAAAGGATAGAGTTGAAGACGGACTTTTTGCAGGGATCGCACATCCAAGACTTCATGGTTGATTCCGCAGCCTAAGCTATCTTCAATGAGTCGATAGCGAGTTACAGAAGGGTGAATGCGTCCTCGGGCACGGTTTGGCGGCGTCAGGCATCTTCTAATGTCTCGTCGATGATGGGTTTGAGTTCACACGCATACCCTTGTGAGAGATAGAAGTAGAAAAGGCTAAGCAGCTAGCGCTAATTATTAATACGCGCCCTACCGAATTCACCATCATCTGGACTCTCCACAATTGTCACTCCCTCAAATCTTGACCCATTCAATATGTCAACCTATTACCAGTCGTTTCCCTGCAACCGCCTAATTACCCGATAATCAACAAACAAATTTATCGCTGGATCTCGATTTGCGGATGGAGTCTCGCGCAGCCAAACGGCTACGGGTAAACAAAGCTTGCCTTCCATGTCGAGCAGCAAAGCGAAGGTGGTGAAAAGAATGCTTCCCTCGCTTCCTTTTCCGTAGCTAACCTATCATCCTGCTCAGATGCGAGGGCGAAGTCCCGTGTGCCCGCTGCGTGTCTAAGAATCTATCTTGTGCTCTAGATGATGACGGGTCCTCTTCTCAGCTCGAGCTACGGTACTTGAATGAATCGGTCCAAAATGGCGAGCCTTTACCACTGCGCCTTGACCTACCTCCGGGGGCAGTCTCGTCCGCAACTTTTCTTATCAATAGGTAGGTGTATCCAGGATGCCCGGATAGGGCACCAGAGGGCAACACCTAACTCAAACACTTTAGATATTTCGATGAGATTTCTCCTTTTTGGCCACTTGTTGACCGTTCCGATCTGGCCGTAGAACCCTTCGCACCACCACTCTTGACTCGATCGATCTGTCTGATTGCCGCAACGTACTTGAGCAAAGATCCTTTCCACGACCAGGTTGTCGATGACATTCTTACCTCTGTCCAGCAATGCTTTGACTCATTTGAGATCGCCACCATGCCTGCTCTCTGGAGTCTTCAGTCCTTCCTACTACTGATTACCTGTCCCAGAATCGAACAGGTGTCGATGTTGGTTAGCGCCGCCGGCCGCATGGCTCTACTCCTAGGGCTTCACAAACCGCAGAACCCAAGGCTCTTCCTTTTTTGGTCCTGCGTCTTGGCTAGTCGGTGGGATTCACTCAGAGATGCCGACGGTCGGGCTACGAGTAGGCCGTGCCCTGATCTCATGACATTTGCCCCCAGTTCTGGACCGGAGGAAGCCACCATCTTCACCTGGTTTTTCGATATGGTTGCTGATGCAGATGGAGAAAGATGCGGCAATAATGCCGGGGCTCAACTTCATGGGAATAATTGGGAAACGCATCTGCATCAGATGGGAGCTGCCATCATCAATCAGAGTCCAGGACTAAAGGAGATGATGGTATTGACAAGAATGTACATGAGGGGGGGGGTTGATGAGCACATCGTGCAACATATAGGGGGGCTGGCCAAGCAGTGCCGCGCTTCAAAGCTCAACCCTTTTGCTTCCGTGCTTCAAGGACTGGGGGTTGAAAAATGAGGATACATATTGACAGAGCATCCAGGAAAGCTAAGCGTCAGTGCTTGAGAATCCAGAGTCCACTGTCTTACCCCAATCTCACCCCAAAACAAAAAGAAGAAAAAACCTAATTTTCACTCACACATGGTCATGCCCGATGAGAACAGCATTGCATGTGCCGTGGAGCCGATGCCCTGGCCTCAAATGTGACGTTGGGTCCCACAGCCACCAGCTCCTCAAAACACAGGATCTCGCAAAGGACTGGGGTTCCCCCCATCTGGTGTCTACATGTGATCTATCCGCAGTTATGCCAGATTCCAGATTGTGCAAGATCTCAAGATGAACTGTTCAGATGCTCAGGGTAGTGGTGTCACTGCGGGAGAGAGCGGGCTAACATTCCAGGCGGGTATTCTCGACAACATCCGCTCTTTGTTCACCTCGAGATGGAATTCTTCCAGACAATTTCGGTACTTGCGGCACAGGGCTGGATTATTTGATTCTGACCCGAATACTTTCTCCATATTGCAGGGCCGATCCTGGACTAAGATTATAGAGTGCCACTCCGAACCCGCTCACCCGCTTCACTGTGGATCTGCTTCGACATGGTGGGCTGGCCGGATCGGACCTGAGTGAAAGTAGGGAGACAGTTCGGTGTCTTATTATTTTTATGTGGGAGGATAAATACCCCCCGTGTGTCCCCTAGTCTTACACTCTAACCTCACAGGGGCTCCTCAAGTTCATTCTTTGACTATCCGACCTGGAACCATGGCCACACCATCCTCATCGGTTGTGGATTCACAAACACTCTCACCCCAAAATGAAGACAAACGACCTCAGCCATCGGTGAGCGAAAACATCGAGTCTGTCAATATCGACGGTGTACGGCACCAGCATGTCGCCTTCTCACAAGATGACCCCGAGAATCCCAAGAACTGGTCCAAGGGCCGCAAGTGGTACTGCACCATGGTCATCGCCCTCACCTGCTTTGTCGTGGCCTTTAGCTCTGCTGTCATCACAGCCGATGTCAAAGGTGTCGTTGAAGAGTTTGCTGTCAGCGAAGAGGTAGCCCTTGTCAGTATCAGCATTTTCGTCGTTGGCTTCGGTATCGGTCCCATGGTATTCTCACCCCTTTCCGAAATTTTCGGAAGGAGAATCATTTAGTATGTCGCAGTTCATACATACAATCTTGATTTGCATTACTGACGACTTGGAAGCGGCTCTACTCTATTGATCGCTACCATTCTTGTCATCCCTTGCGCCGTGGCAAAGAACATCGAGACATTACTTGTTTGCCGAGCACTCGATGGCATCGCCTTTTCCGCTCCAATGACCCTCGTTGGCGGCACTTTGGCCGACATGTGGAAAAATGAAGAGAGGGGTGTCCCCATGGCCGCTTTTTCTGCTGCTCCTTTCCTCGGCCCAGCTAGTAAGTCAATCATTGGCCCTAGGAGGAACAAATGCTTACGGGTGGTTCAGTCGGTCCCTTGATTGGAGGTTATCTGTCGGATGCAAAGGGCTGGCGCTGGCTATATTGGATTCAGCTCATCTTTGCCGGAGTGGCCTGGTTTCTGGTCACCTTTACTGTCCCCGAGACATATGCTCCTACAATTCTGTCTCGCCGAGCACGCAAGCTACGAGAGTCCACTGGCATTGATTCGCACGTTAGCGAACAAGATCTCGATACACGGACCCTCGGGGAGAGATTGCGCGTGTTCCTTATTCGACCTTTCCAACTCCTTTTTGGCGAGCTTATCGTCTTTCTCATCTCGATCTACATGAGTATTCTATACGGACTTCTCTATATGTTCTTTGTGGCCTATCCTATCGTGTTCCAGAAAGGTAAAGGATACTCGGCAGGAACCACTGGGCTCATGTTTCTCCCAGTTGCCGTCGGTGTTCTGCTTTCTTCTTGTCTGTCTCCCTCTGTCAACAAGCATTATCTTCACCTAGTCAAGAAACATAACGGAAAGCCGCCAGCCGAGGCACGACTTATTCCTATGATGCTCTCATGTTGGCTGATCCCCATCGGCCTTTTCATCTTTGCCTGGACATCGTACGCCAATCTCTCTTGGGCTGGGCCAGCCATGGGTGGTCTACCTGTTGGATTTGGATTCATCTTTCTTTATAACTCGGCCAACAACTACCTGGTTGATTCATATCAACATCAAGCAGCTTCGGCTCTTGCCGCTAAAACGTTTATCCGAAGTTTTTGGGGTGCTGCCGTCGTTTTATTTACCGAGCAGATGTATGAACGACTGGGCGATCAGTGGGCATCGAGTCTACTAGCTTTTCTCAGTCTTGCCTGCTGCGCAATTCCTTTCTTGTTCTGGAAATACGGTGCCAGGATTAGATCACGAAGCAAGTATGCTTATGCGGGAGAGGATGAAGAATCTAGTTCTACTGATGTAGAGACTGGCAACACTAGCGTGAATGAGAAGGTCTAGAGGTCTGCACTTCTGCCCGAATATAAGACTGAAGAGACGGTTTTAGAGTCATCATTACACATTAAGGTTGGAATATATAGAGCCGCATTCTGATACTAGAATGCAATACAGAAATATTGGATACCTAGATTATAAACAGGCTACAACATAGCTGAGAATAAACAGCAGGCGTTAATAATGTAACTCGTCATACTCGAACTTCTCGCGGGGAGGCCATCATAATTGGTGATCCTAAGAAAAGTCTCTGATTCATGGCTTTTAGAATAAACTATACTCTAAAAACTGTCCGCAGATGTTCATCTGGACTCACTTTGAGTTATGTTTACCTTACATGGCGACATGGGATGCTCGACTGAACTGGCCTGCAGTCAATGTTGAGCCGCTCAGTGGAGCTGCGGCCTGCCGCCGATGAACCGCAGAGGCACTAAAAACGACTTGGTGTCAGACTAATTTCCTTAGTGCCTGAAGGTGGAGAATTGCGGCTTGTCGCCGATGAACCGACCATGCCAGAGCTCCGACAATCGCTCGCCCTTTTCTTCGCCAGCTTGACATTCTTGACACATCAAAATAGTATCACCTGCAGATTGCTGACAAATAGAGGTTCTGTTCTCTGCTTAATTGATTTAGACTTGAATTCTATGCCTCAGGACTGTCGGTCTTCCACGGTATCTTACCCTTCTTCTTACCAGCATCCTCTGGTGGATTCTCGACATTCCGCAAGATATTCAGTACTTTCCGACCTCTTTGTTGAGAATAACATCCACTATAGAGCTCCGTTTCGTTGAATCTATAAATTCTGAGAAGAGAACTGTTCCTACAGGAAGGATCTGCGTAGTTCTCCTTAAACAACCTTCTGATTTGACTATGCTAAGAATGATCCCGGGCTGACCTTATCCCTCAATGACCCTATTAGAGAAGCCAGGATGTAATAGGGCTAGGCCAAATCTTGTCGAGTTGCCGATTAACAAAGGTCGAAGCGAACGTGGACGTAGAGGCTTAGGATGGTTGCCGATGGTGGCACTGTTCTCTTGAACAATCTACAATCTAGGAGAACATGCTTTGTCTTGAGATACTCTCCAGTCTGTGAGCTAGAGACCATATAAGAGGTCATGAACCTTCGCCTCGTCGCCATAAATACGAAAGCAAGTCATTTCAGAAAGAACCTTGGGAATGATCTCCAGGCCCATTGCGCTGCGTTGCGCCAGTCTCAACGAAACACATTGGGCACTTCCATTGCATTAAACTTGCCGGTTCAATAGGATTTAAAAAATGCTCCCGAGCCTGAGTGTGGCTTCTAGATAAGTTCCAACCGCCACCGGCCCGCCCTCTTATAGAAGAGGCGTGTATTTGGTCCATTCGCAATGCATTTACCATGGTAGTGATCAGTCTAGTGACAAGTTTTGATATCCATTTCGAACTCGAAATCTGGTTCAGAGTTTAGTAGTGTTCCTGTGCTACTTTTAGTCAGGAGTGATCTCAATTCCGTCCAAGATACCACCTCGTGTTCGCACAAACGATCGTCCTAGAGTGTTGTTGTACACTGAGAGCATGAAGGGTTCATAAAGCCCAGGCTCCTTCGTGGGGTTGCTCTCCGCTCTAGTCTTTCGCGCTTGAGATGATAGACGCATTAAGAATCTACGTGGAGGATAATGGTGATCTCAGCTCGCAAAGCCGCATCCTTTCAGTTTTCACGAAGTAGGGCAGGTAAGAAAGGAGTATCCCAGAAGGCTTCGAGAGATGAAGACACAGTTCGCCCTGTTTTGCATGTTTCAGATCTTGAAATTTTCGGATGGCTTAAAACAATGAAAATTGGATGGAGTTGATTTGAGAAGAACGCGGAAACATCTGCATATTTGGCGGATAATGAAAACAGATGCTATGTCTTGGGTAGGTAAATCCGAATTTTCGGGAAAATCTCATCGGGGAGCTGTTGGAGCTTCGTGGAGTAGCACTCAGTAGAAAGAATCCGGCCAATAAATAAATTCATGTCCTTTTCCAATTCGGAAATTTATAGCATAGAGTGCCTACTTCCTACGTCTATCTATGAAGAGCCCCTATTTACGAAACTATCTCATGAAGGTTAAGAGAGATTTCACCATTGTGGATCGACCAGAAGGTAATGATGACATACGGGTACTAAGGGAAAATTTAAATATCCTTAATTGAATGTCACCTGGACGCTACATCTATTGCAGCCTGTCGACGTAGCCGTTTCAGTCACCTATATCCAAAAATAAGACAGATAGGCACCTACAATAGCATGGAGTGAATAGTCCTGCCACAGGTATGGATGGTTGACATTACTCTGTTCATTAGAATCTGAAAACATCACTCCAAGTCTGCCAATCTACAGCGTCCCCTTCTATGAATCCCAGCCCATCCAGACTGTGCGAGTCTAGAACAGCCGCCATCGACATGCCATCCTCATTCCTCTCCCTCCTCCTATCATAAAGAGATCTGATAAAAGGAGGAGTAATATCGGCTTCGAGAGAAGTCGAGATCGTGAGCAATTCCTTTCGACGCGCCTCCCAAGCTTCCAGCGTCAAATTAATCAACCCATTGAAAAACGTCTCATCTTCCTCTGAAATCACCGCGGGAAGGTTGTCGAAGAGCTTTTCTATGATTCTCCAAGCCACGTCTATCCGAGGCCCGGAACACCGTTGCCGCAGCTCGCTTATGACATATACGTATGCTTCCATTTTGAACCAAAATGTCAAGTGGATGACGAGGTACGTTGCAAAAACTGATTCCAGGCTCAATTCGCTCATTTCCAGAGCGAGCAGCACGGCCTCAAAAGTCTCGTCGCTCTCTTTCCGCGTAACATATATTGTACCATCTTCCGCTGCCGGTCGTAACCGAGGATGGTAGATCTTAAAACGTAAACGAGCTGGAATAATCGTCGCCCATGTTTGTGCCAGCTGGTGGAGGGGGATACGTTTATCCGATCTCTGCAATATCCTCTGGTAGGCTTGTTCGATCTCGTTGATGGCTGCTTCCTTGAGTTCCATCGATACAATCCCCTTTTTCGTGGAACTCGGATGTGTCATACTCTCGAACACCTTGGACCCGTTCGACCCAGTTCGACCCCATTCAAAGACTTGGAACTTGACAAGCGCACAGATCATCTCTGTCGGATTGTCGTGCTGCGCAGGTGCCTCCGTCATGTCTGGATGTAGATCTGCATCATTCACATTAAGCGGGAGGCGTACATCGCCGAACTCACGATGCGGAGGCGGCGCCATCCCTCGGACGTGGACTCCACGGCTACGAGCGTCGAGACCAGCAAGATTCCACCAAAGCCGAATGCGCATCTCATTTTCAAAAAATGAGACTTTTGGATTGTTGGGGCGGTGCAAGCCTATCTTTTGACCAATCCTCAGGGCAGCACCCGTCAAGGTCGAGGTGAGCTCTGACTCTGGGTCAGAGAAGAGAAATAGTACAAATGCCTGGAGGACTTCGAGGTCTCTCGTAGTGAGAAACTCTGCAGCTACGAGGGCGCGAATCGAAGCAGTGCGATATCGCATCAATAAGTTGAGTCTTTTTTCTTGAAAAGAGGCCTCGCATTCTTCGTCTGATATGGAGGTCACAGCCAAGGTGTATATGGCGAAAAGCATAGCAGCGAATGGTTTTGATATGCTTGCAAGGTCCCAGCTGGCGTCCAAGACGCGTTGCTGAAGGGTCGGTACATGGATGATTTTGGTAAGCGGGTTGACACGCTCAACAAAGATCTGCCAGAATCGGTAAATATGTTTCGGCTCTGGATGCATATCATACAGGTTGAAGTTGGGAGTGCTGAGAAAGGAGTCGAGAGGAGGGGTCGGATGCAAGAATGGGTCGTATTTGTGTCGAAGGTTAACTATAGGCGGGTTTTTGAGCTGAAATCAACGGTTATGCTATGTTCTTAACTGTTGAAGTGACTGAGATGTATACCTCTGGGATCAGGTTCGACCACAAGGACCTGAAATAATGAATCATTTAGTCTCGATCACCGCAGTTATCTCTTCAAATATACTTTCACTTACTTCTCGAGAACCATTGAAGAAGCCCCATCTATATATCTTGGTACATCGTGCACATTACTCGAGGGCAATGAGAGGATCGTTTCCGGCGATGGCTCAGCTTCTCCTGATTCGACTTCTTGGCCTGACGGGACCCAGGTAGTTGCACAATGCGAGAAATCGACGCCATGCTTCCGCATCAAGGTTTCATAGGCCGCCAGTCGCGCGACGAGTTCATCATCAGCGGCCCGTTTCCGAGGCCTTGGAGGTGGATGAACCTCGTAGAGGCACTGTGCCTCTACTTTGATGCAGTTGGAGCACGGATCCAGCTTGTTACATTTGACCTTGCGTCGCGCGCATAGAGAACAGGCAAACTTATGACGTTGGGGGATCTGCTCTGTTTGCGAGGGTCCCATGGTTTTCAATGCACCAACCAAAACAATATGACGGAAATAATGCAAAAGAATGTGAAGGCGTCTTGGAAGACATGTGACAGGGGAGGATGATGAACGACGACGCGGTTGTGAGAAAGAGAAAGAAGCTCTCGGGGCCTTCGGGTCTGGAAACGGTTTAGCGTCTCACCGTCGGCCCCGACTCGGCCACCACCTTCGAGACTCTCTGGCCAACAAAATGCCAGCATTCTCTTCAAAACGAAACTAGTAGACTGCCGGTATCCGAAATTACTCTGCTCGTAAGCATCATCCATGATTAGGCAGATCCATATTCCTGATGGATAGAGCGTAGTGTCTAGGACACCAAACATTGCTCGGGCCTTCGGGCCCGACGGACGTGGTCAAACAATCACGACAAACCATTCGTTCGGTTGCTATTTATTTCCAATCTTTTCATTCCATCTGATGTCTAGTATTTAATTCTTCGGGGAACACTGTTTCTCTCACTAATTTCTTTCCTTCACTTCTCACAACATACACATACAACTCACGACCTGTACAGCCGCCCATCAGACTTGCCAGCACTATGGCTCTCGATGATTCTAAACCAGAAAAACAAGGGGCAAAATCGAGTACCCCGAGCGAACTGAATTCCGACACTCTTTCCGATATTGGAATCAAAAGTCAGGATGTTGAGGCTGCCAAAGAATCACCCGACCAAGATTCCCAGTATCCTACGGGTGTACGGTTCGCCCTGATCATGACCTCAGTCTACGTTTGCATGTTTCTTGTTTCTTTGGTGGGTCTTTGTCATCTCTGCTCCTTTATCCTATTGCTAACACCGCCATAAGGATCGCATGATCATAACAACCGCAATCCCCGAAATCACAAACCAATTCCATTCCATAAACGACATTGGGTGGTACTCGTCCGCCTATCTCTTGACAACTTGCGCCTTGCAGCTTCTCTTCGGCAAAGTCTATGCCTTTTTCAATGCGAAGGCTACGCTTCTTAGCACCATCTTCCTGTTCGAAGTTGGGTCCGCCATTTGCGGAGCGGCACCCAACTCTATTGCCTTCATCATCGGCCGGGCCATTGCAGGCCTCGGCTCGGCTGGCATTATGACCGGCGTCGTATGTTACAGCATCACCTTCTTGTATCTTTCCGTTATCTTCATGAAAAATCAGTCATCTAACCGAAAGTCTTCCATGTAGCTCATGACGATTGTAAACACCGTGCCATTGCCGAAACGACCAATGTATCAAGGCCTCTTCGGAGCCGTCTTCGGTATATCTTCTATCATCGGCCCTCTTCTCGGCGGTGCATTTACGTCAAACGTGACTTGGAGATGGTGTTTCTACATCAATCTCCCTGTTGGTGGAGTGGCCATGGTTGTCGTGTTTTTCCTCATGAAGATCCCCGATCGAGATTCAACAAAGATTCCTACCAAAGAAAAGTTGCTTCAACTAGACTTTTACGGGTCTATACTGGTCATTGCAGCTTGTGTCTGCCTAGTTCTTGCCTTGCAATGGGGTGGTGTCACATATCCTGTAGGTTTCGATGATAGCACATGCTACCTAGCCATTACTAACCATCCCATAGTGGAATAATGGTCGGATGATTGCCCTGCTCGTCATGGCAGGTGTGTTGTTTTTGAGTTTTGGCTTGGTTCAGGTCTATTTGCCTCGAACTGCCACCCTACCGCCCAGGGTCATAAAGCAACGGAGTATCGTAGCTGGCATGATCTCTAGTTTTTGCGTTGGATCGCAACAAATGATATTCAGTGAGCTATATAACCTACACGTGTTGTTTGCGACCGCTAACTCGATCTCAGTTTACTATCTCCCCATATACTTCCAGGCCATCCAGGGGGTATCAGCCATGCAGTCAGGAATTCGACTTCTTCCCCTGCTTCTCTCCATGGTTGTGTCCACCCTAGCGACAGGAGGACTTACTCGGCTCACCGGCTACTACACTCCGTTCCAAATCATCGGTACTGTTCTCATGAGTATAGGCGCCGGGCTGCTCACCACCCTCCAGGTGCATTCAAGCAGTGGCGTGTGGATCGGCTACCAAGTCATCTATGGTTTTGGCATGGGCATGGTCGTCCAGGCACCCAACCTGGCCGCTCAAACTGTCCTACCGAAAAAGGATGTACCCATAGGAGCGTCGTTCATGTTCTTCACCCAACTACTCGGTGGTTCCATATTTTCAGCAGTTGGCCAAACGGTCTTCAACGACCAACTTCAGCGGCGTCTATCCAACCTCGAGGGCTTCGATCCCAAATTCATTCAGAGCAACGGTGCCACTTCTTTGACCGAAGTACCCGATTCAATCAAAGACGTCGTCTTGGAACGATATAATGAGGCCATCCGCCAAGTCCTGAGGGTTGGGATGATCCTAGTGTGCATCACGATAATAGGAGCGCTGTTGATGGAGTGGCGAAGCGTGAAGGATGGCGGCGCTAAGCAAGACGAGAACAAAGAAAAGGCACAAGTAGCGGGCGAAGAAAAGCTTGAAAAGTAAGATTGCTAACATGAGTCTACTTTCGATTAGGCAGGTGAGCTTAATAGTCTTATAATCATCACAACTCATAGAATTTCCATTGATAGAGCATACATACATGGCACGACATCTGTACACATAATTATACACTCTTCTCATACTAGAACAATATCACTCTCTTTTCTATTGTTGTCATTTTCTATTGTTGTCATTGCCTATTTATTCACGTTGCGTCTCGTTCTCATGTTGATCTGCTCCTTTCCATGTTCTTCAATATCAAGACAATGCTCAATTAAACCGCTCAAAGCTTTCGATCCCTTCCCCAGTCCGATCTCCTAGTTTCATCAAGGTCATACCGTTGCCTCGAAATCCGGCCTATCGGTCCTTTGCCTTCCATGTTTAATCTTGATATGGATTGAATCCATGGCACATCTCAAAATCCTTCAATAAGCCATTTTTGGAGAGAGGTAATGAAATTGTACGAAAGGGACTGGGAGAGGAGAAGGAGCTACAACACAAAGCCTTGCCCGAGTTTTTGCTTTTTTTTGCTAGTTTTGAACTAGAAATGATTAGCGAGAGGCTGTATGAGTGCCTTGAGAGTGATTCATATCTTCTGAGTGAGCCACTTGTGATGCTGGTGGTCATTAGCCAGGCTGTATAGATATTAGAAGCTAGGAGCCCAGCCGTGAAACACATACAAAGAAAGGAGGGAAGTCTAAGTGATAGCAAAGGTACTTAGACCAAACAAAATAACCTACCATAAAAACCATTCAATGTACCAGTCTTTGCATGTGTTTTATGTCTCGAAACTGAAATCCTAGAGCGGACTTCAACACAACGCCTCCCGAGAGATCATGCGCCAGCAACTATGTCTTGAGCCCTTGGTTATTTTCCCGAAGAAATATACGATGATGAGACAAGGCTCCTTCCCGCGAGTCTTATACTTGCGCAACTGCAGGCCAAATATGGAGACTCGTTTCTGATATCTATGTTCCTCCTTAGAATTTAGTGATACCCGATAATTTTAAGCGTGGCATTGGAATTGAATCCATATTGAATAAAACATGGTCCAAGGCGCCGATTACCCACTTAGCATGATTTGAGCTGGCCAGTTCTCTCATGCAAATAGAACCCTGTCTGAACTATACGACAAACATGAAGGCTATTGAACAGGGGTGTTCCTCAAGATATCGGTTTTGCGTAACAAGAACTTATACTTCCTAGCGTTTTTGGGAGATCTCCCTCATGCTATCAAGCTTTATCCAGTCTTGATGACTGTGCCATGCTCATCATTGTGCAACAAGTCTTGCATTTCAACTAAAGCCTTAAGGATGACTGTAGCTGGTTCTGTCAGGAGAAGTTCCCACGCTAAATAGCTCGTGAGTCCCATCCAAATATTTCCTGATCTAGAAGTGGTCCAAACCATGATCCAAGTATATGTTTTGACAGGGGGGCGTGTCCACTGCGTAACCCAGCAAGGGCCCACGCTCAATAGGCTACGATTTATGTTTCCTAATCAAACTATAGTCCCATTCCGGAGTATCTCTAGACATTAAAAGTCGGAGATGTCACTCAAGTGCCGCCGAGCTGGCCATGCCATTGCTAAATCTGAAATTTCAGTTCTGTCCCACAAATCCTGTGAACCTTTCACAAGCAAGGGCTGCTTCTCGTGAAAGGCATCGAACAAAGAGACTTCAAAGCTGCAGGATCAAAGATCATGCCGTTGTCATCAGATAGATATAACCAGCCAACTACAACTTGGGGGTTAATTCAACACATCAAGACCACTAACATTGCATTCGCTATAGACTACATGTACAATCCGCAGATACCCATTGAAGACGCAATACAAAATATATTCTTTTTTTTTATTCCGTATTAGGGCTATTATTGACAATTGAGAACACAAAGTCCGCACCGTACATGCCAGTGCTGAATATGGGACGTGAGTGTCGCGCTTTTTATGTCACCCTCTAGCCAGTACATAACCCAGCAACTGGGTGAGAAAAAATAGCACACCAAGACCATCGATTTCAACAAAACAGCAACAAAAATTGTCTTAGTAATGGTGAAGCCATCGAAGTTACAATTTCTATGGTTTCGCTATGTCCAAATAATATTGAACCCATAACTTCAGTCTCTTGCCAAACAGCTGTCGCTGTGATGCTCGTGCTATGGTGCCTAGTCACGTGATTGGTCAACGTCGGAGTTGTGCAAGCATCGCCAAAAATATGGAAGGATCGCTCACTACGATCATCCCAATCATTTGCCGCCGCCAAGCAGAATCCCACCGCCTCTTGCGCCAATATTATAAACCTATATCGGCGCCGTATGATGCAGCGTACTGTATCCCCCGACCGCAAATTTCAGCCACTGGGAACAGAAGACCCGAGCCAGGACGAGAATCGTTGCAGAGCAGCCCCCGACATCATCGAGCCGCATCCCAGCGATGGCTGCGGCCGCCACGAACACGCATACGTACACGAGAAGCAGGGTCTGCGGCATTGCATCGCGAGTCCCACGACTGAGCTGCCAAGCCCAGCATCTGCAGCCCCCGTACCCGCCAGGGTTTTGATTTCGTTGCCATCCCCGACCGAGTTGCGTCGTATTCCACCGAGCGCGATACGGCATCGTTTCCTCACACTCTCACGCCCGAGCGTCCAGATTCCCGTCACAGGCATTCATTTTGCGAAGGAGACGCTACAAGCAATAACGCACTGTGGTGGATCTCCGATCCCGGCGTAGTGTGAGTGCTCTCGACTTGGGGTGGCAGACCGGTCACAAGGGCAGCGCTGTAAACAGACAAGCATGCGAGACGCAGACCACCTTGCCATCCGCACACCTCCCAAATATGCTGTCCCACCGAATATGTGCCCGGGTGCTTCCGCCTTCGAAACATCTGAACCTGTTCGTGGACGGGGTAGGTAAGCGCATGGATTGCCGCCAGGGGTAGCGGGCTCGGTGAAGGAATCGAAACCGTGGAACACACAGCCAGCCACTGGCAAAAATAGCCTACGGTGTGCACCCCTTCTGCTGACAGAACTTTCCCAAGAGGTACCTGCCTGTGGCAGAATCCTCGCCGGGCGGGCGCCATCACGAGCCATCTAGTAAGCCCACCGTAGACCTTAAAGCAGGATGTAGCAGTCACCCGTTAAGTCAGCGTACACCGCTGCTGCGCGAGGACGAATAGAGATGCTTTTACCACGGGTGAAAGCATGCAGAGCGGGAGGGAGGCATGTACGCGCAGCGTCCAGGATGCCACCACGGCGGTGCTGCCTTTATCGTCAGCGTCGCATGGATCCCATGGTAGGGGCATGCCATACTGACGGGTCTGCATCCTGGTTGAGGAATTTTCCATAGGGCCCAGCCGGGCACCGTGCAGATGAATGGTGAATAGAGGCACACGCCCGTCCATAGTTGTCCCAAGATATTACCCCATACTAATCTGGAAGGCTCTTTCTGCCTCCCTGTCTCCCACGAGCCAACACAACACCGCGCTGCGAGAGGTTTCTCCTCGGCCATCCCAGCGAAGAAGCTGGGGGCTGAAGGCCCTTCTTCTGGCCGGTCACAAGACATCCTCAGGAACAGTCTCGCCTGGGGGGGAGGCGTCCGCCCTCGGACATCAGCCCAGCCCCCTTGATGTCACGCAGGACGCTTACTCGACGGTGCTACCCAAGAGGACGACATGTGCCCTGGCCTTGTCTCCTCTTTTGCCCACATCCTGCGAAGATGCATAAAGGGAACTGCCGAGCTGTAGGAAGCACAGTCTTTGAGACAACCAGGCACGGGCCGCAGCCGCCCCCCTGTAAATTACCATGTCGCCCTTTGCCCACTGCGCCGGGGAGACGCCCCGGCCATCAGCAAAGTGTTCTAGCAGGTCCAGGACGAAGGCCTCACCTGGCCCCGGGGGTCGCCATCCGTGGTTGTCCTGTGGACAGAGGGTAGGCTGGCAGGATTCTTAGTGCCTGCATGCGATGTAACGGAGGTCGCTGCTGGGCTGGGTCCTTCGCTTCTATGTCCCAAGCAGGACACCATCTCAATCCTCCTGGGCGAGCAAGCGAGACGAGTGCACCGTACAGTCGATACTCCCATGCCCGTGCGTCCAAGGAAGTCGGGCGCCGACCGGGCCGGTGCTGAAACCTTGCGCCGGAGGTTGACAGACACCACGACTGGCTTCATATCCGGGTAGTGTAGTGGTGGCAGTCATCTGTCTGCCGTCGCAAGGCGTGGGATTAGCAAGCTGCATCACAGCCACAGGATGCTCGTGGCCGGCTTATTTCGACAGGATGGGTGCAGACTCACTGCAAGGTTGTTTCGTGTGGCGGTTACACCCATTGAGTCTCATGAGCTCCGATGCTATGTATGGCATCACCAAGATCCCCAGGTGTATTCCCCCGATGAGATCCGCCACATGACCTGGGCGTGGCCGCCCGAGATGAGAGGAGCGTGGATGATGGACATCCCCATCCAAACATGCGAACGGGGACTCGACACCCACTCAACCAACATGTATCGACCAGCCCACAACCAAAGCTGTCTCTGCTCGAGAGGGGTAATGGTCAATGGGACTTGCGCATGACGTAGAGCAAAGATGTCTCAAAAATCAACCCGTCGGTCAGCCAGCCCCAACCGAAAGGTAAGCGTGTCGGGAGCTGCCTTGGTAAGTGTCGCGGGATGAAGCAGCAACGACTCAATTAGCTAAGTCTTAGTCGAGCCTTATGAGATCAGTGGGGACCTCTGACAGCTCAATTAGAGATCTCCCAACGGGCATCTGTCAGCCATCTTGCTGCCCGTCCGGTGAGATCTTGGTAGCGCGCCTTCCCCACTTCCCTCCCCAGATTCGGGCTACCCTAGACCGTAGACTGTCCTCATTAAACGTCATATCCCGCAACGTAGACCAGATGTAGCCCAGCAATCCCATCTGCTCACTCTCATTCCTTCCACTCTGCAGACTCGAGATTCAGTCTAGTGTATCAGAAGAAATGGCTACTCCCCGTGTCTTTCTTGTCCGTCAC